CTAGCTTGATCGAGGGCTTATCTTTCTTGGCGGCGAAGGAGGTACCACAGTAGGACTAGGGTTAGGTTCCACAGTATCAGGTTCATATTTGAAGTTGAATGATTCTGAGGCAGAAATTGTAGAGAACTGTGTTTGTGGACGTGGACCAGTTAACTTGTTCGTAGATGGTTTGGAGACGACTTTGTCACGTATGAAGTTCATTTCCTCGGCACCTCGCGGCAACGATGAAGATATATATGGCGAAACAGTTCGGTTGGACGATAATCCCATGAAATCAAGAGCGCTAGAGCTGTTTTGGGAGCGGTAGCCGGTTTGTGAAGGTAGCATAAACTGTGAGCTGTTGCTTCTAGACGTTTGGGTGGGCATTGGTGTATGTTCCTGGGGGATATGAGAAAAGCTGGTTTTAGAAGCGGTCATAGGAGTGCTTGGGGTCTTCGTCACGGTTTGACGAGGCGGAGGCGGAGTGGTAGACAGTTTAGGAGCAGGATCCTTTAGCTCCTTATCCCTTAAAGCATTAATTTTACTCGCAACAGGTGCACTCAAAGGCATCAAATTAAGTGGCGGTAACTTAAGAGGTTGGAGGCTTCTCTTCCCATGAGGATTGGCGGCTCGTGGTTTAAATTCAGAATAAAGGCGCGGCTGTCGTGCTGCATCGTGGCGTCTCCTAGGGAAGTTTGATTAGCGGGTGTGGATGGCGCTTCAATTTCTGCAGCAGGTGGGTCTTTCAATGCTTGTCTTCGCGTTTCAAGCTCAAAGGGCATGCTGGTTTGCCTAGGTGTAAAGGTTGGGGGTATGTGAGCTTCGTTTTTGGGTGACTCGTATGCCTTGGGGATTGCAGGTACTGGTGGCACTTCCTCTTCCTCCTGGTTTGAATGCTCAGTCCGGGGTTTGGGAGTTGGAAGTCTGGATGTTGATACGTTCTGCGAAAGCCGCCCTTGCAGGGAGCCACTAGAATTCCTAGCAGAGTTATAGGTTGTATTTGAAGAGAGAGATATGCCTGAGCTATAGGATTTTCGGTGAGGATCTGGTGTAGTGCGGGCAGACGAAGGTGTTATGCTCTTTCGAGGTATCATAGAAGGTGAAGGCGCTGAGGAGCGTGGACGTGGAGAGTTTAACTCTAACTGGGTGGGCGATCTTTGTGGTATAGGGGGCGGATTAGGAACAAGGGACATTCGTTTCATCCTTCGAGCATCTGTCGGAGAAATGGTTCTTGCACCTAGGCCAGTCGGATGGTGAGGCATCATTGAAGATCTCTTCGACGAGGGGGTTGTGTTCGGTGCTGCTATTGTTTTCCCAGGAGTCTGGATGGCAGTATTCGAAGATGAACGAGAGTGGTCCGAACCGCCAGGGGTTATTTGATTATCTCTGTTCCCACGGCTAACAGGTTGCAATGATTTTGCTTTCTGGCTTCTGGTGGTGTTTAGAAAAGAGGGACCAGTGGATTGTTCCGTAGACTGATGGCTGACGCGATTTACATTAGTATTCACCCGTATTTCCCCTGTTGCATTTCGCTTTGCAAAACTCTGACGCCTTCGTGGAGGACCATCGTCACCGTTTGCTTGAGACGTAACCAAAGCACCAGGGCCAATAGATTTTCGGGGCTGCCTGGGGCCAACAATGGAGGAAGCTGGCGGCGCAGCATGACTTTGCCGCCTTGAACGGGGAGTTGCAGAACCAAGCGGCTGCCCTGTTGAATTATGTGTCCCTCCTATAGCTATACCTGCACCCACACCTTCAGCATCGGGCTTTTGAGCATTGCTCTGTCTTCTGGCGAGTGTATTCGGCCGGGCAGATCTAGGACCAGAGGCCGATGACGGTGTAGTCGACCAGCGCGTTGCTGATTTCGGGGGAGATGGAGCGGACCCAAAGCCAGATATAAGTTGTCCTGGCATAGGGAAGTGACTTAGATTCGGTTCTCTCGGGGAGATACTATTATGGAAATCATCGAAATTGATTGCGGGAAGGAATTCGCTACTTTCTGGAGGCGTATGGTTGCCAATCTTTGTCAAAATTAGCATTTGATACAAACGGATGATGTCTTGGCAGCAAAAGACGAACCACATTTGAGAACGGCGTTTCAGGTTTGTTCTGGGAGTTCGAATGGGAGTGTATCGTCGTGCTAAAAACGAAAGAAAATATGCATTAGACATTCTTCTTATATTATTTGTGATCAAGCGAGAGAGAATGCATACCGTCGTGATGATAGCGGTCCGTTGATTGTTGGACTTCGATCTCGAATCGACTTTCTCCGCTTCGAAGTCGTTCCCTCGATATGTTGATCGGCGCTTTCAAGAGAATGCAAAGAAGAGAATGATGCCTGGTTGGTAACTGGGACGATTGGTGAATTCCTCTGCAGCGGTTGACGATTGTTTTGAGCTATTATACATCAATACAATATTAGTGCACGCTTGCTTGAAGGGGGAGAGGAAAAAAAAACATGAACAATCAAGGTTGGAAAGACGGGAGTGCTTTATCACCATAAAATCGTGTTTCGCTAGGCCTGGAAGGCTCAGAAGGCTTCGAGTGCTGCACCGACTGCTGCGTCACGGCCGGCAAGCTCTGGGACGTCATTTTGACGAGGGATGACCGCAACGTTCGGCTGGTACGTCAGGATTGCAGTTCTGCGCGGTGGCATCCAACGTATAACGCAGGTGACCTGACACACCTGATGACGGCGGAGGTCGTCTCGCCCGCACGCTCAGGGGCGACCACAGCCGGATAACTCTCGGTTCGAGGACTGTAACGAGATGGACGGCAGCAGAAGCGACTAGCTCATACCTGGTATGCTGCTACCGCGTCATGGTGCTCGAAGGCTTTGAATCACAACTGGCCCAGGGAGTTGTTGTTATTCTCGTTGCCCTTCTGGCAGTTGTCCCGTCCACGTTTGCACAACCACCGGCCTGGGAAGTCGGTGGGCTGAACGCGAGCAGACCAAGAGCGAGATTTCTTGTTTGTCGGAAGGGATTTTTTGTCGTTCGAGTCTCCGGTGGACCAAGCATCAAAAAGCAACCTGGTCAGTGAGGTACAAAACCCCCATGTAGGTACAAGAAACTCTTGACTGTGAGTGGCTGGCGGAGCTCTACCTTGACAAGATCAAGCGGGCGTGGTCGTTAGTTAATCCGCTATACAAAAGCCACTTGCCACCGACAGACCCTCACACGGGCAGGAAACAATCAATATCCCGGCCTGCATCCAAACAAATTAGCCTTGGTCGAGATATTTTTATGCAGCGATGTTTCAATTGAATGTTTGTCGCTGCCGCAAGTTTATTAAATTAAAAGCGAAAAACAGACACGACGTCGCTTTTTGCCGTTTTGGGAACCTTCTCCTTATGCTTAGGTAAGGAATGAGGTAAGGCGGACTAGTCTATATCTGGGTTAGCACAGGGACCGGGATCACATGTTAGCTTGTTCCGCTTTGGGAAGTGGTCGGGTGTGAATACATCGAACAACGTCACTGCTGCGAAGACGCCGTGGACTCATGATATAAAGACACACAAGACTTATCAGAAGGAAAGAGAGATAGAAAGAAAGATATATATAGCAAGAAGAAGACCTTCTCATGTGAGGGAGCAGCGGCGAAGATGGATGAATACACTGCCGAGATCTTCGCCGGCCAGGATGGCGGTAGTGATGGCGACCCCCAGCGCTCGAACAGCAGCGTGGAAGAAACGAAGCAGCCTGCTAAGCCGGACACCACAACGGAGGAGTCTGCTCCAGGCATGTCACTGCAGGACCGACTGCTTGCCAGGCAAGTCTCGTTTGAACCGTCTTTTTGTGGTTCCTGAATACAAAGTAAAGAATACTCCCCCGTCTTCTAACTGACAACTAGGTTCCTCCAGCAGCTAGTTCCGTCTGAAGATGCCGGCAGTGATGGGGATGATAGTGATACATCTGCATCGCCGGAAAGGCCTCCATTCAGCCTGCCCACGATGACCAACAACTTTAGACGTTTCAATGCAAGGTATGTATACATATGTTTCAACCGTTTGAAAAACCTCCGTATCTAAACACCAACAGAATAGGAATAGTCTTTCAATTTCAGTATAATGTGATTAAACTCCTTTCTTGGAGGCACAGGACCCAGACATGGTCGCTGATATGCGTCTATTCCTTCATCTGCCTGGACCCATACTTGCTAGCGGTACTTCCATTTGTCCTCGTGCTTCTTTTCATCATGATACCCGCCTTCTTGACAAGGCACCCTCCACCACCACCGTCGACTTCGACTTCTAGTACAACGCCGTACTATTCTTACGAGGGCCCAGCTCTTGCTCCAGCCAGAACTATCAAGCCTGCTGCCGAGACATCCAAGGATTTCTTCCATAACATGCGAGATTTACAAAATTGTATGGCGGATTTTGCCGTCCTTCACGATGCAGCTGTGTCACTTATTGCGCCGGCTACAAACTTCTCCGACGAAAAATTTTCATCTTCCCTGTTTATTGCCTGTACCGGTTTGGCGGGTGCCGTCTTTTTGGTGTCACACCTCATGCCCTGGCGTTTTATGTTACTCTTTACCGGGAACGCCCTTATATTATCTAATCATCCAAGCATGAAGCCCTTTTTTGAGACGATTAAAGGTGTGCTTACGTCCCATAGTGCGCCTCATGATAATACCGAGGGCACCAAGAAGTCATTTGACATTTATGGCTACTCCATACCTTTAACTGTTTCTGGATTCATGGATCTCCTCGACTCGGTCACTGCTATATCCCTTTCTGCTGAGCCCGAGGAACGCGAAGTTGAGATTTTTGAGCTACAGCATAAAACATACTCCTTATATTCGGCGTCACCCGAGTGGGAGCCATTTTTGTTCACGTCCACGCCGTATGATCCTCTCTGCCCGTCTCGTATATCAGGGGATCGGCCTAAAGGATCTAGGTTTTTCGAGGATGTGAGTCCTCCCCCCGGTTGGGTTTGGAAGAGCAAAAAGTGGGAACTAGATCTTGAATGCCGAGAGTGGGTGATGGAACGGATGGTTACTGGGGTGGAGTTCGAAATATCTGACAGTAATGACGGGATCATTAGCGAGGAAGTTGGAGGTTGGGTATGGGACCTGCCGTTTAACACCCCTGATGATGAACATGCCGTCGATATACTGGCTTACACAGACTCATGGGAAAGTCCTCGAAGAAATGCGCAAATGTCCGCACAAACAAACAAACGTGCCAACCAAAAAGAAAAGCCAGAGTGGGAGGAAGCCACAAAACAACTTGACCGGGCTGGCGACTGGAGAAGGAGACGTTGGGTCAGGGTTGTCCGAAGGATGACTATTGATGAGAAAACAGTGAAAGCGACACCACTATTCTCTTAGTCGAATCGTCTCCGTTTCTATTATATCTCGTTCTAGGACCTGCATGCAATTTGATTAAGAAGAGTATCACCGGATGCGCAAACCTAGCGGAGAAAGGGCCCTGCCTGTTACATCATGGTACTTCCTTCCTCAAGCTCTATATCAATCTTGCCTTGATATCAAATGCAAAAATGACATGCGAGTTGCTCCCGCCTTTCTGGCTATTTTGTTATCATGATTATGGCCAGCCGCAATCCGTGCCACGAGCTTCAATTACCCCATAGGCTATGAATCCAAACTCATACCGCTAATCACTCTATGTTAACCCTCAAGTAAGGATTTTACACAATATGCCAGACATGAGTGTCACCAATACAACCTCTACCATGGGATACCATTGTGCTTTCCTACCCCCTTCACCAGATCACCCTCTTAATATTACAATAGCTGCCGAGGCCACAAAGAATACCTTGCGCCCTTTTATTTGCCATTCTTCAGCATATTCAAGGCGGAAAAAAACGGTTGCGGATAATACAAGGGCTAGCTGGTCTTGGTCCTAGGTACGGGAACTCACGAGGCCTCCTGAGAGAAGTCACGTCAATACACCAGAAGTATCAGGTGGAGGGATGAATGGACGATTTCAACGAAAATCAACCCAGGATTTACCGCTCTCACCAGTTCCGATGCCACTTTCGTGGGCGCCACCTGCGTTGTCTCATGCTATGCTACTGCCGATACAGATACTCGTCCTAGGACATCCATTAACGTGAGAGTGGCAACAATTAACTATGGTTTTGACGGTTTTGACATAGTGCAAGGGCAGGAGAATCATATAATCGGAAACATATTACCTTCTCCCAAGCCATCGGGCTATATCACGTTATACTTTCCCGGAGATTCCATTTTAAGATAATCTAGTGTTGAAGCTTACTGCAGAATTGCTGGATGCCAAACTTAAATCATAGCGGAGCACCTCATTGCCTCATAGACTTGGTTTTGCAAGATATTGATGCCCTATAGAATGTAATTAAGTCAACAGCTAGTTGATTTAGGTTTAAATGCACCTTTATTCTCGCATCGTGTGAGAAGAGGAGTACATTCCATGGCCGAGAGGAAAATCTAAGGATTGTGCTAGGAGCAATTAATGCTGCCTCCCTGTTTCAAAACTGCTGCGGGCCGAGCCGAAGTTTTCAGTAACTCTTTAACGAGTTGACTAGTTGTTCCTGAACTACCCCTAGTTTGAAGTATGTGGTAGCGTCTGATGATCAACGCTTAATCCAACTTCTGTTGATTGCGATTATAATATAATTACCTGAACACTATTTAATGTCACTTATATATCATGATTGTGGCTCTCAAAATATGAAACGTTTTATAAGAACAATTTTTATTGTTGCTTCATAGTTGCTTGTAATACATATTTTTTTTTAAACTACTAGGTCACCACCTGATCTCTTCGTTGATCTTCATTGTTCCCATATTACCGCGTCAGGTTGGAATAAAAATCACATAGAAATCTCATGGAGAGTCAAATAAGGAAAATCAAAGCAAGCTGAGAGCAACTATTGCAAATGAACATTTTGTTTCACCTCTTATTATGTTAGAACACGAAGTTTGCAAGTCAACTGACTGACTGCTCATTGGTCATCGTTGTAGCGAATCAGACCAGAACGAGGAAGGCAACGATGAGACCGAACAGATAAGCAAGCTTAGCATCTGTTGTGTTCTCCTCAGCAGCATTGACAATGGTAGAAGTGGCAATGCTATAGGTTGGAGTAGAATGGACAAAGGTGCTATTGGTACGAACTGTCAGGGTAGTTGAGGTGAACGAGACAGATGCAGTGACCACCTCAGAGGAGGTAAGTTGAGTAAACTGAGTTGGAAGCATGGAAGCAGAGGAAGTAGCGTGGGAGGTGTAGATCACAATGCTAGTGGACTGAATGGTGCTAGGGGACAAAGTGACACTGGTTTGAGTGACTTCCTTTGACTCGGTGGTTGGTCCCTGCTGAGGCTGCTCAGTGATCTTGGTCTCGGTCATTGCAGTGGTAATTGCCGTGGTAATTGCAGGGGTAGTAGCAGGTGACATGAAAGTGATAAACATAGTGGTTGTAGTTGTCGAAGTGCTTGAGACGGTGGTGTTGTTAGTCACAGTTGGCTCGAGAGTAACCACATCTGAAGACCAGGAAGTGGTAGTGGTTGAAGCCGAGGGAAGAGAAGCTGTAAAGGTAGAAGGCACCGAAGTAGGCTGAATAGTGGCGGAGCAATGTGTAGAAGAAAGTCTAACTTCCTCATGCTTAGTGGTGACTTCAGAGGTTGGATAACTGACTAGAGGCTCAGGGGTGACAAAGCTTGGAATCTCGCGGGTGCGAGCACTGGTCCACAGGCTGGTTAGGACTACATCCGTAGTAGTAGTGGTAGCGGAGAGTGTGGTAGTGCTTTCAATTGGAAGTCCAGAAAGGATGACAGACATTCCAACCTGGGAATCAGGGGCAAAAGTAGAGGCAACTGATTCAGTTCGAAGCTGAGCTGAAGATTGAGCAACTTTGCCTGCGGGAGTCCAAGTCATACCAGAAGACCTAGTAAATTGAGGAATGGAAACCAGGGTAGAAACAACTAATTCGGTAGGGAGGCTCTGAGGTGTGGTGGCAGGCTCCTTGATGCCGAAGAAAGTTGAAGCCACAGGCTGAGTTCCAATCAATGATCTAGGAGATTTCACATATGGCATTGGGGTAGATGAGTCTTTCTCAACAGCTGGTGACATCAAGCCCGTGCCCCTATGCAAGCAAGTTGCATCTCCGGCGGTTTCAGACGATTCAAAGCCTGGTTTTGGTACATTAGCACATGATTACTGTGAGACAAATAGTTAGTAGAGTATTTGATATCAGTGATACATACACATAGCATTTTGATCACCCTTACTATATAGAGAGAGACACGTTAGCAAGTGATATTTTAGTATATAGTTATGAGGAAATCACCACAAAGACGCGTCAAAAAATGTTCGAGGGATGCATAAGCTTACTGTTTCTTGCAGTTGATGGTTCCAACAATCGAGTTTTTGACACATTTGATTACCATAGGACCATTGCGGTCTTCATAGCAGAACTCTCCATCAGGAGCTGGACAGTGAGCAATGGTGACATTTCGATAGCTACAAAGAGGGAAGACGTTAGAATAAGAATAAACAAGCTTAAATGGATAAGCTGATGACGAGGCTCTTCTAGGGGCTCTCATCTATAGATAGACAGCCTCTTCCATCTAATATGAGTGGGTGAGTGAGGGGGATGAGAGAACATACATGAACTGGCGAGCGTCGACGCCATAGAGAAGAGGGAACAACGCGGCAAGCAGGAGGTAAATCTTCATCTTGGCGGGTGCAGAAGAAGCGAGAAAGAGGATTAACGCGGTGTTTCAGCTGCTGTAAGGGAGTTTTGGGTGGAAGCAGGTTGTTGTTGCAGCGTGGGAGAAGAGGTTGTAGAAGAGAAGAAAGGTTTGTTGTTGTGAACGCGAAAGAAGATGAATTTATAGGGGCCCCAGGAGGACAGACTAGTGAGGGGTGGCAGGACAACCTTCACTCTGGACCACCGTAGAGCATTCACTAGGTGAACTGAGGTGAAGAGAAGGGAAGGGAAGTTGCCGGTAGGACAGACAGTCAGTTTAGAACAAAGATAAGTGTTCTTTGGGTATTGCCCTGGAATATCCAGGCTGCTTGCAGTCACTTGCTGCCCCAGACACAAAAGGAGGTGGATTTGGATATCATCCCTCAAAGGGATCTCGCTACATGCATATATAGAAAGGTATATCCGGTTCAACACTGGTAAGAGAAGCTCATTCTTCGTAGAAGACGTCAACATATGGTATAATTATGACGGTAAATAGACGGAAGAAGTATAGTAAGAGAAACAGCAGCCCGCACTCTATACCCCAACTTTTGGTGTATGAGAAAGCAGTAAAAATATATACCAACCGGAAAACGCCTTGCCCTTGAAGAAACATCAACACTGCCTGCCAGCGAGCCCAGATATGTCTCTTCTTTTTTTGTTTTATAAACAGTCAGCAGCCACTCCTGCCTATTCTTGCTCCTGTCTAGCCTTCATTTTTTTCAGCCTCCTTCCAATGTCTGCCTCGGTTTGTTGCATGGGGTTGAGCTTCCTATCCCTTGCCATTCGGGCAGTGTCATCGCCGTATTTCTGTACTAATCTTTCAAGCCATTCCTCTTCCCTCTTGCTCTGATGCCTCGGTTTCTTGTTTTTCAACTGTTCCTCCTGAGCAGCAGCTTGTCTCTCCAGCTCCGCTACAACATCAAAGGCTGACGTGGTGCCATTAAGGCCATCAAGAGCCATCTCAGTGTCCTCTGGCAGATCCTCTAGCGGGTCGTTGAGGGGGTTATCTCTTCTTCGTTTCCGCCCCGCGATTTCGACGATTTCATCCTCCTCGTTATCCCCGCTGATGACTCGCAGAATTTTTCCGGTTTCCGGGTCGCGTTCAACGCGGACTTCACCTGGCTGAAGTTTCTTGCTTCGTTTTTGTGTGAGTGGTACATGGAAGGCCTCACTTGGACCGGACCGTATGGTATCGTTGTCCTTGGATGCCTTCTTCTCTATTCCACCTGCAGGTGCATTTAAGCGAGACGTCAGGCCGAGTCGGCGGTAATTCTGGGTAAGCGTTAACTTCTTATCCCTGCGAGCAAAGGTCAGCGTTTATCCATTCGGCTTCTATCACCGCCAAAGCTCTTCATAGCCTTACCAGTTACTCTTGATAACGGCATTTCCAAAGACGTTTATCTTCTTATTTCCGTTCTTGGCCTTCTTGCTCTTATGCTTCACCTTGGGGTTTGAAGATCGGTTCTTCTTCTTCTGTAATACCTTCCCCATCTTTATATTTTCTCACTGGTATCTTGAATTGAAGTACACAGCAGCTCTCTGGCGTTTCCTTCGTCTGTCGTTTATCTCGACTTCAAACTTTTTTTTTTCTATCTCGAACTTTGTCGTCACAGGTCTTGGCAGCTAGTTACCAGCTTATGTCATCATTTGCCTGGGTCAAAAGCGAGGAAAAGCGACCTTGACCATCATATCATCAACTGACAACTAGCAGCAGCTATCAACAACTGTCAATACTTTCCCTTCCCTTCGACGCAGATACGGACACCATATGACTCTGGGGTTTGGGTAATGATCTATTTATCCACCGTTCATTCCTCAGGTGATGCAGAGTACTTGTGCCAGAGGATGCACTACACTATCGAGTGAGTGAGTGATATTAGGTGAATTATATGACCAAAGCCATTATTCGTCACTCGTCTTGAATTGGAACCGGTTAATCGTTTAAAAGTAGGATTTTGCTCATTAATGACATAATTTATGCAGTGTATATTGGACAGACAGATAAGTACAAGAGAACCTGAGGCTGTCCACGTTTGATGCTTTAGTTCGTATGGTTAACAGGAGTGAACCTCCTTTCTCTCCGTGTCATACGCAGTATGGTCCGAATAATGCGGCCAGCCTCAGCTCGGCATTATCAATGTAGAGGGAAGCTTGGAATCATCCGATTCTTGTAAAGACAAACATGGGATGCTAATGGGAGTTATTATTATGAGTTCATACGGATTATCAACTTCAAGCTAAGGCAACCGGGCATTTTCTGAGAGTTTATATTGTTCAATGGATGGTAGGAATAATTGCACCATAAACCGTTACCACTATTCCATCCTGCCTCTCAACTTCATGGAGCTCATGTAAATATCGACTATGCTAAAAACTGCTCAAAAGAAATGTGATTCTTCGATGTCGTGTGCCACTCAGGGCAATGATCGATCTCCCGCAGGGCTGGCCCAGTTTATTTACTAGTACGGAGTTACAAAGCCAACTAGGGTGTTAACTAGTGTGGATCGAGGCGGTGCGATTTAACGACTCCCTCCCACACCAACGCCTCCTGTCAAGTTGCATACACCAGCTTTCAGGGGCTAACCATGGCACGCTCAATTGGATCATCTGCCGTTTACAGCCGGCTGTTGCGTTTGCTGGCTGTGCTTGCATTCGTCGTCGTCTTTGCACAAGCTACAGCTACATCGGACAAGGCTGGGACGGAAGAGCTCACTGTTCCCCAGATCGAGGAGAAGCTTCAGGTAAATGAATTATGCCATCTAGCGGGAGACAGATCTATAACTAGATGAAGACGATCTAACTCTGTGTGCTGCCGACTGTGTGTAGGAGTGTCCTCTCGTTCAATCGCTTAATGCACAGAAACTCGCCAATGCCCCTGAGACAGCCAGTTTGACCTCAAGGGTCTTTGCAGTCTTGTTCCCTGGCAGTCCTGCTCTGAACGCCATACTCGCTACCATCTACATCTCTGGACCTCCAAGTAAGAAGCTCTCATTGCTACATGACCTGTGAAGAACCAATGTTAATGCTTTGGCCTGTTTTTATTTTCTAGATTTCCTACTGGCACTATGTCCTCCAAACATCGACCCTTCTTCCCTCTCCATAATGGTAGCCTTTGCAGTCGGAGGCCTGCTGGGAGACACCCTCTTCCACCTGCTCCCTGAGATATTCCTCGGAGAAGACTCACCAGAACACGTCCGGTTCGTGATGGTAGAGCCAAATAAAAATTTAGTTCTCGGGCTAGCAATCCTCGTTGGTTTCGTGACCTTCGTCGCCATGGATAAAATTCTCCGGATTGCAACTGGAGGGGAGGGACACCAGCACGGCCATGCGCATGAGCATGAACATGGTCATAGCGAAGATTCTGGACTAGTGGCAGCCACAGGCGTGTCAACTGGGGATGGTAGAAACGGTGACCTGAAGCAACGGAAACAAGCAGCAGGTTCTGCCACGGAAGACGGAAACGACACTGACGGCAGCGGACCAAGCAACAACCCCAGCGTCAAGCTAGGAGGTTACTTGAACCTGATTGCGGACTTTACGCATAATATCACGGATGGGCTAGCTATGTCTTCGTCGTTTTACGCTTCCCCCACCATTGGCGCAACTACGACCGTTGCCGTGTTCTTCCATGAAATCCCGCATGAAGTTGGTGACTTTGCCCTTCTGATCCAGTCTGGCTTCTCTAAGCGTAAAGCTATGGGTGCTCAGTTTGTCACGGCCGTCGGTGCATTTATCGGGACTTTTATTGGAATCGCCATCCAGGAGTTTGGGGGCGGTGGATCTTCATCTACGGCTTCCGGAGATGTAGCTGCTCCAGGCTTGCTGGGGACTAGTCTTACGGTTGGTGACTTGCTATTACCTTTTACAGCCGGAACCTTCCTTTATGTTGGAACGGTGGCTGTGATCCCAGAGCTGTTGGAGACAGGTAAGGATAAAGCGGCGGAAACTAGGAAGACCCTGATGCAATTTGCTGCCATGGCTGCGGGAGCAGGTATAATGTTGCTGTACGTTCTTCCATTCTTCTCGTCTAATTCTATTGATTGCTTGCTAACTTTTGTCTAGGATTTCCTGGGATTGAAATAAACGGTTTAAAAAATGAAGTAGTAGTCTATTTTGAGTTATAAGCAGGAAGATATAGATAAATGAAATATCAAATCCAATCGAGGACCAGCCCGCCCTAGATCTCCGTTCGCTGATTGAAAGGGAACTCCGATCAATTACTCCGCAGCTGTTTGTCTCATGCCAATTCATTGTCTGCCTTTGACTTCCGACTTCGACCCTACATTATAAAAAAAAAGAAAAGGAAACAAAACACAAAAACAAGAAAAGCCACACTTGAACACCCCCCTAAACAGATCTAAAGAAAATTTGGTTCTCCCTTGGGGAATGTGGGAAAGAGCAACAGCAACGCATCAACAAGCTAGCTGAAAGGGAAAAAGGTTATGCATCATATGCAAAGGTTCAGCGCCAGAAAGGGGGAGGCAACGAGGTTGCAAAACAAAAACATGAGTTAAAAACAAAGTGAGAAAACTGAAAAAGAAAAAAAGGGATAAGTGGAAGCGAAAGGTTATGATATCTGATACAAAGGTCTAATAATGATACGAGCGTATGTGGCCGTGAGTAGGTAGAATAAAAAGTAGTAAGATAAAACCGGTGGTAGAAGGGGAAACATAAGAGAGTCGGAAACGGAAGAAGCAGTTTATCCTCACTCATTATAATGATATACCTATAGACGAGGGGGTTAGCATTGGCAAGGCCAGGGATTGACATAAGAGCTATTAGAGGGGGAGGGGGTAAGAATAAACGTACAAAGTAGTTTGGAAGACCGTAGCACTTCCATCCGAGTCTTCGTGCCATTTTGGCGAATCCCTCGGACTCGACGAGGTGGTAGAAGGGGAAAGGAGGGAACATGGCGCCGTCTCGGTGAACAGCAGCTTTAACCATCAGGGCGGTTCCGCCTACGCCATCGAGCTCCATTATCTCACGGGTATTCCTGTTCGGCGACCTGTCTGCGCTGAGGGCCATGAGGTTTCTGTAGGTAGGTAGTTCACCGTACCCTTCGAGCATGATCTCATCGCGGCCCATGCTGTTGGCGATGTCGAGGGACCGGGGAGTGTCGGTCCACGAGTTATAGTCGTACGGCCGGATATCCATCTCCTTGGTGTCTGGGTTGAAGAATCTTTGGTAGCAGTTTGCTACAAGCACAGCCTTGTCGTGGCTGGTCATGTCTTCGATTAGAGTTGGGGGTGTCTCGATAATGTCGCCGTCCAGCCAGAGGACCCAGGAGGTAGCAGGTCCCAGAGTGGTGAAAAGCAAGCTGTTTCGGGCTCTACTCATGGACTCACGGCGAATCTTCTGGTTCTCAAGCTTATGGCGCTCCTTTTCGTCTTGTGACTGGAGCGGCGGCGGGAAGTCCTGTCGCAGAATGGTGATGCTGGCGAACCGGTCGTCAATGGGGCCGGACTGAACCTTGGTGATGGCGGACTGCAGGGCAGAGTAGGCTGCGTTTCCTTCCCTGGTCTTGGGAATAATGAAGCCCAGGGAGATGTACTGGTGAGGGTAGGTGAACTTGTTAAGGTTCTCCCAGTAGCCGGAGTAGAATCGCGAAAGGGGGGTGAGAAGGAGGATGCGTTCCCGGTTCTGAGCAGCGTCTCTCGAGGCAGTAAGATTGTTCATATTGTAGTGCACGACAGGAGGCGGCGTCCTCTTGCCGCTCCCAGCGCCCTGCGACTTGTGGAAGGGCTTTGTGGGCGGAGAGAGCGGGTTCTCAGCAGCGTCGTCATGTCGTTCCTGCGAGGTGAAGGCCGCCGTCGAGGTAGGAGAGAAGATGAAGAAGAGGAACCCGATAGCTAGTAGGCCGGCTAGCACAATCGTGATGGGATTCGTGCGTCGTAAAGAGCGTGGGAGGGCCATCGTGTGTCTTGTAAACGTGTGCCGTGTGGGTGTCCTTTTGTAAATATATCTATCTGGTCTCGGGCGGAAGGGGGTTTGTTCGCTGGGGACGGAGACGACGCTCTAGACGGGGGGAGGCTTCGGCCCTGGAACAGCGTGTGTAGAATGGGTTTGACTTCGTTATCCAGACATGTATCTGATCCTCCGCAACATGTTTCACAGTGAGAGAGCGAGAGCGAGGGCGAGGAGGAGCAGCGTAGCGGCAGCGCTCTAGGGCCGACTTGAACGGCTCACACGCTGGCCAGGAGACGGAGTAGTAGATGGCAGCCCCCAACACACAGACACGCACAAACAACCAGGACAGCCGCACAGGAAGAAGAAGCGAAGAAGACGGTAAAAGAACCAGAATTAACAGGAGAATCCGAAGAAGAAGAAGAAGAAGAAGCAGAAGAAAGACGAGGACGACGGTGAAGTTCGCCTTTTTGGTCAAGTTTTTGCTGGAGAAGCTGAAGTTGTTCTTCTGGCGCTGGCGACCGAAAGGGGAAAAGCGCGGGACTTTATTTCTTTATTTTTTCTTTTTTTTTATTTTTGAATTTTTGAATTTTTATTTTGGATTTTGATTATTATTTTCTATTCTTGATTATTATTGTTGTGTATGTACAGGCAGGAAGAGGAAGAAGACGGCGTCCCGTGGGGGAGTCGAGGAGGAGGTCGACGGGCTCTACAAGCAGGAGACAGTGTCAAGGACGACCAGCAGAAGGCGACAGGCAGATGTCAAGGTCAAGTAGCAGCAGCAGCAGCTGACGAGTCGATGCATCTTGCGGGATCGGCTTGCTGGCCGGTGGATAAGACGAACACGAATCACGCAGATCAAGGGGTGACAATGACCCGAATGTAGCCTCTCTGGCTATCCAATTCTAAGGGGGACGACATGGTTATATATTTGAGGATGACACTTTCTCCTGGTGAAGTTGGTGAAGGGATAGAGAGAGAGAGAGAGAGAGAGAGAGAGAGAGAAGAGTGAAAGATCACGGAAGAGCTCTCATGACACCCTCAAAGGCAACAATGGCCATCGCGTTAGCTGGGAAAGCTCGCAGAAAACAAGGCAGAAAGCCTCGCCAGTACGCTCGCCACCCGCCTTCCCTGCCCACGGCGACGGCGGCGTCTCTCCAGCGTCGAAACTTGCGCTCGCCGTCACCCAGCGAGCCTCCCAGCGGGTCAGTCATGATGCGCTGCTTGACGACGTCGGAAGGGTAGGAGGTCAGCCAGAAGACCTGAGCAGCTATCCGCCGGCCCAGAAGTTGATGGCTGGCGCAGAGAGATCCGTGTACTTCTTGAAAGCGCTGGAGAAGATGTCATAGCTTCCCCAGAAGAAGAAGAAGAACGAGCGGAAGATTAGGGTCGAGCAGAGGCCGTGGTAGAGTCCGCGCAGGCCATGGGCACGCAGCTGTCACCGTTAGCCTGGGAACATACCACATGGACTAGACAAGCCAGTCAGGCGTAAAAAAAGAGTCAGGAGTCCTTACTATTTTGCGAGAACAGTCGATGGGGCCCTGGTATAGTCGCTGCCTCTTGTCAGCAGCATACTGTATCTGCAGCCGGGCCTTGACATGCTCTACCGGCGCCGCGACGAAGCTGACCGTTGACCCGGCCAGGATGCCTGCGACACCATGACCGAACGTTGACAGCTTGTCAGGCACCGTGGCGCTGACGAACGGCAGGGCATCTAGTAGCTCTCCGTTGGCAAAGACATGCTCGAACAGAAGCCGTCGGTACAGTGTCAGCGAGCCCAGCATACTAATTAACAGCCAGACAGTCAAACAGTCAGCCATTCCATCACTCTATACGGAGTAGCCATAAAAAGCTAGTATATATATCGAATCGTCAGGACATACACCGAGTCCATGACCATCCAGCCCATCAGCGGCGGCGTAGCTCCCTTGTACAGCGCTGTAACTCCTTCATTTCGCACCGTCTGCAGCAAGCAGTCAAGCGGGCCCGTAAACTGCGAGCTCTTGGTCGTCTGCAGCCGGACCTTGATGGTATCGAATCTTCAGCGCATGAATCCGTTAACCCGTCAATGTCAGCTCGTTTCAGCTTCGGCTTTTCGTTCTGCAGTCATACGTACGGATGGCCAACTGTGTGATGCCGCAGTCAGTTAGTTAAGTAGCTATGAGAACTGCTTCAATCTTCTAACTTGGGTGCCCACCTGTCAGCTTCGCGATGCCTGAGAAGACCCCGGCCACGAAGCCCTTGTAGTCATGCTGAGCCTTGAGCTGCGGCTTCCCAGCTCCCAGCTCCCGCTGCGTGACTCCCGCTCCATTACTCATGCTGCTGCTTGCTGCTTGCTGCTTGTTGCTGATGGTGTTGCTGGCGGTTGACAAGCAGTTGGAGGTTTTTGCCTGACGGGCCTGCGCCAGATCCCTAATTATATACGCAGATGCTTGTACGGAATATTTAGAGAGTAAATAGCCAGCGAGAAGCCGGTCACTGACATGTGTCTGTAGTTTTTTTTTTTTTTCTTCTTTCATTCATTCTTTCTGGCTGAATATTTTAACTAGCGGTGATTAAATAACCAAGTGTGCGATACCGGCGCCCGCGCTTCAGCTGAGGCGGCGGGCACGAAAAGGGATATTCCCTGCATGTCTGTGATACTATTTCGAGCATACTCTATATTATAGCCATATTTACTGCGATGTACTGGTACTAGAGAATGGCAGCGGCAGATATGGGAGTATTCATTCTCGTCTCTCCTATGGCTATCATATCAAGGGAAAAACAAGTCTAGAAAAGTGTATCGTCTGTGTAGAAGAAGAACGCAGAAGGAAAAGAGGGGATAAAAGATAAATCATGATGTATGCGCCGTATCTAATATAACGGCAGGAAGGGACAACTAAAGACAGATGTAGCGAGGGGGTATAGAACATCCAGTCTTCGAGGAGAACGCTAATGTAGTATCACAAAAATGTAGGCGAAAGGAACAACAACAACAATAATAATAATAAAAGTAATAAGGATATGGGGAGTAAAAATGGTCCAAGGGGAAGACACCAAGGGTCAGAGGTGTATATAAAAAGTGGTTGTAGTGCTGCGTTGTGTCATCAGGAAGGAGAAATGAAGAATGGGGTATAGAGTAATAATTTGGACCACACATAGACCAGCCATGTAGAGAAGAAGGAAAGGGATGCAGTCAGATCCTTCGTTCGTGTCGTTTATTTCGCTTTTTCTTTCCAAGTCCCTGGTTTACTTCTTTTCCCTTTTATCTTTCTCAGTTCGTTGTCTGTTGGGTATCTTCAAAAATAAACCAAGGAGAGTCGTCCAGATCTGAATCCCTCCCTTCTAAAAGTAAAGCAAAATTAACTCCTGATTCAGAAAAAAGAAAAGAGCATCGTGGCTCGTGGAAAAGTGGTCGTCTAGGTTAGGCCGTAGTCAAAAGCCTGGTGCTGGTCTATGAAAAGGTCGGTCGTGGGTAGGTGGCATAAAGGTCGTTAGGAAGTCAAATCGAGTCATAGGAAATGCAACCTCGCAGGGGGATCCATGATAGAAGTCCGAAGCAAAGAAAGGAAAGGAAACCAAACGGTAAGGGAAAAAAGGCCGGAATAGAAGACTGTGGGCTGGATCAATCAATGAATCCTCGAGGCGATACGGTCCTGCTCTCGCATGATAAGCCGGTCTAGCAGCTCGGTCCTCTCTCGGATGCCCGCGTGCCCCTGTCCCTGTCCCTCTGCCGCCAGGAAATCCATAGTTCCAGCGGAGAGGTATCCTTCCCCTTCCTCCTCCAGGGCCAGGGGCGTCACCGGACCCGGACTCCCAAGCGGCTCCAGTCTCGGTTTCGACGGCTTGGAGAAAGACGAGGACTGGGCAGACGCACGAGCTGAGAGGGCCATGCCGGCAACCAAATCACGGTATTGGCGGAGAGCATCCCGGGAAGAAGAACCAGCTGTGGAAGAAGAGGCTGAGGGCGCAGATATCACTGCCGAAGCTGAGGAGGGCCGGTATGTCTGGGGGCGTGAGTAGATGTGAGACGAGGTAGCGGTACCAGTGACCGAGTCGAAGTCGAAGGTGGCAGCAGAGACCGTCGAGCTGCTGCCAGTGGCCGACTGGTAGACGGCTGGATGGAAGCGAGGCAGGTTCTCGAGCCGAAACGAGGGCGTGCTGAGAGAAGCTGCATGGCGAGAGCGGGAGGACGCAGGGGAGGCAGAGGCAGACTCGGCCTGGACTTGGGCCATCGCCTGCGAGAGGAGCGAGGTTGGTGGGCGCAGGACGGTAGGGGAGCGGTCAGTGAGCATCCTGGCGTCTCTATCGTTTGCTGTCCGCCTGCCTCTGCGTGTGTATAGAGTCGTCTTGTTTGTATGCTGTATGCTGTATGCTGCTGAGTCCTGCTTGCGTGGTGCTGGGGTCGTGTGTTTGTCGTTTGTTGAGGGGGAAGAGGCCGGCGGCTAAGCGTAGTTAAGTGTCAAGTCACCCAAGCAGCCCAGGACGGGTAACTAGTGACTTAAGGTGAACTAGTGGGCGGGCGGAGACACTATTTTAAGGGGCAGGCTAGCGGCAGCGGACGGGAGCGTCTGACGTGGGTGGCTGACAGACGGGAAGACGACGACGACGACGACGATGAAGACAAAAAGACGAGAAGATGAGAAGCAGAAGTAGAGGAAGTGAGAGGCAGCGAAAGAAAAAAGAGAGAGAGGAGGCTGGTGTCAGTTATATCGTGAAGAAACATCCCGGGCTGTCATGCATGGATGGAGATGGAACTAGTTGCATGCAGACGGCGACCAGGGGGGACGGAGACCAGATACATGCATGCACCCTCGACCTCCTCCTGCTGCTGCTGGGTCTGTGTCTTTTCTTCTTCCTGAGACTGTTGATATCACGCTGGAGGAGGAGAGGATGCGCGGTCTCTCGGAGTTGCAGTGTCATCATGGCCATGGCCGTTTTGGTCAGGGCGAGGCGGACGCCGTTTGGCCTCACGAGCTGCGGTCATCGTGGCATATAATAATAGCATCTTATAACTAGTTATACGGCTGATCAGTTGCTCGCTTCTTCTTCCTTTCCTATTTTATTTTTAGTGAACCGCTTAGCTAGCTAGTCGTCGCTTCTGAGATCCGTCCGTCTACCTATCAAATTCGTGTTTATTCATAGCTAGGAACTGCTAATTTGGTTACAGGTTGATAAGGACGAAGCCAACGACCATGTCGATTGATAGCATGTTCCCGCTTGATGATTTACGACCTTCTTAGGCATGTCTTTGCGCCTTTTAGGACGAATGAAGGTAGGTGCATTGTCACCAGTCATTACGATCTAGCCTGCTGTGCTCGTATTCCCACCTGGAGGCACCGACGTTTTCAAGGCCGAACAAGCTCTTCTGACGGAATACGGGCAGAGGGATTGTTAATTGTTACTGCCTGGACGGACCAAGAAGCGAGTGGAAGCGCGCTTTGATGTCTGAAAAAAACAAAGCAATATAGGCTCAGATACCCGCAAGTTGCTCTTACATATACCAATATGGGAAATGGCCTTGAGTCAGAGAACTATTTGATATACCCATCTTCATCTCTCCCGGCAAGTCCTTGGCCCAGGATAACCATCTCCAAGATATCACGGACATTAAACAAGGAGACGGAATGCGATGCCGGAGTCCCTTGGATCCATCCATCTCGGAGTTGAATACCCTTTCTCTAGCATGGCACCACCCATTCAAATACCATTTATGCTCTGGCATTCCTTGTTTGAACCCGTCTGTCAAACGAACGGCATCAACCCAATTAAAAATCACTCGGTGGCTGCTCGAGTTTTACACACCCGCAAGTTCCCTTGATGATCGCTTGTTTCTCAACAACCATCTGCTGCTGCAGTCCACATCGGATGTCTGATCCTTGCTTGCGCGGGGGTGTATCGCATCCGCCCCCTCCTGATGCGCTGGCTCCATGCATGCATCAACTCCCTCCGTCCCTGGCTCCTTTTTTTTTTTTTATACTAAAAATTCCCGCAGCTCAACCTATCGGTGGGTATCAGGGTTGGCGCGGTTGGACATGTTTTACCGGCGGACTTTCTCCGTAGTCATCGCAGCTTGGACATTGCATTCCGGCTCTGCAGGGAAGTGGTGCAGTTGGACATCATGGATAGCTACAGCAAGTTATTCGCATAGACAGATTTGGTGAGCTGCATTTGATCTCCATGTCCATCCATACGTAAGTATTGCTGTCAAAGTAACCAGTATTGATGGCAGTGGATCGATCCCGTAACCGTGAAATGTCAACTTGTGGTATCAGACAGACCATTGTTACTGATCAAAGCAGAGACCATCACGGATAGAAACAGTTTGTATCACCGACACGTTGGTTTTCTCTGGGAGTCGATCATGCCGGAATATTTCGTGCGCCGCTATTTGTTAGTTAAATATTGGAAGCTAGGCAACGAGCGGCTGCTGCCTAGCCAACCAGAACACAGATAGGGACGGCGCCAGAAATCTACACCAGGTCAAGGTAGAGACAATGTCGACACAAATATCAAATCCTTTTTATATTTTTAATATGCCCTGATTTAGTTTTATGTTCCTGCAAAATGTCACTATCAAATCTTCCCTTCGAGTTGCTACTTGGTATCGCAGAGTACATAAAGCAGGAACAAGACCTCAACGCGCTAGTTCGAACATCATCCCATATCTACAACTGCCTCAACTCTTTTCTTTACAGGAACAGCATCCGAAATTCTAGTTGTGCTGGTCTGGTGTCGGCCGCTGGCAAAGGAAGTTTGGGTGCCGTTCAAAGATTCCTCGACCTGGGCGCTGATTTGAACTCGAGGGTAAGCTATCGCCGCCCGACTGCCATACAAAATGCATCAAAGGGAGGCCACATTGAGATAGTGCAGCATCTATTGGATATCGATGGAATCATCCTAACCGCCGATGGTTCAAACTCCGTGCTGGCATACGCGGTTCGCGGTGGCAATGCCTCAGTGGTGAAGTTACTCCTTGCGGATTGTCGTGCTGTCCCAGGTCCCGAAAGCTCTGAACGTACTACTACCCCATTCCACTGGGCGGCAAAAGCTGGTAATTCTGATATCATGAAGCTACTCCTTGCCGATGAACGGATGAACCCAAACGCTACAGACAATGCTCGACGCACCGCTCTACACATTGCAGTTCAAAAGGGCCACTATGCGGTTCAAAGACTGTTGGTCGAACACAGCCGTGTCGACCCCAATTTGCAAGGTGGTTCATATAGCCGAACGCCCTTGCATATGGCCGTGGGCGCTCCAGGCCATCGAGGACCAACAGAGTCTCTGAAGATCCTGCTTAGCTCAGACAGGGTCGATCTTGAAATTTCGGATAGTTCGCAGCGCTCTGCATTGTCGCTAGCAGCCACATCTGAATTTCCCGTCCACATTACGATGCTTATCGAAAAAGGGGCAAACCTAGAAAGCGTTACCGGACATGGATTTACACCCCTCCTGATGGCTTGTAACTCGCTTTATGACCTTTGTGGCAACATAGAGTTGCTCATTGGTGCCGGTGCGAACGTTCATGCTAGAAACAAACAAGGGAGAACAGCCTTATCTGTCGCTGCCCGAGCTAACAATCTACAAACTGTCAAAATGCTGCTTAAGCATGGTGGTGTAGACCCGAGCATTTGTGATAATGAGGGCTTTACACCATTGCTATTAGCTACACGTGAAGGGTATTTAAAAGTGGTAACAGCCCTGGTACACCACGATATGGTAGATATCAACTTCAGGAATGTCTACGGAAACACGGCACTACACCTTGCTACATCCCGCAATTCGTCGCGCACCATCAAACTGTTGCTCGGACGGAAGGACATCGATATCAATGTGAAAAATGGAGTCGGCCTATCACCTTTAGCCCTGGCAGTTGCCTGCAGATCAACCTCCCTTGTATCGTTTTATATCCGCATGGGAGCAGATCTAGATAGCAAAGACACCTCAGGACGAACACTGCTTATGTTGGGCGTCGAAAAAAAAGCGAGAATATCCATCATTAGGGAGCTCCTTTCAACAGGTAGAAATAATATCAATTCACAAGATAACGAAGGCAGAACAGCATTGATACGGGCCGTGGAAATGAATGAACAGGCCATAGTTGAGCTTCTCCTCGAAAGACAGGACATTGATATCAATATCAAAGATAAATACAGTCTATGTGCCCTGTTGCATGCGTTGAGGCGCAATCGTATCGAAATTATGAAAATGCTACTGGCCAGAAAGGATGTTGATGTTAACGTCACAGATGCCCATGGATTCACCCCGTTATCAATAGCCGTGGGCCGCTGTAGAGTTACAATCATGGAAACCTTGCTTGTCCAGCGTGGAATCCAGCTCAACACCAGAGACAAGGAAGGGAGAACGCCTTTGCATGTTGCGGCAGGAGCTGATGAGGAAGAAGCCGTTCAACTCTTGCTTGCGCAATCTGGGATTGAGATTAATCCGAGAGATAATAACGATACAACGCCATTCGCACTTGCTGCCCATCGGGGTTTTCACAGAATTGTGGAAATTATGCTTGCAAATGGCGGAGTTGAATTAAACCCAAGGGACTGTAAAGGGAGGACGCCATTGGCGCTTGCTGCTGGGAGTGGCCGTTCCAAAACTGTAGCAATCCTGACCAAACAGGTTGGCATTAACCTTGATACGATAGATAAGGAAGGGGAAATTGTATCGGATCATGCTAGGCTGGGAGGATCTTGAGAATTGGAACTGATATTGAGAGGCTGTCCTACCAGTGCTGGTGTTGGTTCTGGGGTGGTTGTGCATTGTTGATACTGAGGCTGGTGCTATTAGAGGCCCTAATGCACAATGCCCCATCATATCCATGGATGACCTATCGTCGGCAGCAAGGGTAGAAATTTGCATTTTCCAGGCCACGAGACGATGTTGTTCTTTGGATAGATGTTATCTTAGAGTATTGTTTCTAGAAGTGTTCCACAGATAGATATATATATATATCAGGTCTGAGACCGAACTTCGCCCCTTGCAGGAAACCGGCACACGTCGAAGGACTTTACGTGGTAAGCTGCATAGGAGTAAACACATTATCTTGTAATATGGTATGACGGTCACCGGGGTTCTTAGTAATTCTAAAGATAAGTTTTCATTCCGCAACAAGCGTGGGAAGAGACACTAGATGCCGCCTAGAAGGTACAAGCCGATGCTTTAAAGACAACAAGCACCTTCAGAGATAGACAGGTGATAGCTGTCTATGTAGCAAATGTAGCTCATTGGTATCGTGTCACGTCCTGAGATGGGATTTGCCGCCTTTTTCACTGATAAAGGGAACCTCCGTTGGTAGGCTCGCGTGGCGTCTAAGGAGGGCAGCCGGCATCTTAACAAGGGACAATATATATAGATTCATATTTCTCTCCAAGCCATCCACTTTCAAATATCAAAACATACTATAACCGTCAACTATCCAAAGTCAACAACATGGAAAGTACAGAGTTTGTGTTTCGATTTCTTTTTGGTACAGGTATCGCACTGATATTCCTCCTTGCGCGCTGCAGACTAAACAGACAAAAGTCCGCCATTTTGCGTTTTTCGGACGCGGGCGACTGCCGAGCAGTCATTGCTGGGAAAAATCCATGGAATGGGACGGCAGAAAACATCTTAACTGGTCACCAGTCAAGAGCTGGTCCAAACCAAGCCCTTCGGCGAGCATTTGGCATAGACAACGCTTTCACCAGCGAGGATAATAACGTTGTAAGAGAGTTTGTAGCTCTTGCTACAAATAGGATGAGTCTCCACAGCGGAGATTGGGTTAAAGTAGCTATTCTTGCAGCTACTACCCTTGAATCTTTAGGATTCCTTGAGCAGAACCGCAGTGTGGGAAATAGCTTCTCAAGGACAGCGCCAATAGCAAGTGTGTCGCAAGTTTTATGCTTGACAGTTGTGCTACGCACAATTCTTCACATAGATATTGACAAATCCCGGTATAAAGACGTGCTCGAACTAGCGGACGCTATCAATCGAATTTGGATATCATCCAAGGACGCAGACGAAGGAAAGCGGCCAAGATATCAAAACGAGAGAGCATTCCATGATACCCTGAAGGCCATATTTCCGAATGTTGAAATTAACAATCCAACATCAAATCCACTGAATCTCATTCTTCCGTCTTTTGAGACACTGTGGAGGATAGTTCTACGAACTTTCCTGGAAGTCAAATTCCTCGCTGGTAGCCGCTCTCCGAAGTTCAAACAGGCGCTTACAGCATTCTTCCACAGCCCAACCAGAGAAAAATTCAATCAGCAGGAACAATTCAAGAATTTCTGCAAGCAATCTTGTCTCGGAAGCCCTTCGGCTGTATCCACCAACTCGTCGCGTCCACCGTCATTTTCAGGGTCCCGAAAGTAGCGAAAGATCCCTTTTTGCCGCGGATATAGAAGCATGCCACCGCAGTGCCAAAATTTGGGGTCCAGATGCCCTCAAGTTCCTTCCTGGTAGATGGAATCATCTCGACGAGGTACAAAAAGCTAGTTTTATGCCATTCGGAAACAAGCCGTTCGTGTGTCCCGCGAAGCCAGTTTTTGGGCCACGAATGATCGCACTTCTAGCCGGAGCTCTCCTTTGCCATTATACCGAGGATTGGGAGCTGGGTAAACCTACTGGGAGATGCGATGCCAATGTGGTAACGGAAGGGGAGTATCTGGACCGGGACGCTTGTGCAAAATTATATCTCGTTAGAAATATCCGGGATTGAGATTCGAGCGTTTACATAGATATTGATGTTCTCCTTGATTCGTGTACCTCGGATTCCTTCTTTCTTGTTTTCCCCTGAGCTCAGCATTGCACTGTTACTGATAGTTAAGAGATATCTGCAATCAAATATCGATGGGGTCCTTGCCGTGCCTGGTAGAAAATGCGCTGGCGCTTGCCCACCCAACGTCTACCCAAGGCTGTGCTCGAGTTTCGCCATGTAACCAATCCCACTAGTTAAGAAGCCAACCGTCGGGCTATTCTCGGATCCGCCTGAACGAGTGAGTGAGCAAGCTATTGTGTCCCGGGCTTGGTTTAAGTTTCATTTCGAGCTGCCATGGATGGCCTTGCCGTACGGCGTAATTTCATAAGATACCTATGGCAAAGTACCTCGACCCAATGCGTGCATAAGTAGCCACCGAAATCGATATTCATAGATACTAGTCATTGCGCCAGAAGCCTGGGTTTTGGTCCGCGATAGAGTCATAAGGTAGCAAGGGTGGTCTCCGGTATAGTTCATACCACCAATCATCCTCCTCCAATGTATCATACACATTAACATAATCGAGAACTTCGAGATACATCCACCCAACATCTTCCTCTTCGTTATCTGTTTCACCATCCTCATAATCAGGGTGTATAATGTAGTCTCTTTCTGCAGGGCCTCGTACACCAAAATCTCTTGCTAGTAACTTTATAACTGGCGCCTTCATATGCTCGATGGACTCTAAGCAGATATCATCGGCAAAAAGGCAAAAATTATACCGTGTACCAAAGTCACTCGATTGCTCGCTATGAGGATGATTCACGGGTGTCAACTGCCGTTCAGACTCAGTTGTTGGAGTGACCACAGTTGGTGGAGTAACCAGGATATCCGGCAGTGTATCAGATACCCAGGACGTAAAATGGTCGCGAATATCGTGAGATGTGGCACCATTAAATTTTGCTCTATCGTCCATAAGAATCATCTCATGGCGAGGTAGTAGATCCTCTCTCTCCTCTAATTCTAGAGACCTGGCTATCTTATCGCGTAATTGTTGAAGAATTGCCTGCCAGGCATCCTCGTTATTATACGAGCATCGATAGACCACAAAGCCCCAAGAAGTAGGTTGTTTTAGGGTAACGTCTCCAAGCGATAACGAGATGCCCTTGAGGTTTTGGAAAAGAGCTGGGTTTACCATTTTCCGGTAGGCCGTCTTAATAGTCCGGGCTGAGGCCGAAGTGGCTGTTGAGCCAGAGGTGCGAGGTTTGGCTACAAGCTTCAAACTTCTCCGTTGAAAAGGAGCGCGCTCAGGCGCTCTGACGGTTGGCTAGTTACTTAGCAGTTGGGGCGTTTCGATCCAGGTTCCCTGACTCTGCATATGCATGCACAATCGTGTACCCAAACAGCTACATGCGACCTTCTCCCAACTCGTCAATCAAGAAATCAACACTCCGTGAAGACATCAAAAACAAAACCAAAAAAATACACATAAAAAGAAGAGAGAAAACTGCGGGACGCGATGACGTTAACGGGTCACGTGCTGTTCCAGCCGCTTTTCGTGGCTTGGCCGGATAATTTTTGCTTTTTTATTTTCTTTGCTTTTCGTTTCTTTTCTTTGCGCAGGAGAAGAAATCGGATGAGAGAAAAATTTGATATAAGTAACTACCGAGCGTTTAAAGACAATCGCCGGAGTGCTCCGTAGTTGAAGAGCTCTCTCTACTGGGTGCATATGATAATAGCTCCAACATCTTTGCTGTTTTTGGGTTCATGAGCAGTGCATGCATAGTTATTGTGAACGAGACGAACCTGTGGATCCGGCGCCAGTCATAATTCCCTGGTAGTTAAGGAGATTCTCACCGACAGGCGATATCTCTGTATAGAGCCGTGACCTCCGAAGCTGCTTTTGCCCCGAATAACTTATCTTCGGACTATCTTCGTTGGAAAAGTGTTTGTATAAAAATCCGAGTCGCCCAGATTCTCGACAAGTGCACACCCTCCAGCTTCTTTCTACCTCCGGAAGGATTGTTAGCCCAGAAGAGTCATACCCATATAGTAGTCTCCGGGGAGATTTATTCGCTGCTAGCAATCGAGACATGATGGCAACGGAAACAAAGCCGCTACGAGTCGTCATTATAGACCATTACGACTCTTACACAAATAACATCATCCAACTCTTACAAAACGCTTGGAGCGTGGCTGTCATACGTTTCGATGAATTCACTTGGTTGGTTTACCATCTATCGCCTTGAAATACCATATGAAGCTTCAGCTCCTGATTATGTATATATAGGGATGCATTTAAAGACTCTGTGCTTCCTAATTTGGATGCTATAATTCTTTCACCGGGTCCGGGAAGCCCTGACAAGGAATCGGATTTCGGGTTTAACTCGAGACTGATCAGAGAAGCTAACATACCAATACTGGGGATATGTTTGGGCCATCAGGGGATTGGTACGGCTTTTGGGGCAAAGATAATACATGCACCAAACATCAAGCATGGCCAAGTGTGCAAAATTCACCATACCGGAACTGGGATCTTTGAGGGTCTTCCAAAGGAGTTTGAAGGTGTAAGATATAACAGTCTTGTACTTCCGTTCAATGGTTCGAAATATCCGAGTTGAATAGTCCCGTCGGAAGTGTGTTACTAATGTCAAGGCATATAGGACTTCCCAAGGAACTAGAATTGACGGCCTGGACTTTCGACGAAGGCATACCCGTGGTGATGGGTATTAGGCATACTAACCGCCCTATATATGGAACTCAATGGCACCCTGAGAGCGTATGCTCTAAATATGGTCAGCAAATCATAGATAACTTCCGGGACAAAGTGCTCCAATTTTGGGATAGCCAGCCTTCAGATCTTAGCACTTTCCATCATACCTCGACTACCGGATTATTACCAGATTCCATTCTGAGCAAGAGTGCCATTATTAAGGAGGCCCAAGCTGCATTTGATCCGAAAAGTGAAGGTCCATGTGTAACTTCGGCAGATCGAGTACGTCCCTATTATATACAGGGTACTAGCCTTGGAAAAGGGGTTACACCACAGGCTGTTTTTGATACTATAGTCCGAAATTCGTCTTTGGATGGCGAAGCTTGGTTAGATAGTGCTAGGGTCAGATTCCCGATTCATCCCTTTCTTTTTAAGCCGTCATATACTAATGTTGTGTTTAGGTCCGTGATGCACATTCGAGAAACTCATATATGGGGATTGGTGCATTTACGCTATGCTACTGGTCAGAAACTGGAAAACTATCTGTCTCTCAACAAGGAAAACAGGTCATGTCAGAAAAACTTACAACTTCATACTGGTCATGGCTCGACCAGTTCCAGCGGTCCATCATTCAGCAAAATGTTGAATCGGTACAACCGGATTTACTTGGAGAGGACACGCAAGCAGGGCAGCCATTGCTTCAGGTTGGATTGATTGGCTACTTTGGTTATGAGATGAAACGGGAATCTTTACCCGGCTACAAATATACAAGGTCAATCGAGAAGGAAGGCTCTCACTCCGTTCCTAATAGTCAACATCTCTTTACCAACTTTGTTTTGAGGCTCGACAATTATACAAGTGAATGGATGGCGTTTGGCCTGATTCGCCGCGGAGAAGAAGACCCAATTGGAGAATTTATCAATTCCCATTCACCTATTGGTCTTACCCGGGATGAATATGAATCTATTCTTTCAAATACCCGTGAACTATTCGCCGCACCGCCCTCGCCGCCATATACCCTTCCATTACCATTACCCACTTTTGAAGCTATTGACGATGAGAATTCATACAGCCAGAAAATCCGTGCTGCGCAGGATGCTATAAAGGAAGGTGAAACATACGAAGTCACGTTGACTACGCGATTTAGAGCGAAATGTCTAGAGGTTGATCCCTACTCGCTATACCTATCACTTCGCAGCCGCAATCCAGCCCCGTACTCTGCATACATCCACTTCCCAGTTAGCGACACTACTATACTTTCCTCATCTCCTGAACGATTTATATCTGTCGACGGAGATGGCGTTGCTGAAATGAAACCTATCAAAGGTACTTTAGCAGTAAGTCCAGACAAAGAGGAAGATGAACGGAGAAAGGTTCAACTTGCCACTGATGTTAAGGAATTGGCCGAAAACTTGATGGTATAATATCCCGCGCCCAACTATGGAATTAACTTTCATTCTTACCCATGTTCTAACTAATCTCCTAAATAGATTGTTGACTTGATTCGCTCCGATTTGCATAACATTTCCCCATCCAAGTCGATACAGGTTCCAAAGTTACTTCAAGTTGAAAGCTATGAGACCGTACATCAGGTGAGTTTCCGGAGATTTAAGAGTTCAAACCTAGTTTGTCTAATTTATTTCATAGCTTGTGACCACCATTCAATCTCATATCGCCAAAAACGTTGGCGGTGTCAAAGTTGTGGAACGTTGTTTCCCACCCGGATCCATGACAGGCGCTCCAAAGCTTCGGTCCGTTAAGATAATTGATGAGCTTGAGGGAGAACCGGAGCGTGGAATATATTCCGGTTCCATTGGTTATATGTGCGCCAGTGGGACAGTCGATCAATCAGTCGTCATACGCACCATAATCAAAAACGGAGCAGACCTTGAGCTCGGTGCGGGAGGCGCTATCACCTGGCTAAGTGAACCTGATAAGGAGTGGGATGAGGTCATGGTAAAAGCGAATGCTGTCGCCAAGGCACTCCCTCGGCAAGGCTAATAGTTTAACCCGTGCTTTGAATCTTTATCAATTGTGCATTCGAGGAAGTAACCTGGCAACTAACCTGTGTCCCCCAAGTTATCCACAATTGGGCTAAACGCATAACTATATCCATTACACAGATCAAATTTCTCAGGCCTGCGGTGGGTTTCAGCTTGTGTTCAACACCCTTATGCGGCCCATATATCCAGCTAGGGGAATGGCTGTGATGATTCCTTGGATTTTATTATTTTATTGTTATGAAGAATTATTGTTACTATTCATTAGCAACAAATGTATATAGCTAGACGTGGTCTGTAGAATAGGCTTTAAAATTGGCAGGTTGGCGCATCACAACATACAAAGATCAGATTAATAATAAAGAGCCCAATGCCTGGCTGTGAGTATTCAACTTATCAGTAGATATATATAAACTCATTATTCTGCTTATCAGTAAGATCTTGAAAAGCATTCTCTCCCAGCCGCCTACGGGAAATTATTTGTGTCGTGTCAACTCTGCCAGCAGTGTCCTCCTGATTTCCAGGGTCGTGGGATTCGGCAAACTCTAATTCTTCACTTTCCTCGTCAAACTCTACGTATCGCTCATTCATCGATACATCCTTGATGCTGGCTTTTTTGCCCTCTGCTGTTCGTGATCGTTGGTGCAATCTGTTGAGAACAGCTAAGTTCGCAACCTGGGCCACTATTACGATAGCAAGCACAACAAAAGATATCAGGACCCAGCGCAACCCATTTCTGTATCGAGGGGCATCTTCCTTGAGGAATAACAATGGCCCAATGATGTTGCCAGTTGATGACCCAGCGTTGTAAAGTGACGTTATTATCGACTGTTTGGTGGTTCCCCCAGTATTTCCAACGATCCAAGTAACGATAAGTGGATTTCCCCCGAATATGCAAGCAAGCAGATAGTATGCAAACACAAGCACGCTATGAGAGCTTCCTTCCGGTAAGGAATATAAAATTGAGAGTCCTGTGATAACTGGAATAATCAGGAGAACTAAGACCACAGATTTTCTCCGATATTTCTGAGCACAGTACGACGCCAGCAGAATAACAATAACCTGAGCTGCTCCAAATGGCATAATGAGGAGTGACGCTATATATTTGTCGTACCCAAAGCCGTTGAGGATGAGTGGGCCGAATGTGTTTGTGACAGCCGCACCAATGTTGAGAAGCAAACTCATTCCAATCCACAAGTATGTTTTGAATTCAAAAAGTGCTTCCAAAACGTGTGACCATTTAAACTGTGTTGCTCTAGTCCCTGTCTGGTTGGCACGTAAGCGCTCGATTGCTTGTTCACGCTCATGCTCTGTGAGAAAACGAGCAGAAGGGATATCATTATCCAATTTCCAGTAAACAAATGGAGCCGAGATAATAGTGACCAGGCCAACAAAGATAAATATTCTAAAAAAAATGTGTTAGTAAATGAAAGTATCTTGTGGTTCGAGTATATACACACATTCTCCATGGTTGGATGGATCCAGTTGGTATGTGACCTAAACCGTATGATAATGCCGAGGCTACAATAGTAGCAATGCCATTCGTACCGTACCAGGCTGCCACTCTAATGGGCTGCTCGGCTCTGCGGTACCACTGGCTGGTAATAACACTGAAAAGTGGGAGACATCCGGCCTCGAAGAGACCTAGAAAGAACCTAGTGGCAAGTAATCCACCAAAGTCATGGCAGATACCCATTGTAGCCTGCGCTGTTCCCCAGCCTAGAACCAAGGTTGGCATTAAAATCCGGTGCGGTACTTTAACAATCAAAATCATCGAAAAAGGTTGCCATGCTAGCTGGGCTATGGGGCCTATTGAGCCAATGAGTGAATATTGGTTTCCAGAGAGATGTGTATCTTCAATGAGGCCAAAGATTGCTCCATAGCCTAGAACGGTTTTATCAAGGATCTAATCGGAATGTTTGTAAGCATAGAACTCCAACGATGATACTGGCATCTGTCACGGGGTATTGCTAGCCATGCAATCCGTACCTGCAAGAAGTATACCCAAACAAGAATAGCTAGGATGACCTTGTCAGTTTTTCTCCGAATCTTCCGGTTCTATAGACATACTAATATTAGCCTATGTAACTTGTACCGTGACTAGTATTCAAGGGCATGTTGAGCGACGGATGGGGAACCCGATTGACAGGCAATATAAATACCTCTTCTTCAGTAACTTGGACACGCCTATTGCCAATTATGGCCAGAGCACAATCTCCTTGGCTCATCTCGTCTACCTGAGCGATCAGTGGCTGTTTGAGCGCATCATCTTTGCCCATCATGATGTCGTCTCCAAGATGGAGCGACCAACAGCGGATAAAAACTGTTTTCTGGGAGGTTACTAATACTTGGTAACACAGGTTGGGCTATCTAAACCCCCAAGCCGATCTGCAGGTAACTAGTTCAGCCCATTTCGATCGATCCGCCATTAGTTTCATTCAAGTAGTTATAACATCAACTTAACGTTGAATGAAAGGGAAAGTTTGATGCTGAGAGTGATATGATAATGACAATGTTGATCGACGAATACTCACGTGGGAGCTCATTAACTAACTGGCGTAACTAGTTAAGATATTCACACGGGCAAGATATCAAGAGCCGAAGGCATCAACATAAGACGTCAACTGGAACCTTTACCAGTGGAATCCCGTGCAGAGACCTTCGGAAACCGGTATCGGAATAAGTATAGCACTTGTGCTTTTTGAACCATCGACGTCCCACGTGAAGTCCAGGTAGATCGGCTGAATGATTTACTCCCGACAAGGAGAAATTTCCATCGTTGCGCATAGCACTCTCGATGCGATATTGAATACCAATCCCGATGACTAAGCTGTCTCATCCAAATGCCCCCTTAACGGGGTTGTTTACTTACGTAATGAGGTTTCCAGGATAGGGTTACAAATAAAGTTACGCTTCCGCGACTTCTGTACGCTTATTCCGAGCAACAACCTCAAGAAAAGACACTTGGGACATTTGAGAATTTATTTTACAACGAAACAAGAAAGAATGGGGCACGGAGGTTAAGCAAGTGAAAAAGAGGAGGATTATAAATCAGACAGGCAATTGACAGCGGCAAATTAATACATTTCTACCCCTCGAGAATACTTGGTCTATTAATGAATTATCTCTTAGGGTTTTCCCTGCTTTTTCACCGTCCAGTTTGTTCCCTCCAACTACTCGGATTATTTCGTGGATTAAATTCTGTGGAAGCTCAAAACTAACAATAGAAATTTTACCGGTTAGGCAGTCTGGGGAAAGTGTCAGTATCGATACAAGTATGGGAGGAGATGTAACAATTTTCTTTGGCCAAGACTAAACTGAGAGAGTTCATTCGTTAGGAGAACACGGGGATGATAAAGGAGTTAAGCGCCATGCAAAGACTCCGGGGGCTTTTGGGTTTTCTAGCACGCTTTGATCACTCCACTTGACAATGGCCCCCAAGCTTCGAGGTGGACACAAGGCTAACTGTCATAGGACATCAATGGATTGTCTTTAAGCGCCAATATGTTGACTCACTCCCAAGATGACTATCCCGAACTTCAATCTATGTATGGCCTGTAGCCGATTCAACTTAACCGAGTTGCATTGATATTGAGATCCACCTCCGAATCCTGCCACGAATGTTCTGGGTTAAATGGCCCTTGCTATTACTTCACACCACAGGTCGTTGGCTACCACATGAAGCAGAGAAAGGTCAGCAGGGATAACATTCCTAGCCGGATATTTTATATTGAACCCAAAAGACGAGCAGTGTGGCTCCCGAAGCAGACGAAATCCCCCCACAAATACTTCCCTGGTGGCATCTCCACCAATGACGATGATGAAAACCCTGAGGAATATCATCAGCAGAATTTGGATGGCCCTCGATTCAAGAGCAAGTTTAATCAAATGGTCAACTATCCGACAGGCGGACCTCCTCCAAGACGCACTTCCTTGCAAACCGTGGCTCCCAGCCCATTTCTCTCTCTCAGGCAAACTGCAGAAGATATTAGTTCGCAAAGCGGAGATGAAGACACAATGTTTGCTGCTGTTCAGACCAAATCTAAGACATGAAAGATCGTGATCAAAAGATGGAGAAGAAATACCCAACTCCAGTCGGTGGTAGAATGCCAACTTACAAAGGTCATAGTTCCTCCCGAAGGACATATTCTATACCACAGCCTTGTTAATGGCTTTATATCCGTCCCTAATGCCTGTGTAAACGCGGAGGAAGACATAACCCAAACGCTGCAATATACAACCAAGAAGGAAGATGTCTATTTTGAACTAAGGCGACGAAAATCAGAAATAAGGGCTATTATAGCGTCACATTGTGGTGAGGAAGAATATCCCGGAAATACGGAGGAGAAACTACGAACAGAAGCAACAACTCATATATGGGTTAGTGAGAAATGCCCTGATATTCCTCTCCGAAAACTCTACGGATTTGTTTTCTAGGCGGAGTCATCGTATGTATTGAATATAACTTGCCTATTCAAGATAGTATATATTTTATATTATGAACAACATACTAACAACCAAGTTATTGATACCGACCAGCTCTTGAAACCCGAATATGCGACAGTATGGCATTGCATCAAAACCTATGCATACCGAATCCTCCATCGCCTCTTCGTCGGTAACTCAGGTTTCAGTCAACATATTCATCAGAATTTGACTGCACCGCTAAGCCATGGCTATATGCTAACCGAAAGCTTCCTGGCTAGTGCTGAGTTAAAACCATTGCCCGGTCGACTTGGAATGCACCGTAACGACATTCAGCTGCATTATGAGAAATTTATCTAGAACTCCAGAATCCAGAATCTATACATTAGTTTCGCCATGCTACGGTGTCACTTTCCACAATTCTACAAGCCCAAACTGGCTCCTGGGCTATTGACAATAGTGGCTGACTTTCATTGTCTAATTGCCCCTTATTCTCTCGTATCGGCCGATTCGAGGATTGGGCACTCCGAGCGGTATACCGCGTGGCACCAATACGGATAGCCCTTACAATGGCTACATTAGTTTCCATTATAACCGTATTGAGTACTAGAGCAATGTTTTCCCCAACGAACTCGCTGATTTTGAGGCCGCTTCCACAATAGTTGCCACGAGATCCATCTTGCCTAAAATTCATAGACCCTCCACCATGGCCCATTTGTCATGCAACTAGGAAACATTCCAGTTCAAACCATTCTTGTTGATAAAGAGTGGAGTATCAAGCAGTTCATAGAAGTCCAAGTTGTATGCTCTTTGCCAATTGGGCTAATACTACCCCCATCGTGGATAACTGGAAAGGATATCGACATATTTCTACCTACTGAGGACCGGCTCTAGATATGCTATAGCAGTTCACCCATACTCTCCGGCACGAAGAAGTAAAACGCCCATTACTTCCAAAGGGGAAACTTCATTCTGATACCCTTATTGACGGGTTGCGTTCTTCAAAGTTCTAGGGCTTCTCCTGATATTACAGTCCTTAGACAATCCGCGTCACACCTGCCACGAGAAAGAACTTGATTATATCCAAAATCGACCTGTGGTGCCTGAAAGCCGGTAAAATCTAGTTATGGCTTTCTCTTATTTCCTCTGTTAATCAAACACCGTGACTAGCTATAGTCAAATAACTATATGATTGATGATTATGATAATGGTTTGAGAGGACAAAAGAATATCCATGCCCGTTTCACAGTAGAGAAACCCGAGCTAGCGCATTAACCCCTGAGTTTTTACATCTGTGTCCAGTGATTGGCAAGGCACATTACAGCATAATGCTTTGTGTCCACTCCAACAGGCGAATCCGCATCCAGCATTATCATAGCGGCAGATATGCTGACCTTGGCCACATCTGCCGTGGCAGAACGGAGCACTCCCAAGCCAACGGCAGCCCTTCGGGGGTTGGCAGCGCGTGGTTAGATTTGACTCTCCAGCTACGAACCGTTATTAGTATTTTTAAGTATATGTCAAGGGTATACAGACGAAATCATACGAGATTCTGCAGCGGATACAAGGTTCAGGAGAAGGCCCAACGTCGCAAGGAACTGCATGCTTGGAAGAAGTAGGTTCACTTTGAGCGTGTGTTGTATATATTTATAGCATGGAACAGGAGTTGTTGCAAATCGTAGTGTGACTATTGTTTGAGCAATTGAGAGCCTACTAACCGGAACATGCAGCTTCAGTGAGCATTTATATAGTTACGGTCATTCTGCAAGCCGGAGCATATTGGTATGGCCTTGCTGCGGTGGTTTGCACACAGGACTCTTACAGACTGCCTTGAGGACAAACAAACGAGCCCTGGTTGCAACCGCCAATATAATATTGTTTGCTAAACCAAGCTATCCGTCATAATATTAATAATAATAAATGAAACAAGAATAAATTCCGTCCTCACGTATATTGACGGATGAAGATCAAACGAACGAACGCTCGATTGCAAGGGTTGGCTGACACGCAGCCGTTAGCCGACGGGAGCCCATGGCGAGAGAACCCACAATTTCCCCATGTTTCTCGGCGCTAGGTGAGATCGGTTATTTACTCTCCCCAACTACCTCCTAGCCGAACTCCCTGGCAGCTACTCCCGTACAGAACCAACAGGAAAGGCGAACGAAGCCGTCCAGCGCGAGAACTTGGCTATAACGAACCAACTGACTCTTTGCGATCCTTGACAGAGACCGTCATCAATCAAGATGCTTCCTCGAGTTCCATCCGCGGGTGTTTGGTGTCCGGCAGTGACGTTCTTCGACCCGGCCACCGACGAGCTCGACCTATCTGCACAAAAGGAGTACTACGCCTATCTTGCACGGTCTGGACTCACCGGCCTGGTCATCCTGGGTACAAACGCAGAGGCCTTCCTGCTCACACGCGAAGAGCGGGCACAGCTCATCAGCACCGCCCGGGAAGCCGTTGGCCCCGACTACCCTCTCATGGCTGGTGTTGGCGGGCACTCTACCCGCCAGGTGCTGCAGCACATCCAGGACGCGGTCACGGCAGGGGCAAACTACGTTCTTGTGCTCCCGCCAGCATACTTTGGCAAAGCGACTACTCCGGCCGTAATCCGGGCATTCTTCGGCGAGGTAGCGGCGAGCTCCCCGCTACCAGTGGTTATTTATAACTTCCCTGGGGTGTGCAACGGCGTGGACCTTGATTCGGAGATGATTACGACAATCGCACAAGGAAATCCGAATGTTGTTGGGGTGAAGCTTACCTGTGCCAGCGTTGGGAAAATCACCCGGTTGGCGGCCGTGCTGGCTGCAGACGAGTTCTCCATATTCGGCGGACAGGCTGACTTCTTAATTGGGGGTTTGAGTGTGGGTTCGGCAGGATGCATTTCAGCATTTGCAAACGTCTTTCCCAAGACTATATCGAAGGTGTACGAGCTGTATAAGGCTGGCAGAGTCAAAGAAGCATTGAGCCTGCATCAGAAGGCGGCGTTAGCCGAGTCTCCATGCAAGTCTGGGATTGCCACGACCAAATATGCGGCAGCAATCTTCTGCGCAAAAGCAGCTGGGATCGAAAATGCTGAAGAGAGGATGAGGCCACGTCGGCCGTATGAGGCGCCGACCGAGGCGGCAAAGGAGAATGTGAAGAAAGCGATGGCCGAGGTGGCACTGATCGAGCAGGGTCTCTAGGCCTCCCTGATTCTGTAACCAACCGCATAGAAGCAGCAGAAGAACAGACAGTACATAACTAGTTACATATGTATATCAAACGGAACGCGGGTGCAGATCCCGCTCCCCAACCGCACAGCAACTGAAACGATGCCCGCGATATTAGCAGTGCCAGACAGCAGCAGTCGAATATAAAACATCGTCATCATCATTTGCTCCGCACCCTTGCCCAGGAATAACACACGGATCAGGGGAGCGTCACGGCGGAAGGGAGGCCGGGAACCTTCAGCGGCCCCGGAAACTTCCACGTCGCGGGTGTTCTTATCGATAGCGAGAAAAGCTAAAGCGCCCGGGCCATGCGTCAGGGTGGTCACGTGGCAGACACGCGCCAAGGAGGCCAGAAGCGGCTAGCGCGAGAGTCAGAATCATACGATGCCGGAATCCAGGTCCACGTGGCCCAGAGCGGTTTAGCTCGCTTACATCATCCGGCGGTCCCCTACCCCCTGCGGACGGCCTTCTTTCCGCTCGATATCAAAATGGCAAATGGCCCAAAGCAGAAACCTACAACCAACCTCGCGCACGCAGAATCGAGCAGCCAGCGTTTCCTCTGCGTGACGGAGCGCAATTTGGGCCCGCGAGAGCTAGCAGGGGCCGAACCGTCTCCCGCCCGGGGGGTGTCGCTGCATAGGTACTCCGTGCTGGCATGCTCATTATGCGTGGCCCCGTGGAACCGAGCATCCAAGGAGTGAAACGCTAATTTCCTGACTCGAGGGAGTTCGTTGGCCCAGCCCTTGGCTCTAGTCACAGGCCCTTTCTATCTTACTTTTCTATGCGCACATATTTTCAGGCAGAGAGACAGGGCAATAATGAGCCCATCCCGGAAGATTAATACTGCGTCTCATCATCGGCTATTTGCGAGCGTCGTTCGCTCGACCTGTCCTTGGTAAGTCCAGGCGAGCTGCGGTCCGCTGGCCTAGGCCTAGACGTAACCAGCCAGAAATTACGTTTTATGATATATCCGCTGGAGCTCTTTTCCGCTCAACCGTTGCTGCTGCCTCCTGGTTTCGGCGCCTTCCGGCTGCATCTTCTTATGGATAAACCAAGAGCTCTCCCGGTTCCATCCTAGCTCTCGCCGTCCATACATTGCATACTTTACTGCGCATTTGTCTTCCTACCCTTGACCGCCGTTATATCATTCTCCAGTCCGGTTAATTCAATTATCCATCACATTCCATCTACTGGAAACGCGGATTCTTCTTACCTTCCAGGATACCATCAATCTTGTGGGAAAGCAGGAAGGGGGAGAAAAACAAAAGAAAACAAAAAAGAAAGAGGCCTCCGTCGTCATGATGGAGACAGACAAAGAACCCCGTCTCGATGAGACGAATTCTGCACCGTTTGACCTCGACATTGTTGAAGAGAGTATAAACATGGCCGGCCCGCACATAGATCTTACGCCTACACCTCCGGCAGACCAAAGCGACGAACAGTCAAATGACAAGGACGCCATGTTTTCCGCGCCTGACGATCTGACTGCAGACTGGGCCCAGTGGATGCGCTGGGACGACATCGAAGACACGAAGCCTTCGCTTTTCAATATACCGAACATACCTGGCTCGACTCTCCCGCAGTCTGCCTTTACTTTCACTTCTGATGATGCCATACTCCCTACCCATGCGCTAGACCCGTCCAACGGCCCTCTCAGTCTCCCTACTGTTAAGCAACCCTTGGTTTCTACCATCTTCCCAGAACATCCGACAATTGAAACAATACAACCCGCACCACAGTCCGATGCTTCTTCCCCACTGGCCCCCTCTCCCACATCATCAGTTGGACGAAAGAGAAAGTCTTCCCATGATGATTCACCGGTGAACGACCTTCCTGCCCCTGCTGCTGATAAGTCAGCTCCCTCTAAGAAACGATCACACAATATAATTGAAAAGAGGTATCGTGCCAACCTCAATGACAAAATTGCCGAACTACGAGACAGCGTTCCTAGTTTGCGCTTGACCTATAAGCAGCGTCATGGCGGAAGCCTCAAAAAGTCCAACGAAGACGAGGACGTCGACCTCACGTCTGGAAACAAGCTCAACAAGGCCTCAATCCTCTCCAAAGCTACAGAGTATATCAAACACCTGGAGCTAAGGAACAGTCGTCTGGAGGAAGAGAACCTTTCGTTGAAAAATCGGTTTCGCGAACTCGAAAAGGCCCAGGGAATAAACCTGGTTTCGTACCCTGCTGTTACTGGATCAGAGACACCCTCAGGAGCTTGCACGGTATCTACCAACTCTGTTGTCACATCGCCGGATCTTTTTTCTCATTCGAGTGATTTTTCTCCAGATTCACCACCGAACCCCTTATTCCCTCCCGAGGGACTGCTTAGGCCACCTGATGGATTCAACCAACTTCGCCCTACAGGGCCACAACCTCATTATGCAGACACTTTTCAATACAACCAGCCTCAAGACTATGACTGCGCACCGTTAGAAACCTCTCACACGGCCACTACTTCCGATTCACACACCACCTCACGCGGACGACGACAGTTCATGGGCATCCCCAACAAGTTCATGCTTGGTACCCTTGCCGGTATCATGGTCATTGGCGGCTTTGAGAATCACAGATCTTCCGACCCAGACGAAAAGAAAGAACTTTTTGCCCTACCACTCCAATTCCTCAGCAGCTTCTACCGCCTTGCCCTTCAGAAAATCTACTTTATCAAGGCCAATTCCTGGCAGATACGTGCCCTATCGCAATTTGCCCTAACCTCTCTTATACTGTTTGGGTGTGCGTTTTTCGTGTTCCTATACCTTTTCAACTCAAGACCAAAAATATCCCGAGTTCCTCTAAAACCGCTTAGAACTCGAAACTCTTCATCGCAGCAGCAGGTTTCTACCTCTAGCTCATTCACCGAGTTTCGACAAGATGCATGGCTTACGAGCATACAAACCGTTGGTGTTCCGCGTCATAACTTCTTCCCTGAATGGTTTGCCGTCACATCCCGCTGTTTAGAATACTGTGTTAGGTGCCTGCTCGGATGGAAACTATATTCCTTTGTTACTGGTATCAGTGCGGATGACGAGAAGGGCCGAGTTAAAGCTTGGGACATCGCCCTTGATGCCCAACTCACCGGAGGGGATGCAGAAGTTAGCAAAAGCAGACTGGTTTTAACCATTTTTGCTGCAGGCACTCTTCCCCGTAGCCCTGCTCGCATGATGCTTAAAGCATTTCATTGCAGGGTACTTTTATGGAGAATTGGCTCATCCGACTCCTTGGCATCCCGGATTGCTAATTACATCGCTAAGATGCTTGCAAATTATCAGTGGGAACTTGCCCAACGCATGCACCAAAGGGGGCCGAAAAGGGGCGAGGACCCATTACCAAGCCACCTTGCTTTCTTATTATCGATGGATTGTGACGAAGTATTCACCGACACTATCGTCCAGCGGGCCAGTAATCTGGTTTGGAATCGACCAACTCAGGAGGCAACAGATGGCGAAGATGCCTTGCTAGACGTTGTCGTCGAGGATAGCGCCGTCCGCTCTCCCCTCGATGTCCTTGCGGCATGGTGGTCAAGCCGTGCGCTGCAAGAAGCCCTACTCAAATCCCTAGACCTAGTGTCGGTTGACTCACCAATCGAGAAACGCAAATCATTCGAGAGAAGCGTGGACATAGCACTACATTCTGCACCCATCCCCTCAACGGCATATACCCGAGCAACTGTGGTGAAAGCCTTGTTTTTTGAAGAAGACAGGATTAAGAATGTCAATACCGTTCTTGCAACACTGCCAGCTAGAGACTCGCAGAACTCTCGTTCGGCCTGTGGTTTGACAAACCTCCTTGATTCTTCAATTCCACCGTCCGCACGGGATGAAATATTCATTGGCGTGCGATGCGCAATGATTGCTGCTATATTGCGAGGTCAAGTAGGAAAGGGTGAGGATGAACCGATATCTTCCCCCTTTTCTCTTTCCAGTGCCATCAAGCAATTCAATGCTGCTTCTGTTGATGAAGTTGAACTCACCCTTCTTGGATTTGCTTCTCACTATTATCTCCTCCACATCACTGCCACTGACGAAAGACTACTGCCCTGCTCTTCTCTTGAATCATCTACCCATTCGTCACTAACAGAAATAATGGGTAACTCGGAAACCACAACAAGCTTCAAGGATGAGCATGATATCCCCATCCCTGATCTTTCCCGAATTGCTGCAGACCTGATATTCTGGGTACGAAATGCATATAACCCAATCTCCTCTGGCCTCAATGCCAAACTTATGGAGAAGGTTGTGGTAGACTGTGTTGAGGTATGCCATAACGCAGGCGTCGACATCGATATCAGAAAAATCCAACGTATGAAGACCCATCAGCGGGCACCAAGCGTTGGTCCCACGCAAACGTCAGTCGCCTCTTCAGATTTTGAGGGTACGCCTAGCGGAGTTACCTTACCTGGAGCACAAGGCAGAAGAGAAAGCACTTTCAGCGACGATACTGGGTACGGCAGCATTGACTCTGAGGAGAACAAAGCTGTACCATCTAAGACCCCGTTCTGATGCACATAATACCCAAAGTTCAAACCATTTCTTTTATTCAAACTCGAATCGCCTTCCCAGCTACCTGTTTACTGTCTATAACGTTTCACCCGCTTTCACGTATAAGTGAATATATCATCGCGATGGTGTTTGGTTAGTTGATGGTTTTTTTACTGCCCTTCCCCCGTTTCTTTACCATGTATAACGATATCTATCTTGAACTGCGTTGAAGCGGTCCAGCTGCTTCTGAGTATTTTCATCAATCAAGCTTCTCTACTCGCCCCCTTATCCCTTTAGGTCCAATGTGAGCTCACGGGACATAGATCTGTATCTACTATTACTTAAAATTCATATCTCCATTCTCCCCCTGTTTCGCTGCAGCCGACCTTTTATTTTCTTTACGAGTTACTTTTACTGGTGTTGTATGCCGGGGGACAAGCTGGCGCTCTGACATGGCAGGAGAAGATACTGGCGTGCGGTATAAAGGAAAAGTCATTTGCTGCCTTATAGTGGCTTATGTTTTTATTGTATTTGTAGAGCTAGCTAGGTATGCAGTGTTTATACGTGCCTCAGTTTGTGGGGAGCATAACACTAGACGAATTTGGTAAAAGATGCGTTTAGATATCATATCTGACTTGAGATAACTAATGAATGCCTTGCAAGTATCATAATATGTTGAATAAGTGAGCATTGCGTGAAACAAAATATAATTGCAAATAAGGTCATCTCAAGCCAAACCAGCAACAACTTTAAGGTGAGAAATGAGCGTGGGAGAAAGTAGAATAACGGAAATGGCTAATCCCGTACGTATGCAATGAAAATCGCAAAGTAAAGCCTAGTTGATAAGCCATAAAACTAGCACGAGAGATCACCATGGCATAATTTGGGGCAAAATAAAAAATCAATCTGTTCGGTTTCATTGGCCAAGAGATCATTCTTTCTTCTCCATGGTCTCTTCCCGAGAGGTGATGACACTATCGGTCAGAATGCTATCCGACATGAAAAGGCCGGCTCTCATCTCTGCGTCTTGCATGGTAACCAGAGATGTACCAGCACTTCCAATCTTCAGAGCCCGCTTAACTGCCTTCCAACTTTCAATCAAAGCAACATAGACGGCCATACAACCCGCCACAATACCCCACTCCCATGATATGGCAATGTGTTTGAAGACAAGCTTGTTAACGACGGGTATGTAGATGACGGGGAAGGTTGTAACAAATCCAGCTGCAACAGCCCAGAAGAGGAATCTGTTTCGCCAGAGGGATGGGAAGATAGAGAAAACGCCAGGATAGCGAGCTGGGTCGAGATTGAATAATGAACGAGAGAAATGCTTCACTTCCCAGGCTGTCACCAGAAGAAGGAAAGACAGTGTCGCGAAGGTAGTGGCACGGGCACGGAAAACAGTGTCACAACTTGAGTTCCAGCCTTCGTTACAGTCCTGGCCTAGGGAGCCACCTCCGACACCGTAAACGACGGAGACGAAGGAGACCAAACAGAGACTCCCCATAAAGGTACCGTATATCATTTTATCGACAATGAGTTCCTTTGTGAAAACTCCGATACGCAGGTCGTGTGGGGGACGGTACATGATATCCGCCTGGCCCTCCTCCAGGCCGAGGCCAAGAGCCAGGAAAGAGGATGTGATTAGATTTGCCCAAAGGATCTCCAGAGGTGAAAGCGGGAACACAGAGTTTCCCTCGTTGTCTTTGAAAGCCAGCGCAATCAGCAGGAGGATGACTTGAGCAATATTAGATATCAACAAGTGCATCAAAAACTATATGCTCAGTATTAGTATGTTTACGTTTATAGTGACTAGTTATTGAAATGGCTCATACCTTCTGAATATTGTCAAAGAGGCGTCGTCCTTCCTCCACGGCTTTGACTACTGATGCAAAATCGTCATCCGTTAGAACCATGTCTGCGGCAGCTTTGGCCACATCACTTCCGTTCTTGCCCATGGCAATTCCAACATCAGCGCGCTTCAAAGCTGGAGAATCATTCACTCCGTCACCGGTCATGACGCAGTAAGCCCCGCGTCGGTGCATGGCTTCTACCATGCGGACCTTGGTTGACGGGCTGCATCTGGCGATAACAAGCGGGAGAGCTTCAATTGCATCGATTTCGTCATCTGTCATTTTGTCAAATTCATCGGCTGCCATAACAACCTTGCTTGCTCGGACATTCGGGGTCAAGTTCCCAAGGATTCCAACTTCATAAGCGATGGCTGTGGCGGTCTTGATGTGATCTCCCGTCAACATATGGACCGTGATGCCAGCCATGTGACATTTACGGACAGCTCCCGCTGTTTCCATGCGGGGAGGGTCATAGAGGCCAACTAGGCCCACAAAATCGAGATCCGTCTCAAGCTCTTTCCGATCAGGGAGGTTGTTCAAGGTTTCAGGGGATAGGGTTTTGTGTGCAATACACAGGACTCGAAGACCTTCACCTGCCATTCTGTCGACCTTTGCCCGGATTTCCTGCTTCATGTCGTCGTCTATTGATAAAAGTGGAAGCATGGATTCTGTAGCACCCTTTGAGTAGGCTGCCGCATGTTCAGATCCAGCTTTCCTATAAACAACGGTCATTCGTTTAATGGCAGAATCGAACGGGAACTCAGAAACAAGTTCCAAACCATTATTTTCGAGAACAGTGCCTTTCCCAGAGTTAAACCTGATGGCAAGCACATGAAGGGCGATTTCGGTGGGTTCTCCAACCGCGACCCAGTCTCCGCCCTTTGTGGAAGCAGCGGGAGAGCCCTCAGTGGATAGCTTGCTATCCGGATTGTATACTGAAGATAGATTGCAGAGCGCGATTGTATGCAAGAATTTTGTCAATGATGGGTTTTGTTCAAGGTTGTTTGGTTGTAATTCTTTCCCGCCAATTTGGAGAAGACCACTGCTAGGATTAAATGGACTGTTGGTGTCGTGGATGGTGAGAGTGCCGGTTCCGGGTATCCAGGCTTTGCGAGCAATCATCTTGCCCTGGGTGAGGGTGCCAGTTTTATCAGAGCAGATGTTGGTCACTCCTCCCACAGCTTCGAGAGCTTGGAGCTTTCTGACAATGACATTGCCTTTTGCCATAGATTTAGTACCAACAGCAACAGTAATGGTCAACACCGCAATCAGCGATTCTGGGATAACGGCAACAGCAACGCAAATACCGTAAATGAGGACCTCGCCTTGGACATGCCACTTGTTTGCAGAGAAAACAATAATAGCAAGCATTATGGCAAGGGCAAAAAGCAAAAGGGCGAATTTGCTGAGTTTCACTTGTAAAGGCGTGCCAACCAGGCCTAAAACCTGGTCGAAGCTCCTCTTAAATCGCTTCCATACCCGGGTGTAGATAGAGGCATTTTCTGCCTGAAGAGTGTTGTCACGAAGAAGTTGTGCGATTTTCCCGACTTCTGTATCCATGCCTATCGATATGACTACTCCAGTGGCTCGGCCTCTTGTCATGATACTTCCAGAGTAAGCCATATTTGTACGGTCTCCAACTGCCATATCTTTGGTAGTGAAGAGAGCACCTGGGTGTTTAGATATAGGCATCGATTCTCCAGTTAAGAGGGCCTCATCAGTAGAAGCATTCACACCATCAAATAATCTTAGATCAGCGGGTACCATGTCTCCAACTGCTAGTTGGACGACGTCACCTACCACCAAGGTTTCTGCCTTGATGGAGTCGATTCTACCATCACGAATAGCTTTGCAGGTCGGAGCAGATAGGGCTTGAAGAGATAAGATTGTCTTTTCTGCACGGTAGTCTTGGACGAATCTAGAATAGAGCTCTTAGCTAGGTGAACTGTAAAAAACCGGGATAAAACTTACCCAACGACGATGTTGAGGAGAATTACAGCTGTAATCACTCCACCTTCAATATAATCGTTGATTCCAAAGGACAAGGCCATCGTTATCAAGAGTACCTAAGGTTCAAGGATTAGTTATGACAGCCCTGGCGGGTAGAGGGGGGCAAACATACTAAAGTCAAACTGTTTGACACCTGCCTTAGCAAAATTTTCCACATGGATATCCCCTCCGCACTCTTAATCTTGTTAGGTCCATCCCGCTCAAGGCGAGATGACGCTTCGGTACTACTAAGCCCATGTCTGGCGTGGGAGAGGTAAATGTTAGCCAGTTGAAAAAGGAGGTGTGGCCCAGGGTAGAGGGAAAGGCTCAAAAAAGTGTGTGAATTTTAGTTCAACACAAGGTATGAAGTTTCCGTACTGTAGATCAACTCGCAAAATCCGAGCAGTATCTGCAATGGAGATAGTATGGGCATGCTGATAATAGGCGTGCCAGTCCTGGTAGTTGGCAGGACAATGGTCTACCCGGACCTGAGGGCCTAAGGTAGAGCTGGGTTTATGTTTATTGGGTTCTTCATGGATAGAAGAACATATAGGAGGTTCCGTCGGTTCCTCGACATCCGGCTGAGAAATCTCCGTGCCCATTCAATAGAGAAGGGGGGTCTACAAGGACAGATACTGGTGTTCTGTCCTCTCGAGCGGTTCTCTGGGCACCAAAGAAGGCGATTGTGGCTGTCGAAACTGGGACTGGGGGAACACAGCTATCTCTTCCTTCGTCAGCTAGATCTTCGTATCGTGACCGTCGTGGCGTCGTTATTGCTAGGTATTTTCTAGTAGCGAGGGAGTGTGCTGATGCTGTAAATGGAGGAAGAAACAAGGTGGAATAGCCAAGCGGGCGGAGAGCGGGAGGGTGACTTTATATCGACGTCAGTTCAAGCACAACATCACATTCACTCATAATTAGCATTACTTCATATCTCACAGGTCTCCGCCTCCCCCATGCATGCCATCATTCTTAGTTTTCCGTTGGAAAAGAACGAGACACACAAATGATGGCAGCTTACTCAAGCTACGCTAGACCCATCTCCCTGTTTGCTCTGTGGCTATGCTAACTGCGATTCGCCAACGGCGTTCAGGCTATCGACAGATGCGGAATAGAAACATGGTGGAAATTTGAGGATGTCGTCAGATTGGACAGAGACCCTGGTGCCAGTGGGGAAAAGGCGATCAAGGAGCCAGAAGCCCAGAAAGCCAGAAAGCCAGAAAGCCAGAATCGCCCATGGTGTTTTCCTTGCCCGTCGCCCCGGGCCTCCGCAGGCTCAACCAATCCATGGGGGATCCGCCGGATCCGCCATCGCATCCCACACGAAGAACGTGTTCTGGGACGTCGTCATCCCTCGTTTTACAATGGGCGGAGGTGGAGGCCCTAACAACTTGGCGAAATGCCGTGTCAGTCACCCGTTTGGGGGAGAGGAAAATATACGGGAGGAACATCATTTCTACGACAAGAAAGTACTCTGAATACGCAGTTACCAGTTCGCCTCGGTAATAATCTTGGCTCGGAACTCCGTGGCCATGAGAGGGGGAGGTGGTTTGGCATATTTCGGGGCCAAGTCTCAATTCCATGGCATACGTAACTAAGTACAGAGATTTGCGGGCAGAGTACAGGTACAGCAGATGTACGATCTGAAGGGAGACAGCTGTACTCTGTACAGCTCCCCAGGTGTAGGGCTAGGCCCCGCTGCCTTGTTTTGAGCGGAGAAGCACCCTGGAACGGGGATAGAGGCCCCATTCGACATCTTTCCCTCTTTGGCTATGGATACCTGCATTTGTAGCCCTGAAACCGGCATGATTCCGGAGGTGCGATGTGCCGAGATCTGGGGGAGTTTCCATTATGCACAATCCATAGTTCTCACGTGTAAGGGGATGGGCGTTGGCCCTTCCCTTCCCCTTCCCTTCTATTTTTTACACTTCCGCAATTACCAGTCGGTTAAATATCTCGGGTCGTCAAGCGTAAGTTGACTTCTACCCTTGGCAAGGAGCCCATGTGAACAAGTGCATGAAAATCCAAGTAGGGATTGGAGTCTGGGGATGCTGGTGTTTTAACGCCCCAAACGCGATAAAGCTTCCTCAATAGCAGCCGGATGCATACATCGAACTTGCCGATTGGCTTTAAGATGAAGCTGAGGGTCCGCTTCTCCTTAAAAGTGTCTCCTTGTGAAAGTGTATAGCTTGGTTGATTCCCAACAGGCCCCGAAACTCTCTATTTGAAGTTATATCACATATATCCAACTGGGAATCATCGGACATCTGGCCTTTTCGTCCTCTTTGAACCACCGATATTATATACAATGATCAAGCCTTCTCCCCGTGATATACTATTCGGGCGAGGTCATAATATCACTGATTCTGCAAGTCAAATGGCCAATAGTATGATCTAGTATTACTACACACGATTCAGTTTTATTATTTTATCTTATATTTAAAACAGTAGTTTCTTATTGGCTTTTAGAGATATTTTCTCAATTTATAATATAATGTGTCTTTTCAAGTGCGCATGTTCCTGTACTCCTGACCACAGTCACCAATTTCGGCAAAAATAGCATCCGTCTTCTGCCCTTCTCGTCCTCGTGCATAGGTGTCTATAGCTCTAACCTCAGCGTCATTCAACACCCCGGACACTTTGAGGGTATCCGCATATCGGTCCGATAATCCTAGTCGCGTGCCCACAAGTATTGCACCTACGGCTGGCTGGCGTAACACCCAGCTACTCGCCACGTCGGCAATGTCTGCATTGTACTTTGCTGCCAACAAGGAAAGCTCTCCTAGTAAGGATTGAAACTCAGTCCAAGTGCCCCAGCGGTGAATCATATCTAGATACTTGCGCTGGGATGGGTTTAACGGATTTACAGGGGAGTATATGTCCGGCAATGGCTGGCCATGCCATTTTGAAGTGAGAAGGCCACCACACTATCGAATTATGAGTTAGTACTCTTCTGACCCTGACTATTGCGATTGTTATCCTTGTAGTTAGGGGGATATGTACACATACAAGAGAACCATACGTGAGAAGCTTGAGGCCGTACTTTTCACAAGTTTGGATCATGCCCCTCAGAGGCCGGGTATCAATTAACGAGAACTAAGTAAAAAGGTCAGTATACCTTTTGAAGCATAGGAGCATAGAGGCAGGAATTTCGTATATCATACGCACCTGGACTTGATTGGAGACGATCCCAACTTTGCCGGTCTTGTCAAGTAAGTACTTGCATACTTCCTCTGTATGTTCTGCATCAAAGTTGCAGAGCCCGATGGATGATACTAGTTCCGGGTAGGCATGCGTTATGCGGACCAAGTGGAGGAGGATGTCGAGGTACTCTTTTGCTTCATACTAATTGGCAATCCTTAGCTTCATCAACCCTTTTCTTTGGAAATAATAAAACACGAAGTGTGCCTAGTGTAGCATGCTGTGGATAGCGCAATTCGTACATCATACCAGTGAAACTGGAGCAGGTCTACTCTACCACCTAGTCTACGGCATCGTTCTTCAACAGCAGATAGCACGTACTCGGCTGTAACGGTCGCGTCTATGGGTTTGAAGACACACCATTTTGTGGCTGCGTAGACTTTTTCTTTCACATTTCCGGGTAATCTATTACGGAAGTCTCCATAAACAAGTTCAGCATCACCCTAGTATTGGTATACGATTAGCTGAGATAAAGAAAGAGAGAAGGAGAGAGAGATGTATGAGAATGCTAGGAGGAGAGAAATCACATAGTGGTCTGCCATATCCGCAGCAGTGAAGCCTCCCTGAACAAGTTTGATGAGCGATTTCTGCTGCTGTTCGGAGCTACCTGAGCCAAAAGCAGGAGATGACAATTGCCAGAGGCCGTTAAATAAGCGCGGTAGTTTCCTTCCACCCATAGTAAATGTCTCTACGGGGGAGTCTACTGGCAATGAAACCTGCAGGCAAGCTTGACTGTGATCAACCCTAGTCGTTGTTTGCGCGGACTCTGGGAAGAGCAGCTGAAAGGCATCCCCAACTTGTCTCTCTGCTCTTTCGAAGCGGGATACAAGCTTTGCTTCGGCACAGTAGCACCTATAAGCAACAAGGCTTGCGAGGAGGGCTTCGAAATCTGCACTTAGCTTTAGGGAGCGGTCCGGTCTTGACTCCTTGAGGGCTTGCATCCCTTGGACAACGTCACCGGCAAACTCATCAAGCGCCCGTTCGAGGCCTGATCCTGGCGTCCAGGATGCACCAGCTTGTATGGTCGCCTTGACAAAATGTGTTAGACTACAAACGAGTTAGTCAACGATGTCTCGGGGCCAGGAGTCGTAGATGTATAGTGTCATACTAGCCCACTGCCTCCACGGCTAATTTTGAAGAGAAGAGACATCTCGTCAGCCGGATGTATTCAGCACATGCCGGAGATACAGTATCTGCGCTGGGAAACAGTTCTGCCGCTGCGGTCAGTGCAGGCGGTGAGCCCTGTAGCCTTGAGCGGATGTGCTCGACAAAGGGTTTCTGGTTTGTTTGGTCGTGGGAGAGCAGCGTCCTAAGGGCGGAGCGTAGATATACCGGGGGCACTTGGGCGTTTTTCTGTTAGGCTGGCCTGATACTCCTTGTGTTTGGGGTTGTTGGTGGCTGTGAGGAGAGGAGGATAATAACCGTACGGTTGGAGATGAGGACATCGTCCATGACATTACTTATTAAAGGCACTATGAGTCACGCACAGTCTGGAAAGATAGGGGAGAAATAAAGATGACTTACACATGAGCCTTCATTGTTCTATCTATATCTTGAATCCCGCCTGAGGTTATGCTTAAGGGGTATATGGATTGAATATTATGCGTTGAGTTAGTTGGTATTAGCCAAAGTGAGAGGTGCCTCTGAACTGCTGGTATATAACTATCTAATAAATAACTAATAAGAGACGTTTATGCCCCGCTTGGGGAGTTCACCTGCGTGGAGCAACTATTTAACTACCTAGTAATAATAATAATAATAATAATAATACGAACTAGGGACACATACCCGGCAAACAAGGAAGCAAGGACTGTGGTGAACTTTTCATCACAATATATGTGCAGAGTGTTCTATTCGTACGACTTATTTCTATGTTGGCCAATCAGTGAACTGGTGGCCGATACAACGTAATAAACGCCAATACCGTGGTTATTCGAGGGGCAGGTCTGTCAACCCCTATCCCTGCTTGGCTACATAGCGGTACACAAGCGGAAGGGCAAGAGGAAGGCATACAAGGAATATCTTTCCAAGACGCTTCATCACAAGGGCTATCGATTGGTTTCTTCTCCTATAGAGCGACTCAATGCATTCGCTGCTATCGTTAACGTGAGGAAACTCGCTGTGCGTGCAAGGCTTGCCCAGGAAAGCACTCAGTTTCTCTATGTCAAATGGTGGTGACAACTCCAAGAGCCGCTCAGGCCCTGCGAGCTCGCGGATCCTCTTATTGTGGGCATGATACGCTTGCTCGGCCTCCTCTCCGCCGTAGTGGTTCCCGTTGTGGACGAGGAAGATCAGCTCGAGCAGCCTATGGAAAGTGCCTATGAACTCTGGCTCAAGGTAACGAAGCATTCGAAAGGACGACCATGTTATAAACTGCCAAACGGTTTTCTGCATAGAAGCGATCCATTTACCAGCCGGCCTTGTGGTTAATATCACTTTGGCCTCGGGGTAAGCAGCCATCAGCTGCTCGCCGAAGATGGCGCACGGCACATCCAGAGTCACATCGTAGCCGCGAAGAAGCACGTCGAACTCGGCTCGGCCGTAGGGTCGCCCTGTCTCCTTGTTGATAAACGTGTTTTCGATCCCCTCAATCCATAGTGTTTTCTGACGGGTGTCTTCTATGATGGTTGACATGTGGATTGGCGTGTAACCGAGCGCGCTCAGGGCTGCCATGAGAGACGACGTTCTGGTGCGACACATGCCTAGGCAGAGTACACTCACTTGCTTTCCCCCCAGCACTCCTTCAGATATCTCCTTATCGATGAGGCGAGGCTTATGAGGGGCCATTGTGGGTATTTATCCGGCCAGGATGTCGCGCTCCTTTACTGCCTTGCAAGAAGGTGGCGGGTATCAAATTAGTTATAGTAGATCGTAGGCAGAAAAATGACTTTGGGAGTGGAAGATAAAGATAATCTTGAGATTCACGCCGCGACCAGAACGATATACACCACCCCCTCTACCACCAGTCCCTCCGTATAGATCTTGGCTGTGTGCTGGCGGTGGGTCTGATTTAATAGCCAACTACTAGGTCATTAGTTAACCACTTAGTTAACAACTGAGTTGACAAATGAATGCATCGATGAAACTTATTGCAATCATATTCAGTAGACGTCCTTCAGGTTTTCCCCGCGATTGATCTTCAACCACGATCAGCCCGTCTGTGCATGAAAAGATATCCCCCCAGCTGCCTCAATACCTGCAGCCAGATTTTCAGCTGGGATCATCTGGTGCGAGGAACGGCTATTCTGCCCTTCTTGAAGCAAGCTAGAGACACCACAGCGGCGCCCGGACCATGTCAATGAACGGAAACCTACACCCCCATACAAGAAAAGTGATTATTTGTTATCTACTCCGTAGATGTATAGAGAAGTGAGCCTCAGGTTAACACTGACTATCCGCTGCCCCCTTAGCTAACTGGTTAGTTACCGAGGTCCACCGTTTTTAGGATGTCTTGGCATCCTGGCATAGCGAGAGTTTACCCCAACGTCACACATCAAGACGAGCAGCCACGACCTTTGGATAGCCATAACGAAGAAGAAAATAGATGAAATGGACTTTTCTGTATAGTTTTTATCCTGCCACTTGTTCTTATTTCAATACTACAAATATCATATTCACTCAGTGTTGGGTCGGTCGTATGTTTCGGCCTTGAATGTGCATGACTGGACCGAAGTATTTTTTCCGTGCCACAAACACAAAATGAATACTCGCAACTATCAACGTTGCAACGAATACCACCGGAGCCCAGTTGAATGTGGTCGGCGATATCTCACTTCCTATAGGCCAGAATGTCCAGAAGAATCCCCACAAGGAGTAGCAGACTGCCGCGATATTGATAGGAATTCCAAACTTTCCAAGGGAGAATGTTGCCGGTGGTAGGGTCTCCGGGTGCGCAATGCGGCGCCATAGCATGCAGCCAATGCTGAGACAGTAACACTGTAGCAGCGCTACGGTTATAAGAGAACCCATGGCGTAGAATGCAATGGGGCTAGCGATGTATATCAGGCTTAAGAAGCCGCTGATGATGCTAGTCACGCCAATTGCATTCAAGGGAATGCGGAATCTCTTGTTGACCTTCGCTATCCAGTCTGAGAACGGGAGTCCTTGGTCACGCGCAAACGCCCAGCTATCCCGAGTAACGGCTGCGAGATAAGTCATGTTGGAGCAGACTATGAGGAAGAGGATAAACGAGAGAAGCACTGTCATCCACTCCTTCGACATCGACTGCCGGAGCACATGGACAATGGGATACAGCGTGGGGTCAGCGAGCGCCTTTCCAACGTCCGGGAGGTGATAGGCAACCGTAATGAATGACACGAAGCTCAGGAACGAGTTTACTAGCCAGATACTAATCATTGCCTTTGGAACTGCTTTTGATGCATGTCTGACTTCCTCGGCCATGTGAGCCGCCTATACCGCAGTCTCAAGGTTAGACTTCATGATGGTCTGCAAACGTATGGAAAAATAACTGATAAAGCTTCACCCACCGTATCAACGCCAATTTGAGTGAATATAGAGGTTTGCTGCCCGACGAGCACCGCCAGGCCAGCACTAGGCCATCCGCCATTGAATTCAAACTCAGTCCAAACCTGGGAAGACGAAGCTCGAGGGGCGTTCACCCAGATAGGAATTATAAACCCAAGATAGACCAGGATATGCAAACCGAAGACCGCGTTCTGCCACATATGCAGGACTCTTGCGCCAAATGTGTTCCCGAGTAACGCGACCACGACGGCCATCATGGCTAGGAGAGTCGCATGCCATTGCGGGAAGGTGTACTGCTCGTTGTGTAGGGAAATCAGAACCTGGATAATTGTGGCTACTAGAAAGACGCCCGAAGCATTCCCTGCCTGCCATGCAAGCGTAGAAGTCCACCTATCACCCACAATTAGTGACAGCTCAGAAGAAATAAAGGGGTAGGGGGGAATGGGGTTACCCGGTGGCATAGCTGAGGACCCTCTGGAAACGTTCTGGAGCAAACTCGCTGACCCAGTGGTACTGAGCTCCGGCGATGGGTGCCATGCTCGCCATTTCCGCCACGCTGAGATAAATGGGGCAGAAGCCAGCGATGTTCCAGAGCATGGGGTATATCAGCATCGGCCTACCACCGTTGGTTATGCCTCCAGTGAGGTTGAACACGGTGAATTCCCATGAAGCAGTAGCAACAGCAACAAACGAGGCCATTGACAGGAACCGGAACTGTCTAACAAGCTGTTGCTCCTTTCCCATCCTCCGCATGTCCGCAGCGTCTGCGGAAGACGACTTGAACTCGTCATTGTGATTCCACTCGGCGTCTGCATTGGTACACGCGATGCTCACCTCCTGCTTGTCTTCTTGAGAATGAGAACCCATCTCAGTAGGACCAGCCTTGTAGTTATTGGAAAGATAGAGAGGGGGGTCACGATGCATGAAACATATTACGGGAAGGGAAACAGACAAATGTCCCAGGGCGAGCGGGGCAGCTTATATTGCACCGCTGTGCAATAGGCGGCGTGCAATTCCCTCCATAGCTCTGGCAAAGGGGGAGGGGGTTGCATGGCGACCAAAAAAAATTGAGAAAAGTCTGCCCTGGCCACTGGTTTGGTTGTATAGGGTGCAGGCATCTAGTCGCCTCAATTTCGACGGCTGCCCCGAGCACCAAATTTACTAGAATGCATGCTGGTAAAAAGACCGCATAAGGAATCGAGAACGACGCTCTATTGCTGCTTATACTTAGTTAAGCCGCCTAGAGCTGAATTATGTGCCGCCTGGGCAGGGATATATACGTAACTATGTGGGTCTCTACGCTGGAACTCTTGACAAGGAACGGCCCAAACCGGGTCCATCACTCGCTGAACAGGCATGTTATGGTCGCCTAGACCCTACCTATATACAACGGAATATCTCGAGAAAACAGCTATACCTAACATAATATTATACTCCGTACAGCTTCTAGGGGGCCCTGACTTTGATTCGTGAGCTGCTTTTCCAGGGGCTGATTTCATAACAGATACCATCATTTATTAGCTATCATAGTCCAGATAGAGGGCGCGTAAGATGAGGGTAGTTCAAAACTCCTCCAAATCAACGCAGCGCTGTCGAAAATGGCAGGCGATCGTGGTCTGTGGCTCAGCACAGCAACGGTTCTATTCTTTAGCTGGGCAATTTTGGCATGCGGGGTCCGAGTATGGGTAACTTGTGGCAGGAAACAAGCATGGGGTCTCTCGGACACGAGCATCGTGGGTGCTGCTGTCTGTTTATCTCTTCCAACCAAAATTAACGAAACCAAGCACGCAACCGCTAATTAGTTATGATAGATAATAGCTACTCTGCACGTTGCAGCAAATTTCTGGGCTGTCGACAGCGGTTACGGGCGCCCAATTGTGGATATTGGAGACTTGCGCATGCACAATGTACAGAAGGTTTGTGGATCTAAACTCGGATTTTTGTCCACCTAGTTACTTAATAGCTAGCTAATGGTGGTTGCAACTAGGCGCTTTTTATCGGTCATATAGCCTATATCGGTTCCACTGGGCTGTCAAGAGTGTCTACAGCATTCTTTATCGGGCAACTGACCCGTCATTCTCCCCGAGTTAGGATGTCATACTTGCTAGCCAGCGCAGCGGGGGGATGGACCATGATTTCAATCCCCATAGTTGCTATGCGAGGCAAGCTCTCTCAGCCTTGGACTGTATTAGATGGTGGCAAGTCAATGGTATGTTGTGGTCAGCCCTTGTTTTGAATTTATGTATGTTTACAATTTAATATTTTCATAGTTCTATAGGTGGATTGCTGTTGAAGTGGGGGCAATGGTGATTGAGATTGCACTGTGGCTGCTTTCTCTGTCCCTTATCTGGGGGCTTCAGATGAATCGCCAGAAGCAAATTCTGATACTTGCAGCTTTCGGTTCCCGCCTCTTGTATGTTCTTTATCCGGCTGTATATCAAGAAATGGAGTATTAACTAGACTGGTTCCTAGGATTCTTCCCATCCTCTCAATGCGCCTATCTTATCTCTCGCCTGAAAAGAACTACAATCCGACTTTCACAAGCATTGTCCCTCATATACTCATGGAGGCTGCCCTGAACTACGCACTAGCCTCCACATCACTTACCTCACTTAAACCTCTCCTCAAACCCTTCCATACGGGCGCAATTGCTAATAGAATCAGGTGTGAAAACTCGGGGATATATTCCGGAGCTCGATTAGAGGGTCAAGGGATTTATATGCTTACTCCAGTCTCTAGAGGCTCAGAAGGGCAAAGCATACAGTGAGCTTTAATCATTCGTATAGACACTAGGGTATTGGCTGTATTGTCCCTGGCGAATTTACATTAGCTGTTGTTCTATAACCCTACCAAATCTATATTAGCTACGGCTTGGTGGAGTGACAGAGTCAACAAAGAAGGCGAACAAAAACAAGTATGACGACAATAGACTATACACTAAATTCGCTAAGTGACTTGGTGACTTGTATTTTTTTAAATCTATACTGGATTGCGTATCTGTCACAACGCGTTTAACTACCTAGATATTGGTTGTAGGCAGAAGTTGGCTTAAGGTAAGAACGTAAAGACTAACTCTAACCTTAACACAAGTTAAGTCTCTGGGGGCGTTCCAAACTCAGCTTATACCGCAGATCATCTTAGACAACGTATTTTCAGCGCTTGGACGACATCCCAATGCTAAAATAGGTCACAAGTATATATATAAGGATAATGTTATCAGCAGATAACTTTACTCACAAAATATGTACATCATACACAAGATACACAAGTAAAAGCTGCTTCGCCCTACCCATGCTAAGTAAAATATTCTACCACTTAGTTAGGCTGAAACAATACAAAACTGGACAATGACATCATACTAATAGCTATTCATCTCTATTTAGTCCATCTATGAGCGAGGCAATATCAAATGAGTTATACTGAAGAGGGGATACACACACCAAGGAAGTTCTTGATATCACTGTGCAAAATTGTTAGCAGTGCGGCCACTAATTATGAACCCTTGCATTGGGAGGCCAGCAAAAGATCCATACAGACTAAACTCACCAAAAATTCTGATCAGCCGAGAGCCAGTGGTTCATTGCATATAAAACCCCCATTTATCTTCGTTAAATGTGACTCTAGTCAAGAAAGAAGCATATGCCATTTAAACCCAAATTCCTGACCTGTCTCGACAACAACAACAGGCTTATCCTGAATTAGCCGCATCATAGCCTGTCTTTCCACCCACTACAAGGCCTACAAAGTCAAACATACGCTTGCTTTGCAGGATCCAGAAGAGGTAGTGACAAATATCGTACCATCATCTTCGTTGAGACTGAAAATAATAGTGACGGCAATACTCACCGTGTTTCTGGCGACATCACAGCTGGAATGACATACCAAACCAGGCCTGACGAACGCCCGGAAGTCTCACAAACCTTCCACCACGAAGAATTCCTTGGATGGGCCCAGTAGTTCAGATATCCCGCTGAGGTTATCCATGTGTGTTTGTCAGTTCCACCACCGCATTCCCAGAAGCGATTCAGTCCCAAGTCTTTGCACTATGAACCGTGCAAGTCCGACGAGACATTTTATGCCCCGGCGAGCGGCGCCCGGGATACTTCAAACGCACCGAATGGACTGAGACTAAAACGACTCCTGTATTGTTACAGGTTGATGTCATTGAGTAAGGTGCATCTCGAGAGTAATTGCAGGTGGATGTACCGGCCTTCTTGGCCATGTAATATATCCCCGTTATATATCAAGATGTATATAGAGGATATATTTTTTCTTCTTTTTTGCCATCTCGTCCCTACAAGCTATACCTTCACGGCTAATAGCCACAGTTTTAATTGACACTTTCCCAGGTCTTTATAAGTTAAATGCCTGCCAGAAAGTGTTGAACTTTGAAGCCGAATATTCATAACTAGAAGATATCTCCCGGTAGGTCGTTCTCACAAGAGCTGCCCCAGGGAGACAAAGTTGTACAAATGCCTCGAATGTTATCAGCTAGTCGTCATCTCAGCGAAAATGTGTAAATGAAATGGCGTAGTCCCAGTGACTAAGATACCAGCCAGCTTACAGACTCCCAGTCCACAAGTGTAACATCATAGTCGCACTTCTGCGGCGTATACTCGCTGGATTTGTAAATTATGAAATAGGTTTGATAGAGGCACATATATGTAACTTCTCGTCTCTGAAACGTCTCAATACACTCAGTTGTCTCGAGAACGCCATAACGAGGAAGAGGGTATCATCCGGGCCTCTATACATAGCATAGAGAGGCAATGATGCTCAACGTATAAAAGGTTCTGCCCTTCAACCTCGCTTGTTCCACGTCCATATTTGGTGATGAAGTGCTGGCCAACTCCCACCATCTACTCTGTAAGACGTTCTCCAAGCAACATCGTGGACGGCACAATCTCTTCTTTCATAGGGAACGGTCCGGCCAAGCCATCCGTATCATAAAGTATGAGAGCTGCACAGGCGTCCACATCTTGATAGCTTCTTTTTCGAAGCTCAAGTAATAAATCTATCACAATAAGGCTGAGTCAGTAAAGTAACGGTGTATTTATTTCCAGCCTCGCAGCCGCCACAAGGTTGTCCAGTCGTGCCGCAGATGAGTGGATGACTAATTCAACACAGACGAAAAGCCGAAAACCATCGCAAAGACAACGAACGAACGTCAACCCGCAGACTGCTAGTTTGTCTGTTTGCGAGAGAGATACGCCCAGTGGCTTCTTGCGCTTGGCGATATATAGACCGATGGCAGCTCCAACGGCATCCCTTTCACCGCTCCGGTTCGCCAATGGGTCGGCATCATATACCTTTCCGGCTGGTGAGAAGATCCTAGCCTCAGTCAACGGACCTGGCGAAGTAAGTCGACGCGATGTTCAGAATCCAGAGGAAGCAACCCTTGAGGTGCTGGTAAAGCCTGGCGTAGGCGTCAGTGGTCCGGGAGAGCGGTATGTCGAAGGAGTCCTGCGTGGGCTGTTGGGCCGAGTTATCCTCATGAGAGACAAAAATATGGCGCGCAAAGGGGTGGTCATTACTCTCGTTGTGGCTGAGAATCGCATTGTGGATGGCAAAGTGGACGTTCGAGGTGGAAGCGTAAGTATTCTCTTGTCAACTGGGACCCATGTATCCAATTCTTGTTTTACGGGCTCAAGTCTAAGGACCTGACATCTAACTTCCTACTCCTTTTAGTACCTCTCGATACTGCCTTCTCTATTACATGCCGCGCTCCTCGGATTGTTGTCGGCAGGCATACCAATGGCTATGACATATACTTCGTGCCTAATCGCCATATCACCTTCAAGCGACTTGCTCGCAAACCCATCGACGGAGCAGATAAAAACTAGCACTTCTTTGCACGTTTTGGCATTTTCCTCTAAGGGGAACCTCCTTCTAAGCGAAAGCCAGGGCTCTTTCAATTTACAGCAGTGGGAAGATGTCCACGATCTTGCAGAAAAGCTGTGCCATGCTACTGGCACTAACAATGGGGACGAAGACATCACAATGGACGGAGTGGCTGGCAATACTCCCAAGAATTTCATCCAAGAAACGGTTGAAGATAAGGTTAGAGAAGAATTTGCTTGGAAGCTTGCAGCTGCTTGAGGCATTGAAGGAAAGATGTGTATATCAATACACCATCGATAACCAGCCGAGAACACAATCACGCCGCTACCCTAGCAGTACCCTTGTGGCCATTGCACTGCCAAATATCCTAATTTAGAGACCTTGTTAAACCATACCTCGTCAACGGCTCCTGAGGTATCCTTGGTTACATGGCATATAATTGCTTCCAGAGGTCAATGCTTTCCCCCTGCCACCTCATCTAGGCAGACATTCTATGCCCTACGGCGTGCGGTGACAATGGCTTATACTTTTCCCTCGCTGGGATACCTGTCTGCAATGTATCGAGGGATTCAAATATTCCTTAGGTGACGCCAATGGATCGATATAGTAGCATGGAAGTAACAATATGAATGTCTTTACTGACCTTCTGGTTACTATCGTATGGATTTCGAATAAAGGGTTGATTTCATTTACTTTCTACCATTATCGTGTATAAAAACGGCCCCCGTCCTTCTTCACCCCAGCCTAATTCCGGTGATATACCTATCTAAAGCAAACATGAGCAAGTGAACAGCCTCGAAATATAAACCAAACCACTATATTCGATGTACTTTCCCTGGGAGACACAGGCCTCGTCATTTTTTCCTGCCGTCCATACGGCCTCTCGACATGTGTTCCGTTTTGTTTTGATGCACAAATATGCCCTAGGATAACTGTTTTATACAGCCAGTTTCCAGTTCATTCGCCGAGTGAAATGAGCTTTGGCGGCTACTCTGTTGTTCGACGGTTCCTAATCAGCATCGCTGAGCGAAAACTAATTAGTATGGATGGTACTCACTCCACTGTTTAGTGATCAATCATGGTGTTACACGCCATGATTCGAAGTGCGTATAAGTTGGCAATTTGCACCGCTAGCCCAACAAGTGCAGTGAGCACAAGGACGCCAATAACGGAAAGTGTCGCCATCATTGGGCTCATGGTATGGACTGGTCTGGCCCGGGCCAGCCTTTCTACCGGCATATTGTTTATCTCGCTTGAGTAACAAGCACTCCCGATTATCCCGATCCTGACTCCATTCTCAGTAAATGCAACCAAGTGTCCCTCTTCTTCAGTTATAGGGAGCATCTCAGGATCAATATCTACGTGATATTTTTCCATGTTAGACACTTATCTCAGTTGCGAAAACAAAACAGTCAACGTCGGATCCTGTTCTCGTGAATGAGGGAAATGCGAATATCAAGACCATGGAAGAGCCGGGTTGTCTGAATAAGGGTTATCTCATCCTTTTATTTCGAAGAGCGAGCATTGCCATCTATAAAGACATCCCACACTCGTTCCTCACAATCAAATATACTGGGTATATTCGAGTGTCTGGTCAGCCCTGTATCTGTGCAGAGAAAATAAAACAATCCTCAGAAGCTATGGAGGTTTAATATTGATATTATCCCAATAAAAGGTAATAAGCACGCTTTTTCTTTCTTATGGAGCGAACAGGTCATCAATAAAGGCGACAGAACATGATCATAAACCTTAGTTTATATTCCTCGGCATTCTCCAAAAAGGGAATAAGAAGCAGCTAGGAGCATTGGTTATATGGAACGCCACTGCTTTCCATCAACTACTCCAATAGCTATGCCGACGAGCCTAGTACGGAAAAGAAGGCTTCCCAACATCTCGCATGAGGGAGCGTCTATAGATGCTATACGCCCTAAAAATATTGGAAGACACTACTTCGGAGGGGAAAAGGCCCTTCTTGAAAATGGTTTATGCCCTTCAGGTCATGAATGGATGAAAAGGGGGTGCGCTAGTAGCAAACATCGCTTTGTTCAGGCAGACAGACACTCCGTTGATTTTCAGGGGTATATCAATCTCCATGCTGATCCTTCGATGGCCGCGCGCGGGGTAAACATACCATCGCATGTTTATGCCAGGTAACTCGACGGGGCTAGCATCCTGTGAGTTAGTACAGAGTGTATATGGCCCTACCTTTTACGCTCAGATGTAACATCCTAGGAACTCTAACTAATTAAAACAGGCCTAGCAAGGATTAGAGACGGCAAGAAATACAAGCTTTCCCCTCATTGCTTGACAGGAAAACATCCATGTTGAATGTTTCTTGGTTCTCTCTGATGCGCACGTCCGTGGCATATCCTTCCAGCCAGTTTATACAACTGTGCCTTCATGCCCTGCCACTGCTCTTTTTCGTGTGTAAAAGAGTTCTCTTCGCAGACTGATGTTGCACCCTGGGCTAAACGGGGCCTGGCCTTTTGCTATGCCTGTGTTGGAAGAGACTCAGTTAGCCTGCTAAACCCTACCTTGTGGGTATAGTTCAGGATGCATATACCTACATATACATTCTTGCTGCATCTCCCATGAATAGGCATACCCCAGGCCCAACATTTGGCCATGTTCCCGCCGCTTCTATGCGAATACCGTAGAGTACCTTAGGAAGATATCCGCAGCTATACGATAAATCGGTAGCAATGGGGTTGCCGTATAGCCTATATTGGCATATAAATATCCATGTTCTCACTCTCCAGAGTGTCTAGAGGACTCTATTCCGCAAGAATCCCCCATCCCATCGAACAATCCAAGCCCTGGGTGTCCGTAGCGATGCGCGTTCTCAAATTTGTGTGCCTGTTGGCCTCAGTTGCCGCAGCAAAGCCTACCTCATGGCCATCACACAAGGTCGTTGAGCGTCTTGACTTTGTCCCAGAAGGATGGCAGATGGTTGGTGCCGCAGACCCTACTGCTGTCATTGATTTTTGGCTTGCTATCGAGCGCGAAAACCCAGAAAAACTCTATGACACCATCTATGATGTCTCCACCCCCGGACGTGCACGATACGGCAAACATTTGAAACGCGAAGAATTGGATGATTTGGTGCGCCCAAGAGCAGAGACGAGTGAGAGCATTGTCAGCTGGCTCACTAACGGTGGCGTCAACCCTCAACGTATTCGAGATGAAGGAGATTGGATCAAGTTCTCCACCAATGTCAAGGTTGCTGAGCAGTTGATGAAGACTCAATTCCACGTTTTCAAGGACGATGTAAACTCTGCGTTGAGAATTCGAACTTTGGAATACTCCGTTCCCGCAGCTATATCCGCTCATGTCCAAATGATTCAGCCGACGACCTTATTCGGAAGACAGAAGCCACAGAACAGCTTGATCCTCAACCCCTTGACCAAAGATCTCGAGGGCATGTCGGTTGAAGAATTTGCTGCTTCCAAATGCAGTTATTTGGTTACTACTGCATGCCTTAGAGAATTGTATGGTCTCGGTGACCGTGTCACTCAGGCTAGAGACGATAACCGAATTGGTGTCTCCGGCTTTTTGGAGGAGTATGCCCAGTACCGTGACCTTGACCTCTTCCTATCTCGCTTTGAGCCGTCCGCGAAAGGATTCAACTTCAGCGTAGGCCTTATTGCAGGAGGAAAGAACACCCAGGGCGGCTCGGGAAGCTCTACTGAGGCTAACCTTGACATGCAATACGTCGTTGGTCTCTCTCACAAGGCAAAGGTGACCTATTACTCCACTGCTGGCCGTGGTCCATTGATTCCCGACCTATCTCAGCCAGATCAAGCCTCAAATAACAACGAGCCATACCTTGAACAGCTCCGCTACCTCGTGAAGCTCCCCAAGGACCAGCTTCCATCCGTATTGACAACTTCCTACGGAGACACTGAACAGAGCTTGCCAGCCAGCTACACCAAAGCCACCTGTGATCTTTTCGCTCAGCTCGGAACCATGGGTGTGTCCGTTATCTTCAGCAGCGGCGATACTGGTCCCGGCAGCTCATGCCAAACCAACGATGGCAAGAACTCGACTCGCTTCAACCCTATCTACCCAGCTTCATGTCCATTTGTGACTTCAATCGGTGGAACCGCCGGTACGGAGCCAGAGCGTGCTGTTTCATTCTCTTCTGGTGGATTCTCCGACAGATTCCCTCGTCCACAGTATCAGGATAATGCTGTTAAGGGTTACCTGAAGATACTGGGTAATCAGTGGAGTGGATTATTCAACCCCAATGGCCGAGCTTTCCCGGATATTGCTGCTCAGGGGTCAAATTTTGCCGTCTATGACAAGGGTAGGATGACTGGGGTTTCCGGCACCAGGTATGAACAATATCAGTCATGGTAACCTATATTTAATGAATACACTAACAAACTTTATAGTGCATCTGCTCCCGCTATGGCAGCCATTATCGCTCAGCTGAACGATTTCCGACTGGCAAAGGGTTCTCCTGTCCTCGGATTTTTGAACCCATGGATCTATTCCAAGGGTTTCTCTGGCTTTACGGATATTGTTGATGGAGGTTCTAAAGGCTGCACTGGTTATGATATTTACAGCGGCCTGAAGGCAAAGAAAGTTCCCTATGCCAGCTGGAACGCAACCAAGGGATGGGACCCAGTAACAGGATTTGGTACTCCCAATTTCCAAGCTCTCACTAAAGTGCTCCCCTAAGCGCCTCTACTCAACTTTTGAGCATTCCTGTTGAGTCAGATCCGCCTGGTCAATATGCTATAGCCACCATTATATGCACATGCATAATATATTTAGCACAACAAATCGAAATAACTTTCCAAGTGCCAGGAAGTGTAGTTCTATTTATATAATGGTGAACTTGGCGTGGGCGAGATGCAGCACACCCTGTTTAACTCGGTGTATCATCCATACTGATTGGGCCATTGTAAGGATCCATCGCTGGGATACATGCAAACGCTGTACTACTGCGGAACTCCCAACACATGGCGACGTGAACGCCGCTTCCGTTCTTTTCGCTCCTCTTCCTTCCTCGTCGGAATGGCGTACGGAGTATATAACTATATGTGTCTTCCCTGTGCTGGGTGCCCCGTATGAAGGCCGCCAAGGACCAGTTATTTTGCTGCATGTACGGAGATGCTTATTTTTGGTCCATAGCAAGGATGTTTCGCATCGAAGTCAGAATCCACCGCGATTCGAAGGAGCCGGACGACATGAAACCAGCAGAGGAGGCGGACCTTCCGGGCTGATCCCCCAGTTATTGACACAGACATCAAACATTCGCATATCAAACACCATGATGAATGTGCGAAGTTGGTTGACCACCGTATGTGCCAACTCTAAGAATGCCCGTCCACAGCAGCCAGGGAAGACTAGCGACGCCTGTCACATCTCATCGCTCCACCCTGACATGCAGCTTCGGAGGCTTCTTGCTTGCTGATGTGGCCGCTTGGGTGCTGACTCGCTCGATCTTGATACGAGGATGTGAGATATCAAACATGGTCTGCAGCAAGCCCTGTCTCCTTCATCCCTCTGTTCATGCTGGCTGACCGCATCCTTCAAGCGCTTAGTTAACTAGCTAGATAACTTGTTAGCTGGTTCGCTAGACGGAGTTCGGTAGACAGGCTACGTATAGTTATAAATATAGTGCCGACTTCCGCGGCCGCCGTCGACCCCCTACGCTGCTTAGAAGATCGATCTCTCTCTCAAGCAATCGAAGAAAAGATGAAAGATGGCTGTGGCATCTTCTAAGTCTGCTGTGTCTTTATTTATCCACAGTTAATAGGTATTAACAGGTAGTCGGTTACCCGCTGGTTGGATAGCGTAACTACCCTAGGCCTCCGAGCATCCCGAAGCACGAAACACACCATGGCCGCATCGATGGCAGCCGTCGATAGTGTAGGTATAGAAAGCAGCCATGAACAAAGCAACACAGGCTTGACTTTAGTGCCACCGGAAGTTTCATCGACCTCGCCTCAGCTCACACTGTCCTCGAACCCCTTACCAGCCAGCTACGGCCAGAACAACCGCAAGATCGAGGCCACCGGTTTGGCCATATGTCCCCAATCTCATGATGACGCCACAAGCCAACAAGTCCTTGATACTGCTCCACGAACCGGCGTTTCGCTAGCTGCCTCTCTGACTGGGGTCCTCAACCCGCAAGCCCGAAGTACAACCGCAGTTTCGAAGCATAAGATCGCCGAAGTCCAGACTTCTGATACCAACTCAAAGGATAACAGCGATTTTCTTGCTCATAAGCTCGCTGCGCTGTCCAGTTCACAAATACACGATACAGAAATTGAGAAATCAACTGCTCGCACATCTTTGAAATCGCCTTGTTATTTCCATCAGCGATTCGATGATGCAGTCAATATCGAACGAGTTCTGGATGAAGTAGTCAGTGATGAATGGATGTCACATTCCCGGTTGATGCAGACTGCCACCGGGGTTAGAGAGGTCTCAAAGCATTTGCAACGAAGGTCCATTAAGTTAGCCGTCAAGAATGTCATGATTGTCACCAAGGCACGCGATAACAGCCTAGTATATCTTACTCGAGAACTAGCCGAATGGCTACTGAGCACACCAAGATACGGCAGCGACCTAGGCGTCAATGTCTATGTGGATGCAAAACTGCGTCTATCGAAGCGTTTTGATACTCCCGGATTACTGGAGAAGAACCCACGATTTGAACATATGCTCAAATACTGGACCCCAGATCTCTGCTGGTCACACCCTGAGAAATTCGACCTGGTCATCACCCTTGGTGGCGATGGAACAGTTCTCTTTACTTCCTGGCTTTTCCAGCGCGTCGTTCCCCCAATCTTGTCATTCTCTCTGGGAAGCTTAGGCTTCTTGACGAATTTTGAATTCTCGAAGTACAAAGATCATCTCAACCAAATAATGGGAGATGTAGGAATGCGAGTAAATCTTCGCATGAGATTTACATGTACTGTGTATAGGTCCAACCCGAGGGATTGGAGCAAGACTACTCCAGCTGAGGAGGTGGAACGATTTGAGGTTGTCAACGAACTTGTCATTGACCGCGGCCCGTCTCCTTACGTCTCGAATCTAGAGGGTCTATGGTGACGATGAGCTTCTCACAGTTGTGCAGGCCGATGGCTGCATATTTTCAACACCAACAGGTATCCGTACCCGCAAATATATGAGGTGTATATCAGATCGCTAATACCTAATTTTCAGGTTCAACGGCCTACTCACTCTCAGCAGGTGGATCCCTAATCCATCCATCTATACCAGCTATTCTACTGACACCCATCTGTCCCCACACTCTATCATTCCGCCCTATGGTTCTTTCTGACACACTTCTCCTTCGCGTTGCTGTTCCCCGTCACTCTCGCTCCTCGGCATATTGCTCCTTTGATGGCAAAGGCCGCATAGAGTTACAACGCGGTGACTATGTCACTGTAGAAGCCAGCCAATACCCATTCCCAACTGTTGTCTCTCAAAGCGGAGAGTGGTTCCAGAGCGTCCGCCGCACTTTACGCTGGAACGTAAGAGGAGCCGTTCAAAAGGGCTGGAATGGCAGAGAGGACTGTCCTAATAGTGAAGTTAATACTTTGGCCCTCAACGCCGATAGAGCTTTCGACTCTGGACACTATGAAGAAGACAATTACGATGAACAAGATCCTGATTGGGATATCGATACCGATACCAATGCTGATTTGGGCCCCGGCGTCGACAGTGGCCTTGGACAGAGTGAATGTGGTGACTCGCCCAATACAGGGACGAGTAGCCCTATTCACAGAGTGATGAGTTTATTGAACATTTGATTATTGTGCCCCCCATCGACTTTATCATGTCCCTTCGCCTCAATTTTTTTTTTTTTTTTTCATTTCCTAATGTATGCCATTTTCTTAGGGTGGATTTTCGGTTACAGGCTCTTTTCTTACACTTTTTCTCTACCGGTCCGTTCGCCCAGCTGATACCTAGACATGACTTATACACGATTTATTCATACACCACGATGTTGATATGCTTAATGATCTCATGACTCTCATGAATTATATACGATGTTAGACCTGGTCTTCATTCTACTTCCTAGGCCTCCGCTATAATACTACATCCAATTCACGGTTGTAAAGTATCATTATACTTTGGCTGCAAGCGATCAACAGTCGTCTTATAAACCCGAGGTAACCCCGTATCTTCAAAGGTTACATTGTTGTCCAGTGCCATCTTTGCAATGGCCTTTCCCGCTAAAAAACATACCGGCATTCCATGACCATTGAACCCGGCAAGGATCAGCTGGCCATCTTTTGAAGGTACTTTGCCAATATGGGGCAAGGAATCCGCGGAATACCCCATTACTAAACCATCAAATTAGCATCTACCAAATGCAAATTACGTTTATTGGAAGAAAAGAGAAACACCATACCACCAGTCCAAACTTCCTTTGAATATGCACCACTGTCTTCCCAGCCGGCGAAAGTTCGTTGCATATAATCATCGAAGTACTCCTTAGCAATATCAATCAACACTCCATCATCCGGATTGTTATGCCATTGCTCCAGCAAGGGAGTGAATGTATGGCTTGCTCCGCCAACAATCATACTCCCATCAGGACGTGGAATAAGATATCCTCCTGCTCCAGACCCATGTCGAGTAACATATGTATGTTTTAGAGGCGGTGGTTCTTTCTTCCCATCTGTCGCAGGGGGGACCACAATATGACAGCATAGCCCTTTGCATGGAACAATTGCCTTTGCATATTCTGGAGCCAAAGCAGATGTATACGCATTCGATGCTAGGATGACATTCTTTGCACGTATAATTCCTCTATCATTACCAGTTGTAACCTTCCAGTACCCATCTTCGTCACGCTCAGTGCTAATTTCCAGCACGGGAGTGTTTGTTTGAAGATTCAATCCCTTGGAGACGGCAATCTCCAATAGACCTGATATGAATTTATACGGCCATATATGACCTGCCGGGAAAGAGATATACCCCTTTGCTCCCTTGACTTTCGTTTCCATGAGGTCATCCTGAGATAAAGGTTGTTCTGCAGTAGGAAATCGAAATATTGCATTCCTCATGAAATCATACTTCCCCTGTTGATAGGAGTCAGATGTCAACGGCTCAACTCCACGAAGGACTTTATCCATCACATCTTGATCAAAATAGACATCCAGCGATCTAGTCAAGGTAAGATCACAGTCTATCTTTTCTCGTTCAATCACATCCGCGAGTATCTTAAGATGGGATATCTCGTATTCAATAATTTCTGCTGCTGCTTCGACCCCATGCCGCGAAATGAATTTAGCGGCATGACCGTACATTTCAGGCCGGAGGTGGCCAGCTATATCATTTTTATTATTATTTGTTCAAAAAGTACCATAGAATTGGACGTACCATTTCTCCCTGTGGCCCCAGAACACAGCTGTCTAGCCTCAAGTAAGACGGTACTTGGTGGGGTCTCATTCTCTTGGAATATATGATATGCAACAGAGGCACCAGAGTAGCCTCCTCCAATGATCAAAATATCACATTCCGATGGTAAACTGGGAGTAGACCTGTGGGCATCCAGCTTATGAGGCGATGTGCGCCAAAACGGAGTATTATTATCGAAGCCAGCAGGTGGCTGAGGATATGGCCTTAAGCCCATTATTTAACAACTTCTATCCGGCTTCGGATTTAAACAGATAATAAAGTATAGACAGACAAGCAAAAAAGAAGTGTCCTAAGTCTCAGAAAAAATTGCCCAAGGCCTCTCATATAAGTTAGGATACGAAGAGGGGTCAGCTAGTTATGCAACGTATGATAACCAAACACCAAGTCTCGTAATAGTTCAAAGACCGTTTGATAAGCACATTGCAGATCAGAAAAAGGTCTATATCTTTCAAGAGAATGTTAATATAAGATAACATACATATATGTTTTCAAGACTAACAGTTTCTTTGTAGTTAATGACCCTTGTCAGACTTCTGCCTGGATATCTAGTCTATAAAGTAAAAGACTCAAGAAACCAAACCCCCATCTAGGAATGTAGACAACCTCCGTCTCCCAGGGCGCTCTATCATTATTTATTGTATGAAATTTAGAGAATTTTTCTTCAGGTTTCTGCCATTTTCAAATTTTATAGCCCATTTGGCCATGCTGTAGGCACTCTAATGGCTTTACACCTCTCACCAGTCGCAGCTCTCCGTCAATACGGCAGCAAGCTCCTCTAGCCCCTTCTTGTCAACTTCGTCAAACCCTGAGGGTTCAGCACAATCTATGTCAATGATTGCAACAGTCTATGGACAACGTTAATTGAAAATTGACAAATCAATAATAGCGCCAAAAGACTTACCTCTCCATTTACTAGAATAGGAACAACAATTTCACTCCTACTATCCGCATCACAAGCAATATGTCCTTCCCAATTCAGCACATCAGGTACAATCACGGTCTCTTTCCTTTCAGCCGCAGTGCCGCAAACACCTCTGCCAAAATTGATCCATTGGCAGGCTGGTTTACCCTGGAAAGGGCCTAGGAGAAGTTTGGTTTTGGAGCGAGAGGCCTCGGGTACGGAAGAGGGGAATTTATCTTCTCGGATATAGAATCCTGCCCAGTTTACCGAAGATGAAGGAGCCGGAAGACTGGCGTAGGCATGCCATAGGAGGGAGGCTACATTTGCAGTGTTGCTAAACAACGTCAGTAGTGTGAAATAGTAGGGAGAGGGCTGTTTGAACGGTACCTTATCTATTAACAATAGTAAAATTTCAGGCCTTAATTAGTTTCGTTAACACGTAACATAATATTGGCTGGGATGCGTACCCAATGCCGTTGTCCTTCTATCAGTCCCTTTGTCTGCTGTATGACTTGTTTATAGATCTCCTCCTTCGAGGCCCCTGCGGGGAAATATGATGAGTCTGCGTGTGGCTATACTACCCTTTAGCACCTATAGCGACTGATGAATGGATAAGACAGACCATTTTGACTGAAGTATATGTTTTTCAATCCAATCGACGGTATTGAGAGACAATAACTGAAATATTCAAATGCGTTCACCGTCGGTGGAACATGTTTAGTTCTATGGCGGGGAAGGCGGCCGAGGATTACTAAGAGGAGATAAGCTCGGAGATAAGCTATTTATATGAAACTTCAACCTTCATCGTTTTCCTAGCTATGAAGAAGGTAGAACATATTAACTGCATCACTCATTGTACTTCATTTTTCATTACGTAGCTATTTAATTTTCCAGGCACAAAACGTTGTCATCTTCGGCGCAAAAAGGCCTGGGTGAAGCAGCTCGATCCCTGTTCGTAAAGTTCCCGCCCGTTCCTCTCTCTAGATAGGCTGCTGTACTAAATGCAATAGCGAAACATGGGTTGACGTATTTCTTTGTTGTATTCATGTTGTGCCCCCCTTTGTTGTCGCCTTTTGTTTTCGGTAGAAAATACTGAAATGGTTTCACTTGGCTGAGGGCTTGATAACTTTCTTAACGACTTCCTCAACCTCGTCCCAGTCTCTGCTGTCCACTCTCATGATATCTGTTCCGAAGTATTTCTGGATATCCATGAGCATGGTCCATTCTTCCTTGTTGGACACAAAGGAGACTGCAACACCGACACGGCCGAATCGGCCTGTACGACCGATACGGTGAAGATAGGTTTGAGGATCGGCGACACGTTCCCCGGCACCAGGAGCATGGAGCTCGGGTATATCCTGAGCAGGAATGTTAGTTTAATGGTGTTGTTAAGACGTGTTTCATGTTAGAGCTGAACTGACGTAATTGATAACCATGGAGACAGTCTGTACATCTATTCCTCGGGCAAGTACGTTGGTAGTAATGAGTACTTTGGCGGTACCCTTACGGAAACTGTCGATAACCTCGTCACGCTTCTGACCCTCTACACCACCAGTAAGAGAGACGACAGTGTGGCCTTCATCTACCATGCGGCGTTCAATTTCAACAGCTGAGGCACGTGTCTAGAACATAGTTAGTCCTGTTGATTGCTGATCAATAAAAGAGAGGCAACAATACCTTGACGAAGATGATGGATGATCCGATTGTTAATAGACCATAGAATTTAACGAGAATTTCATATTTATGATCTGTGGAGTCGCAGTCGAGATACAGCTGCTTGATTCCCTCGACGGTGAGTTCTTCGTGCTTCAGAGTAAGCTGGTTGGCATTAGGCGCAAACTTGTGTGCATATCGGACGACAGAGTCTGGGAAAGTAGCTGAAAACAAGACTATCTGTGTGGTTTTTGGTAGAGATCTGGTGAAGCAGATTAGCATCCAATGAATTCGGATAGGTTTATTGGGCGAGTACTTACGACTTCATACGGATGCACTGGTCACCTAAACCTTGCTGATCCAACATGTTATCAGCCTCATCCAGCACCAAAACTTTAACGTGCTGTGTGTTGAACAGTCTCTTTCGAATGAAATCCTGGACAGTTCCCGGGGTGCCAACGACCAAGGAAGCTTCAACAGGCTGGTTTCTGTTCGTCTCCATGGGCACTAGCGTAGCAATCTTCAGTCCTTCAATGAAAGAGCCCATGACCTGCACCACACCAACGATCTGACGGGCAAGCTCACGACTAGGCGCGAGGATAAGAGCTTGTGGGACATTGATCATTTCGGGAGTAACTTCGAGGCGGCTGAGCACGTTGAGAACGAAAGCAGCTGTCTTTCCAGTTCCAGACTGAGATTGACCGATCATGTTCTGTGGAGGGTTCGACATGAGAAGTGGGAGGGCACGTTCCTGGATCTTGGATGGTCGACTAAATCGCATTTGACGCAAACCTCGCAGGACGGCCTCGTCGCTGAACAAGCAGCCGGGTATGAATAAGTCTGAGCCGTACAAATAAAGGGAGAAAGCAAGGAACGAACGAGGTAGGGTGGCGACTCACAGGCCGAGTTCTTCGAAGCTCTTGATGGAGTATAGAGGGTTGTTTGGATCCGCCTGGAGGTCACTCAGCTGGACGTTGACGGTGTATTCAGAGTCACGAAGCATCGAGGCTCCTGTCCGGTAAGCAGCACCATCTGTCTGAGCATCTTCAACGCCGCCTGAAGATTCTTCTGGCTGTGTATCAACCTCCTTTCCCTTGGAGTCCGCAAACGAAGCTCTGTCTGCCAGCGGGGTACCAGCTGCTGGGTTTTCGGACGCCATGGTTACGGTGTAGTCGCGGTTGCGAGGGTGGATGATCGGTTTCAGCGGTCAAAAAGAGGTAGAGGACGCCGAATGCAGGTCAGAAAGGCGGTTGCTGTGTTTTTATTGATTGAGTGAGTAGTATTGATAGCAGCCTGCGTGAAGAGATTGTTTACCTAGTTATCGTGTCGCGGGGAGATCAGCACGCTGGGTATCAGTTTTGAAACCGCCACCGAGTGTCGACTTGGAGTAGCTGGGCGATAGCTACAGCCAAACGAGACTATCCTAAGGTTAGATATATCTTCCTGCTCTGTCGAGTGATTCCTCGACAGCGTCTTTGGCCTTTTTGTCTCGTCTTCGACTTCTTTTTGCTGCCGAAATTGAAGAAGCTCAAAGGGCGATGTTGCTTAGTCAGCTGTAAAACTAGTTTGTGGCTAGCAAAAGGGGTAATATCATTGGATACTTTTTAATTTCAGAGCTCTTCTATTGGTTAAACTTTAAATTATTAACGTGACCACTAGTAAATTGAATGAGGTTATGATGACTAAGCTTTCCTCCGCTCTTTAGAAGATATTGAGAATTTGAGATGCTCTAAAAGACTTGAAGAGTTTGATATTAAGAGGCTTAAGAGAAGCTTAGGAGGCAGTTGGACACAAGGTGAACAGTAGTCATATGTTTTTTTATCAATGTTGCATTGTGACTACTTTAACTACAGTCTTATTCACCTAAAAAGTCTTTGATATCTATTGTTTCAATAGCATCAAGCTAGTAGTTAGTTAGCTAACAAATGGCATGCAATGTAGAGACGAAAGCCTAGGATATCCTAGCACAATAGCGGAGGTCAACTAGTTATTCACTGTCTTACCTGCTATAGGGGAGATAGTAGTAGATAAACAGGTGCTCAGTTTCCTCGAATCCTATCTACAACAAACAAGTCAATATCGTAGAGAAACTGCTACCCGCCCTCCAGTAACTTATAAGCAGGTCGTAACTAGGTACGACGTAGATAGTTGGTAGTAAACAGATCGTATCCAGGGCATCCTTTTTGTGTTGTCTCAAATATGCAGCCTGATTACGTAGTTGGTTGCTCTGGCTGTGGCTTGGAGGCGTCAAAAGTGGCTGCTGGGATTCGCATAGTGACTTACAACCGGAACAAACAACCACCAGAGGCAACGAAGAGACACACGACCGGAAGAAACGAGAAGGACGAGCGAAAAGGGACCGTATACAGCTGCTGCAGATGCTAGCTATGCATGCTCTCTCCTGCGGCTCTGCTCTACCGGGTGCTTTCCATGCTCGCTGGGCCGCTGGCCTCTGAATCCAACCCGCCCGGTCCCTTGAGATAAACAAGTATACATCTGTCTTGACCGGGTAGACGATAATAAACAACAACTACATAAGCGATGGCGGACACGGTCAACCCGCAGTTCGGCGCGGAGCTCAAGGTAAGTCACTTCGCACCTTATCAAGTTCGGGTTCATTAGCTCACTGCTGGGGACAGGATGCCTTCAAGCCCGTAAACGCCTGGGTACGTTTGAGATGGAACATACGACCCCCTCCCCCCACAACAAGACAGCAACAGTTTTATTGACAGCGCCCAGGTCTCCGTCGGCATAAACTGGCTAGATGAGATACAGCAGTTCTACCGCGACCGCAGCGTGATCGAAAAGGAGTACGCAGCGAAAATAACCGCTCTCTGTCGCAAATATCATGATCGCAAGTCGAAGAAGTCCAGCACCCTCAGCGTCGGAGATACCCCCGTCATGACCCCCGGATCGCTTGAGTCAGCTTCCCTGACGACCTGGACTACACAACTAACAGCCCTGGAGGCAGAGGCCTCAGCCCGAGACAAGTTTGGTGCCGATCTGGTCTTTCGGATAGCGGAGCCGTTGAAGCAGACTGCAGGGAGGTTGGAGGAGTTGCGCAAGAACCACTCGGAGTATGCGACAAAGCTGGAAAAGGAACGGGATGCGTCCTACGGTGACTTGAAGAAGAGTAAAGGGAAATACGACGGAGTCTGTCAGGAGGTCGAGAATAAGAGGAAGAAGGTAGAGGGCTCGTTTGACCATGGAAAGCAGAAGGCTCAGCTTTCATATCAAAATCAGATTGCGGAGATGAATAATGTCAAGGTATGTCTTTCCACTCCTCTTCACTTATTCAAGGATGATGCTAATTGTTTCTGTAGAATACGTATCTAATTGCTATAAACGTCACGAATAAACTAAAAGAGAAATATTATCATGAATATGTACCAGAATTGCTTAATGTGAGCTACCACTCCTTTTCGGGCTGTCCTCCTCTGCTAATGCTAGTATAGGGCCTACAGGACCTGAATGAAACCAGGGTGGGCAAGCTGAATGCCATTTGGACACTGGCCGCAGAGCTGGAGAAGGCTACACTAGCCCAGGGCCAGGAACAGGTTTCACACATCCTGACCGAGATCCCACGCAACGAACCTCGACTAGACTCAATGATGTTTATGCGCCACAACACTGCTCACTGGCAGGAGCCGCTAGACATGCAGTTCGAGCCCAGTCCCGTATGGCACGACGAGCCCACCATGGTCATTGATGAGCCAGCCAAGGTGTTCCTACGCAACTTGCAGAGCAAGAGCAAGAGCCAGATGAAGGAGCTGAAGGCCGAAGCAGACAAGAAGAGACGGGAAGTGGAGAATGCAAAGAAGGTCCGACAGAGCATCCGCGATGGTACCGATAAGCGTGACGAGGTCGAGGTCGTGCGGGCCGTATTTGCCCTGCAAGAGGACCTCCATCTGCTCGACCGGAAACGGCTGACTGGCGAGATCGAAGTATCAACCGTCTCCTCCGTAGTAGGTGACCTTTCGCTGGGAGCAAAGAACCATAACTTCCGGGCACAGACATTCAAAATTCCTACCAACTGTGACCTGTGCGGTGAGAGGATATGGGGTCTCTCAGCCAAGGGGTTCGACTGTCGAGATTGTGGCTATACGTGCCATAACAAATGCGAGATGAAGGTGCCCGCCGAGTGTCCCGGCGAACAGACCAAGGAAGAGCGGAAGAAGCTGAAGATTGAGAGACAGGAGCAGGCCAATGCGGCTCCAGCAGCACTGCCGGACATCAGTCCACGCGTTTCGACGCCTAGCACGGCTGAACTTCCAGCCTTGTCGAGACGGGATACCATGAACTCGTTGAGTTCTGGATACTCGTCCAATGCGATTAACAAATCTACTTCCGCGCTGTCTATCAGCCAACCTGCCAATGGCGGGACAACTTCAACATCACCGGCTATAGCTGAGCTACCAGATACGAGTGGCACTACCCCTACTGCTGCTGCCCCTGCTGCCACAAAGAAGCCGGCCGTAGCTGCTCCGAGGAAGAACCGGATACTGGCTCCTCCTCCGGCGCAGTACGTGAGTGCACCCCCTGCACCGTCGGCCAACGACTCCAAGGGAAGCTCTGCCGAGCCTGGCGGGAAGATGATGTATGCCTACCAGGCCAATGGGGAGGATGAGATAACAGTAGACGAGGGGCAAGAGGTCGTCGTCGTCGAATCAGACGGTACTATTTTCCTTTCCTAGCATTAATTCCCCCCTGTTCCCCTATATAATGTCCAACAACTAACAAGCGTAGACGGCTCTGGCTGGATGCGGGTGCGAGCCAACGGACAAACGGGTCTAGTCCCAGCCTCCTACGTCGAACTATCACCAACACCTGCAGCATCACCCAACCCCAACGGCAGCAGCAGCACTGCCCATGACAACGGCAACGGTCGCCCTGAGTCAACATACTCCACCTCTAGCGCTTCACTTGCGAGCGGCACTAACCCAGCAGCAGCCGGTAAACGACGCGGTCCTGCCGTGGCCCCCAAACGAGGAGCAAAGAAGCTGCAGTACGTAGTAGCCATGTATGACTACGAGGCGCGCACCGATGCCGAATGGAGTATGTCTGAAGGTGACCGGTTCGTGCTGGTCAATCGAGACAGCGGCAACGGCTGGGCGGACGTCGAGAAGGGAGGCCTGACCAAGTGTGTGCCAGCTAATTACATCGAAGATGCATGATTTGTCCTGGCCCATCTCTCTTCTTCATGCATGTATATAGCATGATTAAATGCTACTTGGGTTTAGATGGTTGGATATGTCTCGTTCTCCTATTTTTGTCATCCCCACGCATGTACATTTGGTTATGCGGCTTTCTCACTCAGCCCGTCGCTGTCTCCAGCTCTGCTCCTGCTCTATGTTTGGCCCCCCTGAGCCTGAGGATGACCGACGATGACTTGATGCCGATGACGCCGGCCAAGCGATGTGCAACTTCATTGCAGTGTGAAACAGGGTGGATAGAAGCACAGCGCACGAGAAGTGAGAAGGGAGACAGCCACTCCCCTTGCCAATGATGATTAAGATCATCAGGGGGCCGCCGATGCCGTCTCTCTCTCAGATCATCGTCTTTTCTTCTTCTGGCGCTTTCCTGTCATCGTGCCACCGCCACCTACAAGCATGGACAAGGCTCTCTCCACCAGTCGACACAGAGTCACTTAGTCAAGGACGGACAGGGCCATCGACTGGCTGATCAAGAGTCATGGGCCCAGAGTAGCTCGGCGGGTCAGAGTGACTTGCTGCCTGGTGGGAAACGCTGGCAAACCGAAGTACCGCGGCCCCAGCCCCTGACCCGCCCTGCATCGTCCTTTCTTACGCGGCTTGCTTGGTGGATCAGAAAAAGTAAAACATCGAGAAAGTTGGATTTCAGGGCTTTTTCTTTACTTAGAGACGGCCATCTCACTTGTTCTTCTTCTTCCTCTGCTTCTTCTTTTTTCAACTTTCGTATCTTCTTCACTTTCGTTCACTCACTCGTTATTCCTACTTACTCACCAAAGGGAAAGCAAGATACACGCTCGTTTCAAGGCGTCTCTTTCCCTCGGGCTCGTCACTCTTTAAACAGCCCGCCTTATTTCTCTCGCTCTCTCGACTTCAGTGTCAGCTTCCGCTTCGATTTCGACTTCGATTTCACGATGAAGGCCACTATTGCTACCTTGGCCGTTGCCCTCGGGGCCTCCACTGCCCTCGCTGGCTCTATTACTCCGGTCACCGTCAAGGGAAATGGTAGGCTGCGACCGGACCTGCACAATAACACAACCGGCGGCTAACAGTGTCAACAGCTTTCTTCAAGGGAGATGAGCGCTTTTACATCCGTGGAGTGTAAGTATTGCTCTATATATCTGCTGCATATCTCTGTCTTGTTCTTTTGTACGAGATTGCTAACAAGTTGACGTTGATAGTGATTACCAGCCTGTACGTGATAAGAGATAAGCAACAGCAGAAGCGCCAGACATTACGATTAACACTCGACAGGGCGGTTCCTCCAAAGTCGTCGATCCTATTGCCGATGTTGAGACCTGCAAGCGAGACATCAAGTACTTCAAGGAACTTGGCCTCAACACCATCCGTATTTACACCGTCGACAACACCAAGAACCATGACGAGTGCATGAAGCTCCTCGCCGATGCTGGCATCTACCTCGTCCTCGACGTCAACACCCCCAAGTACTCTCTCAACCGAGCTGGTATGTTCCATGTTTGCTCGGCAAATCTGACATCGAATGTCAGTGCTAATTGACTTGTGCAGATCCCGAGATCTCTTACAATGCTGTCTATCTCCAGAGCATCTTTGCTACTGTCCAGATGTTCGCCAAGTACGACAACACCTTGGCCTTTTTCTCTGGAAATGAGGTCATCAACGATGGCAAGACTTCCACAGTTGCTCCTTTCGTCAAGGCCGTCACCCGTGACATCCGTAATTTCATCAAGCAGCGCGGTCTCAGAAAGGTTCCAGTTGGCTACTCTGCTGTATGTCATTGTTCATTCTTCCAGGAGATATTCTAGATAAACTAACGAGTGCTAGGCCGACATCGACTCCAACCGCGAGCAAACTGCTCACTACATGAACTGCGGCTCTGATGAGGAGCGTAGCGACTTCTTCGCCTTCAACGACTACTCCTGGTGCTCTCCATCTTCCTTCCAGACCTCTGGATGGGACAAGAAGGTTGAGACATTCTCCGACTACGGCATTCCCATCTTCTTGTCTGAGTATGGATGCAACCTCAACAAGCGTGACTTCAGCGAGGTCGAGTCTCTCTACTCCAAGGAGATGACTGGCGTCTACTCTGGCGGTCTCGTCTACGAATACTCCCAGGAGCCCAGCAACTACGGTCTTGTTGAGATCAAGGGTAGCTCTGATCCATCCAAGCTCAAGGACTACAACGCCCTCAAGGAGGCATTCAGCAAGGTCAAGAACCCCTCTGGTGACGGTGGTTACAACAAGAAGGGCGGTGCCAGCAAGTGCCCTGCCAAGAAGGCCCCCGTCTGGGATGTTAACGGCGAGGAGAAACTCCCAACTCTCCCAACTGATGCTCAGAAGTACATGAAGGATGGTGCTGGTGATGGCCCAGGTCTCACCGGCTCCGGTAGTCAGTCCTCTGGATCCAAGGCTGAAGGCCCCAACACCAGCGGTGACAGCAATGGTGGTTCCTCTGGCTCAGGCAACAATGGCAACCATAGCGCCGCTGCTGGTCTTCATGCCCCTGCTTCCCTTGCAGTTGTCGTCGCTATCGGCCTGTCCACCCTCTTTGGTGCATCCATGATCATGATCTAAAGGGTTCGTTTTTCTTGTACAGTCGGTTGCGTATTAATGTCCCCCCTGGGTTTGAAATGGATGGGTGCCTGGGATCTGGTAACCCTTGCTCAACATTGTGTTTTAAAGCGGAGTGGCCTTCCCTTGTATGAACGAATAGGCCTTCGGTAGTCGTATATTGCAGTTGTCAGCCGGTCTTCTGAAGTCTTTGCGTTATTGTTCTGAATTTGATTTCCCTTTTTCTATTCTTCTACTTCTTTTATTCTTTTACTCGTTAGCTTGCTCCGCTTCTAGACTGTATTAACTTAATGATTAATATTGATTCATTTACCACTGTCCAGCTCTCTTTTCCTTCAAGCTCGCATGGTCGTCTAAACATCCAATCGTCTTCGGTCTTCTAGTGTACTTGGTCTTCTGCCGGAAATAGCGGAAACCGCCGACTTTGTTCTCCAAGCCCGGGTGGTCTAGTTGGCTATGATTCTCGCTTAGGGCCTTAACCCTAAGTACTTATATGCGAGAGGTCCCGCGTTCGAATCGCGGCTCGGGCCCATTCTTTTTTGTCTTTTTGCTACTGATAGATAGATGTCGAAGCTAGAAAGTAGGTGTATCCTATCTTCTTCGACTGTTGTTATTTTTGGTTGGTTAGCTGTATTTTTGGAGGCTGTGTTGGAAGCTGCAGTTATTGATTGGTCAAGTGTCGTTGACTCAGGGGTAAAAAGTAAGTGAGCGTGAAGAGCAGTAAGTAAGGAGTAAAAGAAGAAGGAAAACGACGGTGACATGAATATAGGCTGCTCATAGAGATATAATCAACTGGTACATTCTAATCACAAATAAAACATGCTCTCTTCGTAATCATTCATGCATTTTCTGACTGTACGGTTTGCTATATCAAGAACAAACATTAGCATCATATACAAATGATAATCAGTATAAACGAAATGTCACTTACCACTAGCCAGTCCATTCCCTCGTTGATACCCTTGCCATCAATGGCAGAACACGCCACTATACTCCAGTTTCGATCTCGTAGCTCTCCCAGCTTCAAAGCTTCTGATATCTCACCAGCCCCTTTGGCGCCAGGCTGATCCTGCTTGTTTGCAAAGACCAATAGCGCGGCCTCTCGTAGCTCTTCCTCGTTAAGCATCGCAGCTAGCTCGTCTGATGCTGTACCCAGTCGCTCAATGTCTGTTGAGTCAATAACGAATATTACAGCAGCTGTATTGGCATAGTAGCATCTCCAGTAGGGCCGTATGGATGTTTGACCTCCAAGATCCTGTTCGTGTTTACCTGTTAGATCCTTGACGCTGATACTTCAAAGATGATGTTACGCTGTTATGGCGTCAAGGGGTACTCACCCAAACGTTAAAGTTAAGATTTTTATATGTGACTGACTCGACATTGAATCCAATGGTAGGTATTGTAGTAACGACCTCTCCGATCTATATCATGGTGATGACAGAATGTAAGCTTCTCTTCACTTTACTCGCGGGTTGTCGGGCTGTTGATCTGACGGCGGAAATAGAGAGGGTTCACACCTTTAACCGATAAAGGAGGGTGGTTTTGCCAGCATTATCCTATAATCCAAGAGCACCAGTTAGCACCCACCCCGTAAAAAAAATGCTTCTAGATGTGAGTGCTGTGGGGGTACAGGTCCATACAAGTCCCAGTATCAGAATCCGGATCTCCTTCTTTGTCCACAACCAGCCGGATACAAGCTTAGATAGTGATCCACCCATTTTGTCTGTAGATATCCAGTTAACCCAAGTGGTATGCGTTCAAAGGACGGCGGTGGTTCAGGGTAAGAGCCTGACCGCCAGACAAGGATATGCAGGCGTATAAAGCGTCAAAGCACGCCGTCAGGTAGCTCTTTTTGTAGTCTGGCGGAGACGGAGAGACTTCGTCCAGCAGATATGTCCCCTAGGTACGTTATAGGGGGCGGTAGCGGCTGTTATCGTATCGTCGTCAAGAGGAGAAGCGTTGGCGGGTTCAAGGGGCGCTTTGTAGGCGAGTTGACTGGTCTGCGCGGGCAAAAAAGAGACGGCTCTCCGGGTATTTGATAAAAAGGGAGAAAAAGAGACAGGAAAAGACGAGAGTTAACTGCAGCAAAAACCAGCGCAGAGTAACTTCTTAACGGCTTTCTGCAGGCCGAAAAATAACTAGTAAATACATTCATCCATTACAAATTAACTAGAGGTGAGGGCGTGGGCCGCAGTGTTTCTTCTTCCTAGTGGCGTTTTCTCCCTCAAGCTGCAGACCAGCAAGCTTCGATCGCCAAAACCGCAACGACCTGCAACCAACTCTCCAGCCTCACAGCCCACGACAACGACTAGCTAGCCAACCTGTCGTTCAGCGGGTTGACGGTAACTTAAGGCACTCGTTCGCATACTCGAGCTGCCGGATATTGATCCAGATCGAAGGTCTACCGAAATATAGATCTATTTACGCGGGAATATACTGGCCTAAAAGGCGATCGCAGCCATGGGGAAGAAATCAAGATCAATGCGCGATGAGGGTAAGAACAACATCTAGAGCCGTTGAAACGAATTCATTAGAATTGGCTTGCTGACTTATTGTTTATTGATGGGACTACAGGCCTCCAACGGACAGATAATAGCATGGACCTAACCAGCTGGCCGCAAGTTGTTGCTATCAATCAGAAAAACTACTACACGTACGTGCAGGCGAACCCAGGTAGACTCAGTCGCGAGAGACGTGTCTTCTCTACTACGCAGATAGACATTTCATAGGAAAGCTCCGGCTAATTCATCACGGTATCTTTCTCAGTGACTACTTAAAACGAGACGACCAATTTCTCGCATACCGGCTACAAAATGAAGAAAACAGAAACCGAATGGCAAAAGCGGCAAAGGAACGGGATAGAGCCCTTGCCATGTCAAAACAGAATGAGCTACCGCTACCGGAGGAAGAAGCAGATCCAGATACCACAATGGCAGAAGCGGAAAATGAAGAGGAGGAGGCTGTGGCTGGCTCAAAGACTATTGTGGTGCATGTTGGAAGCCAGAATTTGCGCATTGGGCTTGCAAGTGATGCCCTGCCAAAGACTATTCCCATGGTTATAGCGCACAGATCAGATATGAATGAGTCTGAAGAAAATGGGGGCGAGCCCAAGCCGAAACGTCTGAAAATGGATGATGGTGAGCTAATGGAACCGGAGAAGATGTTTGGACCTGATGTGAGTCGCAATCCCATTGGAGGGTATGTGCACAGAGACTAATAGGATACATCCCAGTTTGGTATTCTTTATACGAATATGTGCTCAGACCTAAAAGCACATATGCGCCAAAACAAACGGAGGACTCTGCCAAATTCCAAGGAGATGGTTGTAAATTACAACCGACGAACACCGCCAGAGACGATATCCGAGCACAATGATGCAATGAGAGTTGAGTGGACCGAAATACCCAACAACCCTAACCTTGCTCCTCACTATGTAGTTGGAGAAGCTGCATTGAGGATCCCAGACCTCTCCAAGCCTCGATATAAGCTCTACTGGCCATTACGGAATGGCTGGTGCAACGAAAAGGATTACAACAGCATAAACTTGTTGTTCTTGGACATTGCCCGGATATTGGAAGATGCGATGAAAACCCAACTGAACCTGTCACAAACCAAAGACTGGGGTCAATATTCCTGTGTCTTTGTGATACCCGACCTCTACGAAAAATTATATGTCACGCAAATACTTGATACTCTTATGCGCGAGCTCGGCTTTGGGCGCGTATGTTTTGTTCAGGAGAGTTTGGCCGGTACATTCGGTGCTGGGTACACTGCAGCCTGCGTTGTTGATATCGGTGCACAAAAGACATCGATATGTTGTGTAGAAGAGGGGATGTGTATTGAAAACTCCCGCGTCAATCTGAAATTTGGCGGATCAGATGTTACCGAGACATTTATCAAGATGATGCTTTATGACCACTTCCCATACGAGGAGATCAACTTGAACCGGCGATATGACTTCTTATTGGCGGAGGAACTTAAGAAGAATGTTGCAACTCTTAACGAGACCAATGTTTCTGTACAAGTATTTGACTTCCACCTTCGTGTGTCAGGCCAGGATACGAGAAAGTACACGTTCAAAGCGTACGATGAGATTATTCTGGCTCCCATGGGCATTTTCCAGCCGGAGATTTTCGACAATTCACAGAAAATGGTCGGACGGAGGAAGTTTATTAAGCGTTCCTTTGATCTATATGACAGGTTACCAAACGACCCTACTTCAACTGCTCAAGCTGAGGTTCTAGCCACTATTTCGCCTCCGCTAGCCGCCACAACGAACAACGGAACGAGTAATGAAACAGCTTTCCATGTTAATGGAACAGATCCTCAAGCTACACCTAGCCGCACGCAAAGTCATAATATCTTGGGCCGTGTACAGGATCTCGAAGGAACTCCACGATCTTCCGCAGCCGGATCTCCCACTCCAGACTCTGCGCCAAATCAAAACTCCCAAGGGGGCACCTCAACACCCATCAGACCCCAGGGTGGTGGTGGTTCTAACGCTCCCCCGACCTCCCAAAGCATACCTGTGGTCGAAATGCGGGACGATGTCCTGCCAGTATGGCCTCTTGAAGACGCTATATTTACCTCCATTACCCACGCAGCTCGCGGTGACCCCCGCAAGTTCAATGACTTTATTGGCGGAGTCCTCGTAATTGGAGGTGGCAGTCTTGTTTCCGGCTTCCATGCTTTTCTTGAAGAGAGAATGCAGCTCAAGCGTCCTGACATTGCAAGTCATGTCATGGTTGGCACACCACCTCGAGAACTCGACCCGCAAGTGGTTGTATGGAAAGGTGCCAGTGTCTTCGGCAAACTGGATGCATCAAATGAAAGCTGGATTGGCCGGCTGGAATATGATCGGCTTGGGAGTAGGGTAATGACCTATAAATGTATGTGGCAATGGTAATACTGGGATTTTTTTTATCGGTACTATGAAACACTACGGAATACCAGATGGTTTATTCTTAATCAATCGTTCAAGTTGATCAATTCGCCTTTTTCTATTGTTCCCTGCAATGAGCCTTCTTGATAGACTGGATTATGTAATGCAGGACTTCGGCTCTTTGTTTATCCGAGAGCGGTGACGCTTGGCAGAACAGCTCCTGGTTCACCGCGAAACTTCGCAAAAAGACGAAGATGATGAGGGAAGACGACGAGGAGCTTGTCCTTCTTCCTCCAACACACGTTTGAACGGGATAAAAGACCTCGCTGAAGATACCAAGTCTAAGTCCCGCAACGAGTATATTTCGTCTGTTCTGCGCCACCGACTCCATTGGAGTAAAAGGTACCAATCTGTGAATGTCAAGCTTGGTCCTGGCGCAAACTGCATTAGTACTGACCTACTTCACCAGGGAGAAAGAACCTATATCGATATAATACTGCTACATACTCGAGATAGAGAAGATGTCGAAATCAAAGGATAGCGGCCCCTCTGGCAGCTATCACCAGGAGTATATTGCGTCCCTACGATATCGCAATGATCTTCCTCCGCCAGAGATGCCTCCTAAGTTCTTGGACATTCCGCACGAAGGACTAGAGCGTTTCCTAACGGCTGGTTTTGCGTCCAACATGGTGCGCCGGGAAGAACCCAACATTGACGTTGATGCCGAGGGTGGAATGCCAATTGACTTGGTTGGCATACCAGGCCTGCATTTGGGGGACGAGAGCGGTAAGCTATGAGGCTTTTTGCAATTCTGTCGTTTCTATGCCTAACTTATATTTCTCGATATATAGCTATCATGGCCCCCGAAAACCCTCCACCAATAGATCCAGCTGACTTGCCTCTTCTCATGACGTTGGATCAGCTGAGGAACCCGGCGCCAAAGAATGTGAATGTTAGTTTCCTTAGACGAACACAATACATCGCATCAAGTGGCATGGCCCGTGGTATTGATTCAAAGGGGTCTGTCTTCATCGGAGGTCCTCGCAAGGGAGCAAAGCCGAAGCCATCCCGTGACGATCCTACATACGTCAAGAAGTACATCCAAAAGGGCTTTGATGTCGCTTATCCGAAAAGCAAACATTCCGGTCCAGATACCGCGGGCCAGATTCAGGGTTTGACACCAACAAAGGCTGAACTCGATGCATGGGCAAATCCCGTTCATCCAGATAACCCAAAACTTAAGCCCGTTGGTTTTTATCCCGTCATTCCAGACGTGGACGGATTTCCTGATTCCGGTGGATTCTTACAATTCAAGTTTGACAAAACACCAGTTCCGCCAGTTAATGGGCGGCGTGATGAACGTATGGATATGTCTATCCTTATCCCGTCATCACCAGAACCTAGAGTCTTGCAACAACACACCTCCAAGTCTCAACTACACAAGGCAAACCCAGCCCTCTACCCAGACCCTGGCCCAATTCCTTTCGATTACGACTTATATCTCCCACAGAAGCAAAGTTCTACAAAACAAATCCGACGAAGTCTCAACATGACCAACCCCAACCGAGACAGCACGTCAAACTATGCCCATGAAAATTCATCTGGAGATAAATATCATCACTATGACAGACTCCGAACATATGCAACAAACTCTCAAGTCTTGAACACAGAGCATAAGTACAAAGACGTCTCTATAGTACTGTTTGATCCCGCCGAGATACCAGAAGGTGAACGTGATATGTTCAGGCTAAACCAAAAAGCCGCATACTATTACCCAATCATCTCAAAAACGCGCATAAAGCCAGAGCGTTCTCAAAAGATTGCCCGGGCAGGCCTAGCGCCAACTAGAGCTACCGCTAAGGAAGATCAGGTTGATCAGATACAAGTTAAGCTACGTGATCCGATCATGGAAGAGTCACATAAACGTGCAGGGCATCGAGCTCAGATTGATTCCAAATACACGAATCCCTTTTCTGCAGAAGAGCCGGAAAAGAGCCAAAATGAGGCTGATGTGCCTGGTGATGAAGAAATGGCTGATAATGACAACGACGACTAAAAAAAACAATTGTGCAATATCACAAAAACAATATACTACTTGTTTTAGTTATGGCGTTATATAGGCGTTTGCATAGAAAGCACTGAACTAGAACTCTCTTGAGCCGTTTAGTTGATTGCTTGATTTCTTTCAATCTTGTCTACATAATTCTTTTATTTGATGATGTACTCGAGCGTCTTCAGATGTCATGCCTATCATTTTTCAAATAAAAGAGTTACCGCCATAGGCTCTTGGCATCATTAGGCAAAGGATGGTGGTTAATGTCATCTTCTCAATTGAATGTATGTTATCGATATCACATGCTTAAATCAACAGAAATGCCTTGTATATTCGTCACGGTAGAAACGCCTTAATCAAAACCAGTACTTTATTCATCAACACCGTAGATAAAAGCAGCAAATTGCAATGCAAAATCAGTCATCAAGTTCGGCTGAACTTGTATTGTTCGAGCTGTCAGGCCCGCTCCCGCTGGGCTCATCATTCGCATTGCTCTGCTCCGCAACATGGCCGGGGTCGTCTTGATTTTCATTAGGGCTGGATGTGGTATGGACCACTGCGGCGCTTTCATTCATAGGCCTTATAGGTTGTTGACGCTGGTGAATCACCTCGATAAATCGGCGTAGAACTCTTGCCACGCAAATAATTACAATTCCCCCAAGAAGTAAGTTCGTTGAAAAGTACTGTGATATGTTGAAGCCAGCATAGACGAAACCATTTGATAGAGCAGCACCCTCCGTATTGTGAGGCGATGACGAGCCTGACGAGTATGTGAATGAGACACCAAGTGGGAAAACGGAGAATGAAAAACTAAAAGGCGAGTGAGGGGGAGTAGGAGTAGCAGTGGTGGTAGTATTAGTGGTCTTTCTGGGTGCCGAAAAGCCTAAGAGGGCCAACATAGCCGAGATGAGAGTCGGTAGGAACCATATGCAAAACATGAATAGGAATGGAAGAAGAGCAGATATAGGAAAGCTACTTCTAATACCGCCCCGTAGCCTGAAGACTGTTAGTATACGCCATGATAAGAGTGGGCGGTGATACTGCATAAACATACACGGTCTTATCTTTCTCTATCTGCCGCACCCACTTAGCGCATATTTTCAACCTGCCTCGAACTGTTGTTACCGAGAGCAGTTTGTATTTCTCATTTGACGTTATCGGGAGGACGCTTGCAAACCAATATGGAAAAATAGCAGGATCCGTTGGAGGTTCGCCATATCCGGAAAGCAGCCGTTCATTGAGCCAGGATGAACTACTGGAACGGCATTTCGTCACAAATTTAAAACATATTTGAAACAATTTTTGCGTGGAGAGGATGTTCAAGGATTTTGGATTGCTGTCTTCTTTAAGGGCTGATAGCTCTTCCGCTTCAATCATCTCCTCAAACGGAATTCGGATATCGTCTATCCGTTGTACGCATCCAATCTTGCAACCATCGTAGTCTCTACAGGAAAGAACACGGAATCTGTACCGGCCGGTGGCACGTATCAGGATCCTGCCGCCAGACAGTGACTCTAACCGGTCAATCTCAAGTAAGGTCCCATATTGGGCATGTACGCAAGGTTCAGATTGTCCAGCTAGCTCACCGGTTTGATTGAGCATCACTGAGCCAAATCGACGGGTCCCATTTTCAACGACTCGTAGGATCATTCGCCGATAACGAGGTTCAAAAACATGTAGATAGGTTGGCATGGATGGAAACGAGACAGTACATACGAATAGGGGTAATTCGTCGATTTTGGATGTATCCAGTGGTTCAATTGGAATGCCTCCTAGTGGTGATGTATTCCGGCCTGGAAAGAGAATGGAGGTAAGGGTGTCCAATATCCCGTTTCCAAGATCGTCAGGTAATATCATCGGTAAATTCCTCCGACATACTGGACAAAGGTTCGAGGTATCTAGCATCCGAGTCACGCAGTGTCTGCAGAATGTGTGGCCGCAAACAGTTGTGTACGGATCAGTCATCAAAGAGTAGCACACTTGACAATCAAGCTCTTTTATCGCAGCCACCTTTATCTCCCGTAGCACTCCGTCATCAATATCTCTCAAGGTCTCTCTGTCTTGATCATCAAACGTGCACTTTACAGCAGCAGTAACCGGAATATGGCCTTTGGCCATGAGAGTGTATATTCCAGCCAGGCGGCTACCTTTTATCCGGAATTCTTGGTCTGGTACCTCCGGGTTGGTCCGTCGGTTAGATATATGAATTTGAATAGGAATGTCATGACCCGGATCTTTACTAGATGGGTAGGCGTTTGCGCAAATTCCAAGTATATTCACCACCTTACCAAGGGTGATATCCAGGTTGCAATCTGCTAAACAATGTTCAGACACAAAAGCTTGGTCTGATTCCCGAGATTTCGTGCACATGGACGGACAGAAAAATCCCTGGCTACGATCTTCTGTTCCAGGGTATGTAATATTGGTTCTGGGATGTGTCTGCGGTATACATGACCGGCAAATGGTGCATCCGCATGGCAGCCCAACCGGCGCCTTGAGCGGCATAGAGCAGCTCCTACATTGTATCAATTGTAATAAGCTGCAGTAGACCGCGGATTCATCCTCCACTTCCACTTTCTGTTCTCCAACAGAGATACCATCGGAGTCACTCATCGAGGCTTCGACTAGGGTAGATTGCCAGAGTTTAGCAGTATGCCGGTCACTTTCGAATCTTCCTCGTTTTTTGCCCCGTCATCAAGAATTAATGTCGGGATTAGTGGTATATAGCAGACTTTAATAACATCCTCATAGCGAAAATCCAAAAACAAGCTCCTGCAGGGATAGCAAAGCCTCTGAGGTCACCCACAAATTGGACGCTGAATATGAATATGACGGCGAACGACCCAAAAAAGCTACCAAAATGTCAGATTTATATTCAAAGTTCACTTAATCACATGACTATTATCACAGTATATACACATTTGAGGGTGAGTCTCGCTTACGTAAGTAGAACTGTACTGACTAACCACGCTAAATCGTTAACTACTTCTGGGCTGTGGGGGAAACTTCGTGTATCAAAAGGCAAAACGCCATCCATGGTTGATCATGACGATTTGGTCAATTTCGCTCCTAGCTCGACGCATAAGAACGGCGGCATAGGCGACTTTCCGATGGCCTTTGGTGCCAATTAACTGACGCCGTATCTTACCATTCCATACGCAACCGATGCATGAAACGCACTCTCCACTCGAACAGTGAACCCCCCGGGGGCTGCTAGATGGAGATCCATGGCGACATTCCACGACCGAGCAACTTCTGCGACTCCCACGCAATACCGTGTTTTTGGCGATAGCAAGCGCTCTTCATCCAGTGCCGATGACGAATCTGCTGACGGGAGCTGGCACGATGCCGTCTCTGCTACCGCTTCGCGACACGCCGGCCCTTCGTCGTCAGGCACCCAAGCCTCACTCAGCGCAAAGAGTGCCTCGTTAACCCCATCCAACGTTACGCAGGGGAGCTTCAGTTCAGACCTTAGACATTCAAGTATATCAAGGAATGCGACCCCACGCCCTCCAGAATCGGTTAGCCATGTCCGGGGAAATGGTGCAGGCGATAGTGTTGAAGCTGCTACCACGGAGCAACGGCAGGCCATCATCCGTGAGCAGATCGAGAAAGAAATAAAGATAAAGACTGGAACGGAAAACATGCTAGAAGCTTTGCTAGCAAAAAATATGAAGCAGACAAAGGAGCAGCGCTTAAGGGTGGAGTCGGAGCTCAGCTCCTCTCATCGGAAAATAGCACAGCTTCAGAATGAACTAGAGGAGGAATTGATGCGGGCTCAGATGACGCCCATAGAAGCCCCGGAGGCTAGGAGACTATCTACCTTTTTCAATGCAGGCTCGGGCCGGTCTCCGTCGAGAGCAACTACACATGCAACTGGTGAAAGCTTTGAGGGCGAAGATAGCGAGTCGGAATCACCAACAGTGGTACTCTCTGAGACGCTGCAGGAACTAGAAGCCGAGGGCATGTCACCAGATTATTATGTCGATCGAGCGAATAACCTAGTCGATTTGTTCAAACGATACCCTACACTGAAATATGATCTGGAATGGTCGGTGTTTGGCCTTAGGGTGCAAGTTATGTTGCTGAGTGAGAGCCGTGACGTTGTAGCGGCCGGTTACAGATTAACACGACACGCAATTGCAGACAGGAAGTCCATCCAGGTGATCAGAGCTCTTCATACAGATGAACTAGTAATGCTCTCCCTTGTCAAAGAATCTAAAGCCAGCATGGAACGTGAACAGGCCCTTAAATTCGTTCGCGCATTCTTAGATGTTAAAGATGGCGTTCGGGAGCTCTCACGCTCAGTGGTACGGACGCTCGTATCAATTGCAGAGCATCGAGACGACCGCCTGCGTAATATCTGCATAATGACAATTGCAGAACTCCTCGTCAAAGATCCGGCCCTGTTATTCTCCGCTGGTGGTATCGGTACCTTAAACGACGTGCTGGGTGAAGGTACATTTGGCGCATCTGAGAGCTTGGCTGCCGGCTTTGTTCATGTCTTGGATACCCCAAAAAGCAGGAAATACCTTCGAGCAGGGTGTGAACTGAACTCTGTTTTCGCGAACTTCACCGAGACTGTTCCAGACAGTGATCGGCATCTAAAATTGAAGTTCTCCGCAAAAGCTATATCCGCAATGCTTAAAACATGGCCTGGTATACTAACACTTGCCCAAAACCCAGAGAGACCTCTCCAGTCATTACTCCTTTCCCTGCAATTCCCAGATCCCCAGTCCAGGGATCTCATCCTAGAACTTTTGTTTGATGCTCTCCGTATCAAACCACCATCATGGTCATCGTCATTCCTTGCTGGGAGACGGCTCACAACATATGGTCGAGTAGCCAACATGAAATCTGAGCAAGAAAAGAAGCATTCGCGCACCGTTTATGAAGATGAGGATAACCCCTTTGACTTAACAGCGCACTTCTCTGGGCTCATACTAGCGCTATTGGTGGAGGCAGGATTGATCAATGTATGTTTCTCTTCTACAATCATACACCTTGCCAAGTAAGCTAACCAACATGTCTAGGTGTTATCTGATTTGATTGAAGATGAATCCGATCTTGCTCTGAAGCGGAAAACAACTCTACTCCTGGTAGAGGTGCTAAGGCGTGCCCAACGCAGTTTACCCTCTTCTATGTGTTCCAATCTTCACCTTCTCCCCAGCCTTCTCCCATCATCATCACTTAAGGCAAAATCAGACAACCAACATCTTTCGACATCAACTATATACCAGATGGAGAGCATAAGCCGGACAATGATGCGGTCTGATGATATTTCGGATGTAAGTGGCAGGTATTCCATCAGCACCGAGATACCGAACTCGCTGGCTCCAGGAGAGCAAAGTAAATCCAAACTCAGTTCCACTATGGATGAAGCGCAGTTCCGTACTGCCATCTTAGACACCAACGTTCTCAGTTCTGTGAACTTTATGAAGTGGAAATGGGACCTTATCCTAAACATCATCGAAGGGCCTCTTACAAACCCGAAACGTTTGGACGAAGCCATCAAAGGCTCCAAGTTCATAAAACGACTAGTTGGTTTCTATCGGCCATTTAAATATCGATTTTCAATGGTCCGCAACACAAAGCCCAATCGACGGTACATCCGAACCGGTTGTGCCTTGATGCGCTGTCTTGTGCAAAGCCCAGAAGGATCGAAATACCTAGCTCAGAACAAACTTCTACGTCAGATAGCGGAGTGCTTGGCTCAGGTCGACCGAATGAGTGGACTCACTTCTTTGTCACCATTGTTTTCCCGAGAGCAGATGGCTGATACTCTTAGTGGCGGATACTTTGCCCTACTGGGAACTCTAAGTAGTGAACCTAACGGCATACAGATGATGGAAAGATGGCATATGCTTAACATGTTTTATCACATAGTTGAATTAGCGGACCGGAATGACCTTATCCAAACACTTCTCGGAAACATGGACTTCACACATGAAAGCCATTTACGAGTAATTCTGTCAAAAGCTCTCACAACAGGGTCAAAGGATATCCGCATCTTCTCTACAAAGCTGCTACGGAAATATGTCATTGGCAAGGTGTTGCAAGGATCACCCGTTGAGTGGGTAATTGAACTTCTGGTGACGCAGCTATATGATCCGGATGTCACTGTCTGTCAGGTTGCCGTCAAAATCCTGGAAGAGGCGTGTAACCAGAGGGATTACCTCGAGTATGTTGTCAAATGCCGTCCATCATTAGATCATCTAGGTGAAATCGGCGCGCCATTGCTACTCCGTTTCCTATCTACATCGGTTGGCTATCACTATCTTGATGGCCTCGACTATATTACCCAGGAGATGGACGACTGGTTTCTAGGAAGAAACGATGCATATGTCGGGCTTGTGGAGGCCTCGCTGTCTCGCGCATACATTGACCAACCACGTCGAAACAGCTTAGCGCTAAACGATATAGTCGAGATGCAGGACATTGGCCTTGTCCCACCACACTTTTACCGAGAACTTGCGCGTACAGCAGAAGGGTGCAAACTTCTAGAGCAGTCCGGTCATTTCTATGAATTTGCTTCAACATTACGAGATTTCCAATTGGATGAGGAAGATGCGGAGGTTTTGCTAAAAGTAAAAGGGGCACTCTGGGCCATTGGTAATGTAGGGTCGATGGAACTCAGTGCACCGTTTTTAGAGGATACGGATATTGTGGAAAGGATTGTGGAAATAGCGGAAAATGCAGCCGTTATGACCATGCGTGGAACCGCATTCTTTGTCTTGGGGCTGGTATCCAGGAGTCAACATGGTCTCGAAATGCTCATTGAGGCAGGGTGGGATGCAGCTGTCGACCAAAGAGGGCGCTCGTTAGGGTCGTGCATGCCATTGAATCTAAGCAAGCTGTATTCGGTAGGTTACTGACAGCAACAAGATGTCGAGAACCAATGCTAATGTGTTATAGGTTAAATTTGAACCTTACCACGCGCGTACCGAAGAAGACAGGGCAGCTAGAAACAGGTACAAAGTTGCCTCCAAAGACCTCGATCCACTCAAGCAAAAGATACTTGGCCTTATCATCGATATGGGGAATACCGTACTTGCTAAAAAGGCGGCAGCAGATCTACAAGTGTATGTTTTACCACGCCTCCCACTTCCGTTATTTCACTTTCTCTGCGATATTAATATGATCCATTATGACAGCTTTAAACTGAACCGCCCCGACTGCTTTCGGCGTATCGATATTTTCGAGAAGACTCTTGTTATTCTAGAAAGCCATCACTTCCGGCTATCTGCCCGACGTTTTGCCTTGGAGTTGTTCGACAAAAGCGTGATCAGGCGAATCATCTTCGGGGATGACTCCGGCTCCGATTCTGAAATGTCGGAGTAGACCTTCGTGTTTCCCTTATTTCCCTCCCCAGTTCCGTTCCTTTATCATTTATTTACTTCATGATCCAAAGTACCCCGGCGTGAAGATCTACTGGTGTTTTTGGTGCTATTTGCGATCCATGTATGTCTTCTTTTTTCGCAGGGAGGGCTGGCTGGCTTCGGGGTTTGAATGCAGCGATATAGTGTAGGATAGATATCCTTAAGGAATGGCCTTTGGGTCTTCTACTTTGCTCTCCAAGGGAACTTCCCTACCCTTGTTCGTTCTATATTATCTATAGATGGCTGGTAACCTTTTATGCTATCACCTGCCATTCAACCAAGGCTTTCTCTTTCCAGGCTTTCGGTAGTTATCAAACTCAACGCCACAGAATACAGAATACGCTAACCGCCTAGGCAGCTACTCCATAACGCCCCAAGACAACCAACGGGCGCCGACGCCTCCGCGGCGATCGCCAGGTTGGCGGGCATCGGAGCTGGCCGATGACGGGCAGAGCTCTGGCACGCTGGGAATCCCTGCGGCAGCTCGAAACCCGGCCATGACTTTCTTTGTTGTTGATGGTGTGGCACATTCTCCCTCTTTGCCAAAGTCGACAGTAGATAGTTATGGGCAGCATGTAGCTGCCAAACGCCTCGTCCTTGTTCTGTTTAGCCAGTACCTAGCGCTCCGTAGTCACTTGCTTGATCAAGAGATAGCTTGCTGAAGTTGACAGCTCAAAGTTCAGCGGAGAACGGAGCTTGGAGTAAGAGCTGCGCCGTTATCAACGGAACTAGCCGCCATTATAGCCCTCTTGCAGAGCTCCATGCCGGGTTTCAAGCTTGCAGCCTGCACAAGGCGGGCCTTAATTTTCAGCTAGTTAACAGGTAGTTAGTTAGGTATCGCCTGTACCTGGGTGGCTGGCCGTGTATAAATAGTTATAGGAGGCGTTCCCGTACCTTGGTCTGCCTGCGTCCTGTTCATAGCTAGAAATATACTCAGTTGATATTCCAACCCCCTGAAGCCCCAGCCATACTCGGAAATATACATACATAGACATTGCAAGATGGCGTCCAGGTTAGCTGCAGCTCGCTATGGCAAGGAGAACGTTCGTGTGTACAAGGTGCACCGGGATGAGGCTGCTGGGACTCAGACAGTGGTCGAGATGACTGTTTGCGTCCTGCTCGAGGGTGATATCGATGCCTCGTATGTATTTCACAGGCTACTGAGTCCAGCAGCGAATGAGTACGGTATATTGACCACGGCATAACTACTAGATACACCAGGGCAGACAACAGCGTCGTGGTAGCGACGGACTCAATAAAGAATACCATTTATATCCTGGCAAAGCAGAACCCGGTGACTCCGCCAGAGCTCTTTGCCTCAGTCGTGGGAGACCATTTCACGCAAAAGTACAGCCATATCCGTGTAGCCCATGTCAATATCGTGGCACAGCGGTGGTCCCGGATGAATATCAATGGCAAACCGCATCCTCATTCATTCCTCAAGGACGCCTCTGAGGTCCGGTCTGCAGATGTCACTGTTACCAAGGGCAAGGGGATTGATATCAAGACATCTCTATCCGGCCTTTCCGTCTTGAAAAGCACCAATTCCCAGTTCCACGGCTTCGTAAGAGACGAATTCACTACTTTGCCTGAAACCTGGGATCGGATCCTAAGCACAGATGTCGATTCAGCATGGACATGGTCGACATTCTCCAGCCTGGAGCAAGTGCGGCGTTCAGCTGCCAAGTTTGACTCTACCTGGGATGTTTCACGAGGCATCATACTAGATATCTTCAGCAGCGACAACAGCGCGAGCGTGCAGAATACCATGTATAAAATGGGAGAACAGATACTTGCTGCTCAGCCACTGCTAGAGACGGCGGAACTCAGCCTGCCCAACAAGCATTATTTCCAGCTTGGTAAGATAGATCCTTTCTTAGATCCTCTTAAATATGTTCTGTAATGAAATCGTGCTAACGGGGAGTACAGATCTGAGCTGGCATAAAGGCTTGAAGAATACAGGCAAAGACGCTGAGGTCTACCTGCCGGGGTCTGGCGCTAGTGGTCTGATCAAATGCACCGTTGGGCGAGAGGGTATCAAGGAGAAGTCGAAGCTGTAAAATAATTGTATCTAGAAATATACGCCTACAATACGTTCAATAACTGACCAGTACTTGGACAGTTATCTCAGTTAACCTGCGGCTGTAGATCCATGGTGATATCAATCCGTATACATATGATATGGTACATAAAGGTAGTTTAACATCAAATATCTCCTTGAACATTCACAAAGGAGAGGGATAGTAGTATAATAATACAAGCAAAAGGCCCAACATATGACTCCGTGCGTATGCGCTCGACAAGGGGGAAACGAGAAAAGAAAAGGATATCCAGTGTTGCTAATGCGAGAGAGCTTCTGTTTTCGCATTCTGCAACGCCTCACGCACTTCCGGCATGTCTGTGATGGAGGTGTTTTGTCCGTTGAATTTAACGATATTCTCTTTATACGGATGCTCAAGTCCTTCGAAAGCTATTTTATAAACAAGTCAGTAGAGTTCGTAGGCAAGGAGGTAAGGAGCACCAATGGCAGCCTAAACGTAAGTAAAGAATGGTACCAACCCTTCAACCGCGCCATTCTCTTCTCCCGTAATCTGTTTTTTGGCAGCATTCCCTTAACAGCCTTCCTCAGGACCTCGGCGCCTCCCCATTTCTCAATCATCTGCTCCATGGACATCGACTTCAAACTTCCTGGTCTGGTGTTGTGTGTATAGTACAGCTTTTGGGCTCTCTTCTTTCCCGTAGTGTGAAGATTGCGGCATCCAAGAGCGACGACATAGTCACCGCAGTCTGTAGATGGATCGTAAATTGGTTTATGTTTCCCCATCAGGAACACCGCGATGGACGAGGCCACCCGGCCCAGGCTTCGGGGGTCAGATCCGATGTCGATGGCATGCCATGTCCGAGAATAGGCCAGACGCGTCTTCAACCAAGCCAGTTAGTACAAGATATCCTTCCATTAAGCTTCAATTGACCTGAAATGGAGATCGCAAGACGTACTTTTCCAATCGTTTGAGACATCGCTACCAGCGCAACTCACAGCCCGGTCGAAACGTAGAAGAAGTAGCAGCCAGCCGAGCAACTCTATCCAGGCCAGCAAGTATCCAAGTATCCTTTATATCACCCCTCGTCGCTGAATGTGTCGCTGTTCCCCGTCAAACCCTGCGCCGTCTCGTACTTCTCCTTCTCGCTCTCCATCTTCGTCTTCTGCTTCGATCCAAAAAAAGTTTCTTATATCACGTGACTCTACCCTAAATCCCCACTAAGCGAACTCCCACACCTCGAAACTTTCAATATCGACATTTTTCAACTCACAGCGATCGCGACGGTGAACGAGCAGACAACTTTTCGCACTTTTCCACCGTATCCCGCACGTCGAACGCTGCCATCACATTCACCATGGCCAGTACTCCCAGCGTGCAATGCTTCGGCAAGAAGAAGACGGGTATGCATTCTCTTCGAAGCCAGTTTATCCAAAGAAGAAAATAAAGGTCGAGGAAGTGTGAATGCTGATAACTGTTCTTACAATATAGCTACCGCTGTCGCCCACTGCAAGGTACGACTTCGATATTGACGGACGATACTAAGAGAGGGTTACCGGGCATATCGCTAATTTTTCGAATAGCAAGGCAAGGGTCTCATCAAGGTCAACGGCCAGCCTCTCGCGCTCGTTAAGCCAGAGCTCCTCAAGTTCAAGGTACGGAAACATCTATGTTGGGCACTTCGGCGAAATTGAATAGAGGGGGAACACCATGGATTTCAAACAATATGAATATGGAGGGAAAGGGGAATAAAGAATAGAAAGGGGAAAAAATGGAATTCGCAAGAAGATACCAAAAATTGTGCGGTGGGATTATTCAATATCGGATTCTCTAACATGACCGAATATAGGTCTACGAACCCATCCTCATTGTCGGCCTTGACAAATTCGCCGGTGTCGATATCCGTGTCCGCGTCACCGGTGGTGGTCACACTTCCCAGATCTATGCTATCAGACAAGCCATCGCCAAGTCGATAGTCGCCTACTACCAGAAATTCGTTGACGAACACTCCAAGAACCAGCTCAAGCAAGCCCTTGTTCAGTACGACCGAACCCTCCTCGTTGCCGATAACAGACGCTGCGAGCCAAAGGTTTTCGGTGGTCCCGGTGCCCGTGCCAGATACCAGAAATCTTACCGTTAAGCGAAATGGAAATGGACGGGTTTATGGGGACGGGGTGTTTTGCTGGGCGCGGTATTTGTGGGCTTTTTGTATCTGCTTGTATCTGCCCCATAATGGTTGATGTTAAAAATGTGCCCCTGCATACGGGAAATGCCTGGGACATAGAATAAATAGGCCAGATTATTGCCCTAAAATATTAAATCCTACTTTTCACTTGTTCAAGGATTTCTACACGCATGCCAGCCAGAGGGTTTACGGAGATTATGGAGAGTCAGGGTCAACTGATGATTATAGGGCTCTTTTATATGCTACATGCGTTGGTCCAACATGTCAATATCCTCGATGTCCTCGACATCCTCTGCTTCAACTTCTCCAGATTCTTCCAAATTAACAATTACCGGTGCATAATCACCTGTTTCATCCTCTTCTTCAGCACCCTTGACCTCAAGTTCAACTTGTTCTCCATCTTCCAACTCCACCATACCCCTTCGCACAGTTGACTCTTTTGCCAGCTCCCACCCGTATTCTTCATTTACCCATTTCTCCAATATGATAAATTCCGCCTTAACTGCCAACACATCAGCAGTTAAGTCCTCGTATATTATTCTCCGAAACTTCATCAAGACCTTTTTCACCATGGTATTGCCATCGTCTCCATCCATCTCCAACAATCCTCCCTCCACATCGTCGTTATGCGCCAGTTGCAGCTTTAGGAGACGCAGAACTTCTATAAAGAAGCACTGTCTTTCCTCAATGGCCTTTTGACAGGTGAATACCAACTGTAACAATCTCATCCATTGCTCCTGGCAGGAGAAATTGATTAATGTTAGGGCTGTGAGGAACGTAACCTGCATTTCACCCAGTATCTGCAATTCTCCCTCACTCAGGTTGTCCTCGGTGATGATTCTCCCTGTGGCCCTGCTATTATTCGTAGCCCATTCGCATATATTTCCCAGGGCCCAGGACCGATCCCGAGCTGCTTCTGTTCGTTCACGTCCCACAGCACCGGGTGGCCAGGTATTTTTCAAATCGACTGGTAAGAATCGTAGCTCCTTTTCCTCTTCTACCAATCTACCGCACATTTTCGCATCTTCCTGGCTAGTAAGGCCGGGTATCTTGTCGCTATCTCTCGCAGCTGAGCTTCCAGAAGAAATCACCCACCTAGGTCTGCCTTCGGAATCCAGCTCTGCTGGGCCCAGCATCCTCTCTAGAACCGAGGGGGTAATGTAAGATGAAAGACTGTTCCATTCGTCATATGCAACTGTGGTATCAGTGGTTCCTTCTTGGATGTTCTTCTTGTTCGTTCGGGATTTATATGACAGTAACCCTCCAGCAGCCCATATTCGACTCAGGTTAGCTCGCTGCTGCATTGCTCGCTGTCTCCCTTCATCTTTACTTTCGTCTACCAAAGCTAGTAGCTCCGTAGACTTGTCCCAATGCCTCAGTCGGACATCGATGCCTGAGCTGCTTTGTTCATCCTCATTCGGACCCGAAACAACAAACCATTCACCAGTTCGTAATGAGAAGCTGTCGGTTGTGCCTGTGTACAAAATGTGTGCTCCAGGCGAGAGCTCTTTTATGCCATGGAAATTTGGAGCTGATGTGAAGGCCAAAAGGTCAACTCCTACGAGAGTTTTAGCGGGGAGGTTGTCGATCAGGACCGTAGGCGACGGACGAAGAGACTCAGACATGAGATGCGGGTATACGATGCGACCGTAAAGTGTGAAAGGTTGGTCTTTGATATATATCCTGGAGGACTTGTAAGTAGTAGGCTGTAGTTTCCTTAGAAAATATGTTCGCGATAAAGAAAGTTCTACAGGCTCAATGTTTTTCTACTATGGAGCCACCAAGCTAAATAACTATTCAAACTGATGTTGGAATTACGATTCCTATAAATCAAAACGCACGGCCTACAATATACGATTTGGGATACTGTTTGAAGCTGCTCAATCTTCATTTGCATTTTATAGATATATTTTGCAATATCACTAGAATCTGCAACTACTGGAAGAGCAGGGTTGAAAAAGGGGAAATTTTTAGAAGACCAGGCGATAAAGGCCGTTCTTCGCGTTTATTCCATCCACAGAACAAAAGAGAAGTACCATAAGATACCCTCCAGTTGTTTCCATCCTTTTTGTTCCCAATCGCCATTGATACCAATCGTAGAGATCGGATAACCAGGAGATAAAAGACTGCATATATCTACAAACGACGACCTCTGCGACCACCCTTACGACGAGTAGAGTCAGATGGGGTAGGGGTGACGTCCTCGATACGGCCGATTCTCATACCGGAACGAGCGAGGGCACGGAGGGCAGACTGGGCACCTGGGCCAGGGGTCTTGGTTCCGTTACCTGTAGATAGAGTAAGCGTCTGGGTTTGTAAAGATTGTGTTAAGCGTTGGTATACGTACCACCGGTAGCACGGATCTTGATGTGGAGGGCGTTGATGCCAAGCTCCTTGCAGCGGGCAGCGACATCCTGAGCCGCCAACATAGCAGCGTAGGGAGAGGACTCGTCACGGTCAGCCTTGACCTTCATTCCACCAGTGACACGGCAGATAGTTTCGCGACCACTGTATATCGAATCATCAGCTCCTTATCTCTTATCGGATTTGACACAAGTTGCGACATTATAAAATGCATTCGACATAGCATCCAATTTGTGCAAATATTTGTTCAAGTTAGATACGGACCTGAGATCGGTAACGTGGACGAAGGTATCGTTGAAGGAGGCGAAGATACGGGCAACGCCGAAAACGTTCTCGCCTGGTAAAGATAGTTAGCAATCAAGTCCGCTCTAAGTCATGATTACTGCGATATGGATCATCCTACCATCACCGGTGAGCGGTCCAAGGGACACGTTCTCGTTGGCGGGCTTAGCGTCGGTCTTCTTCTTTGGGGCCATTGTGAATGATGCGATGGATCGAGGATGTTGTGGATGGTTCAAAAAGAAGAAGAGAAGAAGAGCAGAAAAAACGACCAAATCTCGAAAAAAGCATCAAGAAACATACAAATTAGGGCTTGTGTGGGTGTGCCCTAATCACATGATTATACATGACTAAGCTGGAATAGCTTATGTAAAAAGTAAGATCAAAACTTCCCAAAAGTTTTTTCTGTATCCTTTTTTTTTTTCCTTCCTTTCTTTTCTCAACCGCAGCTTCGAGTTGGATCAAGAGAAAGCAACTCGCTGGGCTTCTTTCACCAAGAAACTGAGAGATAAGCCAGCGGATATATAGCGACTTTGCCTACCGCTCTATATAACGACAAGAACAGCAGAAGATTTCTTAATACTAACTACCTGGAAACAGATCTTTCGCAATGGCTTTACCAAGCAGAGAAAAAAGGTCCATTGGGATCATTGGAATGGGCGACATGGGCAAGATGTATGCCCAGCGTCTAAGTGAAGCAGGCTGGAGGTAATTCTCAATTACTCTGAGATTTTTTCTTGTCACTACTATCTCAATTGGTATGTCCTTCTTGTCATTCTTCGTCCGCTCTGCACTGCACCCACCTCTTCTGATGACATGAGCGCATTTGGCTCGAGCATGGTAATGGAACACTCCTACCACTATTCTTGTGGCTGGAATCTGTTCGTTACCGTCACTGATGTAAACACCCTGCTACCTTACAATTACTTTGTCTGAAAATGTTCCTAACCCATTCTCATATCAATATCAATATCGTTGTATTGAGTATATGCTAATTGGTGATACAGATTTTTCTTAGGGCAACCAGTAATATCATACCACCTGCTAATATGTTGGTGACATAGAATAAACGCTTGTGATAAGCCGACCAGCTATGATAAACTGAGAGCGGAGTTTGCAAATGATGTACGTCAGCTGCTGCTCCCATCCAAGTTCAAGCCGCCATCCTCTTTATATATTCTTAGTTTTTAATCTATTCCATTTTCTATACCCCCGTAGACCAATATCAATATACTTCCCAACGGGCACCTCGTTTCCCGAATAAGCGACTATATTGTCTACAGCGTAGAGGCGAAGTTCATTGCATCCGTTGTTGAAGAATATGGACCATGTATGTCCCTATCCCAAGCAAGAGTTGTCTGAATCATATTCAAGGATTATCTGACCAGTATTTGCTGGAAGCTACGAAAGTTGGGGCAATAGTAGGAGGCCAGACCTCTTGCAAGGCCCCTGAACTTGAAGCCTTTGAAAAGTATCTGCCCAGTGACGTGGAGATAATATCATGTCACTCACTCCATGGGCCAAATGTCAACCCCAAGGGTCAGCCATTGGTAAACGGGGTTCAGCACCAGTGCTTCGGTTGGATATCTAGCTAATGCACCGGTCACTAGGTCTTAATCCAACATAGAGCATCAAACGAAAGCTTGAAGTTTGTTGAAGATATCTTCAAGTCCTTCCAATCAACGTACGTCTATCTCAGCGGAGAAATGCATGATCGGATCACCGCAGATACCCAAGCAGTCACCCATGCTGCGTTTCTAAGCATGGGAACAGCATGGCACGCAAACAGCCAATTCCCGTGGGAAGTCCCCCGTTATGTTGGTGGAATTGAGAATGTTAAAATCAACATCACGCTGAGAATATACGCAAATAAATGGCACGTCTATGCTGGCCTTGCTATTCTCAACCCTGCCGCAAAAAAGCAGATCAGGCAATATGCGGAATCCGTGACGGAGTTGTATAAACTGATGTTAGGCGGACATCGCGAAGAGTTGACAAAGCGAATCAAAACTGCTAGAGCGGCCGTATTTAAGAGCAAGTCAGCGAGGCAAGATCTATTGCTTCAGGACAGTGTCCTTGATAGATTTTCGTTATCAAAGAGAGGCACAGAAAGAATGCCAAATAATCATTTGAGCTTGCTTGCCATTGTTGATTGCTGGTGGAAACTAGGGATAGTCCCTTATGACCATATGATTTGCTCAACTCCCGTTAGTATCATTCCTTCCCTCGATTTTGATACAATTATCCTGATTTTTAAATCAATAGCTTTTCCGTCTCTGGCTGGGAGTCACAGAGTACTTGTTTCAGAATGAAGAGCTCCTGGACGAAGTGATTGATACCGCGATAGAAGACAATACATTCCGCTCTGATGACCTTGAATTTACCTTCGCAGCACGAGTCAGTTATTATCTATTTCCCTCTTGGCCTACTCAGCCGTTTGGCCATATAAGAAGACAAGCAACTAACAAAGCTTTTTTCCCCCGACAGGCGTGGTCAGATTGCGTATCATTTGGAGACTTCGAGTCATACCGTGACAGATTCGAGAAGATACAATCTTACTTTGCTCCACGGTTCCCCGAAGCTGTCCGCATTGGCAATGAGATGATGAAGACCATTTTGGAAAAGACGTCAAAACCATCCTGAGCCGCGACAGTGTTTGAAAACAGGATCCACAAACGGGGCGATGGCGCAGCGACGGTACAGCGATGGACAAACGCAAATGCTCCCTCCTCAACCATGTCTGAAAAATGCACTGTCATAGCCAAGCGCGTGGCTTTTCCCTTCCCCAGAGATTCCGGCCGTAAAAAGGTTTACCGGGTATGGGGGGAGGGAATCCATGTTTCGAGCCCTGTGTGCCGTCAGAGATGTATGGCCACCTTGATTCTCCTCCCTTGGCCCACCATTCCTTTTCCAGCACGGTATAACATCATAGACTCATAGAAATGTAATATGCTCATAGCACAGACCTCTTGATTTGGCGCTTGCAGAGTTCTTTTCCGTTTTGTTTGGTATCTCAAGGTATCTCAATAACTGATGGAGACTGATTGCCCGCACGGCAATTTGAATATCGCCTTGGGTTACTCAACCTCACCGGTTACAAAGTCCAACAATGATTCCTCATCATTGTCCAAACCCTCAACTGACCACCTACGGCAGGCAGTATTAGAATAGATCTTGCTACTGGCACGTACATCTCACCAACTTTAGCCTGGCCTGTAATGTGGCATTCTCGTCAGCATGACAAACCAGGGTTATCAAACTTGGCTCTGGCATGCTACATGCATCTCCTCTTTCGATCAAGTTTCTTATGTTGATTACATGCCCCTTGTTTACTTTGAATTGGTATGGCTATTGACTGCGCATTGTTCAATGCCATGATATGGTCCAAGAGAGATCAGCGGGCCCTCCGTCAGCATATATCGAGGCTGTGTCACCGGCAGAAGGATCTTGACGGAACAGCGCAACTTGTCCCTAGCTGCTTTTCGCTTTGCCTTGCGCTTGCCTTTGCTTTTTTTTTTTCCTTCTTGATGCAGTGGCCAGTCGGCATGCTGAAATACCAGTTAGTCGAGCCCAGAACTGACATGCATGGTTGCCAATGAAGCGGCCTGTCCTTGTATTACTTATGGTGATTCCTCATAGCTCCGAACTTTGCAACTCGGAGCTCGGCCCCAAAAGGAGTAAAGAAGAAGGAAACAGAGGATGAGGATGAGGATGAGGATGGAGAAAGAGGAGGAAGCATATGAAGACGTTACTCGAGGTTTCGATTATAACCGCCGAGAAAGCATAATATTCGGTCAATATTTCTCGTCTCGCTCAAAAGACGGACGAATATTGTTCTTTGCCAAACCTCCAGTCGGTCGAGAGCGAACCATGTGCAAGATCGATCAAGTCGCCTTCAAGTAGTTAGCCAGGTTTGCTGGCCAAGGGACTAGTTATCAGTGATGATTGCGGGCGGTTAGAGTGACCCCTGGACCCCTGAAGAATACCTGTGGAAGACTCGAAATGCAAACGGCTCGTGTTTCATTGCAAGGGGTGAGCCGAATGGCTGCTCCCTGCGCACACCGAGACTGAAAGTCAAGGCTCGTTAGAGAATAATAGAGGCAGACGGAAAATCAGACATTGTTCACCTTTAATTTTGATAAATAAGTGGTGATTATTGAATATATACATCTGAACCGCCGACTCTTTCCATGTTCCCTGCCCAAAAAAGAAGAAGCGCCATGATCGGTGCTCAAGGAACCATGCAAAGGCACACGCGTCTCATGCAATCTGCTACAAGAACGGGATCTGTTAACCGAGCCCGTCAGAAGAACTCTGCTGGTGAATATACGGAGGGTGTGAAGACCCTGGAACAAAAAAAATGCTACCAAGTTGGACACAAGTGGCCTATCAGGTCCCCTCGCTGTACAGACGGACTCGGGACACGGTTTGTTCGGGACATTGCGTAGCGCAGGGGTCCTACCCATCCGTTCTTATCTTCTCCAGTCTGACCAAAGGGCGGGTGGCCATTGGTTTGAGCGTTTCGCCGGCCGGTTTGACGGATTGTGGGGAGAGACGGCTTGATGGAGCACTCCATAACAAGGAGAGATATTGATAAGACGATCTAAGTTGATCAAACAACCAGCAGGCTAGGCATCGTGTTTATTTTCGATGTATACCTGATGTACTGAGGTGCGCCCAGAACCCATGAAGGGCCGCAAGAGTCGCAGCAGTCAAAGAAAAGAAACTGCGCCTTGAGACTTGCGTATACTTCACTGCATGGTCCTTCCTTGACTGTCCAGTCGATCGAGACCGGCGGTGCAACGATGGCAGCCAGGCTCTTGGGATGGGATGGTCGATGCCCCTGACTCGGCCCACGACAGTCGGGCAGGCTGACTTCCTTGAGAAGCCGCTGCAATTATTGGATGTGACCAACGATGTACAGGTCCTTGAAGCGTGTGTCACCAAGTTTCTTTTGCTTTTTTGCAGAGCTTAACCCTGTTAGTGTAGTTTATACACCTTCTTTACCCGAGCTGAAGACCAAGTTTGTCATAGGCCGGTCCCCTGTTACGAGTTTCAAGGTAGATCGGAAGTATTAGCTAGATAGTTAGCCTGTTTAGAGTATATATATATATATCAAGACGGTCCTCTCTCTGGGGAGAGCGAGCGAGGCCCTGAACACGAACTTCCACAACTCGCTGTCGATGCGCTGATTTTTCAAACCGGATTTGAAAAGAGAAGACCATATACCACAATGAAGTTCCAGTCACTCCTTGCAGGAGCAGCCTGCCTTCTGCCAGCCGGTAAGTCCACTGAGGCTGATGTATATTGTAACCCCATACGCCACAGGCTACCCGTTGCTGACATGCGGATAGTGTCCCTGGTGGACGCCGCAAAAACCGCCCAATTCAGACCTCCGAACGTCGGGGACATCAGATTCCGAGTAAATATACCCACATCCACTGCGGCCACGAAGAAAGGTCCGATATACTTCCAGATTCGAGCACCCAGCAGCGTAGAATGGGTTGGACTCGGCCAGGGCAGTGAGATGACTGGCTCAAATATCTTTATGCTATACTCTGCAGCCACCCCCAGCAACGTTACGCTCTCTGCCCGGTCAGGAGTGGGATATGTCATGCCGGAACATAACTCTCAGACAAATGTCACTCTTCTCAACGGCAGTGGTATCACCGAGGGACGGATGGTGGCTAATGTGCGATGCGACAACTGTCTGAAGTGGGAAGGGGGAAGTATGGATCCGACGGACACTGCTAGTTCATGGATCTGGGCTGTCAAGATGGGCTCATCCGTCAGATCGAATGATGTCTCGAAGAGTTTGATGATGCACGATACCATGGGAGGATTCAACCTAGATTTGACCCAGGGTGTGGGAGACGACAAGGACGGCAACCCATTTGGATCCGATAATGCAAACACCCCTGACAATGGCTCAGCCGGTACCGTTGTCACTGATAGCGGACGCATTGCGAGACGATCCGCGCATGGACTGATCATGTCAATTCTTTTCTTGCTCATGTTCCCGTCCTTTGCTCTGACTCTGCACCTTGTCCCCGGCAAGACCACCGTTACTCACATCCACGCTCCGCTCCAGGTAGTCTCGCTCATTGCCGCAGTTGTCGGGTTCGCTCTTGGAATCAGCCTGGCACAGGAGCTGAACAAGGTCAACTCGACACATGCCGTCATAGGCATCATCATCATGACCTGGGTCATCCTCCTGCAGCCAGCTCTGGGTCTACTTCAGCATCTTCACTTCAAGAAGACTGGCACTCGTGCTGTTCACGGCATCCTCCACGCCTGGTTGGGACGATGCGTGTTCGTTCTTGCCGCCATCAATGGTGGACTGGGGCTGAAGCTGAGTGGAATCGGAAACCCTGGTGTTCCCCGAGCCGGTGTCATTGCGTACTGCATCATAGCAGCCATCATGACGGCAGTATACGTCTCAGTAGTGCTGTTTATGTCGAAGAAGCCCAAGCCAGCTGCCAACATTGGGGCCCGCCATCACGGTAAAGAGGGTGCTGTTGAGCTTGCCGATAGGTACTGAGTGGGCTGAAAGTGCCTATTTGCTGAAAGCCGCTCTCACTCCGGAGTTGGGAAGTCCCGTTATACATGCTGTATGGGGCCAGGGAGGCAGATGTCACCGAACAAATAGGAGAAATCGGGTCGTGATAGGCGGAAATTGCCTCTTCACAGCTACCGGCCTCGCAGTTCACTAAGCCAGTTCTGTCTGAGTTTGGGATGAGTATACGGGTATATGCTAGTATGCCTTGAATGGAGTTGTGTCCATGGATGAGAAGTAGCAGGGCCAGAGTCTTGATCACCCCATGGTGTAGCCCCTTTGCCCCGTTGAGGGATTCGGGCCGAGTTTCCTTCACGCTTGAGAAATTGTCAAGTAGATAGCTTTATCTATCTGCTGCGTATGAGTTCATTTCTCCGGCTCAATGGCAGTAGTTAGGATTGATCAACAATCTAATTTGAGGTTCTCAATTCAACGAAGTTCTCTGTACTTGTATCTTTCGCTTTGGTGCCTTGTTCCACAAAGCCATTTTCGACGGGTTATCTCTTGACTGCACTCTCCTGTTGAGTGGGCTATCCAGGGAACTCCCGCCATGTCCGTCCTTTGTCGAAGAAACCAGGACAGTGTTCAGGAATACTGATGGCGATAGTATACAGTAAGTAGCTGATTAGTCGGAAAGTAACCAACTGGCCATGACGTCAGGATCTTCTTGGTTGGCTACCTAGGCACTACCACGGTTCAATGTCTGGCTCCGCGCCAGGAACCGAGAGATCTCGCTGTGGTTCAGCAGCGGGAATGTAAAGGATAAACGCATTCATGCTAATAACGACGTACACGGCAATAAGTGTCTCCTGCGCTGCTGTTTGGTCAAGTAACTCACCAATGCCGGCAAGGGGCTAGCTGCCCAAGGCTTCTCCTGCAGACAGGCCCATCTACCAAACGACTAAAGCCGCTACTCACCAAACAGTTACAAAACCGCACCTGCAGGAGACCTCCACCTAGTCACTGATAATCATCTAACCAAATAGTTTACCTGTTACGTATGGCTATGGGCGGGGTGGATAGGGGCTTGCCATGTAGCAGGACAGGCGGTAATCTAATTAACCAGTTACTCTCTTTCAGAATAATATTTGCTGTCCAGTCTTCTTGTATATATATATATATAACTACTGGTCTAGTATTCCGGCTGCCATCTACATAAGCTTCTTCCTCTCGTATCAACGATCAAGGGACATCCCTAGTCCATCTCCAGTTAAACTAGTTAACTAACGATCTAAACTAGCTGGTTGACGAACAGCAGGCAAAAGCTTTCCCCAGACTTGATCACCATCAGCTTCCGTCGCCTTTCGCCCAGCAGCACAACAACCTGGTAAGTCAAGCCGCTCTTTTCTCCTCTCATCCTGGACGCCCCCAGCATTAGATATCGTAATATCAATATCATGCACCAGCCGGGATTCTCCAACAGTTAATATGGTCATACAACTCCGGGCCCCCTGTGGCTTGTTGGTCGTTGGCGCCCGCCCTAACTAGCGCCCACCAGAGGGAGCTCTTTTGCCCTCGTGTTATCTTGCGCTCCCTCGTCCTCCTCGCTTTTCCCCTTGCAGATGAGACTGACTTTACACTCCCTCGTCAACCGGCAGAGCGAGAGACAGTGACCATGGCATCTTATGTGACAATTGAGAAGCAGTATTTTGAGACCTTGCTCAGACGGTACGTTAGTGGTTCCTCTTCTTCTCCTTGTTGGTCGTGACGGTGAACTGGGCATGTTGGATATTCCACAATGTTACCCTATCCCACAACCGCCTCTTGTTTTTATTCTGTCCAACTACTTTAGGGTCGCACGGCTAACCTTGTACTTCTTATCGCTGCGTTGTAGGGCCGGTTGTGTGCGTGTCACCCTTCTCTCGGTTACTAAATGAACTGCTAGATGTATATACCTGAGTGGCCGCGGGAGCTGACAAGTCCACCCGACCTTTTCTGCTGACAGAATGCCTCGTCCTCCGATTTCGATACACCTGCAGACATTCGCACTGTGACAATACTGAAATCTGATCATGATGATATGGTTTGTGGGTTCTGGCTGTGACATGGATGTAGCTCGTTGCTGATGCAAAATTGGCAAATTCACCATAGATTCGCCAGTGCCGTGAATATGGTATGTCGAGTCCAGCGTGCTAGGGCCATATGGAGAAATGACACTCATGAATTTTGGTATAGATAATTTGAAGAGGGCTCTTTTCCAAGGTGGCGTGGACCAGTCATCTATAGAGGTGAGAGGCGCTATATGCCTTGCGAACTATACACACTGACAGCTCGGAATAGACTCTCATTAAGGACCCCGCAGGCTCACAGACAGAGTCTACCACCAATGGAGGAGGTTATTCCTCTAAGGGAACCACTCAAGTAACTCAGCAGCCGGCACAATTCACCGAGGAACCCCAGCCAGCATATAAGTATTCGGGACAGCCCAGCGCTAGGTCAGGCTCAGGAGCTCACCAAGCAAGTTACAATGGGAGACCGACAAAGACTCATATTGAAGAACAATCATCGGCGAGCCATTATTACCATAATGACGAGGATTCGCTTCCCAGTGATGATAGGTCGGAGTTACCCGTGCATGGAGAGGTACCCGGAGTAACTCATGATTCCCCAAAGCACTCGGTAAACGGAGGTGATAATCGTACTGTGGCTATCAAGAATGTTCCCGAGAGAGCAATTCATAAAGACATCACTGCAGCAGTCCGAGGAGGTTCTCTTGTGGATGTCTTCCTCCGATCTAGAGACCACATGGCGAGCGTTTCCTTCGCAGATACTAAGGCTGCACAGGAGTTTTATAACTACGCTAAACGATGCAACCTATGTATCCTCGATAGACCGGTAAGTCTAGCTGCTTAGCTTGCCGTACACTTAATCTACAACATCTGACATTCTCCTAGGTTGACGTATCCTGGTCTGATCGCCAGTACTCACTATCGTCATATCTTGCATCCCAGATGGCTAATGGGGCGTCTCGCAACCTCATCATTCGTGGTGTGCATCCAAACATCACCGAGGCCATGATCCGCGAGGACATGAAACACATCCATAACCTCATCATCGTCAGCCTCTCATTCAACCACGGAAATGTCTATATCTCTACCAACTCCGTTCAAAAGGCTACTTTCGCCCGTAACTGCATGATGTCCCGCATGCCGTACCGTATGATGAGGATCGAATACTACAATGACGAATGTGCGGGTCCTCTTCCCAAAATTAAAGAAGCTACTGTTAAAGGCCCATCTCGTCCGGCAGCAAAACCCATGAACCCCATGGCCAACCGGTTCCAGATGCTTCATCTTGACGACTCTGAAGAGGACTCAGATGACCGAGATGATATGGAAAGCAATGGACCCCTTGGAGATAGAATCAGCTGGCGAAACAATACCATTGCTGTTTAGGGATGGTAAGGTTTGATTGAATATGGATGGTATCAAATATTTGCACACTCATTTTCTCTTTCTCTTTATCCTATTTTTCAGTCTCACACAAACTTGTAACATTCACCTACAGCCATTTCCATTTTATCTTTTGTTTGATACCCTGTATGTTTTCTTAATCTGTCTATCTCCTTTATCCTGGCATTTAGCATCTCTCTTTTGATTTCATGTCTGGCATTCTCTATCAATCATTACATTTTTCCTATGTTATCTCGGCTTTCTGCCTCAGAATAAATTGCACAATGTATGAACTAGGCATATATGCATGTTTCTACCAAGGCTCATCTTATCTTTCCCTTCGACACTACTTCTATATCTGCGTCCATATTCAATCCTATCATTTATTCAACTCCTACTTATGGAGTACTCTAACCATCACAGGTCTGGCTTAAATACCATCACGTGACCCTCCCGCACTAAGATAAGCAAAAGAAAAGATAAAAAAAGAAGCGAAAAAAACCGAACAAAGTTGAACAAAACGCAGAAATTGAACGAGAAGACGACGTCGAGTCGAGAGCAGAATCGGATACAGCTTGCTCATTAACGTACAGGGAGGCAGCTACTCAAAAGACAGCTGCAGGGCTATCAGACGCAGTTTCGCTAAGTACGGTTGCGGCCAATCTCAACGCACACAAAACATCCACACCCACACACACACACAACGGGAACGAACGAACGAACACACAATGTCGCAAGATAACCGCGGGCGTCTACCCCCGAATCTCCAGGATGAGTCTGACGTCGAGGAGGAGGCACTCGTCAATGACTACCGGGAGCAGGTACATTTCGACGATGGCATGAGTGAACTGGACCGAACCACCTCCCTAGGCGCAACATCACAAACACAAGACTTGCAGGCCCAGCTAGCTGCTGCTGCCACCCCACTAGAATACCAGGCTACGCTGGAGACGAAGTTTGCGAGCTATGATAACTACTGTAGCTTGTTCCATTATATCCTGAACTCAGATGGCCCTGTTGATCTCGAAGTTCCATCGGTATGTGCATATCTGGGAAACGAACTTTCGAGCTTTTCTTTTTTACAGTTTGGACTGACATTATATGGATGATATAGTACTTCTGGGCTTGGGATGTGATTGACGAATTCATCTACCAGTTCGAGTCCTTCTGCAGATACCGGAACCGAGTGGCTCGCACCGGTTCGAATGAGGAGGAAGCACAGCTATTGCGCGAGAACCCAAACACATGGGGCTGCTATTCTGTTCTCAACGTGCTCTACTCTCTCATCCAGCGATCCCAGATCAACGAGCAGCTCGCAGCTATAAAACGAAATGAGGACCCCATGGCTGTTGCCGGAGAGTATGGATCTCGCCCTCTGTACCGAATGCTGGGATATTTCTCCATTATCGGCCTGCTACGAGTGCACTGTCTGCTCGGAGACTTCAGTCTCGCCCTTAAGACCCTGGATGACATTGAAATGAACAAGAAGGCCATGTTTGCCCGTGTCATGGCCGCTCACTTCACCACATACTACTATGTCGGTTTCTCCTACATGATGATGCGCCGCTATGCTGACGCCATTCGCATGTTCAGCCACATCCTCGTCTACGTCTCGCGGACGAAGAACTTCCAAAAGGGCCGTGACGGCTATGATGCCATTGCCAAGAAGAACGACCAGATGTACGCTCTCATCGCCATCTGCGTTGCCTTCCACCCCACTCGTCTCGACGACACCATCCACTCCGCTATCCGCGAGAAGTACGGAGACCAATTCAACCGTCTCCAGCGCGGCCGTCCCGATGCTCTCCCAATTTTCGAGGAGCTGTTCCGCTCCGCCTGCCCCAAATTCATCAGCCCCACGCCTCCAGACTTTGATAACCCATCCCTTAACGTTGACCCTGTCGATCATCAAACTGCTATTTTCATGGATGAAGTCAAGAACACCTTGTTCAACCCTACCGTCAAGTCTTACTTGAAGCTCTACACGACCATGGACTTGAAGAAGCTCGCTGGTTTCCTGGAAGTTGACGCTGAGCAACTTCGCGCCTGGCTGTTGATTAACAAGCAGCGAAGCAGGCAGATTCGCTGGGTAGATGGTGGATTGTTGGATGGAGAAGCTGTTAATGCCGGAGATCTCGATTATGCCATTGAGGGCAACCTGATTCACATTAGCGAGGTCAAGGCCGGACGAAGACTTGTTGACTGGTACCTTCGCAACCTTGCCAGAACCTACTAAGTCAAACCTTTACCTACCTTTTTTATTCTTTTTCTCAGTTTGCGTTACTGGGTAGAATGGGGAAAGAAAATCGGACGAGAGCATCATATCTATGCATTTACGCTTTAACGCCTGCTTTTATGTTTCCTGTTCCTCGGGGAGCTGGATTGGAACGGAAATTAATGTCTAGCTTAGACCAATGTCTTGTTTAGGCTGTTTTACGACGAGAAAAAGAGAATGGCTTTGCTGTGTCCTGTTTATTACATTTTTCTATGTTTGCCCGGACACGCAATTCATATAGCCATTCTTGTAGGCGTTTTTCTTTGCTCTTCTGTTTCTTTTTGGTTCTGGAATTTACTACTTTTATTGATATATTAATCGCTGGATTCAGTACGCACGGAATGAAAAGACTATTTCTACATGCGTTTTGTCCATGTCCGGTATCATATTGAGAAGAGATCATAGTACCCTTATACACGCTAAATATGTACAATCAAGAAGCTGTGTGTAAGCCATAATATAGCACAGTCGGTTATATTACATAGACAAGTAGTAAGAGACATCTATGGTCACTTTATACATTTATTCTTTGATATCAAAACTCGTTCCACAGCCGCAATTACTCGAGGCACGCGGGTTATCCACGATCTTAAACTGGCTGCCAATAAGCTCAGTTGTGTAGTCGACCGTACTGCCTGACAGTAGCTCGAGAGAGGCAGAGTCCATCACCACCTTTGCTTGGCCAGCCGCGGCACCCGGCGTAGCGTCAGGGGTATCTTCCTTGACTTCAAAAACGGTGTCTTCCTCTTCATTTATTTTCGAGCTCGACTCTAAACTCATCAGGTATTGGAAACCATGACATCCTCCACTTGTCACGGTGATGCGTAGGTGGTGGTATGGGTTTTCCTTTTGCGTAGCAGACGGAGAGGCAGCGGGATTGGTGATTTCTCGTAGACGCTGTGTATATATTAACCATATATCCGTAAACTAGGAAAAAAGAGAAAGAAGACGAAATAACATGAATGGGCAACAAAACAGCAAAAAAATGGGTGACCACCAACATACAGACAGTCGGGATTCGCTGGTGGTCACCCACCCAACTACTAACCGACCGGCAAGTGGCTTAAGTACAGCTGAGCGGACGGGAAGCTCTGTTTTCCACTTCCTGTGGTCGTATGTGTTTGTCTACTACTACGATGGGGTTATATAGCAGGCTACTAGGGCATAGCACCCACAATCAACATCTTGTCAACGTACCTTTGCCGCTCGTGGGGATATGGAGACAAGCAGAGGCTGTCCGTCATCGTCAACTTGTGGATTCAATGTTGCAACGGTCGCATTTGCTATGGCGGACGTGCTGAAGGCGGCCAGAGGTGTATGATATTGTTTTAGGAAGGCTAACGACCCTTTTCGCGGTCGCCATTGGCTTTGTGACGGGAAGGGATAGGTTGGGATAGCTCGGGTTGGGGTATAAGAAGTTTGTGACGGCGTTGTTGCGATGGCTCGGCTGTGTAGACGATTCAAGACAGTCTTAGGTGATGCGGCGACCGTCCGTGGGCGGCACGAGAGAAGCAGCTTGTGTTTCGACATGCTGGTATATGGAAGCAGCCGCCAAAAAAGATATATCAAACGAAGAAGGAGAAGATGCAGCTTGTCGACATTTTTTTATATTCATTTGCAGGAAGATCCAATAGACGCAGAATCGATAGATCAAAATACCTTGGACGCCGATTGGTGGATACTTGATTAATAATAGTTATATCTCACGTGCGAACTGCTTTTATTCTTGAGGCAAAGGGAGAAGCAATTAAAAAAGATATAAAATTGAATTCATGCAAGAGAAAAAGAGGTCAATTAAAGTACTTGATACCCTTGAAAAGACAGGATAAAAATAGCCAAGTTAAACTGAAGTCATTGAATGGTATCCCACTGTCCGGACGATAACCTGCTATAACTACACCTTCATTAGGCTCGTTGAACTGATGGAATGGAGTCAAAATGTTCAATTCGACAGGAGAACATGAGAAATCAAACGTGAAAGAAGGACTGTGAATTTTGCGCTCAAAAAGATAGACTGGCCAAAAGTTGCGTTACTTTCATAGCATCACAATTTCCATTGAAAACGGTGGCATAAGAAGGAATACTCAAAGGCACTACTCCTGCGGAAATCTCCTCATGAGGTCTGCAACCTTGTCAATAGGCGCCTGAACCAGGGCTAAAGCAGTCTCAAACATAGGCTGTTCGACCGCAGCGCTAGGATGACTTCTAGTCGGCATTAACACCTTTGTCCGTTCAAAGTCCCGGGCCAGCTTTTCCGACTCCCCTGGATCCAGCACTGCCTCTAATGAAGGAAGGTATTGGTCTTCCTCCTCGTTGATGTGCATGTCAATCTTACTCATGAGGTCATCCAAAGTAGGCCTGTACTCGGCATCCGAAGCGGAGAGTGGCTGGAAGCTAGCGAGAAGTTGCTTGAGCTTCTGGCTTTCGGCACGATCACGGTTGATAATGATGCTGCCGTGGTCCATGTGGGATTCGATAGCAGGGTAGATGACGAGCTCTTCTGCAACGGTATATCTAGCAAGATCCCAAGTAAACTTATTGCCGTGACGGGTCATGCTGTCCTCGTCAAGTGCGTCGATGGTTTTGGCATAGTCGTCTCGCAGCTCTTGGTGGTCTGCTTTCATAGTATCTGTGATGGACGCCATGTTGTTTCGGGCTTTTTTGTAGATTGACTTGCTTTGGATGTATTTGGACCTATATGTTGTTTGGTAAATCGATTAACAGGGCGTCGTTGTAACTGGATATCTTGATCTATATAAGAGGCGAGGACGAGAGTAACTTCAGCTTGACGTCATGTCGGCTGCTGAGTGGTTGCATCCACCAGCTGAAGGTTCCTCGTTCCAACAACAAACAAGTCGACAACCAAGCTAGGTCGACCAGCACCAACCAACCACTATCAAACCTTTAGGATGTCTCTATTACTCGACAGCCTTGAGGTAACCGTGATTATCGATAATGAGCTAGATGTTATGTCTCCTCCGCCGCCCACGGTACTGGGTTCTATCGTCTCTCACGGTTCTTTGGGCAACATCGCTCTTGAGTCCGCCTACGTCCACCGGGGCAATGAAGAAGTTCGTGACCTGAGGATGGAGAGCATATGCTGCGCAGCTCATGGACTATCCGTCTTACTGGTACTTTGCAGCGTATCCTAACTATACAACGCTCCTGCTGACAGTGGGCAGACAGGTACCATTGGGGATGAGAAGAGAAGCATACTGTTTGATACTGGGCCAGAAGAAGATGCATGGGAACGGAACGCGAGCAGACTCGGTGTAGACCTCTCCAAGGTCGAAGCCGTAGTACTTTCTCACTGGCATCGAGATCATTCAGGTAATCTCTTTCACCTACCTCTGAAACCCGCCTGTCAATCAATACATGACTACGGAGCATGTCTAATTTTACAGGCGGCATGCTACGCGCTATACGGATGATCAAGGAGGCCCAGGAGGCCCAAGGACCCAGCAGCCTAGGTCTTGTAGTAGACGTCCACCCTTCACGCCCCAATTATCGCGGCTTTCAGCTGGGTGAAGAAATCATATCTCTTCAGGCAGATCCGCGATTCGACGAGATGGCTACTGCCGGTGCTATGGTAAGTAAGAATGCGCAGCCACACGACCTGGCAAACGGTATGTTCCATGTTTCGGGCATGATACCGCGAGAAACAGCGTATGAAACTGGCCTTAAGGGAGCCATGCGACTCGACGACGATGGGAGGTGGAAAAAGGACGAGGAAATCGCGGACGAGCGCGTGGTCACGTGTCGAGTGCGGGGTGAGTAACACCATAACTCCCTAACCAAACTCTACCCCGCGCTGACAAAGAAAAAAGGTCTGGGCCTTATCGCGGTCACGGGATGCAGTCATGCTGGAGTTGTGAACACAGCAAGACACGCCCAGAGAAGCCGACGGCAACATGAAACGGAGGAGAAAGAAGAAAGGGAGAATGGCGGGGAGGACTTCTTTGCGATAATTGGGGGTTACCACCTAGCAACGAGCGACGAGGCAGCAGTGCGTGCCACGGTGGATGATCTAAAGAAATTAAACCCACGCTTTCTTGTTCCCGGCCATTGTTCAGGCTGGCGAGTCAAGATGGCCATTGAGAATGCAATGCCTGGCCGCCTGCTTCCTTGTTCCGCGGGCGCAAGACTCACCTTCGCTGATCAACCTCCGCGTGTTGATGATCTATCTGTACCTTGCAGTAACTCGACACAAACCTGACCATTGGACCCTTGCCAGGAATTTTAACAATTAAATATCCCGGTTGACGGCGGTTAGTAAGCGGGAGAGCCAGAGAGGTGGAGGCAAAACGTCCCATGGATCCGCGGGTGTTATTATAAACGGATATCGGAACGGAGTACAAGTTAGTATATCAGGGTATATCTCAAGACAGAACACAACGCATCATACTCTATTATCCATTCTGCCGGTGTGCATAGCCTAAGTGGATATGATGGATTTCAGCAAGGATCCTGACTCCCTTACGAGGGAGTACGCTCGCAGTCTCGACGAACAGGATCCCCTCCGTGGCTTTCGAAAGGAATTCATCATCCCCTCCAAGGCCGATCTGAAATGCAAAACCCTAGCTCCTCCTACTGGAGAGGAGGAAGCCAGCAAACCTGAAGAAAGCAGCATTTACCTCTGTGGAAACTCCCTGGGCCTCCAGCCTGTCTCTACAAGCGAGCATGTCAACTCCTACTTGCGATCATGGGCTCTCAAGGGAGTACTGGGACATACCGAACCCCACACCGACCAGCTTTCAGCAGAGTGGTTGAACATTGATGACAGAGCGCCTGAGCTTATGGCGCCCCTTGTGGGTGCTAAGACGAGTGAGGTTGCTCTGATGGGGACGTTGACTGGCAACTTGCATCTCCTGATGGCCAGCTTCTATAAACCTACCAAGGAGAGGTACAAGATCATCTTCGAGGGGAAGGCCTTCCCCAGCGATCATGTAAGAATTAATTGCTACTCTTAACTCTTTTTTTTTCTTCTGTTTCTTTGCTGATCAAATTAGTTTGCAATTGAATCGCAGGCACGCCACCATGGGCTTGACCCAAAGGACACAATGGTCCTCATCGAGCCGGTTTCAGAAGACTATCCCGTCCTCGAGACTTCCCAGATTCTATCTGTCATTGACGCGCATGCGGACACCGCTGCTCTTATCCTCCTTCCTGGAATCCAGTACTACACTGGCCAGTTTTTCGACATGAAGACCATTACTGCCCATGCACATTCCAAAGGGCTGATGGTAGGATGGGACTGTGCCCATGCTGTAGGAAACGTCGAGCTTAAATTCCATGACTGGGACGTCGACTTTGCTGCATGGTGTTCATACAAGTATTTGAACTCCGGGGCCGGGGCTATGGCAGGACTATTCGTGCACGAGAAACATGGGCTGGTCACAGAAGAGAGTTTCAGACCGCGACTCTCGGGCTGGTGGGGAAGCGATAAGAGCTCCCGCTTCATTATGGATAATAGTGAGTTTCGTCGATTTCCCATTGATCTCCAGCGCTGAGTCCCTAACAATTTGGCAGAGTTTGTTCCTCGTCCTGGTGCGGCAGGTTATCAGGTCTCCAACCCTTCTGCTCTTGACCTGGCCGCTGTGACTGCATCCTTGAAGGTGTTCAACAAAGCCACAATGCCAGCGCTTAGGCGCAAGTCCGTCTTATTGACGGCCTACCTCGAATATCTCATCGACAGCGAATTCCCTTCTAAGTCTGAGAGGCCGTTTACCAATATCACGCCGTCTGATCCCGATATGCGAGGAGCACAGCTCAGTCTGCGACTTAAACCAGGCCTGTTAGACCCTGTCTTCGCATGTCTGCTGAGGAACGGTGTTGTGTTGGATGAGAGACGGCCGGATGTCATCCGCGTGGCTCCTGCACCACTATATAACTCGTTTGAGGATGTCTGGCTGTTTGTTCGTGAGCTTAGGGCGGCATGTGACGAAGCGACTGCGAGTTAGGATATTGGATCAGGAACAGCATTTGAGCAAAAACATATATTATTTCGCGTATAGAAAGGATTGCAGAGGCATTTTCTTCCCCCTTTTTCGTTAATTATCACTCTATACTCATTTAAACGCGAAATATGCCCGTTCCAGCGGGGTTCGCTCTGTCTCCCATGCCAACCAGTCTGATCTCGTCGTCCTAAGGGATCATTAGCACTCAACAGGCCCAATCACCCCGTAGATAGTTAACTTACGGCAACAATCCCATCCCATTAACCTTCCATATGCCCAATGCCAACAATACACACTGCATAGCCACGTAAACGATCTTGACAGCCACCATCTGCCCCCGAATACTCTCCGACTCTAGTTTAGCGAAGGCAGCATTTGTACCTATAATGCCGGTAATCGGTCCCTTGAAAAGCATAAAAACCATCATGATACTGAATATCTGCAAGCTGTTGCCGGACATGTACATCATTATAGCGTTCATGGGTAGCTGTTTGGCAGGGGCCAGGGCAAGTTCCCATGCTTTCTTCAATTTAAGGGCATCAGTCTCGGTCTTGCGGGGGGCTGAGGATGTACTGGGAGATGGCTGAGTGCGTTGCTAGACGACATACGTTAGTATATAGTAGAAATATGCGGCTATATGCAAGCGGATTGTCCAGTGTACCTTTGAGGCTGACTTGGGGGCCGAGTAGCCTGGAGGGTCGGGGAAGGAGGCAGACTTTGATGCTCTGCCGGGTGCGGGAGAGTTCATGTCGACAGCCCAGTGAGGCGGAGGGGGTGGAGGAAACATTTTCATCCGTTCTGCCATGGTGAGTATCTCCGTCTATGGCGTGGTGTATGTTGATAGATTGTAGATTTATCTCGTCTTTCACGATGCCAAAGGCCATGGATAACTAATAAGTGACCAGCGTATGACTAAGGAACAATATTATGTAATAACTTTCATGGTGCTTTAGGTTTGGGATTGATGATTGGCTCAATTAAGTTCTCAAAGATATAAATACTGACCACTAAAGAAGTTTGCAGGCGACCTCACAATTACTGCCATCTACACTATTAGACTCCTCTTCAGCTTTAAGAGGTGGATGCTCAGGGGATTTGTGCTCAACAAAATAAAAATTAGTCATTAATTATCCAACCCAAGTGTCCGCTTTTTATGTTATATGATAAGGACTAAGGAGCCTGTAGAGAATCTATGCCTTCATGGCCTCAACAATTCCATCACCACCTTCTTCTGCTGGGTCCCAGAATTGAACAACTTTAAGGCCTGCCTTACCCAAAAGCGCAGTCCACTGTTGCTTTGTACGTTCCATACCGCCATTAAAGGCCATCATTGTCATATCCAGCATGGCTTGGAAATGGGAAGCACCTACTTCAGGGATAATCATTTCGTGAAGGAGAAGCTTTGAATATCCTGGTGTCATCGCGGATGCAACCCTTGCAAGAATCTTAAGACACTGCTCATCGGACCAGTCATGTAAGATATGGTGGTAGAAATAGGCCCTCGCACCTGAAAAAGGTGTTAGCAGGAGGTATTTTTTTTTTTTTTTTTGGGGGGGGAGATAGGCAGGCAATAACTTACCAATGATCGGCTGCTCCGTGAAGAAATCGTAAGAAATCTTCTCAATCGCCGAATCCAAGCCTTCAATCGCATTTGTAACTGCAGGCAAGTCTTCCAAAACTAGTCTGCCAGTGTTAGGAAACTTCTCCTTATATGCCAACAGGTCATGGCCCTTTCCTGCGCCTACATCCACAAGCAAAGCCTTGTCAGGGGATGCACCATCTAGAAGTCGACTCTTCACCGGATACCAATCAATCCAGTATGTACGAGCACCCATTGTACTGCCCATAAAGGTGTTAAAGTCCTTAAGCAAGGATGGTATGGAACTAATACGCTCAAAGGCAGATTTCTCTGTTTTGAAAGCATATTGAACAAGTCCGTTCTTTGGATCGGATGGGCAGGAATACCCTTTTTCCTGCATGTATTCAGGAGCGCTTTGAATTGCAGGAACAACCAGCTGGGAGCTATGTAAAGCACAATTAGTTAAGGGTCGTAAAAGCAGCGGTGATTAGATGTGTAGTAACTTACAGTAATCGATGACCAGAGGCAATTCCATCAATAGTCATAGCGTGAGTAATACGCGATGCCTTCCATGTCTTCGGAGAAAGCTCTTCAACAAAATGATGGGTTGTCAAGGGTCGTAAGACACGGACTATGAATTTTATACATTAGCCTGGTTATCACCATCTACTGGGTATAGGGAGTCCTGTACCTATCAAATGCTCATCTGCACCAGACAACTCAGCCAACTTGGCAGAGGTAACGGGCTCGTTCTTGACAATGTGTGAGAACAGATTTAAGTCGACAGCAATTCTGACTGTACTAGCAACCATGGGCTATAGATGGATTAGTATATAAACACTATACAGATAAGGAAATAAAGAGGACAAGGGTTGTAAAGGGTATAGTACCGAAAAGGCCATGTCAACAGCTATGTTCTCTGGTTGCTCTAGCTGGGCAGTAAGAGCTCTACTGAGCTGCAAACACTCTCTTCTAGCTTCCTGGTCGGATCCATCGCTGAGCCTTGAAGCAAGGCGCTGCAACCTGGCGATCAGAGCAGCAGGCTCTCCATTGGTGGTCACTCCGTTAGATCCCATAGTGAAAGAAGTCTCAACACGCTGTATGAAGTTGGAATATAAGAATGAGCTGGATATCTTGAACAATATGCGAAGATACTGATTTAAATACCATAGCCCCTGTACTCCGTATGATTATAGTTACATTATCACTCTATCATATTGATAATAGTGTACTGGTGAGAGTCCATTCTTCCCATGATAGAAGTGATATCAGTGACTAGCAGTTAGTATTCAATAGTCATGTAGTCAACCAAAGCGTCCGTTCTCGCTTTGATGCTTGATCATCTATGGAGTAGATGATCAACAAGCACCGGGTTTCTAGATCATCTATAGAACTTCTCACTTGAGTGCTCCATCTGCGGCGCTGACTAGATAACTAGTTGATGGAGTAGAGAGAGAGCGGCCCGAGAACAGGCTTGGGCCATTATTGGGCCTTGTCGGAGCGGAGCAACTGGTGAAAAGGTCTGAGACTACTGAAGTAGTTCGGAGGGTCCTAGACTAAAAACACAAAAACACAGTAACCTCTACCAGCAGATAAACGATTTTAAACATTGAAATATTGTAAAGAAGCAGCAGGGGTTGCGCTACGGGCCATCGGGGGCGGAAGATTTCATCGTATACGAAGGACATGACACAGTTTTCAAGCCACCAGATAGAAGCGAGGCGGTTGAGGAAGGCGCTGCCATCAAAGGCTTGCCATTGGTGTGCCAGAACTGAATGTTTAAGCGGCAAGAAAGTTCAATGGGATGAGCTTGGTGGAGATGACGGCCCCTTTCACACTAGGAGGCCCGTATATGCAGCTTTTTTGGCGAGTTAGTGGCTGTCCGATGCAGATCGAGAGGATCTTCTGGCCATCTCGAAGTCTTCCTAGCGCGAAAACTGACCGCAAACTGGCGGTTACGAGGGACCCATAAGCTACAGCCGGAAAGTAGACATTTGGTAAGACATCTGGGGTTTGACGGTCAGTACGCAGCATTAGCCGTGAACTATTGCTCTACCCCGTATAGATTTCCCATAGCCATTCCACAATGATCATTCCGTTCCCCAAGCGATCAACATAAACAATGCGGCTTGCCGCTAAGCTACCACTTGTACTCCGTAGCTATGGAACTATGGAAATCTGGAAAAAAAGGGACGCAATGTCAAGATCATCCTAGCCGCTGGTTGTTCGCCGGTTTTTTATAGATACCTCCGCTTCCCCATAGCTGATTACCGGGCGCGCTGCCGATTGCTCCAGAGAGACTCCATCTCACCTGTCTCTTTCAACTTTCTTCATTCGTTTGATTGAATCAAAGAAGCCCTCAAGATGCTTATGTCCGGGCCCGAGTACGTGGGGACGACCGTTATGGTCCTGGCCTGGTTGCTTTTTGCTGTCTCTGTCGGTATTGTTGGCACCAGATACTACGTCCGATGGAAAATCGTAGCGAGATTTACAATCGACGATGGACTGATTTTGATTGCACTTGTGAGTCTGGCCTGGATCCTTGTGAAGATGCAAAGGGATAGTTATCATAACTGACTGATATCCAAATACAAGGCCCTTGCGTTGGGGAATTCCATATTCCTATCAATTTCCACTCATTATGGGTTGGGGACCCATATGACGGAGCTCTCGAAGGAGCAAATCATGTATACGGTGAAATGGGTATTCCTCTGTGAATTTTTCTCCATCATGTCGCCCTGTGTGAGCCGTATCGCCTATGCGTCTCTGTTGCTGAGCATCCTACCTCCAATGAAATGGCGGAGTAAAGTGCTTTGGGCTTTGATATGGATCCAGTTTGTGGTTGATGTTGTGTGTGTGGTGATCAGCTTCAGCCAGTGCCAGCCGCTGAACAAGTTCTGGGACCGTAGTGTCCCAGGCAACTGCTGGTCACCAGTTGTGCAGCAAAATATAGGTTTCTTTCAAGGCAGTAAGTCTTCTCCTCCTACCTTTTCATTGCAACAGAGGACGCTGACATTAAACTGAAGGTGTATGTTCGCTGGTTGATCTGGTGCTCGCTATCTTCCCTGCCAGCATATTCTGGAACCTGAACATGGAACTGAAAAAGAAGATATCGCTTTCATTATTAATGGGTCTTGGAGTCATGTAAGTGCCAGATTGCCTTCTTATAACTATAACTAGTTATATCGACGACGCTGACCAGTTAATGAACCGATTTAAAGTGCGATGATTGCATCTATTATCAAAACTATTCAACTGCAAGCAATCACAGCAACAGCGGATATCACGTATGCCATGGCTCATCTTGCTACCTGGTGGACCCTGGAAGCATATCTTGTCATCATCGCAACCTCTATACCCACCCTAAAGCCCATCGTGTCAAGGAAACGAGACGGCTCGAGCAAGAAGTCGAATATCAGTGAGAGTCACCAGGCTCACAGCAAACAGTTCGAAAGAACCGATGACTCAAAGCTCCTGGAGCGAAGCTATGGCTCAAGGCACAGTACCCCGAGTAACGGTGATGTATATGTCATGGAAGAAGGCCTCAAATCGGGCGGCTATAGCTCGGAAGAGATAGAAGGAATAAAGAAGGAGACAACTATCGGTGTCAAGTATGAAACCGCTACTCATAATGACCAGAGAGCGTCGATGGGGGTTGGTTTTGAATAGTTAAGGATACCCTAACTACCTGCTTTCGAGCCATGTAGTTATGGTAACCAGTTAAATAAAAGTACCGTCATATTCAGTACTGCAACCCTCCCGCGAATATCAATATAGTAAAAGGCCCGGTAATAGGCAGAGCAGATGGATTGACTGGTAGTTATAGAGTACGGGTTCCCTTGTAAAATTGAACGAATTTCTTGGAGTAATATAGGCTGTCTCACAACGCCTGGTCGGTTAAACGGACACCTTTTTACCCTGCGTTTCGGGTACTCTACAGCCAAGTGGAACATGATTAGCATGACAAGGTTCAGTAAAGACAAGAATGGAGCCATATGTATTAATGTCTGGTTAATATGAGCAAAGGCATGGACAGGCGTGTATCAGCTTCCCTTGTTCAAGCGCCGTCACTCTGCGCGCTGGCTGGCGCACCTTTGGCAGCCAGCCTGCAGCTCTCGGCGGCAAACGTCGCGTCTCACGTCTCATATCGGCTCCTGACACAAACTCGACAGACTTGACGGGGCCTATCAACTAGGCATCTGGCGTCTCTTCAAGGCCGATTTCAGCTGGGACTGGCTGGTCCACTGTCCGTCGCTAGTCAGCGATGGAGGTACTTTGGCCGCATCGTGGTTTGTTAGTAACCACAAGTACCTGCAGGCAAAACCTCCAACTTAGTTACTTAACTAGCTAAATACTTAGCTATTAATAAGTTAACAAAACAAAGTCCCATCACCAAACCCGACCATCATCCCCTTGAAGCTCGCCCTCGCATCCCTCGACTTCAGCAACTCGACCGCCCGCGAACGGCTCCTGAGCATCGCCAGCACCGAGACAGAGACGCCAGACCAACAGACAAAGGGCTTGTCTGCCCCGGATTCGACTCGCCGCACGGCAACTTGGCTCGCCAGGGGCCTACCCTACATGTGACCATCCGCTTGCTGTCCATCCAGTAACAACCAGACATCTCGAGCCGCGCTCGTCCTAGGCGCACAAGGAAGATGAGCTCGAGCGGGGGCGATGCGAAGCTGTTCGCACGGGTACGTTCTCTCTCCTCCATGATGTACTTGCTGCCCGTGGATACCCTCTCCTCGTCCTCGTCCTCCGGCCTGCCGCGCCCTCCCTGATATATCTCGCTACTACCACCTGCTACCAACCCTCCCCCCATCTCTTCCTCAATATCCTACCCATGGGTGCCGTACCGGCACTATCAATACCGGCATTATGATGATGACACTGCAGTATGGAGGGATTCGGTCGTCTGGTCAGAGAACTAACACTGCACAGGGCAAGGTCAGCGAGCTCCGCATGGAGTTGCAGGGCGGTGGCAAGAAGGACAAGAACCACTCCGCAAAGAAGATCACGCTGAAGAAGATAGTTGCCAACATGACCATGAGCAATAATGATATGATCGGCCTCTTCCCGGACGTTATTGGTTGTATGACCATACCCAGCTTGGAGATAAAGAAAATGTACGTTTGTTCTGGAGGAGGTAAAAGGGGGGAGGGACACCAGATATGCGGACGGAAGGGAGGAGGGCAAGCTGACGGATACTAGGTGCTTCCTATTTCTCGTCAATTACTCTCGAACAAAGCCGGAGGTTGCGCTGAAAGCCTTGCCATTACTACTCCAGGTATGCTATCTATTTATGCTCCGTATATACTGTGACGTGGCTGACGGTTACATAGGATATGAATGATAGTAACCCTTTGATTCGAGCCCTGGCCCTACGAACGATATCATACATCCATGTGAGAGACTTTGTCGAAGCAACGGTTCAGCCATTGAAACACTTGATGTCCGATACAGACCCCTATGTGCGCAAAACAGCTGCCTTTGCGGTCGCCAAGCTATACGATCATGATAGAAGGCTGGTTGAGTCTTCAGACCTGATCGAACGGTTGAATAATATGCTTCAGGACGAGAACCCAACGGTTGTGTCCAGTGCTTTGGCTGCTTTGGTAGATGTCTGGGAGCGGAGCGAATCTATCACTTTGACTATTGACTATACCAATGCCTCCAAGATTATCTCCATTCTACCCGACTGCTCCGAGTACGCTCACTATCATATATATACACTGCTACAATTGCCGTAAACTAACACTTTCATAGATGGTGTCAAACATACATACTCGAAGCATTGATGTCTTACATCCCCCGAGAGTCCTCCGAAGCACTCCTCCTTGCTGAACGAGTGGCTCCGCGCCTATCACACTCCAACTCCTCCGTCGTCTTGACATGTATCCGTGTCATATTATACTTTATGAACTACATCGCAGAAGAAAGGCAAATCACATCACTGTCCCGAAAGCTTTCTCCGCCTCTCGTCACGTTACTGTCAAAGGGACCCGAAGTTCAGTACCTTGCCCTCCGAAACGCGATTTTGATATTACAAAGGCGGCCGGAGGTGCTGCGGAATGACATTAGAGTGTTCTTCTGCAAATATAATGATCCCATCTATGTTAAGGTAACCAAGTTAGAGCTGATCTTCATGCTGGCATCCAAGGATAATATCTCAGTGGTCCTGACCGAGCTTCGAGAGTGAGTTTGAACCATCTTCAGTCATATCTAGCTTGTCACCTGTCACCTCTCTAACAAAATTCATAGGTATGCCACTGAGATCGACGTCCACTTTGTACGAAAAGCTGTGCGCGCAATTGGAAAGCTAGCAATCAAGATAGAATCTGCGTCACGGCAGTGTATCGAGACCTTGCTCGAGCTTGTCAATGCTAAAATTCCCTACATTGTGCAGGAAGCCACAGTTGTGATTCGTAACATCTTCCGCAAATACCCAAACCAGTATGAATCAATCATCACAACTGTCATTCAGAACATCGACGAACTGGATGAACCCGAGGCCAAGGCTGCTGTGATATGGATAATTGGCCAATATGCAGACAGAATTGACAACTCGGATGTTTTCCTGCAGGATTACCTAGCTACTTTCCATGATGAGCCGGTAGAAGTCCAACTGGCTCTTCTCACAGCTACAGTCAAGCTATTCATCCAGCGCCCAACAAAGGGCCAGGAGCTGGTTCCCCAGGTCCTGAAATGGTGCACTGAGGAGACAGATGATCCCGATCTTCGAGACAGAGGCTTCATGTATTGGCGACTTCTCTCCACAGACCCAGAGACAGCTAGGAGTATCGTCATGGGTGAAAAGCCTCCCATTACAGCTGACAGGGAAAAATTGGACCCAAGAACGCTCGAAGAACTGTGTCTAAATGTCGGTACCCTTGCTACCGTCTATCTCAAGCCAGTCCAACAAGTCTTCCGGCTTGCCAGACCGAAACGGCTCGCACCAAGCCCTGCGCTCCAACAACCCACCTATCAAGACTCCCACGATACCCCATTCCATATACCTCTATCTACCCTACTATCACCCAGCCAGGAACCTGACGCAAATGCTCAATCCATGGGACCAGACACCGGCATGGCACAGAAGCCAGATATCAGTGCTGCTGTGAATGCCGCTGATCTCTATTTTGCTGGAATTGGTAATGACCAAGTAGCTGACCAAATGGCGGCTATGAGTTTAGGTGGTGGCGGCGTTCATGGGGGTGGTATGGTTGCAACCGCGCCAGAGAGCCAGTACATAGTTAGCCAGAACCAGCAGCAGGCTTATCAGCATAATATGGGCGGCGCTACGGGCGAGGTACTCCTTATATAACTCCCGTGAAGTCTAGCGGATAGCTACCGGAGGGCCAGAAAAGATGATTTGATTGAGCAAGCGGTCATATGGATTAGGGCATCGTTTATTGGAGTGTGATTCATGTATATGCCAGGCGGAGTTTTGAGGGACGAAGTAGATAAATCTTCTTGCAATGTGTATATCTAAAAAAAAAATATTTAGGTGGACCCCCCAAAACCTTGAACGTTCATAGCAATCAATTGCTTGTCTGTCTCTTGAATAAGCGACACATTTTCATATAGTGAATATTAAAAAGGATACCAATTCCAGGTGTGATATGTAGTCAGTTGTATCCCACAGCATCGTCACATCTGCGTACATGAGCAAATTGCATATGTCAAAAAAGGGGGGAGGAATGCGACAGACTCGACCTGCGTTCAAACAAAATGTAACAAAACCGAACAATTAAAGTAAGTAATCAGAAAACACAAGGCAGGGCTGCGCAAATGTATGTATGTAACTAAATATGTATTGGAGCTGTGATCAAATTTTCAAACTGGAAACTGGAGGAAGGCAAAACTGCTCTACAGAACCTCAGGGTTTGTGCTCTCCGTCCCATCCAACCCAAGAACGAGGCATGACTCTCCAAACACGACATTCACCACTTTTCAGGTCACCCAACTTATAACTTTCGACTTTTGTCTTCTTGCTTTCCCTACCTTGCTCCCAGGCTCGTACTTTTTTCTTCGTACCGTCCCAATCAGATACGACTCCGGAGTGGTCGGGCTTGCCTACTTCGGCGGAATATTTTTGATGCATTGTGCCGCGGTGACCTTGGAAACGACAGTTACGGAACGTGATTATGTCGCCAGGGCGGATTTCATCGAATTGTTGGACAGAGGCATTGGCTAGATTGGCGTATACCAGAGCACCGTAGCTGCGGACGCCGACTGGGAGGAGGGCGTCCTTCAAGGGAGCAAGGAGAGTTTGGATAAGGGCATGAGGAGTACCGTCACCAACTGTGGTATTCTGTTTTGAAGCAACTGATTCGGAGATGCGAGCACCAAACTGAGTATGGGCGTCCTCCAATTGATCTTGGCGCAGTCGGGGTGGTGGTGGTTCGTGGCGCTGTTCTAATGCTACATCGATTGGATTTTTGGAATCGAATTGTGCGGATACGATGGTTTGAGAGTAGTCCATGAAGAGAATGTAGACGTCCTTTGAAGTAGTTATTTTCCCTCCTCGCTTGCTTGTAGAGGACTCCTCAATCTCAAAGATAATATCTCGTCGGCCTTGGAAGACTGGAGGAGGTGTGTTTGGTTGTGTCCACCAAAGAGACGTGGAAGCAAGGTCTACATCATTGGCCATGTAACCCTGATCCATTGACGGTCGAGAAATATCCATGGACCTGCGAGTTCCAGTTTGACCCCTTAGGAGGTCTACTGAGCCCCGGGATGGACGAGGGGCTTGAGGAGAGGACACGGTGTGCTGGGGTATTTCGTATGGCATCTCGTCCTGAATCTCTTTGGTTTGGGACTCACCTCGATCTCGATGAACAGGAACAGCAGGTGCGGTGTGCTGATCAAAGGCCTCCCCTAGCGCTCGCTCATGGGTATCATCCTCTTCGGTATACGTAGTTTGAGGAACTGGGGGTGGAGGAACTCTCGGCATATCAACCGACTGCCGAGAAGCCTTTGGTGGCTGGCTAGGGGGAGGAGGTGGCGCTGATCGAGGAGCTGTATTCGCGAAAGTGGTCTGCGGGATGGGGGGTCGCGTTTCTATCGGACTCCTGGGTGAGTGTGGACTGAAGGAGTCGGCCAACGTTCCTTCATCTACACTAGAATCTCTGGCATGGGCCTTTAGAGCATCTTTGTGTTTGGCACCAGACGCTATATCCGTGTCATAGTCGCCTTCGTACTCCGTTATCTCCTCCTCGCTCTCACTCCCTGGGGGACGAGTTGGGGTTTGGGAACTCATCCTTCTATCGCTGGTAGGTTTGTGGGAGATTGGGTCAGTTGGTGGAGGTGGAGGTGGAGGACGGGTCTGAACCGATGAAGGTACTGGGGGAGCTGATGGCAGTGGTGGAGGGGGGTGACTTTGCCGTTTTTCTGGCCTTGATACGGGAGACGAAACTGGTGATGCGACTTTGCCTTGATCTATAGATCGGCGTGAGCTCCCGGGTGTCTCATGCCCAGGAAAGTAGGATTCATCATCACCCCTTTCGGTCCGGGCCGGAGATAGAACAGCTTCATCATTAGATTTGGCCCCAGGAGAAACAGAAGTCATTATACTTTGTGGTGGTGGCGGGACAGGTCGGGCTAAGTAATATGTTAGAAAAGCACTGTATAAACGGTCAGAAAAGGGAGTTGATTGGTAGCCTACTTTCTGGGGGAGGTGGAGGAGGAGGGAGATTATGGGCGACTGGAGGTGGAGGAGGTACAGGGCGTCCTAGATTTTGAATGCATTAGTCTCATATCCAGTAGGCTTATCACAAAGAAAAATTATGAACATACCGTGTGGCGTGACAGGTTCCTCACTGGTGGTCTCTGGAGCCTCGTCTGACGCAGAAGGTAAGGGCTGGGATGGGGCAATAGGCACTTCACTAGGCTCCTCCGGAACCGCTGGCGGGCTTTTTGGCGTTTCTTCCGGTTTCCTTACATGCATCCCTGGAAGAGCCATCAGCTGGACAGGAGGAGCATAAGCTTCCGGCTGCTGATCCGTGGTTCCTGATTCCGCTGGCGGGGCTTTTGGCTTTTTATATCCGCCAGTGGGCATTCCCGGTAAACCAGCGGGAGCACCAAACATGCCCATCATGCCCATCCCTCCGCTGATCTTGGCCATTCGGTCACGAATTTCCATCCGCCGCCTGATTTCGGGATCTATCTCGTCCTCCTCTTGCTCCTCACTCTCTTCTTCGTCAGAGGCATTGGCATCAGGAGTATCGCTTTGTAGGTTTTTCTGGGACCTGGGCTCAAATGACTTCTCCTCAACGTCCTCTTTACTTGTTGAAGTTTCACTTGCTTCCTCCGTATCCCCAGCCGCCGAATTGTCAGCATCATTGGTGTCACTTGTAAGTTCTCTGGCGGGCGGCAAGACAGGGGTCCGATGCTTAGGCTGCATGCTTTCTTCAGCTGGGCCGCCGCTTGCAGCCGATAATTCCTTCGCAGTTTCTGAGGTCTCAGTCCTTTGTAGCTCGACTCCAATCGTAGGCTCGGACGGTTCAACAGGCTCTTGGGACTCTACTTTCTTCTTCGAAGGCTTTTTCGGCTTCTCTTTCTTCTGAGCTGCTTCAGCATGCCGGGAGGCTTGCTCTAGCTGCTGCTTTTGTAATAGAGCAATCCTTTCTTTCAAGCTTGTTGGCTTAGGTAGTTCCTCCTGTGCAGCTTCAGTTGTCTCTGGGGCTTCAGATCGAGTTGGTAGCGAATTTTCCTGGGGTTCCTCCCGCCTATATATTTGAGGATGTTCAATTGGCGGCGGAATATAGGCGTTTTTACTGGGTGGTGGTGCAACGAATGGCTTCTTCACGAATGAACTCGAAGTATTGGTGGTATGATTGAAAGGTATTATTGGGGCTGCGGAAGCCTTGTTGAAAGCAGCAATCCTGTCTTTGAACGAGCCTGCTATCGGCTTCTCTGCAACAGCTGGTGGTGGGGCCTTCTTGGCCGATGTTTCCACTGGTGCTGATGGCGGAGGCGGTGCAGGTTTCTGAGAGGGTGGGCTCATGGGAGGGGATGAGGGAGTAGCAGCCGGAGCCGGTCTTTTGGGCGACTCATATGGAGCTGGAGCAGGGACATTTTGTTTCTCAGCCTCACCAGTTGAACCGAGGTCAATACTCCTCTTATGGCTGTCCTCTTGCGGGATGTCAGCCATAGCTGGTTCGGAGGCTAGAGGTGGGGATTGAGAGGTGGTTTCAGACTCTTTCCGGGCTCTGGCAGGCCTCGTAGGCCTTGGAGGGGCTGGTGGTTCGTACTTTTCGACGAAATTCCTTGGGAAAATGCCTTCTTGTCTGGCGCCCGCATCATTGGTATAGTTGCCATAGTACCAGTCAGCATCCTCCTCCTCGGTCACCGTGATGATCTGCCCAATTGAAAAGTTTAGGTCATCTTCATGCTCCGAGGTGTATTCGAACACTGCCTTGACCGTAAAAGGTACCGCTGACATTTGGAAGGCTAGTGGAGAGAGTTTCCGATTATCAACGGTCAAATAAACGGTCGAGCGCAACGGCGACTCGAGGTCAGGCAGAGAAGCTGTATTGCGACCAAATGTAAACTGGACGGCACCCGAGTGCAAAAAGCGAGGGACAGACGATCGAAGCCCACTGTCCCTTCGGCTTTTCAGGCCCGTCAAAGGAAATAAAGAGTATACGACGCTGGCGTGTAGCTAGAGTATCGGTGGTTAGGGAACTGCGCGGCGGCCTAGGTTAGTTCGGGGCATCGTAATAACTAGCTAGATAACCAAACAAAGACAGAAAGCCAGGCACGGATCTTACAGGCCGAGGACGAGCAGAACTATCTCCTTCAGAAATAAAACAAGGCCGGCGAGTCAAGGACGGGCTCGAGGGGAGCCTGCTGCGTTGTGGTGGGTTGGGGGAGTTGGTGATGTTCAAGTTGTCCGTCAGTGGGAGATGGAGGAGGGCGGGAGCGACGACAACACTTAGTAACGGGTTAACTAATCTAATTAACTTAATTAACTAACCTAGCTGGCTGTGGCTTGACCTCCCCATATAAAAACACGACAGCGGCGCCGCCACGGCCAGAGAGAAACCCCCACAGCCCGCAACTACAGTGGAAGATGAAGATGGCACATTTCGACGGCCTCGAGTTTGACGTCTGATACAAAAGAAAAGGCGGATGGAAGAGTGACGCTGGGAGAGGACACCCTTACGGAGTACTGCTTGTCTGTGCCTGTGTAGAGTTGCAGCAGCAGCCATGGCCGGCAGAGGCAGCACTCACCAGGACAGGGCGCTCAAGACGTCTCTACAGGCGGTTCACGCTTCATCGGCGCCGCCTTCGTCTCAGCATCGCGGCAAAGGGTCGCGGGACCCTCGGCACATGGCGATTGCGCTTCACCATGCCCGTCAGATCCAGAGCCGCAAGGAGTTGGAGCTCCAGATCCTGTCACATATAGAAACGCTCATGGAACTGCCCACTACACCCGGTGCTACAGCCGAGTCCCCCTCTGCGGAGGACGTGTCGACTTTCTTCTCTGCAATAGCATGCTTTCAGCCGTCAGACTACGATAATCTGATACAGGAACGGAATATAGACGGTAGTTGTGGCTATACCTTGTGTCCCAAGCCACGGCGAAAGGACAGCTCTAAAGGAGGATACAGGATAGTTTGGGGGTCAAAGGGCAGCGGCCCCGGTGGCCGTGGCAAAGACATGAAAGTCGTGCAGAAAGAGAAGCTAGAGATGTGGTGTTCCGAGGAGTGTGCAGAGCGAGCAATGTATATCAAAGTGCAGCTCAGCGAGAAACCAGCTTCAGAACGGATAGGGAGTGCAGGCAAGACCTTCATGCTGCTGGAAGAAGCCAGACGAGGCGAGTCGTCAGGACCAAACACCGAACGGATAGACAGCAGTACTATGAGAGCAGTGGAGGAGAATCTCCAGGGACTCACACTGCAGGGTAATTACGCCGACCCAACAGCCTATGGCCAAGATCATCTATCTCGTGAACTGCAGGATTTATCGATGCAAGATGGAGGAGATTCTTCAGCACACGCTCCTGGGCCGAGCAGCAGTGCTGGAGGCAGAGGTTTGCTGGCTCCAACCGTTGTTGAGAGAGATACCGATGATTCGAGATACCCTAAAGCTCCGGTCTTCCAGCCAGACAGCGCAAACGGAGGCTCGGTCGAGGGCTTCCATCCACGACATGACACACAGTTCAGAAACTGGCCGTCCAGCAACAAGGACGGAGACGGAGATGAAGACATGGATGACTTTTTACCGCAGATATAAGACAGGTTTACAGGTACTTTGGAATATATGGGCGTTGCTAGGTTGAGACGCAAGAGATACCCTTGGCTTCTTAAGAGTCCTTCTTTTTCATATGCTTGATATGGCGTTCGTTCGAGTGATATTCTTCTTACATTGGGCGAATGTGATTATGTGAATTAACTTACCATCATAATGAACATCATCACCATCATGTCATAGTAGGATATGTAGCATCTACCACAGGGAGTTTAACGGGACTGGTTTTTGGCAATCAAGCGTCATCCCAGAGGAATCAGCGACACCTTGTATTTTCGTAATTTTTTTATATTAGAAGTTGGCAATCTAGGCGTTGAATTCATGAGCAAGGCCCGGATATATTGACCCAAATTCCCACCGCCGCATAACTCCTGCCATTTTTGGTGTGGTAACTGACTTAACGACGGTCGAAACGACGGCCGTCAACGTTCTGGGATTGCTGAGAAACTGGAGTGACATTGACCTTGAGAGAGTCGAACTGCAAGAGAAGGAAAAAAATTTCGGATTAGCCATTGATATAAATACGTATTTCAATGGAGCGTAGACTTACTCCGAGGCTCTTGAGGAGGTCCTTGGTATCAGCATCGACATCGAGCTGGCCGCTCTCAGTCTGGGAGATATCAAGGGCAGAGATCTCTGGAACGTATTGATCCTTGCGCTCACGCTCCTCCTCCTGAAGCTTGAAGGAAATACCACGGACTGGGCCACGCTGGATACGCTTCATCAAATGAGTGGTGTAGCCGGCAATCTAAGTTCAGAATTAGACCTGTTTCCTGGCACTTTTTGTGACACTTCCTAGAGGTTTCGGCAACCCACCTTGTTGCGGAGGCGCTTGGAAGAGATGATAGCGATCTCATCGCAAATGCGCTTGTTGGTCTCGAAATCGAGGGTGAGCTTTGGGTAGTATCGCTCAATGATGCTCTTGGCAGATTTCTTGACGGTCTGTTCAGATCAAAAGCAGCCTTGTCAGTTTCTCGATCTCAAGCAGAGTAAATGCATATTCTCAGAATTCGTGATGTTCAAATACCTTTGTCCTAACGCGACCCATGTTGGCGGTGTTGATGTGCTGAACTGCGGGTGGTTGATGAAGTTGACAGTTGCTTTCAATCTCGAAATGTTCGGGACGTGTTTTTTCTGATAAAGTGGAAGTTCGCTTAGGGCTTAATTCTGTCACGTGATTTATTATGTAATAGTATGCGGTTATATAAGATGGTCAAGGCCAAAAGCTAATATAGAGGAACAGCGCGAAAGAGTAAATGTTGTATATCTAGAAAATAATAATACATTTGTGTACAAATCATAGTGAAGACATGGGACCCCATTCATCGCTTATCATCAAGGCGGCCGTAACCAGGGCGATTGGTGACGAAAGAGGGTAGAGCTTCAGCCGCACCCTGGACTCCATAGAGAGCCTTAACGGAATTTGTAGCGCCGTCGACACGGAGCAGGACCTTGCCCTTTGCATCTACGGTGGCCTTCTCTACCTTGACCCAGTATTTGGCGCCACCAGGGAGGTCAGGGTCGAACTGGATTGATCCCTTTTGGCTGTCAAAATCTCTAGAAGCGGATGGACCAATGTCGTCCGTAACAAATCCGGCAACACCGACTATGCTCTTGGACGACCCTCCTCTGCCACGGCCTCTTGCGCGCAGCAATCGAGCTTGGACTGGGCGGGGATTCTGTTGGGGTCCAGCGATGGGGTGGTTCTCGATGTGCGATCGGGTACGCAGGTAGCTGAGGCCAGCAGACGGATGTGTCTTAGGAGGGCCATCTCGTGCGTACTGGGGTGACGCTACGTCTGATGGGCCAGCAGCCCAGTTGCGTAGGTGAATTCGTCTGTCGGGGACCTTAGGTGGAGTAGCTAGGTCGAGAAACTTGTTGATCTCTGGGCCGAGTGCTGCAGGATCCGCACGAAGAGCCAGGAGAGCACTCTCAAATTCGGCGTCACTCAGTGTTTTCGGTAGATCTGACTCCTCGAATGATTTCCCTTCATCCATCAACCGTCTCCGGGTCTGCAGCGCTTTGTTCTCTATGACTGCTTCGCGGAGTCTCTGTAGGAACTCTGGTTTCTGTTTCCGTACCTTCTTCAGGTATCTTTCAAATTCAATTTCCGTCATTCCAGCTAGCCATGGACCCTTGAATCTGTATCTCAGTTTCTTTTCGGAGCTTTGGTCTTCGGATGTGGTCATATTATCGGTCGAGCTTTCAAAGACACTCGTATGTCGACCACTACCCACCAGTGATGATGTGCCATGAGTTGTTGAGGATATAGGGAGAGACAACTCCTGATATTTCTTAAGAGTGAGGGCGTGGTCATTTGCAGAGTGGAAGTCCGTGATGTGCTCGTAAGTATCGAGATAGTTCACCCGGACAACAGGGTTCGAAGAGCTGTCCACAGTGGACTTGGATGGTAGCGGCCGCTTTAGACCCCAATCTCCTCTCGCTAGAGAGCTAGGAGGTGTCTCAATGGTCGCTCTAGTTGGATATGGGAGTGTCGCTGTGTCCGACCAAAAGTTCGAGCTCGAGGTCAGAGACTGTGCTGGGGGAGAGAGCGAAGCCGGGAGCGCAAACAGACGAGACTTGCGCAGAATCTTCGTGGTGGGCGATATCCGGGCCGCCATGGCGTCAACTTGTGGCAGCTATTGCCTTCAATTGCTCTTCGTCTTCTTCGTCTTCCTCGTCTTCTGCCTTTCTTCTGCTTCGTCTTGATCTTCAACTTTGGCATCAAAAGTTTTTCCAGTAGGTTGCCACACGTGATCATTGATTACCTAAGCGTTATCCTACTCCAACGTCAAGGGCGACGAAGAATCATCAGCACCATTAGAAATCCAAAAAGCACCGAAGCAAGTGGTCAACTTGTTTTGGCGGCTGATGGAAGATCTGGTTGCAAATAACATGTGTTGTGCTGTTTCTTCAGCTTCTGTATTGACGCGCTGATCGATGCCCATGGTTTACCTCCAAGAGCTAGTTGTATAGCCAGCTTCTTTCGACATTGATATTAAAACATGGCGCAAGTTACCCCAGCTGCGGATACGACCCAGCGACTCTTCCAGGAGCTCAAGTCCAAGAACGAAGACACTCGGAATAGAGCTGCCACCGAGCTCCATGAAAACATCATCGCAGCTTCTCGAGGTAAGACAACTAGTTGAAAGGCGGTGTTTGCTAGTTGAAGGTCTATGCTGATCAAATATCTCGGCTCCCAGAGCTACCCCAGGATAAATTTCTCGACCACTACAACTCCATAAACCAACGTATTGCACAGCTTATCGTTACTGGAAATGATGCGAACGAAAAGATCGGCGGGCTGCTTATGCTCGACCGATTAATCGAGTTCGATGGCGTGGACACAGCACAGAAAACGACACGGTTTGCCAGCTATCTGCGAAGTGCTTTGAGAAGCAATGATAACTCGGTTTTACTCTTCGCGGCAGGATGTCTCGGGCATTTAGCTAAGCCCGGCGGTGCTTTAACAGCAGAGCTAGTTGAGAGCGAGATCCAGTCGGCTCTAGAATGGCTACAGACAGAAAGACAGGAGAACAGGCGCTTTGCGGCAGTTCTGGTCATTCAGGAACTGGCAAAAGGATCTCCAACTTTGCTATACGGGTTTATTCCGCAAGTTTTTGATCTTATTTGGGTCGCACTACGAGACCCCAAAGTGGTCATTCGAGAAACTGCCGCCGATGCCGTAAGCGAGTGTTTCGAAATAATAGCGGCTAGAGATAGCGCAGTTCGTTCTCAGTGGTTCTCAAGGGTATATGAGGAGTCATTGCTAGGCTTACGGTCGAACAATGTGGACTGGATTCACGGATCACTCCTTACCCTGAAGGAGCTACTGCTAAAGGGCGCTATGTTTATGAACGAACATTATCATAACACTTGCGAAATAGTATTGCGATTGAAGGATCATCGTGACCCTAAGATTCGCGCTCAGATTGTGCTTACTATACCAGTGCTCGCCTCTTATGCGCCTCTCGATTTCACCAATACATACCTTCATAAATTCATGATATACCTTCAAGCACAGCTAAAACGAGACAAAGAAAGGAACACCGCTTTTGTTGCTATAGGGAAGATAGCAAGTGCTGTCGGCCACGCCATCGGACAGTTCCTTGACGGAATCATCGTATATATCCGTGAAGGACTGGCTTTAAAAGCGTAAGTAGTTCCCAGCTAAGCTAGGTTGAGCAAAGCTTACGCGGTATTATAGACGAAATCGCGCCGCTGTTAATGAAGGCCCAATGTTTGAATGCATCAGCATGCTCTCCCTAGCAGTTGGCCAAACTCTCAGCAAATATATGGAATCGCTTCTCGACCCCATTTTTGCTTGTGGCTTGAGCAAATCCCTTACTCAGGCACTTGTCGATATGGCGCACTACATCCCACCCATCAGAGCAACTATCCAAGAAAAGCTGCTGGACATGCTTAGCATAGTTTTATGTGGCACTCCTTTTAGGCCCTTAGGGTGTCCAGAAAGCCGATTGCCTCCTATACCCTCCTTCGCCAAGGATTTTGGCTCTTTGCCTCAAGACCGCAGTGATAGCGAAATAGCTCTCGCATTGCATACACTCGGGAGCTTTGATTTCTCCGGTAAGCAGGCCCCGGTCACAATATGACAAGAAAGGCATATTAATAGATTCTTAGGCCATGTTCTTAATGAATTCGTCCGTGATGTTGCCATAAAATTTGTTGACAACGATAGCCCTGAGATCAGAAAAGCATCTGCTTTAACTTGTTGCCAACTTTTCGTGCATGATCCTATCATTAACCAGACAAGTGCTCACTCGATACAGGTTGTTAGCGAGGTTATTGATAAACTTCTATCAGTTGGAGTCGGAGATCCCGATCCTGACATCCGACGAAATGTGTTGTTCTCCTTGGATAAGAAATTCGACCGTCACTTAGCTAAGCCGGAGAATGTTCGGTGCTTGTTCCTGGCGGTCAATGATGAGATGTTCCCAGTACGAGAAGCAGCGATCAGCATTATTGGTCGCCTCTCGAGCGTCAATCCGGCCTACGTTTTCCCACCCTTGAGAAAACTACTTGTGAACCTACTGACTGGTCTCAATTTTGCTACAACCTCCCGGCAAAAGGAAGAAAGTGCTCAATTGATTAGTCTCTTCGTTTCAAATGCCACGAAACTCATTCGCTCCTATGTTGACCCCATTGTTACGACACTATTGCCGAAGACTTCAGACGGGAATGCCGCGGTAGAAGCAACCACTCTCAAAGCCATTGGAGAGCTCGCGACAATTGGTGGTGAAGACATGAAACAATATCTTCCGCAACTCATGCCAATAATTCTAGATTCACTGCAAGACCTTTCCTCTCAAGCTAAACGAGAGGCTGCCTTGAAAACTTTGGGCCAGTTGGCGAGCAACGCAGGATATGTGATCGAACCTTATAAGGAGTATCCGCAGCTTCTTTCTATCCTCATCAACATCATCAAGACGGAGCAAACCGGTGGCTTAAGAAAGGAAACCATCAAACTCATTGGAATACTGGGAGCCCTTGACCCATACAAAGATCAGGTAATTATCCCGTACATTCCGTACCAATAACGTTATGCTTACTGTATTACAGCAAATCAGTGAAACGTCTCCTGACGTTCATTATGTCAATGAAGTTCAGACCGTTTCTGATGTTTCTCTGATTATGCAAGGCCTTACCCCTTCAAATGAGGAGTACTACCCGACAGTGGCCATCAACACCCTTCTTCAAAATATCTTGCGAGAAAGTTCTCTTGCCCAATATCATTCTGCTGTGATTGACGCAATTGTTACAATGTTCAAAACTCTTGGACTCAAGTGTGTTCCATTCCTAGGACAGATAATACCCGCATTTATTTCCGTCATTAGGAGCACGCCGATAAGCCGACTCGAATCGTATTTCAACCAGTTAGCAATCTTGGTAACAATCGTCAAACAGCATATCCGCGCATTTCTCCCTGAAATTATTGAAGTTATTCGGGATTACTGGGGATCTCCATATCCCGTACAATGCACGATATTGTCACTGGTGGAAGCCGTTGCCAAGTCACTAGAGGGCGAGTTCAAAAAGTACTTGGCTGCGCTTGTTCCGTTGATGCTGGATACTGTTGAAAAAGACAATTCCGTCCGCCGCCAACCCACCGAGAGGATTCTTCACACATTCTTAATCTTTGGCTCAAGTGCTGAGGAATATATGCATCGCATTGTTCCCGCCATTGTAAAGATCTTCGACAAGACTCAAAACCCCCCCAATATCCGAAAATGCGCCATGGAAACGCTAGCAAAACTCTCTCGACAGGTTAACGTGTCAGACTTTGCATCCCTTATGATACACCCACTATCAAGGGTTATAAACAACGCCGAAAAACCACTCAGACAAACTGCATTGGATTGCGTTTGCACTCTCATATTCCAGCTTGGCCAGGATTTCAACAATTATGTTCCACTTATCAACAAAGTTCTGAAGTTCAATCAAATACACCACCACAGCTACCACGTCCTTGTTTCCAAGTTACAGAAAGGAGATCCATTGCCGCAGGACCTTAATCCCAACGAGCACCATAGCAATCTTGTGGAAGATTCTGCTTTTGCGGATGTTGGCCAGAAGAAGATATTCGTTAACCAACAACACCTCAAAAATGCGTGGGACGCCACCCAGAAGTCAACTCGAGAAGACTGGCAAGAGTGGATCCGACGATTCAGCGTCGAACTACTCAAAGAGTCCCCATCCCACGCCCTTCGTGCCTGTGCAAGCTTAGCTGGTATCTATCAGCCGCTTGCTAAAGATCTTTTTAATGCCGCCTTCGTTTCCTGCTGGACAGAACTTTACCACCAGTATCAGGAAGAACTTGTTCATTCCATCGACTTGGCCCTTACTTCCCAAAATATCCCTCCCGAAATCCTGCAAATACTTCTAAATTTAGCTGAATTCATGGAACATGACGATAAAGCTTTACCAATTGATATCCGGATTCTTGGAAAGTATGCTGGTAAATGCCATGCATTTGCAAAAGCATTGCATTACAAAGAACTGGAATTTGAACAAGACCAAAACTCCGGGGCGGTAGAGGCATTAATCAGCATCAACAATCATCTCCAGCAGTCCGATGCCGCAATTGGTATTCTTCGCAAAGCCCAAGCGTATCGAGATGTCGAGTTAAAGGAGACTTGGTTCGTGAAACTCCAGCGATGGGAGGAAGCTTTGGCCGCTTATAAGAGACGAGAGTTAATTGACCCTGATTCTTTCGAGGTTACCATGGGTAAGATGCGGTGTCTTCATGCTCTTGGAGAATGGAAGATGCTTTCAGACCTTGCTCAGGAGAAGTGGAATCAAGCTTCGAATGAACACCGCAAGGCCATCGCCCCACTCGCTGCTGCGGCTGCATGGGGAAGAGGCCAGTGGGAGCTTATGGATTCGTATATTGGAGTAATGAAGGAGCAGTCGCCAGACCGATCTTTCTTCGGAGCAATTCTCTCGCTTCATCGCAATCAGTTTGAAGAAGCATCGGCTCTGATTGAAAAGGCCAGAAGTGGCCTGGACACAGAACTCTCTGCCTTGCTTGGTGAATCATATAACAGAGCTTACAACGTTGTTGTTCGAGTTCAAATGCTTGCTGAGCTGGAAGAAATTATCACTTATAAGCGAAGCGTAGATGACCCCGAAAAACAGGAGGCAATGAGGATAACATGGAACAAACGACTTCTGGGCTGCCAACAAAATGTTGAGGTGTGGCAGCGCATGCTCAAAGTCAGGGCGCTTGTTATCACTCCCCGTGAAAATCTTGATATGTGGATCAAGTTCGTCAATCTATGCCGCAAGTCAAACCGCATGGGACTCGCAGAACGCTCCCTAAGTGCTCTAGAATCTATCGAGGCTGCAGATGGTAGCATTCCACCGGAAGTGACCTACGCACGTCTTAAATTTGACTGGGCCTCCGGTCGACAAGCCGAGGCTCTCAAAGCCCTAGAGGAATTTACTATCTCCCTCACAGAATCATATGGACGGTATAACTCAATTCTTTCCGCACAAGATGAGCATACACCTACAGACGGGCCAGCTCTTACCAACGGCATCAACGATTCCAACCATACTGACGCCGGATACGCAAAACAACATCTTGGTGATGCCAATAAGATCCGACATCTTCTTGCGAAGAGTCACCTCAAGCAGGGTGAATGGCAGACCGTGCTACAACGTGGCGATTGGAGATCTGATGGTGTCCGTGATGTTTTAAACTCATATTCTGCGGCTACACAATATAACCGTGATTCGTACAAGGCCTGGCACGCTTGGGCTCTTGCGAACTTCGAAGTTGTGAACTCTCTAACAGCCCAGCCAGAGAGGGAACCACCCCGTCATATCATTCTCGAACATGTCATGCCTGCAATTCGTGGATTCTTCCGCTCAATCGCACTCCTATCATCAAGCACATTGCAAGATGCTCTCAGGCTGCTGACACTTTGGTTCACCCATGGCGGCGACGCTGAAGTCAATTCTGTTGTTGTGGAAGGCTTCTCGACTGTTAGCATCGATACCTGGCTTGAGGTTACTCCTCAGCTCATTGCCCGCATCAATCAGCCCAATCCTCGGGTACGTGCTGCCGTGCATCGGTTATTGGCTGATCTAGGCAAAGCACATCCCCAAGCACTTGTTTACCCCTTAACTGTCGCAACCAAATCTAATGTTGTTCGGCGTTCCCAATCTGCTATGACTATCATGGACAGCATGAGAGCGCATAGTTCACGTTTGGTTGAGCAAGCTGAGGTTGTCAGTGGGGAACTAGTGCGTGTCGCGGTATTATGGCACGAATTATGGTATGATGCTTTAGAGGAAGCTTCTCGGCTCTTCTTTACCGATCACGATGTTGAAGGCATGTTGTCCACTCTTGCACCTCTTCATGACATGCTAGATAAGGGTGCAGAGACCTTACGAGAAGTGTCCTTCGCTCAAGCCTTTGGTCGAGACTTAGCTGAGGCCAAACACTTCTGTAACTTGTACCGCGAAACTGGGGAAATGGGCGATCTCAACCAAGCTTGGGATCTTTACTACAATGTGTTCCGCAAGATTTCCCGACAGGTGACGCAAATAAAATCCCTCGACCTGAAATACATTTCACCTAAACTCAAGGACATTGCCGATCTCGACTTGGCTATACCCGGAACATATCAAAGCGGACGGCCCATTATCCGAATACAAAGCTTTGATAGTGTTGCTACCGTAGTCCAGACGAAAAAGAAGCCCAGAAAGATGATCATCAGAGGAAGCGACGGAAACTCGTACATGTATGCACTTAAGGGTCATGAAGACATTCGACAAGATGAACGTGTTATGCAATTGTTCGGCCTAGTCAACACGCTCCTAGACAACGACAGTGAATGTTTCAAGCGCCATTTAACGATTCAACGGTTCCCCGCAATTCCGCTATCACAAAACTCTGGGTTAATTGGATGGTGCTGCAATACTGACACGCTTCACGCGCTTATTAAAGAATACCGCGAGAGCCGTCGCATTTTACTCAACATTGAACACCGAATTATGCTTCAAATGGCTCCTGATTATGATAACCTGACGCTCATGCAGAAGGTAGAGGTGTTTGGTTACGCTATGGATAATACCACCGGCAAAGACCTTTACCGAGTTCTCTGGTTGAAGAGCAAAAGCTCGGAGTCGTGGCTTGAAAGACGAACCAACTATACCCGATCTCTTGGAGTCATGTCAATGGTTGGGTATATACTTGGCTTGGGTGATCGTCATCCATCGAACTTGCTCCTTGATAGGATTACAGGAAAGATAGTTCACATCGATTTTGGTGACTGCTTCGAGATCGCGATGCATCGTGAGAAGTATCCAGAACGGGTACCATTTAGACTAACCCGTATGCTTACATTTGCAATGGAAGTCAGCAATATCGAGGGTAGTTTCCACATCACTTGCGAGGCCGTCATGCGTGTTATTCGCGAAAACAAGGAGTCTCTCATGGCCGTTCTTGAAGCCGTAAGTCTTCAAATTCTAAGTAAACTGTTTTGAGTAAACCAGACGCTAATTTATCAAACTAGTTCATCCACGATCCCTTAATCAACTGGCGTCTAGGAGCGCGCGAATCTCCTGCCCGCCCTTCCATCGTGGATAGACACGCACCTACAGAGGCTAACATGGATCACGCTATACAGCCAAGTACCTTCTCCCGGCGCCGCCCATCAATACTCGATGGCGGCATCCTAGATGCTCAACAAGGCATCCCCAACGAAGGACGTGAGGTGCAAAATGCCCGAGCGCTCCAGGCCCTTGGAAGGGTCAAAGAGAAGTTGACTGGCCGCGACTTCAGAACACCTGACGAGCTCAATGTCAGCGATCAAGTCGACAAACTTCTAGTCCAAGCTACGAGTGTCGAAAACCTGTGTCAGCATTACATTGGTTGGTGCAGCTTCTGGTAACCTGGTGTTTATAGGACCCTTTTTTACGATCGATTGCTGCTCGCCTGGGATTTCTTCGTCCTTTATATCCCTCCCTCGTCACGTCCTTCCCCGCATCTTCTATCTCACTCTTTGGCGATGTATCTTTTTGACGAATTTCATAGTAACGATTTGCTTGGGATTGATTCCTTATGCTAATCTTCCTGTTTTACTATATTCGCAGCTTGTCTTTTTTTTTTTGCTGCATGTCCCTGTTTCTATCTCTGTTCCATAGATCTAATCTCAGCAATACCCTTCACAGCTTGTCCTAAGCTACTACGTCAGACTTTCTCATCTTGTTTACTTGAGTAATGTTTACTACGTACGGAGTACAGATCAAAGTATTAAAGCTATGGTAGAAAGTCAGTACCGAGGCTGGCGCTAAAGTCACATGCAAGGGCGCTTGTTCGTGACGTCGGAAGTCGTCAACGCCAACGCCAACGCCAGAAGAAAACGTTCAACCGTCAAGTAGAGAGAGCCAGAAATGACGCTTTCTTCGCGAGCGGACTTGATTATCTTATGTGAGTTAATCAAATAGCTGGCGCGATCATGGCCTCGAATCCGGATCCAGACGCCCAACGCAGTCCCCCTAGCCTAGGGTTCAAGGCCCAAAGAACAGTCCTCCAGCTACTCTGCTCTGCGGAGGAGTATCGAAAGCTCCATGAATCTGTCATACAAAACCTCCCTCAGTCCATACAAACTAGGGCTTACTCGCCCGCTACGTTCAATCATATCGTCAAATCAAGAGACAAACATACCTCGGCAGCACTACGCTCCTCCATCCGGCTGTTTTGGATCTCGCGGCTGGGTATGAAACTGCTCGATTTCATTAAAAGCCGAGTCATATCAAGAACTGGTGCAGCTGAGTACGTTTATAAAACCCTGTCTACTGCGATGTACAAAATATATCTAATATTATTTACTACAATAGTGTCTCCTCAAGTGTGCCGTTTCGCGATTCTCCGGCATTCCGGCTTCCTCTATCTTTATCATTAATGCTACTCTTCCATCGGTTACTGCATCGCTTTTTCTCCCGGTTACGCGCGAATTTGCGAACGGATAATGCCCGGCCCTTCCGAGAGAGAAACCCACGCATAGCTAAAGCATTAACGTCGAAATATGCGCCAGCGATCGGTGCCAGCTTGGCTGGCTTCTTCCTTGGGGTATACCCACAAACCCAGCTCCGACTTACCGTTGCTATATATGCTTCCACCCGGAGCTTGGAGGTTCTGTATAATGCTTTGGTTGATAATGGATGGCTCTCATTCCGTCCCTGGTGGTTTGGAAGCTGGCTTTTAATGCCACTCTCCATGGCCCAGCTCTTCCATGCATTCATATTTGATAGAGAAGCTACGCCATCTGTAAGTTATAACGGCCTATTTACCCTTTTTTTTTCTTGGAATAAATGGGGACTGACTCTAAGGCCTAGTGGTTTGGGAATGTTATTCTGCAATATACTCCAGGATATATAAAGCGGCGGCCTTCTGGCCTTCCAGGAATGGTGGCCTGGCCCGAACCATTTGAAACTGTTGATGCATTGGCAAAAGTTGCTGAACTTAAGTGGCGGTATGGCACCCTTCATGATGACCTGGGTCATTTGCATGTCAATAGGCTAATGCATGTTTTTATTAGACCGTTTACTTCTCCCTATCCTTCATCCAACTATAACAGACACGCTTCCTGCCGCTGTTCAGATAATATCACCTATCACTTCTCCCGCTCACCCGGCGATAGCCTCTCTATCCTGTGCATTACTCCACCCAAAGTCACCCTCTTGCTTGACTGCGCTTATACATCAAGTGCTTCTTTCTGTTCCACCCCTCATCCGTTCTATCACCAAGGTCTACTTGGCTCTATCAATATTGAAGTTCAAGTCCTTTGTTACGTCACCGGTCACTTCAATTAACGAACTGTCGAGGAAGATACTCGCTGCCACGGCAATTATATGCTCGTCTATTGGTGCCGCGTGGGGAAGTGTCTGCTTTTTCAATGCTATCTTCCCGCGAAAACTGTTACCAACCCAGCGGTTCTACCTCAGTGGCGCTATCAGCGGCCTTCCGTTTGCAGTACTCTGTGGCTCCGGGTACCGAGCTCATTTCCTCTATTTATTCCGCCAAGCTGTGGAATCTACGTGGAAAACCGGAGTCAAGCGCGGACTCTGGCGCGGTTATAAGGGTGGTGACTTGTGGGTACTCGTAGCTTCATGGGCGCTTTTGGGAGTGTTGCTGGAAAGAAATCCTGAAAACATCACAGATCGAGGGTTCAGGAAGGCGTTGACTTGGATGAGAGGAGATGGCTATAGCGATTTAGCTGAGCGTCGCGCAAAGAGGAGCAAAAGGAATCCAGCCGAGCAAGCGAGATCATCCTAGATATCCAGAAAACCAGACTGTTAGCTTAAGTGAATGTATGCAAAGGAGCATCACAGGTCGTCAGAGCTAAGCCTTGGAATGACAAACTATATGCGATCTTCAAAGCTGGAGCGCGGAGTGAGCTTGATCCCGAGTAATGAGAATTGCTGTTTCTTTCTCGTAGAGTCAACGTATATCTGGATTTCTCCACAACTCTAGTATGAGAATATGGCTGCTTTATCAAAATGCAGCTCCACGAATTCGCGCGAAATCAGCTCAATGCCTTACTGCGAGAATGCAGACCCCAGTAAAGACGGCAGGAATATCCAATACTACCATTATTTATATAAGACACACTCCACCATCATTGAACCAACCAATACGGATTATCGCGATTACATATAGAAATAATGTCCATCAATTGATTATGACTGACATATCGCAACATCAAACATCCCTGGATTCAACGTAACTCCCAGTCCTTGGCAAAAGTGGGCTTCGAGGATACTAACTTCATTTCTGCCCACATTTAGGAAGAGCTAGAGCAGTTATTATCGGATACTCCATCGCGTTTGGGTTATATACAAAGGTATACCTAATAAGAGCCTGGCTTGTTGATCACGATATCCCCATCAGAGAGTAACTCTGATTAATATTCGTTCGCTTGGTACAAAGACAGATTAATACCAGCTATCACTGCAACCATGGAAAACGTCCCACAAGAGATCTTTCTATCTATCCTTGATTATCTCGGAGAAGAGAAACACCATTTAAAGCCATATCTGACTGTTTCTCGTCGCTGGCAGCGCGTTATTGAACGGTTATTTTTCAGGAGCCTCACCATTAAGAACACTGATCTATCTACGTTTGCAACTCTCTTCCGTGGAACCAATGCCCATCGCAAAGCTCTGGTTAAGATGCTTGATTTAAGGGTTCTTCTACCAACCTACGACGGGGATAATTACCATCAGCATGAAGAGGTCAACAATCAACTATTCTCCACTGCTGTTCTTGAGCTATTCCAGGTGCTTAAGACCTTTAATGAGGATGGAAACGTCAAGAGAAATATTAGAAGGGGTGATGGGTTACGGTTATCCATAAGCTATATGTTTTCGCCGAGTGATAACTTCTATCATCTGGACCATATCCCCAAAATTAAGGGGAGATACATCCAACTACTGAACCACGAAAGGCTGCCTACCCTCTCATGTGTATCTGACTTTTTTTCTCGCCATGGCGGTGACTCACGTATTTTACACCCTGCATCAGGCATTCTTATTGCAGGCAAGCTTAAGGGTTTACAAGTCTCTGCTAATGACTATGATGACCGTCGAGAGTACATTAGCGACGAAACCCGGAAAATGATTCGGCCTGGTATGTATCGTAAGCTTATACATCTGATAAATCTCACAATTTATACTAATAACTGGTTTAATAGCCTTTACAAATGCCCTTTCTCTATATACTCATTCCTTAAAGAAGTTTAAGCTTGAAATGGAGTACTCCGAGCCACCTGATGAAGCAATTGATCCTCCGAATTATATCCCATCTTCCTCGCTAGTCGACCCAATGAATCTTGCATTCCACGACTTTATTCAGCGAACAGGCGTTTCGATAGTATATATTAACGGAAGCCATATTATCTCACCCGACTTCTTCTGGCCATATGATAACGTTAAGGCAGCTCCAGCACCATTTTGGCCAAATTTAAGGGAGTTATGTATTTCGATATCGCCAGCTACTCCCAGTGGGGAGTGGTACTTTACGAGCGATTCAAAAATTGCTTCCTATTCTGAATTTATAGGGGCTACTAATAAGAATGATACCCAGAAATCTTATAGCACTGACGATTCTGAGAACACATTTCGCAGTATTCCAAGCCCTAAGAGGATGAACCCTCTTCTAATAGCCATGGCACGGGCTATCCGTTATACACCGTCTGTGGAGCGAGTTGACCTATCTTGTACCGATCCAGCGTTATCCCCGAAATATATTAAGGTCGCAGGCTTTAAACGGCAATTTGACATTTATTACCGTACTAGTGGCGCGGGAAGTCCATTTTACCAGGGTCCACAAATAATCCAAAAGCCTAGCTTTATATGTGATGTACAAGACTGGCGCCCTAATAAGGATGTTGAGAGGTATTGGATGGAGGCGTTGGGACCCGACGGAGAGATAGTTTATCGATAATACCCCCCCACTATCTACTTGGACGAGGGCTGATGTCTTTGCATTTACTTCACTCCCGATTCTCAAACGTTAGCATTCGGGGGACGAGAATAGAATATATAGGAGTTTTTAGCATGCTATACAAGTATATAATTTAGAGACATGGAATTCTTTATTTATAAGCTTTATTTAGGATATGCGCCTTTAATAACTGCAAAGTACATATAGATTATCAAATAGGGCTCTGGGTAAAGGAGGCTGTTAAAAGCTAACTAAAGCCAAGGAGTACTCATTGTAGAACTTATTTAGTATATTAACTAGTTTAACTAGGGCAAGAGTGTAACTTACTTTTATACCTACGTGCTATCAACTGGGGTAAGGTGTCTATAAACAAACCCCTAAAGAAAAATTGAAAAGGAGTATGACGAGATAATATTAGTATGACTTAACTACCTAGTTATATAACCAAATACACAGTCCCTGAATTTCCCACATCTATAAAATCCCAATTAAATTTTAGAAAGGATTTCTCCATTCCACTTTCTTCAGATACCTGTACGCTTTTTCTGCGCTTTTATGATACTGAATAACCTTCTTGTATCGCTTCCTGTGATCTTTGCTCATCTTCGACTTGTCCACCTTTTCCAGCTCCTTCCTTGCCGCTACCATATCATCATAGTTGGCGGCAAAAAACTTATTAGTCCTGGCGATGGTGTCGTCCGTGTGTTTTTTGATCCATTCGTCCCATTTCTTCTGCAGGTCCTTGGGTTTGTAATCCCGCCAAATTTTTTTCTTGGTGTTGTGACCTTTAAAATCCAGGCCTTCCAGGCTCTTTTCAAGATCCCCAAGCGTATTTGATATGCGTCCCGCCTGCAACTTAAGGACATCCACCACGGCGGAGTCGTTGTGGTATTTATACATAGACATCACATCCTTAAACTTCATAATTGCTCTCACATGTTTGGATTTTTGAAGTTCTCCTGTTAGGAAATCCTTATCCAGATCAGCTTTTAAACCATTTTTTAGAATAGTTCTGTTGCCCCATACCTTTTTGTAAAGCAGTTAGCTAACCATAAAACTTATAATAAAGGGAAAACAACTTACAATTCCTTTTAACCCATTAACACCCTTGGGTAATAGAAAGAATTCCTCTTGCCACTTTGATTTTGTTGGGTATTGGTTAGCAATCAACTGAGGGCCATTCTTAGTTACCCCCTTCACAGTTGGTAGCGGATTTTTGTTTTTAGTACTCCAATAGGGGGCGATGTATTTGCAGAGGTCCACCTTGTCTTTGGTTGACTTCTGATATGGGTCATCATATTGTTCGGGCAGTGTCATTGACATATTTTGGAAAAAGATATCAATAACCTGGCCCTCCAGTACATGCTCAGTTTCAAGCAACTGGTTCTTACTCACTATATTATTGCCCTCAGGGGAGTAAGTAGTATCATACCTTTCATTTGAGCGTTTTCCTAAGTCGAAATCTCCACATGAATTCGGATTTGATAGGGCAAAAATGATATTCTTCGCAACACCAGGGGTCTGAGCCCGCAAACAGGTTAGTAACTTGGGTATATGTATAAACGCATAGCTCTAGCATACCTCTGTTAGCTTGCTTCCAGGTGGATAAGCATCGGTGGAGACTTGAAGACCGCATATCTTGATACCCTTCCCGCCACTTGCTCTCTTCTCCAAACTCTGCATTTCCAAGCCGAAAAAGCCGGTCCCTCGGATGGCCAGCTCTTCTCGGTCATCATCCTCAAAAGTCCCTGGCTCCCAAACTTCAATATTGGGGCAATCGTCCAAACAACCTTGTCCTCCATTTCTTCCATCGTCTTCCTCGCAACTAGAAGTGGATGATGGCTCCGGATTCTTGGTTGACGACGACCCGGATAGTGCTGTGGATGTTGACTTGGTGACATCTTTAGTAGAACTAGTGGTAGCCGTGGCTGTCGGTTTGGAGGATGTTGTAGCTGTTGACTTGGAGGCATCTTTAGTTGGCCGAGTGGTCGTCGGCTTGGAGGTCGTTGTAGCCGTTGACTTGGATGCATCTTTAGTAGGCCGGGTGGTCGTCTGCTTGGGTTCCTCTTTTGTTGGCTTGGGACTGTCCTTTGAAGTATGTTCATTCCCCTTTCCATCATTCTTTTCCCCATTATCTTGCTTCCCACCGCCTTTCTTCCCCTCTACCCCCTTCCCTATCTTACTTAACAGGCCCCTTTTATCAAGACAACCCTTTTTATCTTTTGTCTCGTTGCAGCTGTCCTTCTTCATGCACCCTGCGCTAGTTCCATGATCGTCCGACGCCCCGAGCAAGCCATCAAAGACGGCGCCGAAGACCGATACCGAATGCTGGTCAACGGGCAACTCCCCACACGTAGGGGTGACCCGATCCCCAAAGAATGAATCTGTGTCTAGCCCATTCTCGGAGAAGGTTTTGGCTCCCTTAACAAGTTTTCCGAGCTTCAGGATGATGCTAAAAAGCAGAAGTAAGAAGGCAGCTTTCATTTCGAAATATTAAGAGTGAGGTAATCCGTAAATCTTATACAGTCCAAGAGCTTCAGGTACCAACTCTGGCTAATATCTGGCTCTGGTTTGAAGAGTATCTTACCGGTGGGATTCGACGGACTATAAGTAGGTAAGCCCTTTCGGAAGCGGCGCCCATATTATCGCCATCATAGAGCAAGACACGAGGCATCATAGTCAGCCCCCATCACGGGCAGTGGTAATCGCATAGAGAAATTGGATATGCATCTTAACCATGTCTCGAATAGCTTATAAACTATATCACTCATGCATTGATCAACTTGTAAGCACCTTTAAAGGAGGTCCCATAGCGTGAATTCGCATAGATCCAGCTCCTGTGCGAACAAATCGAGCTGCTAATTGGGTATCATGCCAGCCGCAAGAGTCCTGGCAAGTCCGATTGAAACACCGCTGCCGGGCATAATGATATATAAGCCTAGCTTACGAGAAACTGGACAGCCCATATATCAGCATGCCGATGCGTCCAGCTTATACAGAATGGCTTAAAACCCACTCACCATAAGCTGTGGAGGAGACCTGCCTCTCCATTTGAAATGAGCCGGAGCTCGATATGCAGTATTAATCATTGGCAGCAGGTTGGAATGTAGCGTTGGAACGAGGCTAGACGAGGCCGGGGGCCATAACTAGGGGCGGCTCTACTCTGGAACCATTGTCTGTGGGATTATCAAGCGCGGTGCGAGCGCCACTTTCTCGTCGTGTTGGGTATTTGACATCTGCAATAAAGAGAAATGAAGGCCTGCTGCCCAATCAGTGTGATTGAATACCAGTGGTTAGGAGATATCCCGAGTTATGCGTTATGTTGGTTGTCAACGTAGTTAACTGCCATAACTAACTAGCGAAAGCAATGTTGCTTTTTGGCTCAAGAAATACAAGGTAGACTCCAGCCACGCCCAGCCAGTCACCCCTGGAGGACCGGGACCTTAAAGGGGCGAAAAATAAAATACTTATACCTTGATCGTGTTATTAGGTAACGAGCTCTTATTCTCAATATCGTTGATTAGTTCCTGCTGCTTGGCCACCCCTGGCTAGCTAACTAATGGGTAATTTGAATGATTCATACTGAATACGAGAGTTGACAAACCTCCATCAATTTCAATCAACTCTTTCATAGAAACATCGACTTGAAGAAGAGCCCGGGCCCAACAGGAAGGGGCAAGCATTATATACACTACAATCGCTGGCTTCAGTCTTTGTAACTAAAGAATGGAAACGAACGCCAACCCTGTTGCAGCATGGGACCAGCTTGCCGAAATCTGGGACACTTTGATGGGAACTCCGGGCAACGATTACTTCACAGTCATCGAGCTGCCTGCTCTGGAACGTCTGGCACAGCCAAAGCCTGGTGATTGTGCCTTGGATCTTGCCACAGGGAATGGCCTTGTAGCGCACTGGATGGCTCAGAAAGGTGCCGGCGTACTCGCGACAGATGGCAGTCCCGCTATGGTTGCGCATGCTCAAGCCCGACAGTCAAAGAGACTCAAGGATGATGAGGATGAAGGGAAAGTCTCATATAAAATCCTTGATGTGACAAATCCACAGCACTTCGAAGAGCTTATCCAGTCTAAAGCTGGGGTGAGGCTTTGGCACCCCTTAATTACCTCTGCCCCGTATCCACCCATACCGCGCCCGGCTAGGTTCTAGGGCATATGAAGTAAATTAACTGTCTGAATAGGAAACTTTTGATATCATTACTATGAATATGGCAATCATGGATGTCGCTACTCTAGAACACCTTGCCAATGCACTGCCTAAACTGCTGAAAAGGGATGGAGGCCGGTTAGTTCGTTGGCTCCAATATTGACAGGCCTCACCAACTGATCCGTGGGTAAAGCTTTGTTGCATCGCTATTGCACCCTCTCTTCACCTGCGGCGTGATAAGAGCAGTTGAATATAAGGACAATCCAGAGACAGGTCGAGAGGAAGCATTTCATACCCTAAAGATGACCAAATACTTACATGTGCCGCCCTACAATGGCGTGACAACTCAATCTCAACCTCACGCACAGGTAATGGTTGCACCCCCATGAGTATCTTTTTTGATATCAGTGCTAACCAAAGTACTACCCAACATAGCTATACTTCCACCGTCCAATGCACGAAATTTTCGCCCCTTTTTTCAAGGCAGGCTTAGTCTTGGACGCTCTGGAAGAGCCCAACTTCGATGAGGCCTATATTAAAGCAAGAGACTTGGATACAGGTTCGCTCCGGCAGTTTACACAGTTCCCTAAGATTCTTGCCTTCAGAATGAAGATTGCTTGAAATTCTCCTTTTGATATCAGAATCAAATTGACCGTTCGAATGTCGAGTCAGCAATGTCAGCATCAGCTTTTGCATTTCAATTAAGTATGAACTACGGTTTATTTTAATCAAATAGGCAGACTGAATCCTGGGGCTATGTTACGAAAAGGCCTGCCTTACGGGTAATGGATGCCCACGCATACCTAAGGGGGATATCCGTAATTTCAAAAAACGGTTATACCACGGCTTTTATCGTGAAGTAGCTATCTTTATTTGAAACCCCATTTCCATGTCACAGATGCTCCCTTTAAATCCGATAGGAGAGAGCCCGTCCTAAAAGGGAGAGGCTGTCATCACCACTCAATATTAGCGTAGCTGCTTTTTCACCACATACCAAATTGCATCATACTATCTCCCCGACGATATTGACGGTGCAGTTTCCTATTATGATCGGCTAGCAAACAGCTCTAGGTCTTGACCATAGGTCTCATCGAAGCCCGTTGGTTTTGGACACCACCGGGACAAGCTGTTAACCATCTAACCATATTAAATGGTCTAACACGACACACAAACCTCAAACATGGGGGGTTACAAATGAATGACGTTGGCATATGGTTTCTAGTGCTACTTCAGTAGCCTTCCACAAAGATCCTTCTACAGTTAAGATGAAACCGTCTCGCTGACTACAAAGGAGAGCATATTCATTCTATTTAATGGTAATAATAGGCTGGCGCAAACTTGGGTCAACCCCTCGCCCTATCCATCAGATTCCTAGTGCCTCTTAGGGCTTATTATACACAAGAGTAAGACTAGGTCTCCGTGTATAGTAACACTCAAGCCTATGAAGCCAATATTCACTACTCCGTACTTACACTTAATATAGACAGCTGGGACTATTGTAACTTCGCCGCACGGTGTATTGAGTTATTATCTATTGGTAAAGATATTACCAGATCACAAGTCGCTATCTTATAGTCAAAAAATACATTAAAGCCTTTAGAACTAGGCCATCTTCTTAAGGTCAAAATGCTAGGTGATCTGAGTGTAAGCTCACTGGGAAATAACGGCATGAAACGACTATGGGGTGGCAAGGTAACACATCCATATGCCCATGATACGCCCTCTTAGAAATCAGAGGTAAACTCATTGATGTCACTTGGTTGAAAAAGCAAAGCACATCCAGAATAGCAAAGTTGCACAGGGGTGTTTGATAAAGCGTAGGAGCAAAAAAGCATGCAAAGTACAGAAACAGGCAGGCGCATGAATCCTACAATGGGGAAAAAGGAATTTCTTGACAGGACTGGAGGTGACACAGCTATTAGGAACTAATAGCAAGGATATTAGCGTAGTAGAGAGAGTGTGTATCAAGGAAATCATGGCAGAGTAATAATATATCAAGATTTTTTGGGTGGAATCGTAAGGTCTTGCAAATTTATCGTCTATAGATACACCAACGCGAGGATATAAAAATGAATACCGTTAAAGGTAAAGAGTGGAGTGAGACAATAACAAAACAAAGACAAAAAAACGCTAACTGGTATGAAGAGAGGATATCGGAATCTCTCAACGTCCAGATATGTTAACTGATGTACATATACAGATGATAATACAGGTTTTTCGAACCCACCCAACGCAATGGCAACTATGCAGAGCCCGGAATACTCGGAGGAGCTTGAAATCCTCTGGCGCATTCGATATAAGGTACTAACTGGATGCAAATATCCAGAGTGTACCAGTCGGTGAAAGTATTCCCCCTAACTAGAAATTTTCACGTTTAGGGTTTCCAGGGAACGGTGCACGGATACCGGTTGAATGGGGTGATGTCTCCAGGTGAAATATATCGTAAAAACGAAGGCAAAGATAGCCTTTATATCCTTTCTAGAAAAGATAAAATCCGCAAAACTCCGGTGCTAATGCTCCAAGATAAAAGGAAAGGTAATTGAAATCGATTAAAGGTTTTTGGAGAATTTTGGAGGAGGGAGAAGTCGAGATATCGCCGAAACAGGCGTTCGTTGCGCTGGCAAGGAAATGCCAGATTTTTTTTATTTCACCTTCACAGGTTAATATCGATCATCGGTCTTTAAACAGCTTCGGATTCCAGCCTTCCCGTACCTCTTTCTCGATTTTTGCATGTCTCGCGGCATCTCTGACCTCCATCTCAATTCTTTCACGAGCACGTAGGATCTTGCTTTGGAGATAGAAGCTGCCACCCTTCTTTGGATCGTTCAGGTCAAATAATTTCTTGAATCGCTCCATTGTGTGTTCTAGGTTTGCCTCTCCACCCATTGGCGGCTTAACGTTGAGGATCTTGCATGCTTCGTCCAATGTCAGGCCGGAGGACGAGAATGCGCCCGTGGAACTGCCGGTTTTTTGCGCATGTGCTTGATATCTAGACGACGCAGACGCTTGCTTGTACGCTTCCGCAAATGCTCGACCGAACACTCTGGTGCCAGTGAGAACAATCTGCGTTAGGATGCGATGAGCCTGTCTTAGATGTCAGTTCAAATCCTTATATCACTGAGCAAAGGTGTGTATCCGGGCTTACCATATTGAACCACCAAGAAAGAAGAAAAAGAATGGAAATACAGGCCCGCAGCTCTCCCGACTCCTGGTACTTTCAACTAAAAGCGAACGAGTTGCTATATCGAAAGTCCGTCGTCGTCCGTTTTTTCCGTTGAAGTTCAAGAAAAGTCTAAACAGTCAAACAAAATTTTGTATTCCTAAACCGGACTAGCGCCGGATAATATTATATAATAGTTACATAATCAATAATCACATGAAAAGTCTCCACACGTGACGTAGTTTTTGTCGCGTGCAAAAGTTGAAGCCGAGAAGAAGTCGGAGTCGAAGTCGAAGTTGGCGATGAGGACAACAAAGTCGAAGTTGACAGGACGAAGAAGACGAAGAGGCAAGGTAACGGCAGCTCCAGACTGAGATATTTGGCCTATCTGTTTTGCGCCAGGGAGGCAGCTCAGCTTTACCACATATATAACCGTGACGTTTATGATGAGCTTCGGCGGCCTGGGAATAAGGAAGCTTCTATAGGTGCATGGCAGCTCTCGGTAGGTTGTATACGCATATATATATCGATGTCATCCCTCAAGCCGTCAATATACTTGATACCACAGCTCTAACGCTCTCTATAGAAATACCGTGGGTAGGTTCCATGTCCGCAGATCCTCACTCCCAGAATGATGGTGCTTCCGGGACTCTCGGTTCCAACGACGGTCTCCCACCTACCGTAGCGACTTTCTCTCCGACCAATATATCGGGTAACTCGTTAACTTCCAAGCAACGGTCTACGATTATTGTTCACCGGAAGTCACCTCTCCTGGTAGCTACTCCTCCCGCAGTCACTCGTGCGCTGGCATACTCTCATCCGTTTCTTCTTCCTCTGAACCGGCTGGCGGGACTTTTATCATGGACAAGCGGGGATCCGTGGGAGAGCTTTCTCTTGGTTGGTGCCTTTTGGGCTGTTACACTACACGGTAGTGCCATAATATTATGGGGTGGACCGATCCTAGTGGTTGTTGCTTTGATGCTGGGTCTATACTCCAGGCGGTACTCCCCTTTATCATCTACAGGCTTGACCGGAGAGAAACATAGAAGAGATGGCTCCGACGGGTCGACAAGGCCTCACAAAACTCTGGATGAGATTGTCGAGACATTAAGGGAGTTTACAACAAGGTGCAACATCTTACTTGAACCTCTGCGCGACCTCACCGATTTTCTTTCTACACAGCGAACTGCGACATCAACTACAACCCGGCCTGCCTTAACTGCATTACTTACCCGAATAATCCTCATTACGCCTGTCTGGATTCTACTCACCCTTCACCCTATATACCTCATCACCATCAAAAGAGTTGTCATAACTGTTGGCACCATCATCCTAACGTGGCATTCTAAACCTGCGCGCATCTTTCGGGTGTTACTCTGGAGATCATTGACCATCCGGCATATCTGCTCAACTATTACTGGCCTGCAACTAACTTCACCCCCGAACAATAACAATAACGACCAGCAATCTAGTTCTTTCACAAAATCTTCACTACTGTCCTTGACCCCTTTCCGCTCCAAGCAGCAATCGCAGCACGGCTCGACAAAGCGTCGCGCAAGCTCGTCGGGTGTACGGTTCACATTCATCGTATATGAGAACCAGAGGCGGTGGCTGGGTATTGGATGGACCTACTCCCTGTTTGCCTATGAGAGACCGGCATGGTCGGATGAGCACCTGAATCCGGTACCTCCAAAGGACGAATTTGAACTTCCAGAAGTTCAGGGCAGTAACTCCAAGTGGAGGTGGGTAGAAGGCAGCGAATGGCGCATCGATAACTCACCAGATCCGTCTGCGAAGAAGAAGGGTAAGGGGAGCAAGAATAATGATAATAAAGACGACAGTGGCTGGATTTACTATGATAATAAGGTATTTACTTTTTCATCCGTGTACATCACTAACTAAAACACTGACGCGAAGGCTATAGTGGCACGATGGTCGTCGCGGCCAAGATGGTTGGGGGAGATATACAAGACGCCGCAAATGGTGTCGAGATGCAGAGCTTGTCGAAATATCCCCTGATGGGGATATCACAGGGACGCCTTCAAAGACAGCGACTGAAAATGAAAGTAAACATAACGGTGATTGCGGGAAGGACAACAACTCGGGCGATGATAAGAACAGCACCAAGGCCCGCAAACGGCGGTGGTTTGGTAGTGCAGACTTGAAAGGGTTTTCGGCGGTGGGATCAGAGCCATCCAGCTCTACTCAACCTATCAATGCCGAACCAATTTCAACTTCTCCGACAACGACAGGATCAAGCCTACCTAAGGCATTGAGCGTCTCTAGTGGCCGCAGTTCAAATAACAATAATGGGTCAATACGCACACGGAACAAACGGCCCTCTAGTATATACACAGAAGGTGATAGAAAGAGTCAAACTTCTAGCATTCGTGATCGAGAGATTGAAGAAGCCGAAAACATGCCCGATAAGTGGGGAAGCCAATCTGGAAATGCAGCGGAGAGAGCGGGCAGAGGCTGGGGACTGGGGGATGACGCCCATATGAGTTTAAGTTGACAGATTGCAGCCGAGTTCTTTTTACGTCATTTGGTGTAGTGGTATCTTGTCTGGGTTATCGTGTTGTATGCTGGCTGCTTCCCCAGGAGGATGAACGCCTTCTATTTTTATGATGTAAACGTGGGAAAGGGAGTGCCATCGGCCCAAGGCGATGCTGATAGGACTGTACTAGGCCGGTGCTGCTGGAGTCGCTTTTGGAATTTTAATTTTTAGTACTCTGTACCGGACTTTGGTATATATATACACATTAATCGCTTGTTTATTAGTCAAAGCCATATGATAGCCATCAGAGTGCCATACACCATTCGAGAGTGTTGCACACAATCCATGTAATGATGTGATGTTTGCCTACCCTTGTACGGAATGTTGTTTATGGAGTAGGCCCAGAATAAAAACTTCCAACAATGCTTGACCCCAGCGGCTTTTGGCGGTTCGATATTAAATATTTCGTACTTGCAGCGATCATGACATTCGCCCTTCTTCACGTCTCAGAGGATAACTAAACAAAATCGACGTGCCCCGTAATTTCCTCATGGCGGATAGAAATCTTTTCTTGGATCCCTTTGCCGAACTCGATCTCTCAGCCGCGAGTTCGTACGGATATAGGGCCAAATCCATGTATGGTTCGTCGCAGGGCTGTTATAACCGAGCACACTAATAAAGTAAAAATATACCCCGACTCTTGGTGTTTGCGATGCCTGCTTCGTAGTTAATAATATAACAGGCTTATTTTAGTGTCTCATTTCCGATGCTTGTTCCAGTCGTGATATGGCGCCCCTCTAATTAAATTAAGGACAGGGAATCGTGTCTATCGCAGAGGCATAAACATTTCTGTGTAAATAGCCGATAGTCCTGCTTCTTGATGGATACAGCAGTTTGCCTTTTTGTACACGTAACGTGGATAAGAAGCATAATCCCAAACGCAATCAAGAGCGCCTTGTACGGAGTGCTATGTGGCCCTTGACGTGGGCTGACCGGCGGCGATGCATCGATCTGACTTGCGAGAAATTAACAAGCCTGCCAAGGGTCAAGCAGTCTGGCAGAGGAGCTCGCCTGAGTAAATCGGTCAATCAGAAAAAAAAAGCGGTAAACGAGAAAGGGGCGCTGTTGTCGCTGTGCTAGGTGCATCAGCCGAAACCTCAGCGTCGTTATAGTTAGTACTAAAATTAGGTGCATCAAAGGTGAGCTTTCTCTCATATAATATCAAGCCGCTGTTATATGCCATTATGTATTTTCCCAGTGTAATTGCTGCGAAGTGGGCTGCTGAATTTCAGGTGCACCGAAAAGGGCACAAGGGGGTGCTGCAGTCAGATATATTGATCACATTGTCCAGCAGCCTATCTGCGGTCAAGGACGACTTTTGTGGCAGGGCAATATTACCCCTGGTAACATCTCATGCATGATGATATATATTACTTCTTTTCATTCTGACAGGGAGCACCGCGCAAGGCCACAGTGGTGGTTCCCACGTGGAAGCATAAGTATCCAGCAGATTGAGTTGACAAGCAGAAAAAGGCAGTGCGCCGGTGGCGAGGGGATCTGGAGCAGCAATGCTATCATCATCGCCATCGTCTGTAACTACACAGAATGGTGCAGCCACCGGGAAGGTTTCAAGGTATCGATGGATAGAGACTCTGCATGGAGAAGTGCCGAATATATGAGGGATGCTGTTCCTTGAGTAGCTAGGCAATAGTCAACGATAGTTAGGGCAGCAAACCCGGGAACATGAAGAGCGCAGCAACCACGACGAAAAAGAAAAACAGCGCACATCGGTAACTATGGGGGAAGTAAATCTTGGGCAAACAAATGCCAACACACCTTTACTCACGAGTAGAGTATTTAGCTGGTCCGGGTTCTCCGTCCAGGTGCTGGTATCCACAAGAATATGTTTCAAGGTATGTGTGGCTTGCGCTGACGCAGTAATGGATGAGGCGGAGATGAGTGCTCCTACGAAGAGTGATTGGCGATGTCACTTCAAGGTTCAACGCAACTGCTGGGTTGTACAAAACCAACAACGATGTTTGTTATGCATGAGTGTGGATTTCGCACCCCATCGTTAGTTACCAGTCATATTCGTGCGGAGAAATAAATCAATATCTGTATTTCGTACTCCGTGTACTGTAGCTGGTCCGTATAAAGTCGAATGTTTCGTGGGATACGACTCAAACCCGCGGGCTCGAACGCCCCCTGCGTCCTGCTGCTGAAAGGCTGCCACAATGGCTATGCAGTTTCTGCATGCGAGATCACTTACGGATTATCGCTCTCCCTCTTTTCCTCCAGGAGCATCCTGTGTCATGTTCGCCGGGGTGAGAGGGTGTTTTGAGAGAAAGTATATGCATATATGGAGAGAGTACTTGCATAGCCGCGGTTTCTTACCCAAGTGACCAAAAACCACCGGGCAAATTAAGCAAGCAGATCCCATGAGGATAGTGCTCCGTTCATGGTCCAGACCCAGCCCTCGTTCCCACTAGAATGGAGGATGGATTCAATATTAAACAGGTTAGCGCTGGTCGTGGGTCGGAGGACCCTGCCAGGCACCGGAATTACCATCCAACAGTTAAGTAGTTAGACGGACTATCCGCGGTAGTTAATTGCCTGCGTGAGTGAGTACTTCGTACAATGTATCATATAAGATGCAGTGCACATCCTCGTCCCCCCAAGCTCACCGGCGAACTGCATAAGTTGCCTGCTCTCCCCCTACCAGTACCTTGCCCCCTTTGCCCTCTCACCCCCTCGTTATTCATATTGATGACATCGCCCATCCTTGTAAAGGTGCAGGATGGCCCACGGGTCAGGCTGTTCCTGGCTGGTGGAGCCGGCTCTAAACTGCAACAGGCATAGTCAGGGGAAGCAAACAAACGTTCCGTAGTCCTCAGAAATCCTCAATCCTCATTTCCTCGTCGTTGGCGCTAGATCGCAGGCATTCTCGGACTGGCGGCGGAAGGCTGACGCCCATCCAGCTTTCCGTGTCCACGCCCTGGGATTTTGAAGCCTGGAAAGCCTGCTGATATTCCGTCTGCTATTGTTATCTTGGATAACTAGCAGGCCGCCCTGGTCGAAGAACAAGCTCGTACTCCAGAGTCACTAGTGCCTGGGAAAGAAGTATCGTAAACCTAGTTGATACTAACGGCTAGCAGCCTCTTTTTTTTTTTTTTTTTTTTCCCTAGCCGTCCTTCGGGCTGTAATTCCAGGGTTTCCCAAAGAATTCAGTGGAAGCGGAGGCAAATAAACAGCAATTAAAAGAGACGCATCTGAAAATCTGCTGGAGCCTCTCGCTTAGACCGCCAGCTGGTGGAGTGCAACAGGAGCAAATACTTCAGAAGCAAAGATCGTATCACATCCATATTTCCCTTCCCAAAGTCCTTTCTCTCTTTTTTAGACTGCATCTCGACGTCACCGTCTGGGAGGAACGGCTGTTTATGCTTGTCTTGGTGAATATCAGACATCCCGTTTTCGTCCTGGCCCTCGACTTTGGCTCTCCCTCCTTGTGCATATCAGACAGACTATCGATTCGAATATTGACGACGCCGTGCGACCCTAACCTCCCTGGCTGTTGGGCGGGCAAGCGAGAGAGACACTGCGCTTTTACTTCTGCCTGCTTTCTTTTTACCCGTACATGCAATAAGATGGCATACATTGAAGCATAGGTAGCACGGCCCGAGATCTTGCAGCGCTTTCGTTGAGATCAGCCTGCCTGTTCCTGACTCGCTTCTGGTGCAGCCATTCCGTCACATCCACTGATTGTTCTTTGCGCCGGCACTTGGTCCTTCAAATTGACCGCGCCTCCTCTCCTGAGAACTCGAAGTCACTCCTTTTCTCCATCACATTCGCGTATGTAACATGGTCGTGCTGTGTGCTTGGTGTGTCTGTCTTTTCTGTGTATCTCGCCGTTGACGTTGTGGTTTTTACTTTTCTAGTCGTCGGCCCAAAAGGGAAAAAAAGGGACTTCAACACTCGTTTTGCTCCTTTTTCGCTGCCAACCAGGACAGCGAACTAATCGAAGTCTTCAGCTTCTGTCTCTCGTTAACAGCAACTATTTACTCTCTGTCACACTCCTCTGCGAGGATACCGCACCGATCGTTTCTCTCACCGTTCCGCTGAGCTGGAACCGACTGTCCATATACCCGAGTCTACCGGGCTTGACTTCGATCTTTATAACGCCGACTCTACTACATCTTCAACAAATAACGGAGCAATCAAGAGGCTGGTAGAGGAAGCCATAACCATAATAACACACCCTCAACTGCCACTATGAATCGGTTTCGAAGCCGCAAGAAACGGGGTGATGGGCCTGATCCATCAGATGCCCCTCCAGTCCCTATATTCTCCAAGCAGTTTTTCAAGAAGAAGCCTGAGCCAGAGCAGCCTCCGAAGATAGATCTAGCGACAGCGCTACCTACAGATAATGACTTCCGAACCAGTTTGCTGATGCCCAATCTATCGGCAAGATTCAGCATGTTGCGCGAGCAGGACGACCCCAACTCGAAAATCGGAAAGGCCAACGATGACAGTGTCCTGTTCCCAAAGAGAGCATCTAGATTAAACCTATTTGCCCACTCACAGCTGGCGGACATTACTGAAGTCGGGTCATTACACGGCTCTGACCGGCCTTCCCTCAATATCGGTCGATCCTCCTACGCTTCTGGTTCGACGGATGACGATTGCCACACTCCATCAAGCATCATGACTAGATCGAGGCCAGTTGAAGGCAACACACTGTTTGGAGGACGTCAAAAGGTTTACAAGATACCAAATACACGCAGTGAGCCTGCTTCCGAGAATGAAGGCGGGTCGGAGGGAGATAGGCAGAGCGCAACGATGGGAGGGAAACAACTATATCAAAATGACGTTGGATCTATATTTCAACGGCCAAAGGATGACGACTCGAAATCGGAGCCAGATCTGCGTCCAGACTCTACAACCCTTGCTCCTCTCCCGTTGTCCAGGCAAACAGAATCATCCTCTTTTGTTGTTTCCGACAACAGGAATTCCGCTTCCACGACTTCGGCCAATTCTCAGGGCCTTGCTTCCAGGCAAGGTTCAGTGACTGCAGAGACTTCTACAAGAAGCACTCAGAATTCGAGCGGGATGAGTCTTGAGAGAAACCCTACAAAGTCTAGACGGCTGTATGACCGTGGTTTGGAGCTTCAGAATCAGCCTCCTGCGCTTTCAAGGCTGGAGAGCATCAGCCGCCAGCGATCCATCGCAAGTGACAACGGTCTCATCAAACGATCTCTGTCTAAAAGCGCTGTCAATCTCAACGAAAGATACCAGAAGCTATCTCCAGTCTATTCCTCTTCGTCCTTTAGGCCAACCAGCCCTCCACCGTCATCAGCTTCTTCAGTCGTAGGAAACCCAGAGCCCAGAAGGCCGTCCCCAGTCAGCACTATAAACTCTCCTCAGGGGCTCGTGGCGGGATCTCCACTGAGCCCGCCTGCGAGTGAGACCGACGAAGGATCTTCATTTGCAGCTGCGATTCAACCAGAAGACCGCGGAAAGGCCACAGCAACAGGCCTATTCAATAAGCCTCCGTCAAAGTACGATGATAACCAATTTTCTCAGCGCCAGATTCAAATTCACGAGAACAAAAGCAATGCATCATTGCAACGGCCAACTTTGGCTCGAATAGGCTCTGACCTTACTGATCCTGGGCGACCAAAAGATATGTCTATTGCCAGTCATCAACCAAAGCCGGAATCCCCAGGATTGCCTACTAGTCAGAACTCCCCTCTCTCAACACCCCATAGCATGGATTTCCGTCCAACACCTTTGCGGTCTGAGAAACCACGACTTCCAATCAACCCTTCCACATTTTTGGCAGACTTTAGTGGAAGTGAATCTGGAAGCGAGGCCGAGGAAGATATGTCAAACGCACGGGTATCTCCACTGTTCCATCCTCACGAAAGTGTTGGATCTCCCCTAAGAGTCAGCATGGAATCTGGTGACTCTGTTACTCCAGTTCCTTTCACCAAACCCTCTCATCCTGCCCTTGGAGGCGAATTTAATTATTCAGAATCCCGAGACTTGAACACAATCAAGGAAGATGAACCCGTCCCTGATCCTGTTCTAACTGTTCAAGAACCACCGCAACAAATAGAATCTGAATCTCCTATTCTAGGTCCAACTGGACTCAGTGGTTTGATTCGGGCTCACCTTAGGCAGGATAGTGACAAATCTACAATATATCCCCCGCCATCGCCAATCTCTATGGGTCCACCATCAGAACATTCTCGCCCGAGTAACCCTCAGGTCCAAGAAGCTAGATCCTCAGACCTTGCAGTCAGCATTCATAGCAACCCCTGGGAATATGATGATTGGGCTAGGCCGACTCATCAACCGGCAGAGCCAACTGAACGCGGCAGTCAGCCGGAATCAGACTTCATAAGCATGTCTTTGCGCGCAAAGCAAATGCTCGGTCAAGCAACTGCTCTCAGCAAGGGAAACGAGAAAGAAAATACCCCTGGCGCTGGAAGCCTGGAAGAGCAAGCCTCTGCCCCTTCTATGTCTACTGTCCCCAAAACGTCTCCAACCGCTTCCCAGGCCCCCTGGGAGGAAGAAATTAAGTTTGGTCATCGTCGCGGAGGAAGTACAGAAACCCAGATGGAAAGGGAAGAGTTTGCTAATGAACTAGCTGAAAGACGGCGTAAAGTTCAAGAAAAACTGAAGAACTTTGCGGAAAACGAAAGCAGGTCTTCCAGCCCGGCACCTAGTTATCGTTTCCCAGACGGTAATGGAAACGGTACTCAAAGCCCCAGCAAGACCGGAAATGCCTTTGCAATTCTCAAGGCCAAAACATCCAGGAGCCAAAACAATCAACCAAAACAGGATCACCCATTGGCTAAGTCGAAACTCTTAGGTTTGGATAAGCCGCATTTCAACTCATCAGCCCCGAATCTGCAGCAAAGCAATGAAATGTGGCGGGAAGAAGAAGAAAGGACAAGGCGTCTAGCCCGAAAATCTCGGGCTGAATCTCCAATGGGAGCGAACCGACACCATGGCTGGGGTCGTCAACCTCCGCCGCCACCACAGTCAACCACACCGCAGTCGCGCCGGAGTGAGGAAGATACCAGGGTTTCTACCCGGGATAGTGCTTCATCAACTTGGAGGAGTGGGCCCAGGGACAGATCCGACTCTGACACCTCTGGTCGCTCAAAGAGTCGACCTAGATACCGTGAAGATCTTGGAGCTGTTAGAGAAAGCGTCGAACAACCACGGATGGGTAGACCATCTATTGAGGAGAAGTCATCGATGAGCTTATCGAGTCGACCTTCTGTTGAGTCGACTGACCGTAGAACAAGGGATCGTTCGGCATCTACAGGTAGATACAGGAGTAACTCTCGACCAGCGGCTCCAAACTACATTGACCTCCAATCTCTTCCTGCGCCGAGCCCTACGCTTCAACATCCTGCCATGGTCCACTCACCAAGACCCCCTCCTTCGCCAAACACCCATCCTTATTCAGCCAATGCTACTCCTCCCATCCTTGAGAGCTCGCCCACACCGTCTAACCCAGCTATGGGAGGATATGGGGTGCCTCCTATGCAATACCCTCACCCTCCACGAAACTCTCCTGTTCCCAGCCCCAATATCACACAACAGAGTCTAGGTTCCCATAAAAGATTGGTAGATAAGTCTCAAATTTCAGAGCCTACCTTTATTTCGACTACATCCAACGTTCCCACCGTTGGCTTGCCTGCGGGAGCTAGTCTCGCCAATGGAGCCCCGACACCTCCACTTCCTCCGATGAACCCTAGGAGAAGGCGTCAAACAACTACGCACAACATCCTTGGCGCACTCAAGGGATCCTCGCCTTCTGATAGACCAGATCAATACCATTACAATCATAAACACCACAACCAGAACTATCCCAGCGCCCCTCGGAGGTCAGAGGAACACAGCACGTTTTCAGATGACGAAAAACGTCCACGGGCTCGGCAGAGACTCAGAAAGATCTCAAGCGAAGGAGGGAACCTTAACGCTAAGGCTAGACATCATTTGATGAATGGGAACCAGCCAGCTTTACCACCGCCCTCAAGACATAACCGAGTCGAGGGCCTACTATGAGGATTTACTCTTCACCTTTCCGTCGCTATGATACCTCTATTTTGTAAAATTCAGCCTTCATTTTTTTCAATTTCTTTCAATACTTCTCAATAGATGGGCGCCAAGCTCTCTAAACCAACTTCATCGGACCTTCAGGTAGGCCAACCGCTCTACTTTAGAAAACTTTGTACAAAATTCCATTTCTCTTCTGGTGTACATTTCTTTACTCATATCTTTTACCCTTCTAACTATTTGACGTACGACATGTCAGTTTTTTTCTGTTTTCCCCCTTTTCCTTTTCCTTTTCCTTTTTTTTTTCAGACTTCAGATTCCTTTTCATTCCTAAACCAATTGGCTATCTAGCCTTGATGTTAGTTAAATACCCCTTTTTATTGTCGCCTGGGTGATGGAAACATTTCCCTTTTTAAATCTAGAATGGTTCAGATAGCTTCTTTTTTCTTTAAGGTTCGGCATCGTAATCTCTATCATTTCGGCTTAGAATCAGACGCAGAATGAAATCGCAATTTGAATATCTCATTACAAGCAAGAATCCCGTAGGAGATGGGTATTAGACAGAGCTCTAAATTGTAACGCCTTTGGTAACCGCGAATAAAAAAGAAACATCATAGTGGTACAGCTTCCAGTTATCAAGTAGCACGAAGAGCTATCCCTCGTCATACTCCTGAGTAGTTGGAGAGCATAAAAAGAAAGAAAGTGAGATGATATTGTTGTAAGAGTCCAATTTCAAAAGCTCTTCGATCGTCTCAAGCGGGACGACGCAAGTAGAGCTGGGCGGATTTCTAAACCAGTCCAGTCACGGCCGATAATAGCGCCCAAAGGTTGCGCGGCAGTGAATAACGCTTGTTCCTCCCATCCAAGCACCTCATGTTCAGAATCCAGTTGGCTGGGTAACGGTCCCTTTTTAACAAGCTTCCTTAACATCTGTATGCGGTGTACTTCACGCGCCTGAACAACTTCGACAACCAGTTTTTCAGTCAGCTTCCCCTGGAAGCGCATGTATCTGAAAACTTTTCGCAGTTGATTGAACGGGACGGAGACGAAAAGCAGAGAGACATTGGCTGGGTCGGCAGCAAGATGGAGGGATGATGTGGATGAGCAGTTAGGTCTCTCAAACTTGAAGCCTGTTGGGATATTGTCCACGGCGAAACGGAGTGAGATGTTCAAGACTTTTCTAGCTAATGCTGCGAGCGTAGTGGTATCTTGAGAAGCCTCGCATGAGATCGTCGAGCCATCACTGTCTTTTGAATCATTTGAATCATTCCAAAGGGATGAGCTGGTCTGGGTATCCTGGGTATCCTGATCGATGACAGTGAGCTCAAAGGGTATCGGACACGTTCCAAAGGACAAAGTAGTATCCAAAGTCTCCCAGGATAAGATGCCAGAAAGTAACTGTAGGGCTTGTTCCACGATCTGGTTGTCCATAAAAAATACACCGGCAGCCGCGAAACACAAGACAAAGTTCATCCGGGAGATACTTGTAGCCGAAGCTACAACATCTTTGCATGACTGCTGCTGGGCTGGCTGGCTGGTGCAAAGGGGCATGTGAAAGAATAACTGATCTTGGTCAATCAGAGGCTGCTCGTAAAAGTGAAGTAGAGCTGAGACAAACGCGGACGGATAAGTGAAAGATCTTCCAGCAGAGATGTATGCGTGGGCAGACTGTTTATCCTCAAGCTGGAGAAGGAGGGAGGACAAACGCCGGTTTTTGGATGCGATGGTTCTGTGGACGGAGTGAGAGATCGGGGCAAAGACACCAGAGCAAGAATATAAAGTGAGGTTGATGTCAGAACGCTTCTCTGGAATATTCAATAGGTGAGAGGTAGTCGACTCTTCCGCCATCTTATTCAAGCTGTAAGGGTATACGTGATCTCTGGAAGCGGCTCGCTGATAGGCCTGTGTGGTCGACGAGTGAGGAGAGAAAGGAGGAAGAAGGTGGTTGCTACAGGATGGCGTAAATGTAGTGTACTCGCTTGGTTTGTAGCTGTTAAGAGGTGGGAGATGTTCCAAGCGAGAAATTCCCTGGCTAAGTGGCGGGCCCTGCTGTGCGAGTGAATGATGGCCAGAGACAGGAAACCATGGAACATGGTGGTCAACATGGTATGGCCGCGAGATATCGAGAGAATGACCGCAAGGGTCACCTCCGCTGTCACCAGGAAAGGAAGAGACCGGAGGGGTATACGACCCCTGGTTTGGCCGCCGGTTCTCCTTATCCATGGCTGGCTGGCGTGGTACTCCAGCGGGCTTCTCTGGACAGCCAAAGACTATCCCGTGCCGTTCGAAAGCAGCACGAACGGACTCGACCTCGCTGGTAATCGAGGCCCCCAACTCCTCTCCGGCAGGTTCAGCGCCATCCATCTCCAGGGCCTTCTCTGCCCGACGCGCTTTCTCCTGCTTATTCCTCCTCCACAGGCTCCTGGAGATGGAATGGCGCTTCCCCTTTGCCCCCATCTTTTGCCTAACAGCAGGTTGAGCTGCTGTTTTTAGAGGACTTTCTCCTCTGAGCTACTAATTGTCAGAGGTTATTCTGTAAACCAGCCATAGAGTTAGAAAATTGTCCAAGCCATGATTTTGAATAAAAGTCGAGGGAATGTTGAGATTGCCCTGGTGAAGGGAGAGCGACTCAGGGGGGAATATAGGTGGTATTTATCATGAGCTGATGCGTGCCATACATGTCCTTTATCCATAATAGGGGCATAACCGGAGCCCACCCATTCCGAGGGATACCATATGTAATTGGAATATTAATAAGGAGAAGGCGGTATCTTCCACCTTTTAAGGCATATAGAATGGCAATGGCTTGAGGGAGAAGGAGCAGGGGAACCGCGAGGCCCTCCGTGTTCCTCTCCCTCAACCCTCCCTCGGCCGGCTTTGCCTGTCCACCCCCCAACCCCCCAAAGAAGACTCTGAAAGAAGATGCAGAAAAGGAAGAAGAAGAAGAAGGAAAAGAAGAAACTTACTCTCTTTAAAGCTGTGAATGAATCCTCAAGCTGCCCCTTTCTGTGTGATAACCGGAGTTTCTGATAATCCGAAAGCCTGAAGCCTGAAACTGACCACGTGATGGAAAGTTTCTGTCACGTGAAAATTTTCACTGTGGGAAAAGTTGAAAGTTAAGGCACTAGTCCTAAATAGGAGGTGACGTGCTGACTCATCAAAATAAAGCGAAGGATGTAAAGGAAGTTGAAGAAGGAACTTTTTGATAGAGAAGAAAGGAAAGGCAGAAGAACAAGAGGAAGAGGGGGGGAAAGGGGAGAGAGAGAGGAAGGTCCATGAATATCTCTTGTGCCCTCAAAGTAGGAGGATTCCGATCATAGAAGAACAGCTTGCAAAAAGGCTACCTTCTATACTGAGATCAGGAGAAAAGGGAGGAAGAAGAGAACCAGGGAAGGATCACTAATGAAGAGCATAAGTGAATTAAAGAGAGGTATAGTAATATAAAAGATAGGACGGGAATAAGCTATAGAACTGCTAGATAATGTATCTAAAGAAATTGTCCCGCACGATATCAAATGGTGCGATTGGACTAACTACCTATTCCCATGATATAAAATATGCATACAGGATACAGTAACAGACAATAAGTGTTGTTATTGTCATTCCCGCTGCTTTGTGGTATTGACATCCTCTAAATAGATAGCATTTTAACAGCCATAAGCTGGTTTCTGTTTCGAGATGAGGGTATAGCAGGTAATCTCCATGGCATACGGCAACTAGACTATATCGTGGGTATACCCCGGAAACATCAACTGAGCAAAAACTGCCTGAGGCTTCTTCCAGCAATTTTCATGAAACAAATCTGCAGACTCCATAAAAGTCGACGTGGTTGAAGACACTATGCAATCGCAGGGTAACCTATCGAGTCTGCGCTGGCGGTTGGTTGTCTCACACTGTCCGCTGCTGTTCCTGATTGGACTTTCGTGGCGTACACTAATGTACTTCGTAACATCGCAACGCCGGCTTCATCTTCAACTGGTTCAACTTTTCATCTTTTTCGTTGTTTTTCTGTCGTTGCTTTTTGGCTGAAAAACAAGGATTGGAACCGGTGAAGCAGTCACGTGCTCTTACCTGCCAGCGAAGTCTAACTTTATCGTCTTGGCGCGAGATTCCATAAAATTTTGGGCGAAAAAGAGGGAAACGGGTTGACTCATAGATATAAAAGTCGAGCTCGCCGGTTTATTCCTTTCTTTGACTCCTTCATCCAGGTTAACTGAGGAAGACAGCTTGGATATCAGTAACAGAGACCCAATTGCTTGGTTATTTTCTTCATTGGATATCTCAGCATCGATCGCCGAGCACCATGCCGTTCGCTAAACCCACAGTCGAGGACAACGATGATAGCAGAGGTATGCTCCCCATGCCAGCCTTGCAGGAAATAGGTGTCATCGGCCGAGTGGAAACTGATATCAAACTGCAGTGTTGGGATATGATCCGTTGCTATCGCCTCAGTTCCTTCAGACAGAGGTGCCAGTGGTAAGCTTGCCCCGCAGCGTGCATTGGCGGTACCAAGAGGATTCCTAACAGCTGTCATTTGTGAATTTATTAGCCTGCCACTGCGGTAGAGACCGTCCGAGTGAGTCGTAAGGAGGTCATTGAGGTCATTGAACAGCGTGATGACCGCCTTCTTGTCGTTTGTGGCCCATGCTCTATTCATGACCCCGCGACAGCGCTCGAGTACGCTGAACGCCTAAAAGCCCTGTCCGACAAGCTGAAGGGAGATTTGTGTATTATCATGCGAGCATACTTGGAGAAGCCCCGCACAACTGTTGGGTGGAAAGGATTGATCAACGATCCCGATATTGATGAGTCATACAATATCAACAAGGGTCTTCGCATCTCCCGAAAGATGTATGCTGATTTGAACGGTATGGGCATGCCAATTGCAAGTGAGATGCTGGATACAATCTCGCCTCAGTACCTTGCCGATTTGATCTCTCTGGGTGCCATTGGTGCTCGTACCACTGAATCCCAACTTCACCGTGAACTGGCATCTGGTCTCAGTTTCCCTATCGGTTACAAGAACGGCACAGACGGAAGTATTGGCGTCGCAATCGATGCTATCGGCGCTGCAGAGAAGCCCCACCGCTTCCTTGGAGTCACCAAGCAAGGTCTGGCAGCTATCACCAAGACCACGGGCAACGAGCACGGGTTCGTCATCCTCCGCGGTGGCACCAAAGGCACTAATTATGACGCCGAAAGCATTGCCGCTGTCCGCGAACAGCTAGCGAAGAAGAAGCAGCGGGAGATACTCATGGTTGATTGCTCACACGGTAACTCCAAGAAAGACCATCGAAACCAACCTCTGGTAGCTCAGTGTGTCGGTGACCAGTTACGTAAGGGCGAGGAGGGTATCATTGGAGTCATGATCGAGTCCAATATTGCTGAGGGCAACCAGAAGGTTCCTCCGGAAGGTCCCTCGGGCCTTAAGAAAGGTGTCAGTATCACCGATGCCTGTATCAACTGGGAGACCACAGTAGATGTCCTCGAACAGCTCGCCGACGCCGTGCGCACAAGGAGGGAAGTCCGTGCAAAGAAGGCATAGGTATAGAGGAACATTGGGTATCTCGGAAAATTGGTAATCATTAGTAGGGAAAGGGTATCAAAACATTCGGTCTCTGTGAAAATTCTTCTTTTTTCCATGTTTCAATTCGGGAAAGCTCCTAGCTGAACGTCCAGCACGCAGGCAGCGATAGATTTGGTTCCATACGGGAAAGCAGAATAAACAATAATAATCAGTATTCTTTCGTTGCCATAATTTTTCGCTCACTGTAGGATATTTTGCTCTCCTCCGTTGCCTGGTAGCCAGAAAGGTTAGTCAGCCGTATTCCTGTTGTTGGCGTGTAGCATAACAACGTCTTGATGGGCGCATTCCATCTAAATATCGGCGAAGTTCAGTCATCGTACACAAGCACAAAGCGTCTCTTTCAACTCTCACACTTCTCATTTCGTGATTTCGACACAAAAAACTGAGTCAAGCGAGAGCGCGATCCCTGGCTTTTAATCGACGGCTTGAATTGCCGCGAAACATCCGTACCCACTTGTATCCGGTCCAATGGCATGTCAGCATCGGATATTTTCCTAGGGGTTGCGAAGGCCAAGACGCCGCCCAAGAAGGCAATTGGGATGCATCTCATCTGATCTAAGAATAGGGAGTAAACAGACACAATATGACTGATTTCAGAAGAGTCTAGAGGGGAGATAAATGTAATCCGTATGGTAGCTATAAAAAAAACACCAACAAGACCAAAGAAGCTTTGATAGCTCATTTGACTCCGGTTTATATACATCCTGCCAAAAAGTAACAATCATTCCTTGCAAAGGTCCTGTAAAAGATCCAACATACGAAGCTGCAGTGCCTTTACTTCCTCTGCTGTAACACACTTCTCTGTTCTGTTATCTATATTTGGTGGTTTCGAGTCGGAGCCCGATGATGTAGGCTGAATCAGCTCTTCTTTTATCGCAAAGAAGGGAATTCCCAATGCCTTGAGCTCCGAATGAAGAGCTTTGGACATTTCCATCGATGCTGTATAGACTTTTTCATCATAACGTTTGATCTCGAGCTCATCTTCCTCTGGTGCCTGCTTTATCATTAGTTTTAATACTAATAAGATGGTACCCGTAGAGCTCTTACAGCGTCATGCGGTCGATCCGTGACCTTGCCACCTACAGATCGCCTGATACACACCCGTTAGTTTTGCACTCTATAAACAAGCATTGAAAAAAGGACCCAGGGACTATTCATACAGGACTTCGTCTAGTTTTTTCTGATTTCCAGCCCGAGCTTTTTGCTTTGCTAGGAGTCTCTGTCGTCCTTGCCACCAAGTTCTCTCATGTTCATGTTGTGAGGCGATCAGCCGTCTAATCCTATATTGCACAGTTTCATTCTGGGCCACAGTTTTCATCACGTATTTGAGAGCCACAGGCCATGCTGTGATTATAGACGGACCGATAGAGCTTTTACTTGGAGGACCAGCCCCGGTCTCCTGTTTACTCGATGAGGAGGCTAAACTTGGATGAGTGGACGTATGTATTTTATGTGTGCTTTGGAGGCGAGGATCGCTCGTTGGCTGTGATATACTGGATGCCTGAGGTTGATTGGGTTGTGGAGTGCTGAACGAAGAGAGCGTTTTTAGGACCGTAGCAAGATCAGGTGGCCCATTACCAGGAAGCTCCATAGCTAGTAGCTACAAAGTGCCGGATGCCACGGTTTGAGGGGTATCTATCTGAAATCAAATCTTTTGTTACCCTTTCTGTCCTTGATTGAACGGTGTGAAAATGGGACGCGGCAATTGTTACTTTTATGGGTATCAAAGCGTAAAGTAACCACACAATGAGGTTGTTTCAGCTTTTCCAATAAACGTTAAAGAAGGCCACCCGGCCTCTTTTAATAACTTGTATTGTTTAGTTGATAATGAAAGATGATAGTTTTGTTATTGTTGTTCAACGGAATCGCCGTTTCGCCTTTTAGTCTTATATAAGCAACGCCAAGGCCCCTTGATCTTTTGCATCCTCCAACCTTTATCTGATCTTAATGTTTTTTAATTGCTTCAGCTGATAGACGGCGGAACATTCACTGGGGCGGCAAGAAGGGGCTCTGGCTTAGAGTGAGGAGACTATATCTGGTGGATTCTTGCTTCATCTGGGATGTAGGAGAGTCGTCGCATTTACCACGGGCTTCCGTGTTCTTTCCCAAGATTAAAACGGGCGAGCTTCCTCATTTCGCTCTCAACCTTCGCTATCTAGTTGATGAGGACCAGTCTCTTTACACCCGGGGCTTTTTTTTTTTTTTGGATGTACTTTAAGGCTTTACGGCGAGGGAGGTGTCGATACTCATGCAGAGCCTTGCTATTAAACGTTCTAGGGAGGAAGACAAGGCAGGCGATGCCTCGGAGGATGAGCTGACGTTAAGGAGAAAAGTATGTACCAGCTAAATCTCATTTGGCCCATTTGGCCATACCCTATTTCTAGCATTCTAACGTGTATGCAGAGGGTTAGACCCCTATGCCTCCGCCCTGTACCCCAATCAACGGAATCCCATGGCTTCACAGCCTTGCCCCTGACTCCCACGACAACAGAAGACCGATGGAATGACAATGATACCACCGAGAGGTTGGAGGGACAGCCGATACATATATCTACCGACCTCTCCTCCGGAAGTAATCGGCAAATTGAAGCCGACACCGACATGAACATGATGGACTGCGTGTCCCCGGAGCATTCTATGGAACCTGTATGGCCTACCACTTGCCATAGCACTGAACACATGGGCTGTAATTTTAGCAGCAGCCTCGGCTCCACAGAAACAAGTATAGAAGTTAGCCAAACGTGTAATATGGCTTCCTCTACCAACTCATCCATGGGTCCCGCCTCCATTGGTAATCTGCACACTCCGGCACCTACTATTACGAATCCAGCAGCTTCCCGCTTTCCCAGTCCCATAAGCGAATATCAAGCTGAGACGAAAAGCCACACGGGCAAATTTACCTTAAACCCCTTCCAATCCGACGCCCATTTAGACGATACAAGCATACGTTCGAATTTATCTCTGTACAGTTCTGTCTCTTTGGAACCCTCCAATAAAGCCAACGATCTACAGGCAACCTGTTCGGCCTTGCATCTCTCGACGAACCCGGAAGCTGACACTTTTGAGAAGTGTTCTGATTCTGCAACTAATGGTAATATGAACTTGATGACAAAGTCGCCTAGGAAAGCTACCATAGCCATGGGGTTTCGAGCCGATTGCGACAAGTGTCAGCGCAGGGAACCGGGCCACTATAGCCATATCGTCTATTCCTAGAGTACACCCAGTGACGGAACTCAACCAGCACCTCTTGCGGCTTTTCATTACTCCCACGATTAAAATTCGAGTGAATATGCTACCCAAGGTGACGATATGCCACCCGATTGTTCATTTGAATCCACCAACCTAATGAGTTTTGCTTTTGCTTTCTTCCCTTACAAAGATACCCCTTTCCCTTAATTCTGCACAGTAACCAAAGACCTTTGGTTTCTTTACAACGAAGAGGGCTGGCTCCTTACTTCTATCTCTTAGTGTGCCTTGGGGTCATAGACTGTACGTTAGGGATAACTTTTGTACTTTAGAATTGATAAAATCCCTTTCCAACATTTCCTCAATGCATCTCTATTTACATTGGCGAAAATAAACTTTACCGAAGCCTCCAGATTTGGTCACGTGTAATTCTTGGCATAAAAGTCCTTTTTCACTTCAAGATGGAATTTATTTCGCAGAGATGAAATGCAAGCAGTTATCGCAAGACATACAGCTGCTATAATGCCGTCGTCAAGGCCTATACTGCGGTCGTTGGAGGCCTTACCTTCGCAATTAACCAGTTCTCGCTATGTTTGCACGAATTGTCGCTGGCAATCGCTACCACGAGCCCGAAATCTGATATCCACGCCGCCTCGTCGATACAACTCGTCCGGTAACCTTCCATTCACCGAAAAAGTACGACGAAAGCTATGGGGTACAGACAATCCTCCAGGTTTAAAAGATCCTTATGGAGGAGAGAGCATACTTGAGAGAAGAGCTCGTGAGCTCAGAGAATCCAGGGAAGCTAGCTCAGCTGAGCCGCAAGGAACCTCAGAAGAGTCTGTCCAAGCAATGGCAGAGGAAGACAATGCTGAAGCCATGGCAGATTATACTCCTGCAATTAACTGGGATGGGTTAGAGCATGTTGGATCTTTGGGTGAATGGTGGGAGAAACCACCAACCGGGATGGATCGATTTGATGCGTGAGTTGTGAATCTTTGATGTTTTGCAATACACATAGGCTAAAGGGATTTTTGGCATATAGATTCATGCGAAGGGAAAAAATTACGAATAATAACGATATATTGGCTATCTTGCATCAGGTTATGGTTGAATTGAGTGTTCTGAAGGAGCTCAACAAACCTCTGGGAGCTTCTTGCGATATCCTTGAGCATGGGTCCGAGGTTCTTTCTCTTATCAGCAAGGTTGAGGTAACCCCCTCTAACGAAGGGTCCGGAGCTGCATTAGCTTTCCCAAGTGAAGATGTGAAGGCCAAGGTCTATGAATTCTTCCGTGAATTTGACTCCATTCCGACAGAGGAACCAGTCGTTTCTGAAGAGCTTCCCTCCACAGAACCTGAGATGGATGCCAGCTCCGAAGCCATGCCAGAAACCCCATCATCCGAACTTAGCCCACCAGCTAACACAAAGTTCTTGAACATTTCTCTCATATCCCCCGAAATGAAGTTTGCAGTAAGTTTACCCAGAGGCCGACCATATTCTTACTTTCACCTGTTTACTAACATATTGCGATTCAGTACTTGAAAAGAGTCAGCCAGTTGACTGGCCACATCATCCCAGACCAAGAGCTTTCATCCATGTCCAAAGTATCTTCCGTCCAAGATTTCCTTATTCGCGCTTCGACCCCTAGACCCACAAAGCTTGCCGACCAGCTCATTCTTGAGGGAACCTTCGATGGTATCCCTAATGTCAAGATCTATGACAGGAGACAAACTCCCATCGACCGTGATATCGAAACTGGCCAATGGAAAGTCATTGAGGAGGAACTTACTAAGAGAGGTCTTCCTATTACCGGACGCAAATTTGCATGATCATACATTTGGGATAAGTGAATATCGGCCCTCCTGGGGCAAACTTTGGCAGATTGTTGATATCGCATGTAAAATAGGAACTTTTTCTTCATCAACGCGGATTAATTTAGAATAAATGTACTTTATGTTAAGCATATGATACTATTATTGCAATCAAAATGCTGGTCTTGATATTTTATTCGTGTCATGTATGCTATTCAGGGGAACTATCCATCGATTGAATCCTTATGCAAGCGGAATCATAAGTAATACTCCAATGTTACTAAATTTCCAGTGACTAGTTAAGGGTGGTAGATAATGTAATGCGGTATCACAGCTATACCAAGAGTTTATATCAATTTATCCTCTAGGCGAATGAGGATAAATAACAGTAGTGATCTGCACGATGTCAAGGCTCCGTTGGAGCGTTGCTGATAGAATTCTTAAGACAAACCTTCAAAAAGGGTCGCAAGATAATGCTGATGCGATTTGCCGATTAGTTTCATCCTGAACCTGGCTCGTAACCTGCAGCCGAGCTCGTGTTCCCCTGGAATTACCAAAGACTGGGACAGCGTGAAGCTAAATAGCTCTGCACATGCTTCTAGGTGAAATAAGGTGATCAATGGTCTGTGGATATAGATTGCATTTTTGGTCTCCCCATATTCAAGGTGTGACAATTCATGCAGTCTCGAAAATGATCCTGGTCGATTCATGGTATAGACCACAAGTTTGTAGTCAACTAACGTGAGATAGAAAAGCCACGGGTCATGAAGTCAACATTCTTACCCTCGTCCTTCTTATTTTTGGATGTGAAAAGGGACTGAACAGCATCACTTCGTTGTGTCTTTGCACGCTTACGGCGTTCGTTTTGTTCCTCGAGCACCTTGGCGGTCAGCATAGCTGTCCCAGCGTTCTTGATCCCCACTGGGGCGGGGGTAGAGGATGGAGTAGGCATCTTGCTATCATTTTTAGCCTTGCCGTTTGCAGCAGTTTCGTGTTTAGAGCCGTTCTCATCATCGCCGTTCACATCACTGCGGTTCTTCTTGCGCTTTTTGCTCGAGCCAGGAAGCTTCTTTAACGAATGCGCAAGGCCTTGACGAGATAGGTCCTCTACCCGCGATTTTAACCGCTCCTTCTCTGATTCCTGGGTCGGGAGAATTAAAATAACATTCGAGGGTTCATATGGCTCATTACACTGTGCATGTATGGTTAGTAGACAGCCAACAGGTAGCACAAGAAGAAGTTGTACCCACTTGTAAGCATTTATCCGATTTCATTTCACGGATGGCTCCCTCGGAGAATACATGTCCGCAAGGCACAAGGTACACTGACCTCACACTGGGGCCCAGTTCTTTTTGAGTGACAGGGCAGATCCAGTGACCTTTCCGCCCTCCATTTGGTACACTGGCATTTCCATCAATTTCAAATTTAAGCTCAACCACATCACGTAGCGATTTGACTCTTCCTTGTAGCACTTCGTCACAGTCGGCCTTTGCGCTTATTGCCTCACTATCGTCTCCGGGAAGAAGGTACTGTAAGATGGCGTCTTTATTATATAAATTTCCGACAGCATCTGACACCACAGGCAAGAGAAGTTTCTTATGAGACAAAGGGCAAGTAGTCCAGAAGTGTTCGAGGTGTTCGCGAAGAGTCTCCTTTAGCTGAGTAGTATTTGGATTCCGCGCAGCTTCTTTCACCAGTTCGCGGCGAGTAGGGATGCTACAGGACGTGAAAATTAGACAGACGCTCTTCAAAACCGGGAACAGACATTTCTTACCTTCCGCCATCATTACCCATCTTGGCGGGTATTTAACTGCAGTCGGTCGGCTCGTTCAAATGTTTGTAGTTCGTCTCTCTCCTTTTTGGCTCATCTCTTATCTTAAAAGATCTCGATACCTATCGCCGCATCCACGTGACTGGTTAGAAGCTCTGGGGTCCCTGGTGGAGAAAGCTTGAGACATGAAGCCAACTTGTCCGATATATCAAACTCCTGCACATTTGTTATTCTAACAGCCTGCCCTGGTGGCTTTTTCAGCAACTCTTTTTCAAGCAACATTTCATAGGCTGCCAATCTGTGCCTCAGACGCGGCCCAATGCCATTACGATGAACCGAGGCTCTCTTTTGCTCTTGTTGACAGCGGCCGTTGGTCCCACGCTATGTGTAGCCGCAGGCGATAAAGGATCACGGCCTAGGGGGGTAGGGCCTGAATGTAACTACCATTTTTCCCTGTTCCCTTTCATGACGTTGTTATATTTCGGAGTAAACAGGCAATTGGGCTGACTGAACGTTTGTACGTAAATTTAGTCGCCAAGTTCTACAAGGACACCAACACGTTTAGCTGCATTTCCAACCCCTCAATCAAGATACCATTTTCTGCTGTCAACGACGAATACTGTGATTGTCCTGACGGCAGTGATGAACCTGGCACATCTGCATGCTCGTTTATATCTCCTTACTCGCCATCATACTCTTCGAATTCCGGAAACGATAAGACGGACAACAAGTTGTCACTTCCAGGCTTTTACTGCAAGAATAAAGGGCATATTCCCCTATATATCAGCTTTCAACGAGTGAATGATGGAGTATGCGACTACGATATATGCTGTGATGGAAGCGATGAGTGGTCCCACGTTGGTGGACTAAAGTGCGAAGACAGATGCAAAGAGATTGGCAAGCAGTGGAAGAAAGCCGAGGAAGAAAAGGAAAAATCACACTTTGCAGCGTTACGGAAACGCAAAGAACTTGCGGCGAAGGCATCCAAGTTAGAACGGGAGATACAAGACCGCATCGTGGTGCTTGAGAAGGAAGCTCAAGACCTTGAAGTTTCCCTCAAGGACCTCGAAGCGCAGCTGGAAAAAGCCAGGGCAAATAATAGAGGGAAGACAGCAAGTGGCCAGAAGCAAGGAAAGGCTTATGAACTGGCAAAGCTTGCAAAGGCCAGGACTAACACCCTCCGTATTGCTCTGGAGGAGGTACAGCTACAGAGGGATCAGGTGACAAATCTCCTACGGGAAGCTGAGGGTATTCTGTCCAAGTTTAAAGAAGAATACAATCCTAACTTCAATGACGAGGGCGTCAAGCGTGCAGTTCGTGGCTGGGAAGACTACATTGCACGAAAGGGAGAACAGGGAGGCGATTCATTCGAAGACGCTAGCCTACTCGACGCGCTTAAACATGAACATGACGAGCCGTTCGAAAACCCTGATCAGTGGGCAGAAGAAGCTGAGATTGGATTAGGTAGGTCCATATATCCCCAAAGTCGACTTCAGTGGAGGCAAAAACGTTTCTGACAATGTGGTGGTATTAGTGTACAAGCTGGCATCTTTCTTACCTGCCGGCGTTGTAAATTTCATTGAAGATAGTCTTACTAGCTCCCGATCCGCATTGGTCTCGAATGGTCTCCTAGCAGACAGCTCACTGGACAATGACTCAGATGAGCCACGGGAAGTGAGAGACGCCAGGGACAAAGTAACTGGCGCCGAAGTTTCTCTTAACTTGAAGAAATCTGAGATCAAGGATCTCAAGCGTGACCTCAAAGAAGATTTTGGCGTTGACTCCATCTTCAGAGCGCTCAAGGGAGAATGCATTTCCCAGGATTCAGGAGATTACACCTATGAACACTGCTGGATGGAGCAGACCAAGCAGAAATCTAGAAGAGGACGCGCCGATACCACCATGGGAAGATTCGAGAAGATCTCGTCCATTGTTGTGGACGAAGTTACCCCGTCCGGCCAAATTGTTCAGAAAACCAAAGTCACTCTTGTTTATACTAACGGCCAAACGTGCTGGAACGGACCTGCACGTTCGACAACAGTGATACTCGAGTGCGGCGAGAACAACGAGATTATCAAGATTTCGGAGGATGAGAAGTGTATCTATTCAATGTTCGCCACCTCGCCAGCTGCCTGTGACCCCCCTCTAGCTAGCAAAGATGGCCAGGGAAGAAGCGGAAAAGATGAGCTATGAGTGACTGTTTCGCTGAATTGTCTGTTGGACTTATGGACCCCATAGCTGAATTATTATTTCGAAATACTGGATTGGAGACTTGTTATGGTTCATTACTAGAAACTAGAAAAAATTACATGCATATATTGTTTGCATCAGGTTGAATGCAAAGACTAGCGTTACACACGGACATTCAGCTTCGTTGCTTATTTCAACGTCCCCGCGGAATTAGTTAGTTACTTGACTAGCTAGCTAGTAAGTAGAAGAGAGCATGAAAAAAAAGAAAAGAAGGAAGAGTTTTGCAGGCCTGCAGATGGTGACTTGATTCTTTGGCTATAGTAACTGTAAGGCTTGTCTAAACCAAGTCGTTTAAAAAGGTACATGAAAAAATGAGTGTAAGCATGTTGACTGGCTGGCTTGAAAAGCTAGCAGTACGAAAGGTGAAAAGTATCAGAAGGTTCAAGGTCGTGTGCCGTTGCCCAAGAAAGTCGTAGATCCGTTCCCATGGTCTCCCAATGTCCCGCTCGTCGTTAGCGTCTTCGGTCAAAGCAAGGTGCATCTTGTCGTTGCAGATTTGTCATTGTCGATGGCTGCAATATGTAGGAGAAAGTTCTTGAAGGGTAAGGATGACATTCATTGGTCATTTAGTGCTGAGAGGTGATCAATAAGCATTTGCTGGTCATTTTGATAGGGGGTAGTAGTAGTAGTAGGTACTAGGTATATACAGCAGCTCGTTCTATGGAGCTGCTGCATATCCATGTATCTAAGGGGTAAAACTCACGGAGCAGCAGGAGCAGTTGGAGCACTCTCCGGAGGGGCAGCAGTTGCAAGAGCATGGGGCCATTTTGGTAGATTGAGGGGTGGACTTGGTAAACAAGTTGAAGTTAAGTGTTGGAATGTTGGTAAGTTGCTTTGGATTGTTCTGGTTGTCTGTGATGGAGAGAGAGAGAAAAAAGGGCAAAGATACCGGGCGAGGAGCTGCCTTTTATGCTTGAAGCTCGCCGGCCCCCGTCACTGCCAGCCTGCGTAGGGAATTTGATATTCGCCTCCCTGCGCTGCCAACCCCTCACCAAAATGGGATATCCACTCGGGGAAGGCGAGGCGTAGGTGGAGAGCAAGAGAATCGGAATCGAATCAGGAAGCCCGAAGATGTACTTCCGTTCCCTGAAATGCGACTGGACGGAGAGGTACACACTGGTCTGTCTTTTCTGCGGAATCAGCGGTGCCACGAGACGCCATACGGCAAGGGTATTCTATACAGTTGGAGGAAAAGCAAAGAAAAGCAAAGGAACGGAAAAGTAGTATTATGCATGTCCATGCCCATGTCCATCTAAGATAATGCCTCCCAGGCGCCGTGCTTCTGCGGCACTAAGGAATAGACTCGAAGCATCTGCTGCATTCCCTTGTTCTTGTGCTGTGCGCCTTGGATGCATGCAGTGCGGTTTAGGTAGTTATCCAGGGCATATCAAACAGCACACACACACTCCGTACATATGTAGGATAGTTACGTTCGTCCACTGCAACTATGTAAGGGTCATACGTTTTGGCGTACGACCCGGAATCTGCACTATGACATCGCAAGAGTGACAGACAGCCTTCCCGCCTGTCCGCCAGTGGATCTTGGTGAGATAGCGCGCGATTTATGCCAGGGAGGCAAAGTGTAGTTACCTAGTAACCGCAACTCGGTCTCGGGGTCGAGGCTGCGAAGGGGAGGTGAGGGACCTGATCGGGATGGAGTCACAAGGAGGCAGGAGACGCAGGCAGGAGGAATAATAGTAAAAAGCAAATAGCTACACTGCACTGCAACTAACTAATGCACGGCTGCTTGGAGAATCTTGTCATCGAGTGTTCGGGAGGGGAGTGAAGCAAAAGCAAAGAAACGTCAAGACAACGCCTTTAACCTCTGCTGAGGCCAGAGGACAAGGCGGATAGGATGGCCGTGTGACTTGCGTGTTATTTGCTGTACCGAGGATGGCGATGGAGAGACGGTCCGGACGTCATTCCCGCAGTCCTGATAGACAGTCAACTATACATACTCCGTATACATAGTTACTTGGTTGGTGAGCCTGGATGGTCATCTCTCTACCCAAAGCAAGTAACTAGTTAACGTTAACGAACTTCGGGAGATATCAAACCGGTGGGTCATAACTGGTTCGGATGGCTGTGGCTCTTCCGGGCTCAGTCCCCGATGCCTTGCTACGGGGTCGTATAGGAGGCGTGCAGAGGATAGTAGTCAGATATGACAGACTGTAGTGTGTCCTGGCCAAGTTGACATGTTTGAACTAGACAAGGGAGATCCCCAGATGCCTCCAATGAACAGCCGGCGCAGCTCCTTAGTGAGATGCCTAGGTTGGCTGGCTAGCGCGAGAGTGGCCGGAAGATATCTCACTTAGTCCCCTATCGATACGATACGGGGCTCAAGTTCGCCTGACCTGATCTAGACGACGTGAAGAAATGACGGGTATAGTTTTGGTTATGCTATCATCATAAGAAAAGAAAAATAAACGGCTTCCGAGCTGACCTCCTGCTTTTTCTTTTTCTATTTTCGGTGTCTTCAGGCGCCATCTCTCGCTCTAAAAAAGCTGGGGAAGACCAGCGCGAGCTCCGTACGAGCTTTTGTTATTTCAGCCAGCGGCGGCACGGGATAGTTTCCCGTCTACATTTAGAGATTCCCGAGGGAAACTACAGAGGGAGACGCAGGAGAGATAGAAGAGGATGCGTTTTCCGGAGTAATCAGTTGTCTGTCTCATTATATTGCTTCTTGTCTAAGCGAAAACACGAGTCCTATCAACAAACAGCTAATTTCGTTCCTTTGCCACCTCGAAGAGGACAGACTGTAAACACGACGTTCTGTTCAGATCCGGGGGCGGTGTTTTGGTTGATAAAAGGAGTCGGTGGTCGGTCGATGAGGCTGCCTTGTCTCAGGGCTCATAAGAGACAGAGACAGAGACAGAGAGAGACATGCCTCATCTTGGAGTTCGACTATGGCAAGATATAGCAGTGAAGCGATTTACTTCTGTACGGAGAAGTCAGTAGGTTGATCATCCATCTAATCAAATAGCACAGAGAAACTGGATGGGCAGACTTACGCATTCGCACTTGCCAGAAGGGCAGGAGCAGGCAGAGCCACAGCTGCATCCACAGTCACCTACTCATGATAAGTCTCGTTAGCAATACGGCTCTTCTCCAATAACAGATGACTCTCTGGAGATATGACACACAGAAACACGTACCCATTTTTGATGATAGTAGATAAGTAGAGGAGATAAACGAGGTATCTGGTTATTTGTTTTGAAAAGGCGTATTCTGTAGTCGTTATTCGGTGTTTGCTTGCGTGTGTGAAAAGGGGAGGTGTACGACGGGAGAATATCGGCCTTTTATATATATATACGCCCGCGCTCCAGTTTAAAACGGGAACCTCAGAAAACAGGGAAAGAGGGCGAGAGGAAGGCTGATGGCGGGGTAAAGAGAAGTCACTCGACTTCCCCGTCCATAGTGATCCCTGCCGGTTCGCTATGTTAAGGCACAGTAACGTCAGGTTGGCAGTTCGGGCGTAGCACGGCCGGGTCCGTGGCCTATGAGAAACGACGGGTGTTGGTTCCTTCAGAGCAGGGCAACGAACACGACAAGACAAGACTTCGAGTCGGTCAGGATCTTCTGCGGGATTATTGCCGAAAGGTAACGATCTCGTTCATCTATATGCATGCTTCTTATCATCCGGAGGGGGACCAAGCAAAGGGCAAGGCCAGCCTATCCGGATGCCAGTCGTCCCAGCGCAGCCCCATGTCGGAGGTGCCGTTTTGATATCCACCTCGCGCTGCACATGTCCCTCACTATTTTATGCAGACGAGTCAGGGTGCTTAGGTGGCCTGGTATAGACATGGATGTCCTTCTTCTGACTGGACTTCGGCTCTTTTCCCTCTGGGGCTTCTCTCCATGGTCATCTGTACGTCAACTGCAAGTACTGTAGTCGACTGTGCGGAGACCGTCATCGAACTATTGTGGAAGCTTCGCTGCTGCTTCTATCCACACCAAGCCGGAGCCTGGTTGCTGCCCAATAGATGCAGCTCTGGGGCCTGGACGCCCTTGCTGGATTCCCAGTCGACTTGTTAGAAGTTATTAGGCTCGGTTTCTTTGTTGTTGTTTGCCGTCTTATTCTCTTGTTAGTTACGGAGTATGATGTTGGTCTCGCCGTGACCAAGTCGAGAACCCCGAATAATAGATCATATCAGCATCTTCTGGACTATCTCTCTGATAGTGAATACACTCGGTCACTCTGCCAGTATTCACTTCTCTCGAGTCGCGTCTGGATAAATATCAAGATCAAAGAGAAGCTCTGCTCCGGTAGGCACCAGGACCAGGACTCGCCCATTCACTCTCGTAGACTGTCACTGTCTCACCAACACGTCCTCCATTCACTGTCATAGTCTCTCTCAGCCGTAGTCACTGTCCACCACCGTCGCATAAATACAACCACCGTCTACCATCAACTTGTAGCATCCATCTTCTTCAACTTCTTCTACGTCAAAAGGTCGAAACTGCCGCAACTTACCGCCTTCCCAAAAAGTCGCCGCCAAAATTCACAGAAAAAAAGAAAAAAAGAAAAAAAGAGAACGAAAAAAGAAACATCGACAACACATCTACGTCTTTCTTGTTTAAAGACACCGCGCGAGTTGTAAAGAACAGCTCCAGGACGGGTTTCGGCGGAGCGAGCACTCAAGCATGCCACAGCCATACGTCTTCCGGGGGAACGATGGCGAAGGAGGCCGCCGTGAGGGACGCGGTGGCCGTGATCGAGACCACCGGCGCGACGGCCGTCGTCGCGGTGGACGACCTCACCACGAATTCACATTCCGTGCGACACCCTCATCGCGGCCGCTGCTTATGGTAAAAAGAGAGGCGACGCCGGATTTCATGGGCGGACCGGACAGCGAGGTGCCTGCGAAGAAGTTCATGGCCCCCGAAGACCTGACGGACAGCGACGAAGCGGAGATGGACGTGTCTTCGGCAGACGAACAGGACAACGACGGCAGCGCGCAGCCACCACGGAAGAAACGAGCCATTGAACGCGACCCCGAAGTTGCTGCGCCGCCTGCACCGAAGTGGTCCAACCCGGATCCTTACACTGTGCTGCCGCCAGAAGAAGAGAGACAAGGGAAAAGGCGAGACTTTGTCAAGCTGATCCGCAAAGCCAGAATCACCCCTGCTGTCACATCGACGCAACAGGTTAACAGCAACCCTGCAGTGACGAATGATGACTTTATCTCTCTAGGTGTGGAAGAGCCGGATAATATGCCCCCTGAAGGCGCCCCCAGTGGTCCCAGAGCTACCGAGCTGGAGCGAAGTGATTCTGCGCTTAGGAACCGAAAGAGGAACCGAGATGATGAGATCACAGGACCCGCTGTTAAACGTGGGAAGAAGGGGCCTAAATTCTTTAACTTGGATGCGTCAACCCTGGATATTTGGAAACCACTGACTGGTCAGGATCCAACCCCTTGGTTCGACCGGGCAGGCTCAGCTTTCCATATAGGGACTATGTCAGTACTCAAGAATTCCATGAGTTTACCCCGTCTATCTATATCTTGATGCTGATGGTGTCTAGGCTTCACAAGGAGATACTGGACTTCTACCACTGGGTAAAACCTACAGAGTACGAAGACATTGTCAGACGAGATCTTATATCCAGACTTCAGGCATGCTTTGGCCAAAGGTTCTATGGTGCAAAACTATACGCCTTTGGATCATTTGCATCAGGCCTGTATCTCCCTACAGCAGATATGGATCTTGTGCTGCTCTCTCGCCAGTTCATGTCCTCAAACAGGAAATATATCTGCCAGAAAGTTCGGGACATATACAGCTTTGCTGAATATATCCGCGGACTTGGAATTGCAGCTCCGGGATCAATTGAGACTATTGCTCATGCGCGTGTTCCCATCATCAAGTTTGTGGATTCTCTCACTGGCCTGAAAGTGGACCTCTCTTTCGATAACAGCAGTGGCCTCGCAGCCATTGATACGTTCAAAGCTTGGAAGCAAGAATATCCAACTATGCCTGTCATAGCTTCTATCATCAAACATTTTCTTTTGATTCGAGGACTCAACGACGTGGCCACTGGCGGGCTGGGTGGTTTCTCAATCATATGTTTGGTCACAAGCATACTACAGCATTCACCCCGTGGTGTTGGAGAACCAAACCTGGGCTCAATTCTCATTGACTTTTTTCAACTGTACGGCTCCAGGTTTGATGCAGGCGCCGTCGGCATACAGTTTGATCCCCCAGGTTATTTCTACAAGGTATGCCATATATTCCTAGTACCCCCTCCCCCCCCCCCCAAAAAAAAAAAAAGAAAATAAAAAACCCCATTTTTCTACTTGGTAATTAACTCGATCAAAACCAGACCGTACGTGGCATATACAACGCAAACAAGGGAACTAGGCTGTCAATAATAGACCCCAATAACCCGGATAATGATATCTCGGGTGGAACCAAGGAGATTCCACTTATCTTCCGATCATTCTCTGATGCATACCAATCGCTCAGGGAGGGCATGTATACCGCCTCATGTCGGCCATGTCTCTCCCGAAGCAGCCTGCTTGAGGAAATAATAGGTGGGAACTATGATGCATATGAGGAGCAGAGAAAGCATCTGCGTGATTTCTTCCTTAGTGACCGCAGGTTTGCTGGATATCATGGCACTGTCGGGTTGGGCAGTCCACCGCCACCTCCTCCTCCACTGTCCTCCCCTTCTCCTCCGCCTCCACCACCACATGCTTGATAAGCCAAGCATCCACAGACATACATACTTTCCTCAGTCATGAGAACATGAAGCTGCCTAGTGTTCTTCTTATCCTTGACACCCAAATATTGGGCTTCTTTAGCCAGCACATACATTTCTTGTCCAACCGGATTTTGTTACCAGTATTCGTAAGTATGGACACATTCTCATATTGCAAGGTTCAAACTTGTGAGAAACGATCAGCAAGGTGTTACATCTAGTTAATTGATGTTGCCCACGAGGATCTTCCCTGCCTCTAGCCCTTCATCGATCTGCATCATCGGTGTACTTCTAGCCCTTTTTATTGCCATTGTCCTTTCATCAGGGGGTACCAAAACGGAGGATAGGAGCTTATTATCTAGGACGGGATGCGGCAAGTGTCTATGGCAATTGATTTTAATCGCTCTATATAGATTATGTACAACATGATTAAACGAATAACTCCTTCACTGCAGAAGTGAGAAAGACGACTACCATCCAATTATCAAATCCAAGACGACAACATGCGTAGGTCACAAGGTAGTAAAAGTCAAGTCAGGCCTCCTAACGAGAACTTCCATCCTCAACCGGTGGTGGGTGTCCAGGTATCGGCGTGTTCACATAGTCAGCGTCCGGGCTCGCCCATACAAAATCCACCCATTTGTCTCCCAGGATATCCCGAATACCCTTTGTTAGGGTTTGAATCCGCTGGCTCTCCGGAAGCTTCTGGTCTTCGTCCAACACAACGTGCCCTTCTCTGCACTGCAGATTGACACTCTCGGACGGCAGGGCGTCCAGAATCACTTTCCAAACCCGCATCGTCTCCTCCAGTTCGGCAATGTTGCTTACCCCCATGACGCTGCCTCCGAGCCTGTGAAGGGCGGTGGCACTACTAGTACCAGTACCGATGGCCTGGGCAGCAGTAGGCAAACCCAATGCACCAACCGCAGCACCTACATGCAGCCAGTTCTCAAGTGCATATCGAATGGCCACAACCTCGATCTTCTCGCCCTGCTCTTCGGTCCAGAGACTGGCTTTCTGAATTGCCTCACGCAACTCGTTGGGGGCAGGGTGGAAATCTCCCATGCTCCCGATAGGCACACCGTTGCGTCTCAGCAGACCCATTCCCAGAGGTGAGGCATTAAGTACACAGTCCACGCCAGCTGCAATCAGTCGTTCGAGCCCCTTCGTCGCCAAGAGGGTGTTCTGCAGTGTGAAATTCGCGTAGGACATGACGATATCTATCGGTTCACCGGTTTTTTCCAGTACCATCTCAGCCAGAGAGCAGAGCACGTCGACAGGGTAGCCTGATATTCCAACGTAATGTATAGTGCCATCTGTGTCACGGATTTTTCGTAGCTCTTGGACAGCACCCAGCACTTCCTCTGGTGTGACGAACTCGACGTCGTGGCAGTAGACGACGTCTAGATACGTGGTTCCCAGGCGTGACAGGCTTCGTTTGATACTGCGTCTGATCCATGCAGGAGAGTAGTCAAATGTCGATGATGCGATTCGGCCTACTTTCGTGAGTAGTCTGTAGGCGCTTCTGGGATAGTTCTCCTGGACGAAATTGGTAGACAGCGCCTTTCCAAGCAGTTCTTCGGCCGGGCCATAGTAAGGAGAGGTATCAAAGGCGCAAATCCCAGCCGATAGTGCGCGTTGGACAAGTTCGGTGGTCGGGAGCTCGTAAGGGTTGGTATTGTACTGGCTGTTGAAGGTGGCCGTTCCCATAATAAGAGGTGGCAGGTCGCTGGAGACCGGCATAGAGGGAGCTCCCATGGTGTCTGATGTATGATTTAATGGATATTTCACCCGTATATATGTGTGTATATATGTAGTTTTATATATCTATCTGGCTCTTGGTCCGGCTTGCTTGCTGTTGTGGTTGACTATAAGGATGGCGGGGTGCCTGATAAGATAGATTAGATAGAGAAGAGGGAGGATAAAGCTGCTTCCCTGGTTTTTATATATAGTTATACTCGCTGATTCATGGCCATGGATGCATGTCAAAAGTCTTATCATGAAGGTATTTGGAATCAAAAGGTCTTGGAACTTCATTTAATTCATAGCTAGATATCAAAATACCCGACGTGGCGGAATTTTTTCACTTTTCTCTTGAGAAAAATCTTGAGCTTAACGCCGAGAAGCTTTGGTTGTTGTGGCCCGCAAAGTGACGTTACGTTAACAACCTTAGTTCATATAAAAATGGATAAAGGGATGTATATAGAGTATAGAAGATAAATATATAGGTGGTATTAATTGATATTAGACAGAGGTGTGCTCAATGGCATACCTAGAAGGCGGCACGTTAATGGCGCAGCCAGGCTAAATAAAGTGGTGGCATAAATTACATAGTCTATATTAATCAAGAAGCAAGCGTCCGTTTGTCGAATGATAAAAATTAGAGGGAGCTCTGAAGAGAATTCACTCCTTCTTGTTCTTCCCGGGGATAGGGTTGCCCTTCTCGTCAACGAGTCCCTTTTCGCGCATGACCCGCAGCGCATCGTGGAGGGGATCAAGTTTAGGGCGTGGTGCTCGGTGGGAGTCAAAGTAGCTGTCGGCCCAGGTAAAGTATTGGCCATAGTTGACGGTGAAGTAGAGATGGTGGAGGGTGTGGTGCGCAGGGCTGTTGATGTATTTCTCGAGCCAGTGGCCCGATATCATGTCGCCGTCGTGGATGAAGATTGTCCAGATCTGTACCAGAATGAACATGGTCATGTAGAGGTATTTTTGCACGGGACAGACAAAAACGAAGACACTATAGCGAGGTTGTTAGAGCATTGATAATATGATCGGGGTTTCGACTGGCAATGGCAAGATCTTACTGGTATGGTAGAGACTGAACGTATCCGTCAAGAGGGTGGAAGGCGAGAGCAGCCCATGGAGTCGGCACTAAGCAACGTTAGCCAATCTATCCCGTGCACGTTCACATCATGTAGAAGAGCCATACTGATCCATTTGTGGTGTGGTTTATGGATATACTTGTAGACGCTGGGATGGTGCTCCAGCCTGTGAATCCAGTAGATTAAGAAATCGTTCCAGACCATGAACAGCACCACCGAGATACCCATCCACGCCCATCCATAGTCGTCTACCCTGGTATACAAGAAGCTCTTTCCGCGCACCTCGGCCAGGAAAAAAGGGAGAGTCAAGATGTTGATCCAGGGGACGGCCATCATCGAACATATTATCTCCTGCCGGACCTGGTTTTTCAGGAAGCGCGGATGGTATTCAAGCCGCCGGTCGAAGATGAAGTAGTATGAGAACGAGCTGAAGATCCAGTACAGCAGCGAAGCACCGAGCTGTGTGATTATCAGGATCGAAATGCATTGCCGGAGGATGCTGTCTCGTGGCCATGCTGATACTGGTTGTGTAGTTGAGGTACCATCGGCAGGGACGAAGTAGGCGTACGCTTTATCGAAGACCAAGGGATCCAGGAGATCGAGAGCCACGTCCATCTTTAATCGGCCGCAGTCTGGTTTGTTTATCGACAGCTGCTGAGATTTGTGTACCCTTTTTAAAGGCTTTGCAAACGAATGTATTGTTGTAGCTGTCCCAGGGGGCGATCTGCGAGATTGATTTTTAATTTTTTTCTTCTTTTCTTTTGCGCTGTAGAAGCGCGATCGATCAAACCAATTAATTTAATTAGGTCGGGAATTGGCAAAGGAGCGTGTGCGGTTATCTGTTTCGACGAGCCCAATGCAGCTGAGGAGCGTATGATTATACAGGGCGGACCTGGTGTAGCAGAGGGAGGAGGAGGCCGGGTACGCGCTGGCGGGTTTATGTAGGTATAAATAAATAATGTCTGGCTGGTTTGAAGGAAGGCCGGGTAACTTTAGCTGGATACGCCGGATCACACCACTTTGAAGCTGACTTAAGCTAGCTTTCTCGTTTCTCGCGTCCTTATCAATTTCATCGTATGAAGATGCTGATCTGGAGGAGAGAATCAGTCCATCCGCCGAGGACTCAGACAGAGTCACAGAGTGAGAGTTCCCTGTAGTTACAATCAATCGGACAAGTTGATAGTTACGCTTGAATCCACCGGATCTTGGTCTACAGTTAACTAATAACCAGATCTTAATGTTCTCAGCAGCCGTAGATCGACCACGCAACAACTCCTGAGGCTGCAAGCGAACCATAAACATAACATCTCCCTTTTCCCTTCTCTCTCTCGATATCTCTTGTATTTTCTATCTAAAATAATGTCTTCTTCTTCTTCTTCTTCTTCTTTTCGTCTTTTTATCGATTAACAAAAGTCGAAAGGCGGCAAAAGATGGCAGAACGTGTAATTCGCTTACATAATCTCCATGCTCGAAAAGAAAAGAAAGAAAAAAAGTCGAAAAAAGAACCAAAAAACATCCCAAAGCTGCGACTTTTTGGCGTCAAGAGCAGCTTTTCCACGCTGAAGGAGCCTTTATCTCGTTTGTCACGGTCGGATGCGGACTGTGCTATGGCATGAAACTTGCTGCATCTGCTAATTCCTCGTGATTCCCGGTCGTTCGATTTGCCTGACCAGAAATATAAGAAAGACAGAACGTCCTGTCAAGCGTCGAACCCAGCTGCTGCAAACGTCGGAAGTACCAGCAATTACAGTAGCAGACAAAGGATGTCACGGTCAGCGAGTGATGCAACTCGGTTTACTGCTACCGGACCTTACGCCTACTCGAAATCCGCGATGTCGTCCCCCGCTTCGTCGAAATGGTCCGGCTTGAAGGTCAAGTCCTCGCAGCCGTCACAGCCATCTCCCGGCCAGGGGACACAGGAAACTCCGAGAGAGAAGGTTGAGCGACTACGAGCCCAGGCTCGGGCCAATCGCATTGCACAGTCGTTCTCTCCCATGGATAAGATAGTAAACTCCGGAAGGACGTGGGCGGATCGTTTTCACAGGGCGGCGGTTTTCTCACTTATTGCTGCTTCCGGTATGAACAAGTTGATTCCCTGCCATTGGTCTTGCTTTGAGAAAGTGACTTGTTTGATAAGAATGATGGACGTGGACTGACCCGTTGTGTATTCAGGAATTGCCGGAGTCTTGACCGTTTATTCGATGACATCCTTAATCTCGCACAACCGGCGGCAACGGGAACTTTTTATCGAAAAGGAATTGGAGAGTCTCTTAGATGCTAGAAAGGCATATGTTGCCGGGACTGCAACCCAACAACAGATCGAACTGCTGCGGAAAGAGAAGGCCGCGGACGAGGAGAAGCGGCTGCGGGAGGAAGCGAAGAAGCAGACTATGTTTTATAAGGCCCGGAGCTGGCTCTTCGATGGCCCAGATGCCATTAAGACCACTAGCGCAGACGCTGAAGCACACTCACAGTCACAACAATCTCCCGAAATAAACACCGCTCAGACAACACCAGCTATGCCTGCCGTGCCGACAGAACCCCAGGGGACCGAACCCGCCAACCCTAGACCATCGAACTCGAGTTGGTCAAGTTGGACGAGCTGGGGAGGTGCCAGTAAATAAAGACGACTCTTTCTCCGGAACTTCTTCCTTCTTCATCTTCCTCTTTTCTGACATCATGTCCCCTGGAACCACTAGCTGCTCACGGTCCGAGTATATCTTAAGCATTCTCCTGTGTATAATAACGAAACCATCTACTTTTTGTCTCCTTGCTTTACCGTGGGTCGAGTTTGGCAACGACACACCAAGTTGGGCTGTACGATGTGCTAGACTGAAATATTAATATTCTCTTCTTAGCCTACTGTTGGACTTTCTCCGGTGCTTGGTTGCATTGCATAGACTGCATAGCATAGCTTTTGGATAGTTATTACTATGCTTTAATATTGTATATTGCTTGGACGGTCTTACAGAAAATTAGCTTTACATCCCATTGAAGCCGGCATTCTACCTGCCTCCAGGGTTATATATCTTCATCGACGCAGTGGGTGACTTCATTGTTACACCGGCATATCTCACTTACCCTTGCGGAATATTTCCAACAACATGCACACCGTCTCGATAGCTCCGGTGAATAACCAACTGCAGGCAAGCGACTTCCCGTGATACATGCACCCCGTCGGCATCAAAACCTGCCTTGACGTGGCAAGCCCTTTCACCTGCAGGTGTGCCTATCACTGGTGCCATGTCCACGCCCTGGCATCCATATAGGCCTCGTTCACCAGCTAGTTAGTGAGCGACTTAGCACCTCGGCCCGGCCCGAGAAGAACCTAGTCCAGGTCTGGCTGCCTGCTCACTAGATGGCCGGTGTCTCCCGACAAGGCCTACACCCTACCCGCTCCAACGCTTGTCGCTACGCTGGGCTCTCGCTCTCTGCGCCAGCCTTTGACCGCCATGTACTCACTCACCAGCCATCCTGCGGCTGGCGTCCCGAGACCGTGGAAAAGGGCCAAAGGGGCGACCCGACGCTGTGGACAGGGAAACGCTTAATAATTGGTCCGTCCAGAGAAAAAGGACCAAACAAGACCTCAGGATGCGCTCGTCTGGACCCCAATATATTATTTAGCCCCTTGCAAAAAGGCAGACGGACGGCTTGGGAGGCTGCGCTCGGTGCGCAAACGAACCCGCATGATATGTCTCCCGGTGGCGCTGCCGCCCTTTGATCGTGTCTTGCTCTTGCGTCTTGCGTCTTACGTCTTGCTGCTGCTGCTGCTGCTGCCGCTTGCGATGGTTCATATAACTATCAGACAGTTGTCTGTATGTGTCACTGAATAAGGAGCCAGATATAACTGACAACAGTGCCCGATCATCCCTTTTTCGCTGACTTTTCTTCCTCGATCTTCTCGTATTTTGCTTTTCCCCTTTTTTTCTTCTTCTTCCTTTCTAGAAGAGAAAGCTTCATCCTGCCTATTCCACAATTTATTCGCCGAGTTTTCTATTGATTTACATAACTCAGGATGGCGGCGGCGGCAGAGGATCGGCCGGACGGATGCTCCCAGTCGACCGTCGAGGCAGACGTTGAACAGGCCTCAACGGTCGCCACTGACTTCGCCTCGGTCGTCTCCACGATCCCAAACTTCGTTTACGAGAACGGGCGACGGTATCAAGGCTACTGTGTAGATCAATACGTGCGTCACTCCCGTGTCAAGCAACTTTCTATCCACGACATCTGTGGCTTGATAGTTATGCTCGACTAGATGACCGCTGACCTAGTCGAATACTTGTATATTGGGATACCTTCAGTTCCTCCCAAACGATGAACGGGAGCAGGAACGTTTAGACTTTCTTCACCAAATCTTCCGGTTGACTCTCGATGGCGAGCTGTGTTTTACCAAACTCGACAATCCTGAACGGATACTCGACATTGGTACAGGGACAGGGATATGGGCTATCGAAAGCAAGTCACATCCTAACTATCACCTTCCTCTACCCGACCGAGTTGAATAAGGGGGTGGCCTATCAAGTCTAACACTGAGTTCAGTGGCAGAGTTATATCCTTCAGCCCAGGTTATTGGGACAGACATATCACCGATCCAACCAAGTTGGTGAGTGGACGATGGGTCCTTTTTGCCCGTGCTTCTAGAGCGTAAGAAGGAAAGCTGATATCTACCGGCAGGCGACCCAACAATGTTGAATTCATGATGGACGATGCTCAGCAGGAATGGACGTTTCCCGAGTCTTCGTTTGATTTCATCCACATCCGTACGCTTGGGGGAAGTATATCGGACTGGCCACGGTTAATGGGACAATGTTATAAGTACGAAGAAGGGTGTCCGTTCCTACATGTTTTATCGGTGCTAACTCCATTTGCTAGACGATTAAAACCCGGTGGCCGGATAGAAGTATCAGAAGCTCGTGCTCACTTTTGTTGCGATGATGACACGTTCCCCGAAGGTTCAAAGACTAGGCATTGGCTCGTATGCCTTCTCCCTTGTCACTGTATCTATTGTCCTTTCGATTGACATTCTGGTAGGACGAGTTTAACCGCATCTCCCACTCCTGCGGCCATGAGTTCGATGTATTCCCATCCTTTGCCGGCTGGCTGCGAAATGGCGGATTCACCGAGGTCGAAGAGACGGAAAAGGTCGTACCGGTGGGAACCTGGCCCAAGGATAAGAAGCTGAAGATGCGAGGCCGTTATTTCATGGCACAGTTTCTGGGCCATGCGATGGAATCCTATAGCACGTCGCTGTTCACTCGACTTGGCGGCTGGAGTGCCGACGACCTCTGGAAGCTGCTCAATAGCGTGACTGAGGAGGTCAGGTCCAATAAGATGCATATATACACCCATTTGTATGTCCTGCTCTGTATCCTTGAAGCTTGTCATGGGATATCCGTTATGTTAACTCGTCTTCTGTCTAGTTCGTTTGCCATTGCAAAGAGACCGGAGCAAGCTTGAACTTGTCGTAGTCATTTGGCCTGACCTTTCTCTCCCCTTCTAGCATGTCACCCTCTCTTCCCCTTATTCCTCGTGAATGGTTCCATCTCCAGTGTAACTCTACCCACGCTTACGACGCTCTTTCTTTCAGGTTTAATTATGTTATTTCACTGTCTTTTTCCTTCTGCAGTTAGCGTATGGGACTTTGTTTTAGTGTATATTCAAGGGGGGCCGCCTATAAATGTTATTTATTTACTTCCGACGTCGTGATCGACGCCAGATTCTATAAAACACCGTTCTATAGCATACGTCTACCCCTGCATCTGCTGTCTGTGTAGACTTCCCTCTCCCCAACGTATACTTAGGTAAATGACTCTATACCGACGAACGAACGTGAGCTGCTACTTCATCCAGGGAGCGAACGACCATATCAGGCTCCATTTTTCGGCACGCATCCTGATCTCCAAAGCCGTACTGGCACCAGCATGCGCGACCGCCGATGTTCTTCGCAAATTGGATATCCGCCACCGTATCCCCAACGACCAGCACTGTACCGGTATCGAGGTTGGTAACCCCATGTCGGCTTTTGAGCGTGGGTATCAGTATATCCGTGAAGTTAGCCGGGTCAGGCTTCTTCTTTGCTCCAGGCGTGCTGTCCCCTATAATCAAGTCCTCGGGAACATATCCGCCCAGACCGTTCCGTTCTAGCGCCTTCCTCACAGCGCCAACCCCCTTATTACTCACAATGGACATCGGAATACCGGACTCTTTGAGGGTTTGTAGCACTTTCTGGGCTCCGGGGAAAGCCTTGACGAGTTTCTGGCCGTGAGAGGCGTAGATCTCTCGATACTTGGCTGTCCATTCGTCCGCTGCCGCCGTGTAGGCTTCGATATCGGGGTGCAGAGACTGGAATGTATCTGATAGGCCTGTTCCCTTGGAGATCAGCGAGTGGATGTCCGACTGCGGCGGAACGTGGTCAGGAAGCAAAGCCTCGAAGGTGAGTTTGATAGATTGCTCAATCGACTCGTGGGTGTCGAACAGTGTCCCGTCGAAGTCGAAGATTACCAGGCTTGCCATGCTGTTCGGATGCACGAATATCCCTTTGTAGCTAGTGGTCCTTTTCCTCGTGCTCAGTGTCAACAGCCTGGATGTGTGTGTACGGAGTATGCACCGAGTATTGGTATCCTCAGACGAGCGGTGTTGATTACTCCGTAGGCGCAGTCACTCACTGGTGGAGTTGACCACGTTGAAGCAAAGATAAAACTCCGGAGTCTTGCTTGAAGCCCTTGATCCCTGCCCTGGTCGGTTAGCGAGTAATTAGTTCGGTCGTCGTCATCAGCGTCAAAATATATCATCTTCATCTCGAGTGAATGAGACATTAAAATCTTAGTGCTAGGGCTTCAAACGTAGCCATGGGAATAATCTCTACAGCCGACATAAGTTAAGGGGCTATGCTCACAGATGGCGAGGTTTCGACCTCTGGCTATTATCGCGGAGTCGCAAGGGGGCTACATACAGCCTACTCCTGGCGCAAATATTCGAAGCTGACAGCCTCCACGTTGATACCAACTAAAGGGAAAATGCATCCACGAAAGGCTCTTAGACGTCACTTTACCAGCTGCTAAACCGGTGACATGGCCTAGAAAGGCACTGAGCTGCACGTCCGAGAAATGTCCTGCATTGGATATCCCGTAGACTCCACGTCGTACCAGGAACCCAGGACTGTCATCATACCCCAAACCGGAGTGAATATAACATGTACACCCGTGGGGAACCATTAGGAGAAGCCGGGGGGTTTGTTCATGACTTTTTTTAGAAGAACAGGCTGCATTTATTCCTCCACCTCTGCCTCCACCGTCTTGGGGGAATGACGCCCTGTGAAAGCGTCCGAATGAGTATAAATTTAAAGTAACCTCATTTCGATCATCGCTGGGGACAGACTGTATCCGTCGGCTCAGTCCGGAAAAATATTGCGAGCTTCCTTTGAGAGTATGAACGGCGATTATCACTTTCTCTTCCCTCGTCGTTGTAGTTGTCGATCCAAACACATCATCATCGGATATGTATATGTATATCATCAGACTCGTAACATACGACTGTACGGTTAACCCCGAGGCTTAGCGAGTGAAAATCACTGCTATCAGTGCTACCCTCGAGCATCACCGCCAGTGATGTGCAGACCGCACGGCCAACGAGTGTCTCTTGCAGTGCAGGTCCGTCTGTTGATGCCGAACGGGTCGAGTCGATGTAGAACCGCCTCTTGCAGACAACGCCCCTGGCAGAGCCACAAGTAGCCTACCACCCGTGGTCTCAGTCTGCTGTTGGTCTAGAAGTGCGGAGTGGCCTGGTCGATCGTCTCCATCCGCTCAATTAGCTGTGCCGTCTCATATCAAATCGAAGTGGCCTTGTCTCTAGGATGGCGCATGGGGAGAGACGGCTGTTCTGAGCAAGTATCTGCAGCTCGTATCTCCCTCTGGACGGCATCCTCGACCTTGTCATTGGCTTCTCTTCTCTGTCTTTGTCTCTCTCTAGCTCTTTCTCTCTCTTTATCCTAATATCTCTCCAGATCTCTCCCCAGATCTCTCTATCAAACCCCCTACCAAGCTCTATCTCTCGATATGTCTCGGCCACCTCTATCTATATCTCTGTCTCTCGAGCTCCGCAATCACTCCATCGATATGTCTCTCACTCCCGCTATTAAGCTCCTTTTGTGCGTGTGTTTAAGTATGTATAATGTATGTATAGGTGCCTGCGCGTCATATAAACCGGCGTCTCAGGAGAAAAAGTCAGTACTCCGTAAAAATAGATGCAACCACTCGCCTCAGCCCCGTCTCAACCATGAACCAGTAATCGAGAAGACCTCGACACAAGTTGGCTCGTGATAGTGATTGGGCCATCGCTTGACTGTCCCGTCCCTTCGCGACTCCAGAATAAGCAAACGGGGAATTTGATAGGAGTTGATCTGCCACGTCTTGAAACACCAGACGGGCGTGCCTCGGGTCAAGGCTGCCGGCGTTGACTGGCCTTACCCCTGTTACGATAAATAAGTCAAGACATCCCTGTTGGCCAGGGGGAAGCTTCAGCAGGAAACGAACTCGGCCTTTCGCAGTCTCTGCTCGCCTGCTGCTGATGATCAGCCAAATTACAGCATCCATTCATGGAGACACCGAGCAAATGCAGATGGAGAAGTTACAACGCCCATACAACCATATACCACACACCCACACTCTTCAGCTACTCCTCTGACGATCCCAAGGCGCATACTCCCGGGGCGGTTCACTCAAGTCTTTCCCTCGGCCCTTTCCCCCTTGGAACCTTTTTTAACGGGCCTTTGTACTGGCTGGGAGGCGTTTGGCTCACGGCCGCCGCCCATGGATCAAATCAACTCTATATACTCCGTACGCCAGTAGGCTCTCAAGATGGTAGACTCAAGCTTTGCCGAGACAGTCGTGCTTCTTTAGTCTGCCATGGGGAGCGGCCTCAAGCTTTCGAGGAGCCCACGAAACAATGCTTGGTTTCAATTCAGGTATCCTCTTTACCCGCCGTGGCCCCTGGTCAAAATGCGAGGACTGGGGGCGTCAAGCATCAAGTTGCAGGATGGAACCTCCGTTCCGCTTGCAGTCATGGCAAATGATAACCCTGGACGGGCTATGATACCCCAGTCTAACTAAGATACCTGCGCTACATACGCAAATCCCCATTCTTACACTTCGCTACTGGTTTGAAACGGCCCTCCGACTGAGTTGGTGGATGGTTAGCCGATGCAACCTTCCATTATGATTGCGCAGGGGGGACTGATATGGGGACTGCTCCGCGGTACATGCTGTCAAGCAGAGAGGGGAATGTCATATGCTACCTCTTCTTTGCTATGAAGGCAAATCTCCTCCCGTCCAGATGTTATATAAATCTGCTCGTCTGCCCTCCAAGCTAGAATCATTCTCAGACAGCAAGAGAAGCAAACCAACTCCCAAGCAGCCCTAAGATTCCCAGTGAATCTTCCACCTTCCTTTCTTTTCGAACCATTATACTACTTTCATTTTACCAGTTATTTTCTTCTTCAACCCAGTCAACATGCAAGTCATCGTTGCTCTCGCCGCTCTCAGCTCTCTAGCTGCTCCAGCCCTTGGCTTCTCCATCCCCCGTGGCGTGCCGGTCAGCCAGTCCATGATCGATGTCAAGCTCAGTGCTGCCGGTAACTCTATGGTCAAGGCTACCATCACCAACAACGGTGACCGTGCCTTGAACCTCCTGAAGTTCCATACCATCATGGACTCCAACCCAACCCGCAAAGTCACCATTGAGAGCCAGGGTAAGTCATAACATTAATCCCTTAGGGGGTGTCTATAGCTTCCACACTGACTGTATGACTGTATGTTGAATACTGACACCTGAATAGACGGAAAGGAGGTTCAGTTCACCGGAATGATGCCCAGATACAAGCACACCGACCTCAAGCCAACCTACTTCATTTCCCTTCCACCAAAGGGAACTGTTGAGCACTCCTTCGATATCGCTTCCACTCATGATCTCTCTCGTGGTGGAAAGTTCACCCTCAAGGCTGAGGGTATGGTTCCACTCGCCGAAGAGAACGGCACCACAATCACTGGTGCTGCCAAATACAACTCCAACGAGCTGCACATGGACATCGACGGCAACAAGGCCGCCTCCGTCGAGCGTGCCATGGGCATCGTCAAGCGATCTGGTCCTCTCACCAGAATCGGCAAGCGCACCAGCATCGACATGCAGTCCTGCAGCAACCGCCAGGAGCTCCAGGCCCTGACTGCTGCCCTCAGGGCCTCTGCTCAGCTCTCCAGCATGGCCGCCCAGGCTGTCCAGCAGAACCAAGAGAAGTACATGGAGTACTTCAAGGACCCCCAGTATGCCCAGACCGTCCAGAGCCGTTTCCAGTCCGTTGCTCAGGAGTCCAGCTCTACCAGCGGTGGTGGCACTACCTACCACTGCACTGACCTTATGAATGGTTGTGAGCAGGGTGTCCTCGCCTACACTCTCCCATCCCAGAACGAGGTGTTCAACTGCCCAATTTACTACAGCGACCTCCCACCACTTAGCAACGAGTGCCATGCTCAGGACCAGGCTACCACTACCCTCCACGAGCTTACCCACAACCCTGCTGTCCAGGAGCCTTTCTGCGAGGACAACGGATACGGATATGAGCGTGCCACTGCCCTCTCTGCCGAGAAGGCCGTCCAGAACGCTGACAGCTACGCCCTCTTCGCTAACGGTAAGTTTCTCCCAATGTCGTCCATGCTTGTAACCCAGGACTAACGATCAATATAGCTATCTACGTTGGCTGCTAAACAATTCTTTCCAGTCATTCGTTTCTGGAAAAGAATTTTAACCAGTACATATCTTTACCATTCTCTCACTCCACGAGGCATTTCTAATCATGGCTGCTGGTTTGCCAGTCTACTTTTAATGTCTCTTGGGACCTATAGTTTCTCTCCATGTATATACAGTTACATTCTACATACATATAAGCTGTCAATATCAAATTGGATGTTTCAAACATTTTAGCCCTTTTACGTACGTCGCTACTTAGGTTGTGATAAATAAAGTTCCTGCTTTGACCCTTGACGGACATATTTACGCTCACGCGTCCTGATTTCTTGGCCTTAGTTTCTCTTGGATCAGGGAATTACAGTGTGTTTTAGCGAGATCTTTGATGAGCTTAAGCCTGGAGCAGGAGGGTGGGCCGTGATTTTGTGTCTCAGTCTCCCACCATTGTTGAGGATATTTAAGTGGTTCAAAATTTAGGTCGAAACACGATCGCCTATCACTACTACTTGCCGTCGAAACGGTATATGCTTAGCTAGATCGGCCGGTATCTGCTTGCTGTCTCTTTTGTCGCCTTGTAATGAATCGAGAATTTGCTCCTTCCCATGATACCACATTTGAAATGTCTATTGTTTTCGCCGCGTTTACCTCTGGGAAATATTCCGGCTAGCAATTACTTGATAAACTGAACAAAAACCCTGAAACGTGGACTGTGTATCTTCCGTAAGATGATTGTCAGGAAACCTATGCATCTCTGTAACCGACGATATAGCGCAGCTATAGATATGCTTTCTAAATCTCCAGGATAATCTTATTGTCTCAATTCGAGTATCCGAGCCGAAAACATGCCACTCTGATCTGCATCAGTATGGCCACACTGTGGAAAGCCGAATGTCTTAGGGTATACCCCGTCTATCTTGGACGATCCTTAATGGTCACAGCTTTGATAAAAATTGGCCTTGGCTTTGGATGTATGGCAGGCAGCCCGTGTCTAAGAGACTTCGTGGGGGTAAAGCCTACACCAGTACTCCTTACAGTTTTCATTGGTGATACACGATACTTCAACGCGTCCAACTCGTAGCGTTCGCACAGCCCAATAACACAAGGATGGTAGTTGATCGTAAGTAATGAAGACAACGAGGTTGCTTGTTTTTCTTTTGTCGTTGAAGTAAAGTCAAGGTTCCATCACGTGACATTATGCCAAGACCATATTATCTAATGTTCGGCCAACCTGCGCTTCTTTTATCAAATTGAAGGTCGCAACAACAAGAAAGCCAGCATCAATTACGCGCAAGTCAGCTTCATCATAGCGGGGTTTCCTTCCTCTTGTCCAGAGATATCCATAAAAAGCAATCGACTGGCAATTTTGCGCTCTCTTTTGACGTTTACATCTTCATGATGAATTCTTCTGCCCCGCCCGCGGCGGCAGAGTATGGCGGAGGTAAGGTGCAATCCAGCCAACTCGGCTTGTTTTTAGCTATTTTATAAGATACTAATGCCTTTGATTGCTAGATGAGGTGTCCGCGATAATCTTAGATCCCGGATATTCATCGACGCGTGCTGGATTCGCCGGAGAAGACACCCCAAAGTCGGTCATCCCTACACACTATGGAAAATACTCCACGGATGCGCAAGAAAAATACGTTTACGGTGACAATCTCTATGTCTCTCCGCGCCCAGAAATTTCTGTTCACAACCCGATTAGCAGAGATGGAATTGTGGAGGACTGGGAGATGGCTGAGAAGCTATGGGAATATTCATTCACTTCGCGATTGACAAGCCGAAAACCTGGAAATCCAATGAACAACGGACTAAACGATCCCAATCCCGAAGACTTACCTGCAGAAATGGAGGGAGTAGAGGCGGAGGAAAAACCGCTGGCTGATAGCCCGCTACTGATGACTGAGCCTGGGTGGAATCCGACAAAGGCAAGAGAGAAGACCATTGAAATTGCGATGGAAAACTGGGGAACACCAGCCTTTTACCTATCCAGGAATGGTCCATTAGCCAGGTTCGTGGGTTTACTTGACCAAAAGCTAATTTACTCCATAGTAGACTGACTGGCTCATATAGTTTTGCTGCTGGAAAAGCTACCGCCTTGGTAGTCGACGTGGGTGCTAGCAATATATCCGTGACCCCAGTCCATGATGGCCTGGTTCTCAAGCGAGGCGTACAGCATTCTCAACTTGCCGGTGACTTCGTCTCATCCCAAATCCGAGCCCTTCTCAAATCAAGTACACCACCGGTCAACTTGACACCACATTACCTAATTTCTTCCAAAGCTGCAGTCGATGCCGGCCAACCAGCTCAAGCAGTATACAAGGATATACCCGAGAACAAACTGCCAGGCCCCTCATATCGCCGGTTGATAGAGGACCGAACGCTTTCTGAGTTCAAAGAGTGTGTAGTGCAGGTTTGGCCCGGTCCGGGTGCATTGTCCGGCCAAGGTCCCACCGGAACCTCTAATGAGGAGCTAGCAAAAAGCATTCCATTGCGTCCATTCGAATTTCCAGACGGCTTTAATCAACTTTTCGGCCCTGAAAGATATCGTGTTGCTGAGAGCCTATTTGACGCTAAGGCTGCTCTACCGGATCCGGACTCCGAATTCCCTACTCCAGCGGCCAACCAGACAATACCAGAATTGATCCGGAATGCTCTTAACCAGGTTGACGTTGACATTAGACCAACTTTACTTGCGAATGTAGTGGTTACTGGAGCGGGCAGCTTGCTTTATGGCTTCAATGATCGATTGAATTACGAACTGACAACCATGTACCCAAGCCCAAGAGTTAGGATATCTGCTCCTGGAAATACCGCGGAGAGAAAATTCGGCTCCTGGATAGGTGGAAGTATTGTTGCGAGTCTGGGTACGTTCCATCAGATGTGGATTTCGAAGAAGGAATACGATGAACACGGCCCGAACATTGTGGAAAAGCGATGCAAGTGAGGCGTCACTTCTATCATGTCATTGGAGATAAAGCTATACAGCAATTTTCAAGCCAGAATTCCGCTACACAGGCCTCCTGCTTCTTCGCTTGATGGTCCATCCAAGATTCGGGCGATGACGACTATGAAAACTTGCAGCGCCGTGAGCTTATTGGCCTATTCAAAATTGACAATTCCAAGTCCACTCCTACCTCCAGGAGCAAAAAAATGTATTGGTGATTGATTAATAATTAAGCCGAAAAGGGGGGTGTTATGAAAACAGTGTCTCTAGGGCGGCCGTGCTGATAGATTATGCGTACATGGAACCCTTCCCATGGGCCTTTTCTAATAATATTACTCATGTATTTCAACGAATCGGAAACTCAAGTCTATTCAACTACTCTCTTCTCTCCACTGCAGTACCGTTAGCCTGTTCTTGATGATCATCAATATCAGGGGACCCTTCTAGCTCCTTAACAAGCAAATCAGCGTCGCGTTTGCCCCTCTCTGCATCGACGAGCATCATAAGGGGCAATGGTATCATGATGAGCACAGCGAGGAAGAAAAATGCGGGCCGAATTTCTCCATATCGGTCAGTAATGGCTCCTACGATGGCAGGACCGAAGAAGCTTGAGCCTTTATCTGTGATGGCGTAAAGTGCGTAGAACGAAGCTTCGAAGCCATGGGGAATAAGCTCGCCAAAGAAACTGCGGCAGTAGGAGGAGAGACCTCCTATGACGAGTCCGTAGATGGCGCCGAGCGGGTACATTTCCCATGGTTGCTGGAGACCGAGGACGCCTAGTCTTCGAATGGGAGGGAAGAAACCCAGGAGGCCGTATAGTGGTATAATCTCAAATATACAGATGCAGGCAATGATTGTCTGGGAAGGGCGGAGTCCCATGAGTCGAGACACGTAGCTCCAGTAAAATGCACCACAAACACCTGAGATCATGGTGATAACGTTGATCATGCCTAGGGCAGCCAGTTCCATTTTAAGCTGAGTCTTTGCAAATAAGACTGCGGTACCACTGACGGTTGCAATTCCGTCAGATAACAGGAACCAGGCTGCCAAAAAGAGAACCACATCCTTTAGTCGGCGAGCCCTCATGGCTGTCCTGCCTAGGGACTTCCATGCAAACAAGACGTAGTCAACCCATGGCCACCTGCTGTCCTTTCTTGTGACATGGTCTGGGAGCGGAGGGCCGGGTCTAGGACGCAGCCACATGCCAGCTGGAATGGTGAAGATAAACCACCAGAGCCCAATTAGGAATAGGACAAGCCGAAGAGAGAAGGTGGTTGAGTTAGTGGCTAAGACAAGAAGGATGCAGCATATCTGGACCAGCACAGCGGCCAAGTACCCAATTCCAATTCCGTTGGAAGATATCTTGGATGACAGCTCTAAGGCTGCTGACACCGATGGAGCAGCCGGAGCATTGTGCTCAGGGTTTCCCTGAGAAATGCTTTCCTCTGCAGGCGCTGATATTTCTCCGCTGACTTCTGGGCTTGAGTCAGAGTATGTAGGTCCATCCGCCTTATAGGCTCGGATAGATGGGTGATTACGAACAAGGAGTGGTAAGAAGGAATTCAACAGCACAAACGATCCGCCAAAGCCAGTATTTGCAACAACGGCTAGGAAGGCAGCCAGCATGTATAGGTGTGAGGAGAGCGGGAGGAAGAGCATCATGGCAATGGAGCCCACTATGGCGAAGATAAGCAAGAAGGTCTTGCGGTAGGCGCCGTGATCTGCGGCCGCTGAGATGGATATAATGATGAGGGACTGGATCAGGACGCTGATTGAGAAGGTATACATGGCAAAGCTGGCGGTGTTAACTTCGAATCCCAAGACGTAGACCAGACACTGGTTGCTCGGAGCCCCTGCCTTGAGCGGAGAGATGGCTCTTGTAGAGTTAGTAGTTGCATTGGTGTGCTTCCACGTCGAAGTACAGGGCGTAGTCTTATCAGAGACCAGCACTCCCTGGTCCCTAGTCATTTGTTCGAGGGCGAGCGGAAGAAATGAGCCTGTTAGCCGTTGGTTAGATATTATCATCCATAAGTCATTAAATGTACGGAGTAGCTGTAGGCTGCAGGCTGTAGCTATGTAGGCAACAACGTACCCATGGCACACACGACGAAGACTTCAGCAGCCCAGCCATAGCAGTACCAGCCTGCTAATTCCTTTCTACTCGTAGGCCGAGTGTCTTCCTGCGGGTGGCCTTCAGCTTGCGATGGGAGCAGAGGTGCACTTCCACCCCCGTCCTCCATCTCGGAAACAACAGAGCTCGACATCAGGGCAGAAATGAGATCTGCGTATTGAAGGAGACGGAGCGAGAGGTTCGAGGTGCTTCACGGCCCGCTGTGAAGCTGCATGGTTGATGTGTATGTGTAAGGGAGATGTCCCAGACTCCAGCGTGAGTCTCGAAGTCGAAGAAGCTGAAGGAGGTGAAGAAGGCGAGGAAAGTCGCAGGAGCCGCTGGCTAGCGGGCGCCACACGTGAGACGTTGTCTTAGTTAAAGCTGGCTAAGGTTCTAGTTAAAGGCCCCAAGTAAGATAGTTAAAGCTTCAGTTAAAGACCGGAAAGCTTGGGCGTCCAGAGGTAGAGCCCTAGTTAAAAGCCAGTTAAAGGCTTAGTTAAAGACATGCCGATCTTAGTTAAAGGGAAAGAGCTGCGCTTCCTTTCTTTACCACCCACCCTCTTCTAACTTCTCTCTCTCTTTTCTTACACCTCTCCGTACCTTCTTCCTTTCTCTGTATGGTCTCCACTCAACTTCTTCTATTCTTCTTTTCTTCTACTTCGCTTCTTCTATTTCCTTCTCTTCTTCTACTTTTCCTCTTCTTCTTCTCTGGCCTATTTGATAGCCAATCACGTGAGCGGGATTAAACTTTTGAAGCTCTGACTTTAAATATTTTTTATGCGAGAGAAATTTCATCGTGATAAGGAAGATTGCATTTTGACCAGAGGGCTAGCAGGTTGCACACTGCACCTTTGAGATACACAGGGTGGTTCGCATGCCCTTCGCAATTCTCCAGCGAGTATTTTGAAAAATTATAGCGGACCTCGGGCGGTTGAAGAAGCCGTGTGGGATAGATAGCACTCCCGGCGCAACGCAAGAGACGAATTTGACGGAACCGCCATTGGACTCGAATTCGACATCTAATATCGAACTCACCTGTCATCCAGGGCCTCCCTAATATACCGGTCGATATGCCGTCCCAGAATGCTGCAGCCGCCAGTACGGCGGCGTTTCCAATGTCTAATCCAGAAGCGTTCTTAAAGCCTTCCCTCCTTCTGTATTCCGGATCAGTTGCCGCAGCAAAGGGATATCTTGATTCTCTTACACAGGACTTGAAACAAGAGCAGCGTGGACAGAAGCGAAAGCAGCGCACTCCAGCTCCTCAAGTTCATCAGCTCCATGTCAACGGATTTAATCACAATCAAATATGGGAACAAGCAAAACGAATCCTGGATTCAGCATTGATAATATCTTCCCGAGACCTAGACCAGTTCAATGCACAAAATATTACTTCTTCGAGGCATCTTAAACGGAAATTGTCCGAGGATGACGAGGATTTGTCAGACGAGATGGAGGAAGATGAGGAAATGGAGGAAGATGAGGATGAGGAAGGCGAAGACGGCGAAGAAGAAATGCTAGACATGGAAGATGAGGAAGAAGCCGATTTTGGTGAAGAGGAGGGTGGTGAATTACTGTCGGAAGAAGAAGAGGAAGAAGAGGAAGGAGACGAGGATGCGCAAGGAGATGAGTCTCCACGCCCTAATAAAAAGAAGAAGACTGGTCCTCACGGCCTGAACGATGATTTCTTCTCTTTAGAAGAGTTCAACAAACAATCAGCCTTCTTCGAGACTCAGGATTCCAGACGGCCGCATACCGACGCGGCCAGCGACGAGGAAGATATAGACTGGGATGCAGATCCCCTCTCACTCCCGGATATACCAGACAAAAGAGCTGCGGGTGAAGACGAAGATGATGAAGATGAAGGTGACATGGAAGAGGATGAGCTGGATCTTGATATGGAAATACCAGATGCCGACTCCGAAGAAGATGGTGATGAGGATGGTGATATGGGGCTGAATGATGACCCGCGGCAAGCCAAATATGAAGACTTCTTTGACCCTCCTCCGAATGCTAAGAAGGCCAAATCAAAGCAAACAAAACAAAGTCAAGAAGATATAGAAGCGGATATTGATCGAGCAATGGCAAATGTACGGCGAGATTTGTTCGATGATGATGATGAAATGAGCGGGGAGGACGATGCTCCAAATGGGGAACAATTAAAGAACATGTCCAGTCATGAAAAGCGACGAGCACAGATTGCAGATGAGATCCGACGGCTAGAAGCTGCTAATGTTGCAAAGAAGGACTGGACGCTGATGGGAGAAGCCCAGAGCAACGCCCGGCCAATCAACTCGCTGATCGAAGAAGATTTGGACTTTGAGCGAGTTGGCAAGCCAGTACCCATCATCACAACCGAGGTCAGCAACGATATTGAGTCACTCATCAAACGCAGGATCATCACCAAGGAATTCGACGACATCATCCGTCGTCGACCACTTGCTATTGGTGAACAGGGCGGAGCCGCTAAGCGGAAGTTCGAACTAGACGAGACGAAAGCTCAGCACAGTCTGGCAGAGCTCTATGAGCAGGACCATCTGCGTGCTACTGACCCTGGATTCGTCGATAAGGGGGCAGAGAAGCTACGGAAGGAGCACAACGAGGTTATTCAGCTATGGGAGGAGATTAGCTCTCAGCTGGATACGTTGTCAAACTGGCACTTCAAGCCAAGGAGACCTCAAGTCGACCTTAACGTGGTATCGAATGTCGATACTATCACGATGGAGGATGCTCAGCCAACTACTCGTGGCGAATCAGGTATTACATCTGGCAACATGGCTCCTCAAGAGATATATAACCCTGGCGAAAGTAGAATGGCCGGAGAAATCAAGTTGAAGAGCGGTGCCTCGTTGGCCAAGGACGAGCTGAGCAAGGAAGCTAAGCAACGACATCGTCGACGCCGTGAGGCGTTGAAGAAGAGGAAGAGAGAGCATCAGGCGGCTGCCAGCAAGCCTGACAATGCTGCATCCCAGAAGAAAGAGTTGGTATCCAGCTTGAAGAAGGGAGGCGTCAAGGTTATTGGCAAGGGAGGTAACCTGACTGATGTCCAGGGGAACAAGATCCAGGACACTGTCGCGAAGGGCCGTGAGAATCTGAAGCTGTGAATAGACTCGTAATATTTTCTGTACCTGCATACCCTCAGCGTTGGAAGAGGTTTAGAAAAAAGAAGAAGAATTCAATGAAGTAAAATATACTTGAATGTTTAGATGCTTTTTTCAAGATTTTTCCATTCGCTGTCTAAGAATATACAAAAATATCCTCTCCTGCTTACAGAACTCCCGGTCAACTCCCTCCGTCACTTCCACGACATCAAACTTCTTCTTCATCTGCTTGATAAACCGCATGTCTGCCTTACGTCGTTTCTTAAAGCAAAAATAACACACTACATCCTCTTCATCCAGCAGCGCTTCAAGCGTCAGCAGCAGCAACGGGAACGCCGGCTCAAAGTACACACAATCCGCTGCAAGAATCACTTTTGCCTTGGGCAGGGCACGAACAGCGCCTTCATCACCCCAGTCGAGCAAGGCAGCGTGTACCGAGCCATTAAGCCCGTTTAGTTCGATGTTCTGCTTCATGAGTTCAAACATGGCCATTTGGTCGGTGATGTAGATTGGTAAATCGACGGTACAGCCCTTTGCGACGGCGAGGCCTACAAGACCACTTCCGCTACCTAATTCGATTCTAGCCACGGTCATTCATATGTTAGTTTCCGTCCGCGTGGTTTTGGTTAATATTTGGTACTTTTTTTTATCACAGCCTTTTATCAAAAAAAAGTTCAATCAAATCAAGGAGGGATGATGGATGGATGTTATTAGTACATTGTCTTGCCCTGGAGGTCCGCGGCGTGGTTCTCAATCATGTATTTCGACAAGACGACTCCGGCAGGCCATATTTGGCCGCCGCAGCCGTTTCTTAAGTCTTCTCTTAGTTGTATGGGCGGGTTGAGTATGCCGTCGAGAGAGACGGTGCTGGTGCCTGCGCATTGAATCTCTCTAGGTGGGACGAGAAAGTCAAGTTCTGGCGCAGACGCCTGTTCAGCGATATCACCCATATATGGCTATAGTATTCAGCAGCAAATTCAGTGAGCTTGGTATTATTGATCGAGGGCAACTGTGGCTATTTGGTTATTGTAGCTGATGATTTGGAGATTTTTCATGGTCGACTTTTTTTTGGTCAGAGGGAAAAAATCGCCTCTCTGTGCGGAAAGTTAAAATCCCCCATGTAAAATATGTAAACCAACAGCGTCGCCAAATGATCTATGGATATATGATATTAGGAAGTCCTCGAGGGCATCGTGGGATGTTAGATGTGGCTTCTCGTGTTTAATAGATGGCGACTGGCGGGTTGGGTGGAATATCTTGTCTAATCACGGCCAAGGCACGATATTGATAAGATGATTATCAATACCGATTTGGTGGGAAAATAAGGTATCACAGACGTATATCGAGGACATATAGATAGAAAGAAGGAAGAAATATGATCATACATGGCTATTCTATATATGTGAGAGGGATAGAGAGATGCAGGGAGACGTCTGTGCAAGCGGTAGCTATTTCCCGACTTTAAGCCAATACATGTATGCAACAGACCAGCAGAGAGGGAAAAGAAACATCGTCGAGAATGCGATGTAGTACTCTACAAGAAAGGAAACGGAGATAAAAATAAAACGATGAACTGCCCATTCTATTAACCTAGCTGTGTGGTTCTAGATAAAAGTGCGGCATGGGTATCTATACGGTTAAATTTAGCATGAGAAGGAAAAAATCTAGATGCGTGTGCAGTAGCTGAGGACATCAACTTACTTTGAAGGATAGGCCTGCTCTGAAGGGATAGTGTATATGTTTCCAGCGTTCAGATTGGCAGGGAGAGGCGGCATTCCACTGGGTCCAAGGACATCAGCTCCCGAGCTCGCCTTCTCCTCAAAATGCGCAGCCAGTCCACGCTCCTCTGCTGTCTGCTGGGTCTGCACCAGCTGCTGCGAGCCAGCTTCGCCGGCAAGAAGGCTGTCCTTGGGCTCGGCCTTGCTGCCGTACGTCAAGAGCCCGACGACATCCGCCTGCTTCACGACGCTGACTTGTGGGTAGGCTCTTCGCACATCTCGCTTCCAGTATGGGTTGTCAGCGAGATCAGCGGCCGGGATAGTGACGGGGTCGTCGTATGTCTGTGGCTCAAGGGCTCCTGGAGCTGGGTTGCGGAATTGGGTGTTCAATGGGATACCGGACGAACGAGTAGGGTCGACAGCGAGAGCTCGTCGGATTCTCTCCCATACGCCGTAGGATTGCACAGTGTATTTCTATATCGTGTTAGACTCGTCGTAGAACGCAAAGACGAGGCCATTGAGGGGCCTAGATGGGATATATAATCGGTATGTGCTTGTACGGACCTGGTTGACGGGGACGACGTGTGAGGCGGACGACGCCGTCTGCAGGATCTTGGACGCTCTCATCTCCTGCAACCCACCCAATTAGCCCTGTACGCTGTAGTAGACATCATGAGGCTACTCACCGGTATCAAAGCGAAGACGCTGGCTTGGTTCTTGTTACGTCCTTCTTCGTCGTCTTCTTCACTTGACGTTGGTCGAAAAGCCGAAAAGCGAACAAAACGAAAGTCGAGCAAAAACGCCAAGCTCGAACCAGCTACGAACATCAAAAACAACACGAGAAGAGCAGCAGAAGACGAGGACGAGGACGAGGGCCGATTTGATATGCGGCGAAAGATGGGATGGTTACTGGGATACAGCGCTACAAGATGGACCGACAGGGCTGGGAGTCGGTTAAGAGTCGACTGACGGCTACGATTGACTGTGCTGACGGCCTGCTTTGGGTCTCCTCGACGAGCTGAAGAAGCGCCCGGTGGAGGAGGAGGACAAGTCGAGTCCAAGACGGCGGCAGCAGAGATAGAGATACACGATAGATAGACCATAGACACAAGCGCTACTGGAAGCGAGCTCGCGCCTGGACGCGGTAAAGGAAGCAGAAGGAGAAGGAGAAGAAGAAACGAGCTAGCGACCTTGTCTGCTTCATCTGCTGCTGCTGCTGCCAGTCGTGCGCGCTTCTTCTTTCTCTTCTTCTCCCGCTCGGCTTCGCTACACATTCCCCCAAAATTCTCCCTACATCCGCTGCAAGGCACTAAATAGACAGACTTACGATGGCTCCTGAGCTGAGAAAACGCAAGGCGCCGGTTCCTGCTCCAGTGGCAGAGCCAAAGGCGAAGAGAGGAGCCAAAGCCGGCGCCAAAGCTGAGCCCAAGAAGGCCGCGCCCAAGGGAGAGAAGAAGGCCGCCGCCGCTGCTGCTGCTCCTGCTGCTGAGCCTGAGAAGGTCGACAAGAAGGAGGAGAAGAAAGAAGAGAAGAAAGAGGAGAAGAAGGAAGAGGAAAAAGAAGAGAAGAAGGAGGAAAAGAAAGAAGCAAAGGGCGAAGAAGCTGAGGATAAGCCTGCCAGCCGCGTTCCTGAAGAAGGCGACGTCCTCGACCTCAGCCTGTTCGAGGACGAGATCGAGCTCAACGACGGCACAAAGACATCGTTCAAGAAGCTGCTGGAAGAGAGCAAAGAGGGCGTCGCCGTGTTTACCTATCCCAAGGCCTCGACTCCTGGCTGTAAGTCGATCTTCTCCTCTTCTCAATTGCCCAAAGAGAAACCGTCTCCATCTAACAACCGTGTTTGTTATTATTATATATAGGCACCAGACAGGCATGCGCCTTTAGAGACGACTACACCAACCTGACCTCGACTGGACTCTCGATCTTTGGACTCTCTGGCGACTCTCCTAAGGCTAACACGACTTTCCAGACCAAGCAGAAGCTGCCCTACCCGCTTCTGTGTGATCCATCCTTCAAGCTCATCGGCGCCTTTGGCCTGAAGAAGACGCCCAAGGGCACCGTCCGTGGCGTCTTTGCCGTCAACAAGGAAGGAAAAGTGCTTCTGCGCACCCCAGGAGGACCAGAGAAGACGCTCAGCCTGGTCCAGGACCTGGTCAAGGGGAAGTAAGGGGTAGATGTGCAACTGTTCAAATGTTCAAATGTTCAAATGTTCAAATTGATGGAGACTCGTGTGTTTTTATCTGTTGGTTTATATTTGAGACGAGATCTGGCGGTTCGCTCAGTGATATCAAGGTCTCTCCCTCTGTCTGTCTCTGTCTGATTTTGTGTGCCTGTCTGTCTGCTCTCTTCGCGTTATGTTACAATGGATACTCCGTAGCTTTCTCGGTTTATCTTTCTCCATCGTCTTCTGTCGTCTCTGCCGTCTCCCCGTCTCCCTGTCTTCCGACGGACACATTTGATATTCAGCTTCCACAAGAGAGGCCGACGGACGTCTTAGTCATCATTTTCATCGTCTTAGCGGGGGGCGGAGTCCTTGTTGACCTCGTTGGTGAAGACGAAGAGAAGGACAAGAGTAACAAAAAAGAAAAGAAGAAGAAGGAGGACGAAGACGAAAGACGAAAGAAGACGAAGAATCCTGGAGCCTCGAGAAGTCGTATAGCTCTGTGGCTGGCGCAAGAGGGCGCTCACTCCTGTTCTAGTGATCTATATAAACCACATCCTCCTTGCGCAAACCATCCAGGCTGCTCCGTTTTACCCCTCCGACTACCCGTTAACGGTTTAACGACTGCAACACCACCAACCATTTTGGTATCTAAGAACAGGGCAAGAAGACGGCGCTATGAATGTGATAAAGCTCCAAAGGTCAGCAGTGGCCAGATAAAGCCGTCGTGGACACTGGGTTGTAGCTGACTTGGAGCATAGGAAATACCCGCAGTTCCAGCAGAACGAGATCTTTACCCTTCAAGATGCCTTTCACAGGCTAGACGTAGACGACAAGGGCTACCTCGACGAGGCCGAGACGATCAAGGCGACTCAGGCTTCAGAGAGACTGCCGTACGATGTTGTCCGCCAGACGCTGAAGGAGGTTGAACTCGACAGCTCCCGCCGGGTCGAGTTCGAGGATTACGTTGACGTCAGTGACCATTGATTGAACCCCTACATTTCAACTCAGCATGTACAGGGAAGAGAATTTATATTGAATTACGACAGTGGATGCTGACAGTGTACAGTTGATAGCAAAGTTGCGAAGTGGTGGCCAACCTGCCAGTGCCGCACCCCCCGTCCCCTCCAAGCCCTCGTCGCATATTGCTGGCGCTCACGGACATGCCTCCAAGGGAAGCATCAGCGGGAAGATCCACGTCCAGGGCTCCTCTGCAAACGTCACACACACCATCAACGAAGATGAGAGGACCGAATTCACCAGACACATCAATGCCGTGCTTGCCGGTGATCCAGACATCGGGCACATGCTGCCCTTTCCAACGGACACCTTTGAGATGTTCGATAAGTGCAAGGACGGTTTGGTGCTGGCGAAGCTTATCAACGATAGTGTGCCTGATACCATCGATGAGCGAGTATTGAACAGACCCGGTACACGGATAAAGCAGCTTAACGCTTTCCATATGACCGAGAACAATAACATTGTCATCAACTCAGCAAAGGGCATTGGATGTTCAGTTGTCAATATTGGAAGCGGAGATATCATTGAGGTCCGAGAACATCTTATTCTCGGCCTTATCTGGCAGGTTATTCGCCGTGGTTTGCTTGGCAAGATTGATATAAAGCTTCACCCTGAGCTATACAGATTGCTGGAAGACGATGAGACATTGGACGAGTTCCTTCGTCTACCCCCTGAGCAGATCCTGCTACGCTGGTTCAACTATCACCTTAAGAATGCCAAGTGGCACAGAACGTGAGTGCCGCCCTGTCCCGAGGAAGCTGAACAGTAGCTAACTTATATATACTAGAGTATCAAACTTCTCTACTGATGTCAAGGATGGAGAGAACTATACCGTTCTGCTTAACCAGCTGGCCCCTGATATCTGCTCACGGAAGCCTCTTGAGACTCGTGATCTGCTGCAGCGTGCCGAACAGGTCCTTGACAACGCTGACCTGCTCGAATGCCGCAAGTTCCTGACGCCATCTTCGCTTGTGGCCGGAAACCCCAAGCTTAACCTTGCGTTCGTCGCCAACCTGTTCAATACTCACCCTGGACTAGACCCCATTACAGAGGAAGACAAGCTCGAGGTGGAAGACTTTGATGCTGAGGGAGAGCGTGAAGCTCGTGTGTTCACTCTCTGGCTGAACTCCCTTGATGTCCAGCCTGCCGTCAACTCGCTCTTCAACGATCTAAGGGACGGAACCATCATCCTCCAGGCATACGACAAAGTCATCCCGAACAGCGTCAATTGGCGCCACGTTAACAAACCCCCCGCGTCCGGCGGGGAGCTTATGCGGTTCAAAGCTGTGGAGAACACCAACTACGTAATCGAGCTCGGGAAACAGAACCGTTTCTCCCTTGTAGGCGTTCAGGGGGCCGACATCACGGACGGCCAACGTACCCTCACTCTCGGCCTAGTTTGGCAGCTGATGAGAAAGGACATTACAAACACCCTGTCCTCCCTCGCTGAACGACTGGGCAAGCGTGAAATCACCGATACTGAAATGATTCGATGGGCAAACGACATGTCCCGTAAGGGCGGAAAGAGCTCAAGCATCCGCAGCTTCAAGGACCAGTCCATTGCCACTGGTATCTTCCTGCTCGACATCCTCAACGGAATGAAGAGCAGCTATGTTGACTATGACCTCGTCACCCCCGGACGAACAGACGAAGAATGCTATGCTAACGCAAAGCTCGCCATCAGCATCGCCAGAAAAATGGGGGCCACGATATGGTTGGTCCCTGAGGATATCTGCCAGGTTCGCCCTCGACTAGTCACCACATTCATCGGTAAGTTTGTTCCTGTTTGAATCCACTTTTCTCTCCTTCCTTCGCTAACCATTCCGCTAGGCTCGCTGATGGCGACATCTGAGAAGATGTGAGGGGGGAAACGGACGATCGAACTTCCTGCACTATGTAAAATAGCCAAACGTCAGGGCCAAGTGGACCATGGAGAGAACGCGGAATTGAACCACACTTGGGCTCAATGAGGAAGCTGGCTGTTTTGTTCTGGGACACTGAGGATAGCATAACAAAATACCTATATTTCAATCCGTCATTGCCAATTGACCTTCCGTATCTGTATTCTGTACCCTCCGCTGCGCTGCCGCTTCAAACAATTGAGGCATTTTCTAGCTACTTCTATCCGGCGGCTAGATGTGTAGTTAACTCGGAAAACGGCCCAAAGAAAATTCATGGCGTCAGGTGGACTGCAAAGCCTCTCTAAAGCAGTCCCCATTGCCTCTTTCCGCGGGAGGCTTGTTGTCCACCGGTTTCCAATCCATCTACTCCGCTTGGCCGACGAAGTTGTCAAAGCACGCCCAACAGCATAACCGGAGCTTCGTCCGGGAAGTAGGATCGGAAAGAGCTTATCGATAAGCTTTTTGGTGGCGCTTAGTGGGCCGGATCACCGGAGATTCACCGACGTTCCTTGATCCCACCTTCAGTTATATTGACCCCGACTACCCCAGGAAAAGACGGAGAAGCTCTTGGGAAGCTGTTTTTACCCCTGAGAGTTGAAGAAGACGAAGACGAACGAAACGGCTTGATTAAATCCATTCGGATACGTTGTTGTTAGCTATCTGGGCGTGGCCATGTCTCAGGTCAAAGGAAATGGAATCCGCATTGCCATTGACGTTAGTATCCTGTACCTGGCTTAACGTTGAGGCTCTTTCCCCCCTGTCCATTGAATACCTCGTACTGACATGTGTATAGCGTGGCGGCACGTTCACGGACTGCGTAGGCAATCCGGGGACGGGCAAGATGGAAGATGACGTCGTTATTAAGCTGCTATCCGAAGACCCCTCGAATTACAAGGATGCACCCCTTGAGGGAATCCGTAGGCTTCTTTCGAGGTTCCAGGGCGAAGAGATTCCTCGAGGCGTTCCATTGGACACATCCAAGATCGAGAGTATACGAATGGGCACGACTGTTGCTACCAATGCCCTCCTCGAGCGAAAGGGCGAGCGTATGGCCCTGGTCGTCACCCAGGGATTCCGGGATTGTCTGAAGATTGGAAACCAGTCTCGCCCCAAGATCTTTGACCTTGCTATTCGTCGACCGGACGACCTGTTCGAGGAGGTGGTGGAAATAGAAGAGAGAGTTACCCTGGAAGACTACGCTGAGGACCCCACGAGGCACGCGACCCCCACGGTAGCTCGTAGCGAAGAGGCCCAGGGTGCGGACATTGTTCGAGGCTTGTCTTCAGAGGCTGTACGGATTCTACAACGTCCATCTGATGAAAAAATCAAGCAACAGCTGCAGGCCTTATATGACAAGGGCTTTAGAAGCATCGCCGTCTGTTTGATGCACGGCTATACATTCCCAGACCATGAAGCTTTGGTGGGGAAAATCGCCACTGATATCGGTTTCACACATGTCAGCTTAAGTCACCAGCTTATGCCCATGATCAAGCTAGTTCCTCGAGGTACCTCTGCTTGTGCTGATGCTTATCTAACTCCAACCATCAAACGATACATTTCCGGCTTCCAGTCTGGGTTCAAGGGCGTCCTCGGTGCAGAGGGTGTTAAGGACCCGTCGCAGCCAAAGAGTGCCCGATGCGAGTTCATGCAGTCCGACGGTGGCCTTGTCGATGTCAATGGCTTCACTGGTCTTCGAGCCATCCTTTCTGGCCCTGCTGGTGGTGTTGTTGGATATGCCCTGACTAGTTATGACCCGAAGACCGCGATTCCCGTCATTGGCTTTGACATGGGAGGAACAAGTACCGATGTCAGTCGATACGGAGGCCGATACGAGCACGTCTTCGAAACCACCACAGCAGGTGTCACTATCCAGTCACCACAGCTTGACATTAACACCGTCGCTGCCGGAGGTGGTTCGCGTCTCTTCTACCGCAACGGCCTCTTCGTTGTTGGCCCAGAGTCAGCCGGTGCTCATCCAGGTCCTGCTTGTTACAGAAAGGGAGGTCCCCTAACTGTTACCGATGCCAACCTCTTCTTGGGCAGGTTGCTGCCTGAGTTCTTCCCCAAGATCTTTGGAAAGAATGAGGACGAAGGGCTGGATGAGAAGGCCAGTGCTGCCCTCTTCGAGGAGCTAGCTGTAAAGGTCAACGCCGAGATGGCTGAGAGTGGAAAGAAAGGGAAGATGACTGCTGATGAAGTTGCCTATGGGTTCATCAAGGTTGCCAACGAGGCAATGACTCGACCTATTCGCTCTCTCACAGAAGCCAAGGGCCATGATACCTCAAAACATCGTCTGGCTACTTTCGGTGGTGCTGGTGGACAGCACGCCGTTGCAATTGCCGAAAACTTGGGTATCAAGCAGATCTTAGTCCACCGCTATTCCTCCGTCCTGTCTGCTTACGGAATGGCCCTTGCCGATGTGGTTGACGAGAGCCAGGTTCCAGAGTCCATGTCCTGGTCTGAGAGCTCGGATATCAAGGCTAGCATCGAGAAGAGAATGCAGGAGTTGAAAAAGGGAGCCATCTCGAGACTCCAAAACCAGGGTTTCAAGGAAGAATCGATCATTTTCGAGGAATATCTCAACATGAGATACCGCGGAACAGAGTCTGCTCTTATGATCATCAAGTCACAAGACGACGCAGCATTTGGAAAATCCTTTATTGAGCAGCACGAAAAGGAGTTTGGCTTTACTCTTCCTGACCGTGACATCATCATTGATGACATTCGCCTCAGAGCTATTGGAAAGAGCTTCGATAGCTTCCCCAAGACCGTTGACGAGCAACTTCGTGACGCAAAGCCAGTTCCAGTATCCAAGGACAAGGCACATGCTACTCAGAAGGTATACTTCGAGGGCGGCCGCGTCGACACTCCTATCTACAAGATCGGATCCCTGGAAACAAACGACCGTATCGATGGCCCAGCTATCCTTGGAGATGGAACTCAAACTATCCTGGTCACTCCAACATCCTCTGCTCTCATCATTGATACTCATGTGGTTATCGACATTGATGTTCATAAGAAGGAGAGTACAAAGGCATCGGCTGATGAGGTCGATCCAATTCTGCTGAGTATCTTTGGCCATCGGTTCATGGCAATTGCTGAGCAGATGGGTCGTGCCCTTCAGAAGACTAGTGTCAGCACCAACGTCAAGGAGCGATTGGATTACTCTTGCGCTCTGTTTGACAGTGATGGTGGCCTTGTTGCCAATGCCCCCCATTTACCTGTCCATTTGGGCAGTATGTCCACTTGTGTTCGTACTCAAGCTGGTATATGGAAGGGAAAGCTAAAGCCAGGTGATGTCATTGTGACCAACCACCCTGAGTTTGGAGGCACCCATCTGCCAGATATCACTGTAATTACTCCAGCCTTCGCTGGCAATGAGATCGTGTTCTATGTTGCTTCCAGAGCACATCACGGTATGTATACGGTTCCCCAAAACGTACGTACTTCATCGAGTACTAACAGCTATTGTAGCGGATATTGGAGGAATCCTGCCGGGATCCATGCCGCCACACTCGAAAGAACTGTACCAGGAGGGAGCTGCCATCAAGTCAGAGAAGCTTGTCTCTGAAGGAAAGTTCAACGAAGAGCGTCTGATAGAGTTGCTCTACCGTGAACCTGCCAAATACCCCGGCTGCAGTGGAACTAGATGCCTTGCAGACAACCTCAACGACCTGAAGGCCCAGGTCGCCGCAAACCAGAAGGGTATCAGCCTCATCTCTACCCTCATTGAGGAGTATGGAGAATCCACCGTCCAACTGTATATGAGGAGTATTCAGAAGAATGCGGAGCTCAGCGTACGCAACTTGCTGAAGCAAGTTAGCGAGAGATTCAAGGGTGCAGACCTGACCGCAGTCGAACATATGGATGACGGTAGCCCTATCCATCTCAAGATTTCCATCGATGCGGAGAAGGGAGAGGCTATTTTTGATTTCGATGGCACGGGGCCTGAAGTATATGGTGAGTTATTATGCGGACCATCAACCATTAAAGATACATTTACCTTGCTAACGATGACATAGCCAATACCAATGCCCCTGAAGCTGTCACCTACTCCGCTATCATTTACTGCCTGAGATGTCTCATTTCCGAAGACATCCCACTTAACCAAGGTTGTCTGAAGCCCATTGACGTTCGAATCCCTAAGGGTTCTTTCCTATCTCCCTCTAGCAAGGCCGCAGTTGTGGGTGGAAATGTCATGACGGTAAGTTTAGAATATCATTTATAGTGATAATGACCCTCAAGTGACCACGCTAACCCATGTATAGAGTCAACGTGTCACGGATGTCATCTTGAAGTGCTTCCAGGCCTGCGCTGCCTCCCAGGGCGATACTAACAACCTCACCTTCGGATTCGGAGGTAACGTTTCAGGCGAAGAAGAAACCAAGGGCTTTGGATACTACGAGACCATCGCAGGTGGTAGTGGAGCCGGCCCTGACTGGGAGGGAACCTCCGGAGTCCATACCCACATGACAAACACCCGCATCACTGATGCCGAAGTGTTTGAAAGAAGATACCCCGTTATCCTTAGAGAATTCAGCCTGCGTGCTGGATCCGGAGGGGCTGGCCAGAACCGCGGTGGTGATGGTGTCATCAGAGATATCGAATTCCGCATTCCTGTCCAGGTATCTATCCTTTCCGAACGCCGAGTCTACCACCCCTATGGCATGGGCGGAGGAGAAGAGGCTGCGTGCGGACAGAACATCTGGGTCCGCAAGATGCCCCAGCCAGAAGGATCCGAGGAGCCTCCAGTTATCAAACATGTGAACCTGGGAGCTAAGAACACCGCCAATATGGAACCAGGTGATCGTATCATTATCAAGACTCCTGGTGGAGGTGGATATGGAAAGCCTGGAACTGAAAGCGTGGTTCGAAAGGAAGCTGATCCCCAACTTGCTTGGAAAGGAGGTTCTTTGGCATCGCGCATTGGAACTCAAGAAACCAGCATGTAAGTTGGTATGAGTTGGAACAAACAAAGTAGGCTAGATAGGCAGCTAGGTATTTATTGTTGCCAAAAATAAAAAACGGCTCGCCGAGCCACGCATTTTTGATTATATCGATCTCAGATTAATCCGCATTAGGCCAAAAGCGTGCGTGTGCTCAATAGAAGCGTTGTTTTCAATCAAAATGGAGACCTCCGAATTACCTTCCCATATTCCAGACACCAGCCGAATGGTAGCATATTAAGTCATATACACGGTAGCCACGCCATGGTAAAGAAGTCCCGCCAAGGAAGAAAGCCTTTCTTTGTACTCCGTATTCCGTATTTATCAACTTATTTTATTCGTCATCCTCATCACTTGTAGCTTCGAAGTTTTTCGTGGGAGATGACTTCTTCGTCTTGGAAGTGGATTTCGACTTCTCTTCTTCTTCCGCGTCTGACATTTCTTCATCATCTTCAACTGTGGCGGAGGCTTCTGAGAAATCCGGACGGATAACCTTGCCTCCTTTCTGTTCCACAACGGCTGAGATTTCAGGAAGTAATGTAACGAGACTGTTGAACTGTTCTAGCGTCATAGATATGCCCTAGCGGTGAGAATGAAGGGGTTAGTATCTTTCTATTACTAGACACGGTTCAATGGCTCGTATTACCTTCTTCCCAGGCAGTTCCTGTCCATCTTTCTCATAATACTCGCGCACGTTCACTAGAACGCGTCCCTTGAAGGTTGATATAGTGACACGCCGTTGACGCGAGATCTCCCAGTATGGGTCGCCGTTGGAATCCGTCTTGGGAGCTTTATCTAACGCTGAAGATATCTCAGCATTTGGATGGGCTTTTGCTGTGTCACCAGTTGTTTTGGCTCTCTTGGAACGGTCTTCGGACGCCGCTGGCTCGACATCTTCGGGAGATGAAGCTCGTTTTCCGCGTTTGAAACCCATCCTTTAAAAGCGCGTTTTAAGATGCGGTTTCAAGGAAAAGGATAAGGCAAAAAGAACACGAACGTATGAATCTCAACGTCTTCTATTTAAGCGAACAGGCTAGAAATCCCAAGAAGCTGGAGTCAGCAGGGAGCAAATCGCTGTGCTCTTGGTAGTGTTTGATATATACATCAAGAGAGACCAGTAAAGGAAGTAACGACGTCAAAAGAAGAGAAGATTATGTAAAAATTGCCAAGCCATGAACACCTCGATATAATGCGACTTACATAATCTAACCGGGGGGAACACCAAATATTTCATCAAGACATAAAAACAGATAGAAAAAGGGGGAAGGAAAAAGCGAGACGATTAGGGCTGTATTAAAATTCAAGCCATGACGTATTCACTGCCTCGTTTGATGAACTTATCAATCATAAGGCCGATATCATTCAGCGCGAACCGGCAGGCGTAGAATCCGAAGAATTCAGATGCATGCCGGGTGCTAAGCTCGAGGCCAACTAGAGTCTGAGATGTATGTCTTAGACCTGGATCTTCAACTTGGCGGGCAATTTGGTCTGTTCGAACAAAGTTAGTATTTAAGCGGCTTATTTATTGAATCGAAAGCAGGTAGATGCGGTGGCGGTGGAAAGTTAACATACCTATAACTTGCGCAGCGTCAAAAAGCCTGGCTAGAGCGCTCATATAGTTTGCATTTGGCCCGGTGCAGTTGAGTCCAAGGGCATCTCGTCGTGGAGAAGCCGAAGCAGCCGTCTCAGTCATCGGTAGCGATGTCATTGTCAAGTTTTCCCTGCCGCCGTTATCTCTCGATATGCCGCTTGAGCTTGTGTTCGATACACCGGAGCTCTTTGATCGGAGCTTTCGCCACGAGGAAAGGTATGATTTGCTTCCGCTGCTAGAAAGTTTGGAGGAAGAATCTACCGCTGGAGAGGTGTCATCTGATGATAGCTTGAAAAGCGCCATGGCGCCTTGTACGCCAACTTCATTCCCAAGTTTCCTAGACCATACGGCCTGCACCTGATCCAGGATGTTTTCAAACGCTTGCATTTCCTCTAGTACGGCATCAGCATCGTTGATGTCGACACTTGCTAGTTTGAGTAGTGCTGCGGTGAGCAGATCGCAGTTTGAGATCTTCTCTTCTAGCCCCTTGATTCGCACGTTTTTCACTTTCCATATGTCTCTGGGTATAAATAGTTTAGTGGTAAGGTATCCACCACGGGGATGGGTTATCGTTTCGTATAGGCATCTCATCAGCCAGAACGGACGGAGGAGGAATGACTGGGGGCAAGGTTCGAGAGGGATGGGCGCATCTGGGGCGTTGGGGTTGGGCGATCCTGGCGTGAGCGGAGAATGAATGTTATTGTCAAATAGGTGTCTTGATGGGCCAGCTGAACTGAGTGTTGGCACGGCGGGCAAAGAGAATGTCTTGCCTAGCTCGGGGACAAAAGAAGTGGTGAAGGGACTGCTGGGAGCATGTGAAGATTTACTCAGAGCAGGAGCTGAGTATGTAGGTTCTCTGTGGGATATGCCTGGTGCAGAATGTAGCCTGCTCAAAGTTAATGGGTGGAGACGTCAATAACGTATCAAAATCGACGGACTCATGTGTATTTAAGGGTAGGAAAAGCTGAGATCGCAGGGGAATCTGGGCCTGATGGTTCTGGAGATCCGATTGCTGTATGTGGACGTTGCTGTAACGCTTCAAGATTGAAATCGCTCGACGATTTTCCGTGGCTGGTCTTTGATGGTAGAGGGGTGATGGGATGTGCTAGGAGCATTGAGGGTGGTACTTGACGAGCCCCGTCTGCACTTGACGGCGCTGAGCCGGTCTCTATTATTAGGTCCTTTGGACGGCCCGACAGCCTTCGCGACCGGACGGTGGATGCCATGATATCTGGTGTGTCTGGAGCGCTTGTTGTTGCCTTTGCCGAAGGTGATGGCGGTGTTGGTGTAGCGCGAGTGGGAGCCGGTGGTAATTGCTGCTGCTGTTGGTGTTGTTGGACCGGTGGGTGAGGCGGTGGAGGCGGTGGAGGCGGAGGCGCACCTACGGGCGGAGGGAGCTTTTGAAACGGCTGGGAATAAGAAAGAATATTTTTGGCAATTCCGCCAGGCGGAATCGAGTAGTCGTCTTCCTCAGTAAGGGTGGAAAGTAAGGTGCCCGTGTTCGTTCGGCTTGATGCGACGGAGCTGCCCCAGGTTCTGTTCGAATAGCCGCTGGATCCTGACTGCCGTGGAAGCGCCGATTTGGACGAGAGATCGAACTCGAAATCATCCATCATCTCCTCCAGGATTCGCTCCTCTTCCTCGGCCTCATGGTCTGCGTATCCTGTCTGGTCAAGGTCAGAACCAGAACCCACGTCTAGGTCATCAGGGGAAACCTCGGGTCTTCTCCGGTCTCGCTCCCTGGCGGAGACACTGGCGGCTTCAGCCTCTAGCTCGGCCTCTCGTACCTTTTGTTTCGCCAATTCGATATTCCGGCGCACATGGGACATGATATCATGTTCCGGTTCGTCCTCTCGAGGGATGATTTCGAGTCCGTCATCGTAGGCAGCCTCGACGGCCTCATCAAGGGCAGCGTCGAACTCGGCCTCGGTGCCTCTGCTGTAGTGAGCTTCCTGTTTCCGGCGTAGATAGAGAGAGGAGTTTGCCGAGCGTATGGACGAGCTCGATGAGGCGCCTGACTCGTCTATAGTATCCAGCCAGGAAGTTGACTCTGTGCCCTTTTCCTGGAGGTTCTGCAGGTCCCCGTTTGCAACGTTCGAGGAATGTTCGTTCGTGCTTGCGTAGCCACCCAGATGAGGAAGTATGTCCATGTTCGTGCTATTTGTGTTGTTCATGTCGTTAGAGCCGCCGTCTTCGCCAGAGGGATGCAGGGACTGCTGCCGGGGCGGAAAGTAACGTTCATCCTGCGATTCTGTGGCGGGTGATTTGGCGAGTATCCGGGTGGCAGTGGCGGTGCCAATGACATAGATATCCTGATCGTCTGCATTGCCGTCTGTGATGTGGGTGGATAGGAGGCTCTGAGATAGCGATTCCCCGCTCGGCGGTCTCTCCGGCAGGGCCTTTCCGCCAGCCTGCAGCGCCAGACCCAGGCGCCGGAGTTCGTTGATTCGCGTAGTGTACGTATTCCTCTGCGTGGGATTGGGATCAGTTAAGAAAGGAGGCTCTCTACACACACAAAGACAAAAATCCGCAGATGGAAAAGGAAAGCAAAAAAAAACTCACGATATCGTCTAGCTTGTGTCTCTCCTCGTCGGCACCAGCCCGCTGCATGACCTGCGCGAGGAGACCGCAGGCGTCGGTGTAAGCATCGATAGCGCCCTCATAGTTGGTGGCATTGTCGAGCAGGACGGCGGTATTGGCCTTCTGCAGCGTCTGGACAACATTGTCTTCTGCGTGGCTGCCCTGACGCTGCTGCTGGTGCCGTCACGAGCGGCGGGCGGCGGTGGTCGAAGGTCGTAAGTCCCATCCATCGATCCTCTACTAGGGCTGTAGCAACGTCGCTGCTGACCGACAAGCCATTCATCGGGGGTCTAGAGCAAGCACTATGGACATGGTCGACCTGCGTGGGAAACGGGGGAGCGGCAAGCTGGCTAAACGCCGTCGGACAGGGCTGCGTTTCGGGAGCTGCTGCTGCTGCTGGACGAGAATCGAGTCGTCGACGCCGTGAGAGCCGCGTAAAGGAGACGCAAGAACGCAGAGAGAAATCGTACAAGTCGTAGAGGACGAGCAAGAGGTCGAGCAGGGCGACCGAGAGGGACCGCAAGGGGGGCCAAGGGGGGCGTCAGGGGCTTCTGCTTCCTTTTTTTCCTTTGGCTTTTCCCTTTTACTTTGTCTTTTCTTTTCTTTTCTTCGCGCTTGCAGCGTGGAGACCGCCGTGAAGAGGCTCGACGGCTGCTTTTCCGCTGGTCGTTTTTCTTCTTCGGTGGAAGCTGCTGGTGGTGATGGTGATGGTGATGGTGATAATGTGGTGATGTGATGATGTTGTGATGAAGTTGGAGAAAAGTTGAGGTGTCGTTAAATGAACGCCGGGCGTTTGGGCTTCTGCTCTCTTACGCTGACTGCGGCCGGAGCAAAACCTCAGCAGTAAGCAGCGTGATTAATCTATATGCATCACATCGTCGCTGGGATGGTTCTCGCGTTGTGCAGCAGGTTGATGATGCATCCAGGGATCAGAACAGGCAGAGCGAACTCTTCGCTTAAGCTGTAGGTGTTCTGTGTAGACAGCGTAGCGTGGTCGGCTTTACAATGCGGCCTCGTCTTCATCCTCGCCGCCGACGAGCCCTATGTGTTTATATGTGTTTATAGCGCCGGACTCGACTGCGCATCCCGGCCCCTTACAGCGAGATCCATGCATATAATTGTCTTCTTTTGCTGGGCTTTTTTATCGTCAACGTCTTTTTGCTTCTTTTCTTCCTTTTCATTTGTGATATCACGTGATGGTGATATTTTAGTTGAAGACGAAGATAAAAAGAAGAAGATAAAGAAGAAGATAAAAGAGACAGAGGAAGAGAAAGAGAGACGGTTGAGAGCTCAAGAGACGAAGAGAGAAAAGATGGAAATGTCGAGGAGTCGCTGTTGGGCTCAGGTTGGCCAGGTAAGAGAGAGTAACAAGAGCAAGAGGGAAAGAAAGAGACAGAGACTGACAGCTTGCAGGCAGCAAAGAAGCAGCTCACGGCGAGACAGCAGTGCGAATATGCAAAGAAGAGTCTCCTAGGGACATCAAACCGGACTCTCTCCAGCAGCGCGAGGTCGTTACAGCCGGTTAGCAGCAGCAATGGCAGTGGTCGCAGTTGTGGACGGAGAGACGGAGTTGCATGGAGTATAACGGCTGGCGATAGTAGAGTAAGGACGGCGATTCCAACTGCATATATGACCAAGCGAGAGATGTCCGGCATCCGGGGGACGTATATGGCTTATGGGCTTGCAAAGAGACTGTTTGCTGCCTGTTCAGAGCAGGCAGATTACTCGATATCAGAGAAGCTGCGGAAGGCCGAGCAGGTCCCCAAGGCGGAGTCGGGCGAGGAGATAGGCGAAGGCAGCGGATGGTGGTATGACGGTGAGGAAATCCCTCTCTCTCTGTGTCATTCTGATATCTATATGGATGCTAATGGATAATGGATGGTAGAGCTCGGTCTTTCCCCCACATTCTCGTCCTGGGCTCATGTCACCTTTATACACATGTATCTCATCACAGCTCGACTACGCGCGCTTCCTTCGCCCGAGAACTTCCAGGCATACAACAGATACCTGTTCGAACACTTCTCCCAGGAATCTGAGCGGCGCATGGTCGAGGTGCATGGCATCACCTCGCGCGGCATCCGGGTCACCTACCTGAAGGACTTGTTCGAGCAGTGGAGAGGCGCCATAGCTGCTTACGACGAAGGCTTGGTCAGGGGAGACGCCCAGCTGGCTGCTGCTGTCTGGAGGAACCTGTTCAAGGGCCTGGCCACAGACCACAAGGGCGAAGAGCTCGACTGGGCCAAGATCGCAAAGGTCGTCATGTACATGCGCCGGTCCCTGGATAAGCTGGCCGAATTCGAGGACACGGATCTCCTGACCGAGTTTGCCAAAGGAGCAGGGTCCGAGACCTTCTTTAGCACGGCTGAGCTGGTTATCCCTGAGCAAGAAGATGAGAGCGCTCAGAGCAGTAATCTGGGGCCGCTGGGGAAGCCACTGGGGCAGCCAAGGGTTGTTTAGCCAGGCGCAGAGTCATTCTTTTTGTCTACTGTAATATACATGTACAACAGCATCAGTCACGAATACGGTTCCATCTTCTTCGTCTTCATCTTTACATTTCTTATCCATCTTCCTTTCGTCTGATCTTGGTCTTATCTTGTCGTCTTATATCGCCGTTGAAAGCTCCTGCTTAGCTCAGCTTCAATGGCCAGGAACAACCTTCGCATCGTCCGACCAACGAGAAGCGACGACAACAAACAGCGAGAAGAAGCTGCCCTGTTACTTCTCACTACGCTACCTTATACATATATATATATATACATATATATATACATATATATAGCAAGAGAGAAAGGCTCGCGCTTACTTGTATACCTTGTTCGTTAAAAGCTGACTACAGACACCGTTATGGCGGACTCAATCCCTCAGGTACAGATCGAGCTCCCAGCAGACGTCGAGATGGAAGAATCAACAGCTCTAGCAGCAGAAGAAAACCCTTCGGCAGAAGAGACCAAGGAAGAAGGGAAGGATAAAGAGCCAGAAGTCCAGGAGACACCAGCCGAGCCCGAAGTCCCCACCCAGCAGTCGCTTTTCCTCAAGTATGTACAGCTCGCTCTGTAGCATCATAGCAAAAACACAGCACAGCATTACTCGCCATTGTAATGATATACCGGCTGATGTTCCGAATAGCTACCTTACATCGCCCATAGTACAGTTAGTGCTGGGCAAAGGTGAAGAGCAAACCACCCTCACGGCGCACCAGGCTGTCCTTGAACCGAGTCCATTCTTTGCAGAGAAACTCTCCCAGTGCGAACAGACAGGTGATGTCAGTGCTAGTGCTATTCTCTGTTAACCCTTTCTACATCTAAAGACTGTCTGAAGGCTGTGCTAACAAACCCGTGTATAGAGGCGCATCTACCTTGAAGACGAATACACAGATACAGTAGCATGTTTCCTACAATACCAATATACAGGAGAATACTTCCCTCGGCTCCTCCCCTCAGGCAAAGACCTCGAACAAGATCCAGCGATCCCCAAGGTCGACTCGAGCGGCGACCAGCTCCTCAAGCACGCTCGAATCTACAGTCTAGCTGAAAAGCTTGGAAACGATAAACTCAAGTTGCTTGCTCAGAACAAGATTGGTAGCATTGAGAGTAGTGCCACGGGCGAGATTGCGTACGCGAGATATGTGTATAGCCATACCACACCGGATGACACTGCTATCAGGGGACCGGTTGCTCGTTTCTGGGCTAAGATGAGTGATGTGCTGCGACATGATGCCGAGGAGGAGTTCAGAGCGCTGTGCCTTGAGCATCCTCAGTTCAGTTTCGATCTGCTTAATCGGGTGTTGGATATGAAGGAAAAGAGGGCCAGGGAGCGTGATAACACCAGCAGCCCGGCTTTCAAGGGCCCGGCTCGAAAGAGATCTAGAGCTTTTTAAAGTGGTTGTACGAGTAGCTGGTTTTCCATTGGTATTACCCGCGGGTAATGGAGCTTTTTATTCATACTATGTAATATCAATCAACAGGGCTGCGGTCGGTTTTGGCAGCAAATCAACTGGGTAGATCATAAATATGTACATTCTCCTTCGCGCCTTGTCTGGCCACTCAGTGGCGTGTACAAGATACCTACTTGGCGCCCTCCTGGACAATGCGCTCAACTTCCTCGGGCTCCTTTGGCACTGTAGTAAGGTTCTCGAAGCCGTTGGCGCGGACGACGACGTTGTCCTCGATACGCACACCCCCAACAGCCCAGTACTTGTCTAGCACTTCGGTGTTGATGTACTTGCTGGTCTCCGGGCTAGTAAGGAATGGCTCAATGATGTAGCGGCAGAAGTAGACCTAGAACAATGTTAGCAAGTACATACTTAGTGTATATACACATCTAGTATCCACTAGAAAAAGAACTATATTAAAAAACTTACACCAGGCTCGATAGTAATGACAGATCCCTCTGGGACAGTGCCACGCAGACGCAGGTACTTGAACATGCGGTTCGGGTCAGCTGGGTTAGGGTTGCCACCGACATCATGGGTGTCCATGCCGAGATGGTGGCCTAGGCCATGGGGGAAGAAGGCAGTGCTGACTCCCTTCTCAAAGATCTCGTCCTCGGAACCAGTGAGAATGCCGATCTTCAGCAGCCCCTTGATAGCCACCCGGTGGACCGCAGCGTGCATATCATCGAACAGAACATCAGGCTTGATCATGCCAAAGGCGACTTTTTGCATCTCCAAGGCAATGTCGTAGATCTGGCGGCCCTCGGTCGTGAATTTGCCGGACAAGGGGAATGCACGTGTGATGTCTGCGCAGTAGGCCTTGTACTGGCATCCAGCATCGATAAGGACGAGCTGGTCCTTAACCCCAGTAGCTGGGTTGGTTAGGTCACCGTTGTTCTTAGTGTAGTGGAGAGTGGCAGCATTGGGCCCACACGCCAGAATTGGGTGGTAGGACTGGTCGGAGCAGCCGTTGGACATGCAGACATAGTTGAGAGTAGCGTAGAGCTCTCTCTCATTCTTTGACTTGGTAGCAGCCTTCATCACTTCGATGTGGGCTTGGCTAGAGACCTCGTTGGCACGTCGGAGAAGGCCAATCTCATACTCGTCCTTGACCACACGGCAAGTCTCGATAGCAAGCTTCAAAGCAGCAGTGTCGTTCTGCTTGAAGGATGAAAAGGAGACCTCCGGGCAGACTCTGTCCGCAATTGTGAAGACCTTCTCGCCTCCGCAGTTTGCGAGATAGTTGTTTATCTCGGTAGTGAGGAGCACGGTATCGACATCGAACTGCTTCAAGGCCTCGGCAGGCTCGAGAGGGAGGCCGGACCACATAACCGAGGCTGGCTCGACTGGTGGAATGAACAGAGTGAGTTCATCTTTCCCAATGTTGTATGCAACAGAGCACTCGGCCTCAAGACAGCCGGACAGGTAGAGGAAGTTTCGTCGTTGGCTATCACATTTTTTCATTAGCTTAATTCGCCTAGTCAGGTGTATTTTTATGCTCACCGGAAGTGAAATGGCTCGTCACTATCATCAATAATATGCTCCTTCTGGCCTTCGACAAAGATAATGCCAGTAGAGCCATGCCCCGCGGCCTTGAGCTTCTCCGCGACGCGCCTGGCGTGGCTCTTAGCCGGGTACTTGTCGACATTGATATCCATAATCACTGTAGACCGGTTATATAGGGCAAGGATAAGCTGGGCGATAAGCAGACAAGAAGGTTAGAATACGGCAATAGTGAAGTTGTTTATATGTTGTTGTAATTGCCTTGCCCTTCTCCTCTTCTTTCATTTCGGTCGTATTGATGCTGGGATAAAGCGCGGGGCTAAATATGGCTAACGACGGGTCGATTACATAACGGCGGATGTTTGTTGGATATCACGGCGACGGGAGACAAGGAAAAGAGTTGAACGAGACGAAGGGCGTGAGACGGCGATGAAGTTGATGGTAGTTGAGAGGAAGCATGAGGCTGGAGGGCGGCGGTCGCTAGTTAGGCGGTGATGGCTTTTCTAGTACAGCTCGCCGTCATCGTCGAGGACCTCTTCAAAATCGATGGACCACTCGTCAATCTCGGCAAACTTCTTCTTCTGAAGCAGCAGCTCTTCGCTCATGACGGGAGCTACTATCTCTCTCTCCGAAGAGATCTCAGCCTCCTCTTCGGTCTGGTTCTCCTTGTCCCAGTCTGCATCACCGCCCTTGCTGAGGCGGGAGTAGGTCTTCTTCGGCGTTGTACTCTTCCTTGGTTGAGATGTTACAGTAGCAGCTTTACCACGCCCTTTCTTCGGCTGTGGTGTGTTCTGAGCTTTTTCTCGCAGTTTGAACCCGGTTTGGTGCTGTGCTCGCTTTGTCTTTTGCCGGCTTGTAGCTGTGCCGTCTTGTTGCCCTCCAGTATAATTGAGCTCATCTTCTGAGCTTGGAGCAGAAAGCACATAATTCTTAGCTCCAGCGCGAGAACGCTTGCTCCTATTAGTGGCCAGGCCTTTACGTCGTCGCGGAAGTAAGGCATCTTGCAATGAGGTCGTAGACATATGGGTAAGTTTCGAAGGCCGAAGTCCCGGTTTCTGGGTTGCAAAGCTCTCTGGAGTTGAAGCAGGAGGTGTTATGGTCCCTATACTACTTTCTGGAGGTGCCATAACTGCTGTTTGTCGTCTGCGCTGCGGTGTTTTCGCTATGGCGAAATTCATGGAGGGTAGAGAGTCCACAGAGGTAAGTGATGAACGATCATCGTTGTCCTCGTCTCCCTCTACAGCCACAGGTATCTCAGGCCGGACTTCATCAACAGCAGTTTCCTGTTCTTGATGTTCATCTATAACATCTCGCTCTTCCAGCACGTCATCAGCAAACGGCGGTTCATCCAAATCCTGCGCAAGGGCAGACGGCTCATCCGGAATTCTGTTATCCGAAATAAGATCATGTCGAACAGGTATCTCAACAAACACCTGTGGTAATTTTGGTGTCTTCTTTGCTGCTGTGGGAGTAATATCAGCCTGGTTTAGGGACTTTCTCCTCTTTGCTGGAAGTGGTGTAGATACGTCCTCTGGATCAAAGCTACCTAACAGATCATCAGAGCCCAACTCAGACGATCCAAGATCCAAGGAGTCATCCCCCACAAGCTGTAATATACTCGGCTGCCTAGGACGCGGGCGAAATGCGCTTAATATAGAGCTTTCAAAGGCAGGCGTGTGCCCTCTTTGAATCGTATCCCTTCTTGCGCTACCTGGGAATCCTTGCAGCCTTAAAGATGCTCCCATACTAACACCACCAGATAAAGGTGCATCTACCTGCTGGCGGTCTCTGACGGGTGTTTGGCTACCGAATGCCTCTCGTGCCCGTTCATTCCGTATCATCTCTGAGCTTTGATCTTGTATTTCGTCGCTTTGCCCCTCCACATCGGAATTATCAGCATCTTTGCTAGAGTTGAGCTTAGATTTTGACGCCGGTTTCGCGCTCGTGGCAGGCCTTTTGAGTTGTTCTCCAGGCACCTTTCGCTTAGGTCTTCCCCTCGTCGCATTTGTTTTGGCAGGTTGTGCAGCAGGTTGATCGTTGCGAGTGACTCGGGCTCGTTTCGCCGCTGGTCTGGGCATCTTTGTTAACTGTAATAGCTTCTCCAGTTATGGGATGTCACTTCCTGGCTTCTACACAGGCCGAACGGAGGATCTTAGGGTATCCTGTATCTCTATGAGCTTTGGAACGCGTGGTTGAATTAAATGTAAAATGTTGAAGTTGACGCGCCGCTTGTTTTGTTTGGTCCAAAAAGAGTTTAGCGCCGGGAAGTGCAGAATAAACTCTCTGATATCGGCAACAATACATGGAAGTAACAACAATATTTACACTTGGAAAAGTCAAGTACAGATTCAAGGATGATACTAATTAGGATAGCAGAGCTATAGTTCGCTCAACTTAAGTTGTTTGGGGAGGTAGAGCTACACGCTCTAAACTGCTCTCCACGACTGGCAATACCTGTGCGATATCGTTTGGATCCCTCATCATAGCCGGAACATCTTTGCGTGAGCCTCCGATCATCTACCCACATGTTCAGTATGCTATTTTGATGTTACTTTGAGAAGGGTAAAACTTACCTCTTTGACTTTATCGTATAAATCCTCCTTTGCAAGATACTCTCGCATTACCTCGCCTGTGTCAAAATCAACGAAGACACGGGTATCCCGCAGCCGGAAAAGAACATTATCTAACCGCATAAACATTCTAGTAAGTAAAAGTAGGCATGTTGGCATGACTCGAATTTTGCATGATAACATAGTGATTCCGTTGTCTGCTAGCTCATCCTCATAGAGCATAATCTCGTCGTAGAACAGAATCGGGTCTGGCTGTTTCAGTCTCTCTATTGGAAGAGGAGTTGATGTTTGTTCAAATTCATAACCGTTAGGTTTAACTGTTCCCTTATAATCTGTGGTATATGACCAGTCAAAGGGCTTAACCACCTCCTTTATACCCTCATGCGCTGATTCTCTATTCCAATTGTTAAAATCCAATAACATGGATATAAATGATTGCTTCCACGTCTCACACACCTGCTTTTCTGCCACTCGCCTGAGTATGATACTTTGAGCATAGAGGCCCCTGTTTTATCCACGCGGTCCAGTGCATCAAAGGCATTGAAAGTGATACCCCACCCTGACGGTACATGCTCGATTGACACCAGATTATCTCCAAATATCATCTCAGGCGGCGCAATACCCAACTTCTTTGTCATCTCATCAATTGGGCCAGCTCTAAGAATTGGCAATTTCCTGGTGGTTATTTTGAAGCCTTTTCTCGTTATCGAGCTTGGTGGTGTGATTTCTGGCGAGGGGAAACTCGACTGAGTTTCATTCGAAGATGCCATGATGACCGTCCTAATATTTAAGTATGCGCGTAAGGTTTATTGGACACTTTGACTATAATAGCAGTAGAGCAGAAGAAACCCAAGGATTACTCGTTGTCTCTGTTGTTCAAGCTGTTTCTTTCTTGCCGTTTCCCGTTTGGAAAACCATATCACGTGAAAATGAAAAGCTGAGTAAGTCGGCAGGTAAACGGGCCGGTGGTTGCTGCGGCAACGCGGACGATGGCGGCTTGTTGTAAATAGAAAACCAGCGACAACCTGAGGAGTTCCTCATTCTTTAACAGAAGAAACAACACTTTGCTCTCTTTTACTCTACACTTCTCCTTCATCTTTTGGATTTTACGCTGCGTTTACAACGTCTTCCAGTTAATCGGCCTATCTACACAACTCCACTACCTGCCAAAGATGTCTACACGAACCTTGGAGTCTCGTTTTGAACGGCTAGACGTCAACGATGAAAACGAGCCGCCAGCCAGCCATCACATCAAAGCAAAGGTATAGATATATTTATATCAAGTGTCATCATGTGGTAGTACAGCACTAATAGTTCATAGGGAGTGCCATCCAAATGCGCTCCGGCACCAACTCCCCATGGGAATCCTACTTCAAACAGGCCGAACCTCCTAAAGCTTGCGCTGCAAAACAACAATGAATCTAAATCACACAGGAGCCCTCTCGAGGAGGAATCCTCAAATACATTGCGCATGAACGACTCCGCAGGAAACCCCAAGAAGTTCCATCTAGGCATGTTCGAGATTGGCAAACCACTAGGCAAAGGAAAGTTCGGGCGAGTGTATCTTGCCCGCGAGAGATCAACTGGCTTCGTATGCGCATTGAAAGTGCTGCACAAGAGCGAGCTTGTCCACGGACATGTTGAGAAACAGCTGAGACGTGAGATCGAAATTCAAAGCAACCTCCGACACCCCAACATCCTCAGATTATATGGCCATTTCCACGACAGTAAACGGGTGTTCCTTATTCTTGAGTTCGCCGGTAAGGGTGAGCTATACAAACACCTTCGAAAAGAAAACCGCTTCCCTGAATGGAAAGCAGCCCAATATATTGCCCAAATGGCTGCTGCCCTGAAGTATCTGCACAAGAAGCATGTCATGCACCGTGACATCAAGCCAGAAAATATCCTTGTTGGCATCCATGGGGAGATCAAGATCAGTGATTTCGGCTGGAGTGTACATGCCCCAAACAACCGAAGACAGACAATGTGTGGCACTCTCGACTACCTCCCTCCAGAGATGCTGAAGCCAGGCAATGGTGATAAGTGGTATGACGAGAAAGTCGACCTGTGGAGTTTGGGCGTCCTTATTTACGAATTCCTCGTTGGCGAAGCTCCCTTTGAAGACTCTCCAGTGATGACCCATAGGAGAATTGTCCGGGGAGAGATGACCATCCCATCATTCGTAAGCCCGGAAGCCAGAGATCTCATCAAAAAGGTAAGTTCCCTATTATTACCCATCCGCCCAATCTCGATATGGTATCACTGACGCTGGTGGTATTAGCTTCTTGTCCTTGACCCTGCCAGCCGAATCCCACTGGATGAAGTTCAACGGCACCCGTGGATCTTGAAGTACTGTGTCAAAGGCGAGAGAGTGGCCCAAAGGGAGGCTGCGAGCAAGAGCAAATCGAAATAGATGAGAGCAGAGTTAAGAAGGGGGTATTTTCAAAGTCTATCTATTGTTACAGCGTCATTGTTTATTTGAGCGTTCCCGTTTTCTTGGGCGTTGGTGCTTCTTTTCTTTGCTTTCCCATAGTATTTGGTGTTATCGGTATATTTCGTCAAATGGTCGTGTATCTTTGAAGCAGCTTTCCCATACTTCATCTACTACTCTCAAAGCTTGTTCCTTGCTCTTGCATGCCGGTCTCGCCTGCACAGACATCACAGCTCTTCGTCTCACACAATCTTGGTGGTGGTTGGCCAATTTAAACTCGAATCTTCCAAAGAATTCGTTGGCCCATCTACATTCCCCGCTCAAGGAACTGGCTCGTATCTAGCAAGGTGTTAGCCAACCATTGACAGAGTCTCTTTTTCGAACAAAAGTAGCATACCTCTGCACAAGCTGCATGCTTCAAGTTATCCGTCCAGTTGAGCTTAAACCGCAAGTGGTCGTAGGCATGCACCATCTCGTGAGCTAGGGTATCCTCAAGCTGGCTCCGACTGTTCATTGCATTCGCACATATCTGAATTCCGTACTCCGGATCAAACCCTCCACCTTGCCGAGCCGTGCATCTCCGGCAATATATATTCTTCGACGATATGTCTCCTCCAAGCTGTCTGATGTTATCTTGAAGGAACCGTATAACCGGGCCTATAAATCGGGGAGAACCGTATCAGCACTTGATCGAATAGGAAAAGCAAGATGAGAGGATAAATGGATTCATACTATAATTCAGCAGATAATCTCTCTGCGACTCGCACCGCCTGCAGTCTGACTCTTCGTTTCGAAGGTCTCTCGCGAGTCTGAACTGTTCAACGCCCTCGGGGGTCATCTTGCCCGTAATACCGGCGTAGATATTGCGGAAGTGAGTAAGAATATCGTCCCCGGGCTTGAACCCGGTAGATCTTTGCTTCTTATCTGAGGCATCGTTCCCCGTCGACTGTGAATCTGCCATTGTCCTCTTTTCTACTTCTTCTGCTTCTTCTGTTTCCTCCGCGTCGCTTCTGTCTTTGCGTCTTTGCGTCTTTGCGTCCTTCGAAGCTCCAGAACTTTGAACCATTACATAAGCATTTCGGATTAATTATATTCCTTGATTCGCCTCTGATTGGCTAACATCGGGCTTTTTGGTTTCGGAGTTTTCTTGCGCCGGCATTTCATTTTTCTTTTTCTGATTGGTGGGTTATTCCTTTGGTTTTTGTCAAGGCTGAATCAACGATAAGGGCGAATCCCAAACGCTCTCCTCATCCCTGGCCTGATTATACCTAGCAGATAGTACGAGAGTACCAGCAGGCTAGTGAGCGGGCGAGAGGAAGAAAAGTGTTTTAAACATCCATAAATATCTTTTTGCTGTAAGAAAAGTCTTTGTAAAGTTTAATCCGGCTATTTTCGGCTGGTTTCTTTGGTCCCAGTGAAGAGGCAAAAGATCTATCTGTCTTACTCCTCCGAAGGTACCAACAATATTTTCTTTGCGCATAGCTATCTTCAAGTTCAAACAACAACTCTGCTGGAGGATAACGAATTTTTGACTGATTATACACTCTCGATTTATCCAGGCTACGACTGTCTACAGCCATGGCGCAGTCTCCGAAAAGAACCCCTCCTTCGGTGATGGACACCGTCACCGAACAAATCGGCAACACCCCTCTTGTTCGGCTCAACAAGCTCCCCAAGAGCCTGGGTATAGAGGCAACTGTTTATGCGAAGCTGGAATTTTTCAATGCTGGCGGCAGTGTCAAGGACCGCATTGCCCTGCGCATGATTGAAGAGGCCGAGCGCTCAGGGCGGATAAAGCCAGGCGACACATTGATTGAACCGACCAGCGGTAACACGTATGTACCGTACCCTATCCTGCAGAGGATTATGCAGGATGCGCAAGTGCAGAACCTTGCCTTGTCCTGCTTTTGAGTTGGGAATTAACGGCCGGTGAATTTTAGGGGAATCGGATTGGCCCTTGTTGCAGCTGTCAAAGGTTTGGCTTCAATCCTTGCTCTTACGACATGAACAACCCTGGCTGATGATATGTTTCCCTTTTAGGATATAAGGCGATCATCACATTGCCCGAGAAGATGTCCGCAGAGAAGGTTGCGGTGCTTCGTGCCCTAAACGCAACCATCATACGTACCCCTAACGAAGCGGCGTTTGACTCCCCCGAATCACATATCGGAGTGGCCAAACGTTTGGAGAAGGAGTTGCCTAATGCGCATATTCTGGACCAGTACGGAAACGAGAACAACCCTCTAGCGCATGAATTTGGAACCGCAGAAGAGATCTGGACTCAAACGGAAGGTAAGGTCAGCGTAGTAATTGCTGGCGCTGGTACCGGTGGTACGATCACTGGTATTGCCCGTGGCCTGAAGAAGCACAACTCTTCCATCAAGGTTATTGCAACAGATCCTCACGGATCCATCCTTGCTGTCCCCGAACCACTGAACAAGGAGCACCTCAACGAGCCCTATAAGGTCGAGGGTATTGGATATGACTTTATTCCTGATGTCCTTGACCGGGAGATCGTTAACAAGTGGTACAAGACCGGAGATAGAGAGTCGTTCAAGTACGCTCGACAGCTCATTGCTGAAGAAGGCTTGCTTGTTGGTGGCAGCAGTGGGAGTGCTATCGACGGTCTAGCCCAAGCTGCAAGGGATGGTCAGATTGGCAAGGACGATATTGTGGTCGTTGTCCTGCCTGATAGCATCCGAAGCTACTTGACCAAGGTATGTATAGTCTTAATAACATTCTACAAAGAAACCTGTGCACTGACCTCTTTTCCCATAGTTTGCTGATGATGACTGGCTTGCGGCCAACAACCTACTCCCTGCAACTGTTCAAGTACCACAATCACCACAACTACCTCCACAGGGATCAACTGACCAGTTCAATGGCGCCAAAGTTAAAGCCCTTCGTCTCAAGCCTGTCACCACGGTGTCTGCCAACTCGCCTTGTTCTACCGCCATCGAGACCATGAGGGACAAGGGCTTCGACCAGCTCCCAGTCCTTGCAGCTCAAGGCCGAAGACTGGTTGGCCTTATAACTCTCGGGAACACCCTCAGCTGGATCTCCCGTGGCAGAGCTACCGGCAACAGCCCAGTCTCAGATGTCATGTTTGACTTCTCCAAGATCTCTGAGATCATCACTGACCCACGAAACCTCGACAAAGTTCCAAAAGCCTCTGATGACCACGCTGGCAAGCGCAAGGGGTTCGTTGAAATCACCATGGATACTCCCCTGAGCGTCCTCAACCGTTTCTTCGAATGGAACAGTGCTGCCGTTGTGACCGAAAAGGATGAATCTGGCCACATGAAACCACTCGCTGTTGCAACCAAAGTCGACCTCCTGACTTGGCTCCTACAGCAGAACAAGTTGAGCTAGGTCTCACTAGCTTTCTTGTCTGCTGGTTTCCTTTCCCACGTTCCCATTCCACACAATCTAAAGGTGGTGTGATTTTAGATCAACGTTGTCATGACATGTTTTTTCATTCCCGTTTCATAGTTCTTCAACAGGCATACCTTACAGGTTAGATGTTTCAACGACTGCTGCATTGTTTCTGATGGGGGGTTGTGTTTTTAGATCTCTCCCTCTTTTTTTTCAACATTTAAACCGTATACATGGATGGGATAATACCATAGTAATACATCGAGGCTTTTTTGTTGACGAGTTGTTTTATTAATTGCAAGCTCTAAATGAGAGCCTCCAGAAAAGGGAGAGTGGCCCAAGTCGTAATAAAACTGGCGACAGGACGCACGTGTTATTGGTGGAAGTAATGCCTTATGGACATATTGCCAATTACTGTGGCGGTTGTGTACCGGCAGGATAGTTTGGGAGGCAGTGTTTCTGAGCAAGGACGAAAGTTCCTCAAATTGGCTTTGTTAAAGATGACTGCTTCACTGAAGTTGATGCTTTAAAAGTTTTCATAATCGTTCATAGACATTGGCCCATCCACTGTTCCCAGGACCGAAGACCAGACGTAGCGTCGTCTCTATAATCTGTTGTGACGCTTCCTCCCAGGAAATCAACTTTGATGCCAGATTCGTCTTCTAGAAGCTGGAAAGTAAAAGGTTGATTGCCAAAAGAATCGGTCTCATCATCGTTTTCCGCGTCAGGATTGGTCAAACCCTTCCTTCTCGTCTCTCGAACTGCTTCAATTTCTGCTTCTAGCTTCTCCTTCACCATGGCCGGTGGGATTGCAGCAAATAGGTCTTGTTTGTTTGCTGCTACTAAAACGGGGGTGGTACGTGATCTAGCAGATGTTGAGAAACGGTGGAGTATGATAAGAACATCGTATAGGTATCTTGCAATATCGGCTAGCTGTCCTGCGTCCAGCAAAGTACCAGCGTCGATCATGAAGATCACGCCACGAACTTTGGCCTTGGATTGTTTCTGCTTTGCAGGATCTAGCAATTGGGCGATAACTTCGAGATCACGAAGTTTGCCATGTCCGGGAGTGTCTCTTAGAGAGAACGTCACGCACTGTTTATTTGCCTGTGCCAATGTTGGATCATTGACAGAACGGTATTTGTCTGAGCCCTTCCTTACAGCCGGATGAAGTGAGACCGCAACCGTAGAAGGGATTTGGGAAGTATGTGTTGGTCGATGCTCGAGGTTTAAGGAGGTGCCTTTTTCCAGCTACAAACTAGTTAGTGAAACGGCCCAGTAGCGACAAAAGAATGATACTATAGCTGACTTTAGCACAGAGAGCTGTCTTGCCTGACCCGCTGGAGCCCAGTAAGATGAACAGGTCGGACTTGGTGGTGGGAGCTGTACGGTAAAGGAAGACGTGTAAAATCAAAGGTAGCAAGAAGGCCACGAGGCAAGTGACCACAATAGCAACTGGATTGGCTGAGAGCAGGTAGGTCGCGATCTCACTCGCAGAATTCCATTGCATCGTGGCGTCTCTATACCTTGCTGTCTTGCAATGGTCTTTTTTTAATCCACGGCTTGTGCTCCTTTTATAGAGTAGAGTAGTTAGGTTCCCTTAGCTAGCTGGTGCCACCAAAGGCTGTTGACAGTTTTCTACCCGGACCACACCACCCACTGCTGGGTATCGCTAAGGAGTGTATCAGCAAGGATCTACCACGAGCAAGTAAGAGACCAGAGATGCGTCAGCAGCCGTCACAGAGGCAGCAAGGATCCCAGCTCTTTTTATCTCGGTCGAAGGCAAAACACTCTTGAACTTTGGCCTTTTTATCTTTTTCCTTTTCCTACCAAATCACAAACAAACCGCGGAAGTTCATTTCACGTGACTGCTATGCTTATGTTATATTTATATAATACAGCCATGACTAAGTATTGTCTTACTCAGCTCTTACTCAGCCGTTCTTATCCTCTCTTATCCAGGATGTTTTTGTCTTTCCAACCGTTCGAAGGAAGCAAGAATAATTAACGACCTAAGAAACATCGTCACAACGGCCGAAACTTCTCGTATCCTCGTCGACTATAAATACTTAGCGCTCTTCCCTCCCCGCTTGGGGCGTCAGGATGATGTACTTTCTGCCTCTTCTCGCCCTTGCTGCGTGGTTCAGCATTGTCTCTGCTGTCGACTTCATAGCACCACATGCACAGGCAGTGCTCGATGTTACCTCTAGCATCGATATCGAGTGGTCGTTCCCGGAGAACGCTACCTCATACCTGCTAGGGACTGATTATAGTATATGGCTGTGTGCAGGAGGCAACGAAGAAAAGACTCATGTAAGAAGGGAAAAAGGGAATTGTTGGGGGCGCTGTTAATTGATCGCTAATGGTGTGGTGCAGGAACGCGTGGCACACCTATTTAAGGGGACCATCTTCAGCAACCCCGTTCAGACCTCTGTTGAGGTTGACCCTACTGTGGGAGGAGAGTATCCCAATGGCTAGTAAGTGTCCAGTAGTTGGGATATTTTTATTATTGATATGATGCTAATTGGTTTCTTTCCAGCTTTCTGGAGGCTGTCCTAACTGGAATGCAAGGGTACTCATACCGCTTCACCCTCACTGGTATGACGGGATCCTTCTCGCCAATAGTTGAGAAGGGGCTCCAATTACTCCCTAAGCCGGATGGATCAGAAACACTTCGAATCCAGGAACGTCAAGTTCCAGCTCCGGGTGCAGCAGTACCCCCAGCACCAGGCGCAGCCGACCCTCCAGTACCGGGTGCAGCCGATCCCCCAGCTCCAGGCGCTCCAGTACCACCAGTGCCGGGAGCAGGCAATCCCCCGGTACCACCAGGGGGCAAACCACCTGCCGGAGCACCACCTGCTGGAGCACCCCCAGCAGGAGTACCCCCGCCTGCTGCTGCACCTCCGCCCGCTGTACCGCCTCCAGCAGTTCCGCCACCGGCAGCAGAGCCAACGGTTATCCAAAGTGTACCCTACTCGGAACAGACTGGGACCATGAGATTTGCTCCCATGCCAATGCATCCACCAAAGAAAATTTCTCTCAAATCACCCAAACCTCAGTTTCCTACCAGTCCATACAAAATCGCTACTACCTTCCTCCCACCGCCTACTGTTAGGACTACCATTTCTGCTTCTGTTGTCCAGACCGCCGAGGCCCATGAAAACACTGTAAGCTACACTCCCTGAATATCCTACACTCACGAGACACTCGTTAACTTCTTCCTCGTAGCATGCTCCAGCAGATATGGACGAGGACATGGCCAGGTTCCTCAAGCGATGGCAAGATTGAACTGCCACCTTGGTAATATAATATAAGCTCAATAATAGCAATACCCCAGATCTGTACACCCTAATTATGAAAGTATAGGTTATTGGCGTTTCGAGGTAGACATGGGAGGGCCCCTGAAACAGAACATTCCCTTACTGAACTCCATCTGGCCTCTCACAGAGTCTGAGATGAATAAGCGCCGATATTGTAGGTATCCTAGCTGGCTTTGGATGCCTGCGACCCTCAAAACGCCTCTATGTTCCTACTCGAGCAACCAGAGCTACCAACATTGTTAATGTTATAATGATGTTGTTGAGAGTACATCTAGAACCTTGCCTCTATGACATTTGTCTTCCCACCTTCTATATACAGAATTGTGCAACAAAAAATTAGCTGGTTCTCTCTCTCCATTACTGAATCCAGCAGTACTTTTCTCTTTTGCCTCCCTCTCCTTCCTCCAAGTGCACGTAAGTTCCAGGTCAAATCCATTCAACCAAGCAAAACGAAAACAAAAAAAACAGGAAGAAACAGAAACAGGAATCAAACAGTACCAATATGGTTTTGCTAGCATGCTCACAACTACAAGACTACTGATTAGCGGAAGCAGCAGGGATATCATCAAGGGGATTTTTGTCGTTATTCGTTTCAGGCGCCGGCGAAGACAGACTCGTTGGAGTCATGCATCGACTCGGCATTTCAAAGAAAGCCAGGTTCTCTCTCGACACAGCATACTCGCTGCCAGAGTACCCTAGCACGGAGTGGATCTGGGTACTCCTTAGGCCCTTGATACGAGAAAGCTCAGCATATCCGTAATTGATAAGGCCTCTACCCACCTCCTTGGCTTCCCTAGGGGTGCTGCAGGTCATGGGATAGTCATCGTTTAGCTCGGTATGCGATGGACGCGGTGCAACCATCACCTTTACAGCTTCCATGTACCCAAATTTGCCCTCGACTGCGATCACGCCGGATGGGAGGAGATAGCCTGTGTCTCGAATGGTGTTGTACGCCTCTTCATCGATATAGACACTTCCGTGAGGCTTAAGACCGTGGAGAAGCCAGAAGGACCTAGACTGCACGGGCGAGTCTGATGGGAGGAAACAAGTGTGCAGTGGTGGATCGGGCTTTGTTTCTTCTATTCCCAACGCACTGTCTGACGAATTTGCATCACTGGATGAATGATGCTCGATGATCTCTTCGATGGTGCCGGGACGGGAGCTACGGGTGATGACAGTTGTAACACCGGCACTTGTGGCTAGTCTTGCCGCCACAATCTTTGAACCCATGCCGCCGGTACCTAGAGATGATCCAGCAGAGGACACGTCGGCCTCAAGACTTGAGATGTCCTGGACGATGTCAATAACCTGAGCATCGGGATTGGTCCGGGGGTTGGCGGTGTAGAGCCCATCTACATCGGTCATAAGGAAAAGATAGTCTGCTTCGATCATCGCTGCTGTGATAGCAGAAAGCGTATCGTTGTCGCCAAATTTGATTTCCTATTGGATTGAAATCCCTAGTCAGCAACTGATATCTCACCACTTATGGTGTTGTGATAACGAATAATTGGGTGGCTGGTTCCCAACTTACCGATACAGTCAGCGTATCGTTCTCATTGACGATTGGGATAACACCCATGCTAAGAAGCTGAGCAAGCGTATTTTGGGCGTTCACATATTGAGTCCGCTATATAATACCTGTTAGCCAACTGTCCCACTTTATTTTCTTGGTGTGCTCGATCTTACATCAACAATGTCGTTTCTTGTGATAAGGATCTGGGCAATGGGCTGGCGCAGGTGGCTGAACAAGCTGTCCCAGGTACTCATGAGCTGGCATTGGCCGACTGCTGCCAAAGCCTAGAAGAGTTGTGTCAATTGAAAGGCCATCCTGGCATTTGAATGTGGAGCATACCTGAATTGAAGGGAGATGCTTTGGTCTCTCAGCAACGTCCATTCGCCGCATACCAACACCTACTGCGCCGGACGATACTATGATAACATCGTGGCCATCTTTTCGCAGCTTCACTGCGGCCTCAACGATGAGTGTCAGGTTTGACAAGATCGGCTCATGGGACTTTTCATCCACAATGGAGCTCGTCCCTATTGTCGACACAGTTAGTCATAAGGCTATGCTAGAACACATACTCAGATAAGAGAGAGCTCGACATCGACCTACCCAGCTTTATCACCACCTTCAACGACTTTGAACCCGCCATCTTGTATTGTCTGGTCTACTTCGGTATGATCTGGGTGTCCATGAGTATGACGAAATGCGGGATAAATCTGTCTCTAATCAGAGACCAGAGCCAAAGGGGAGAGAAAAAGGAGAAGAGAATAAAGCGTCCAGCTGTGCCTGTCGAGACTCCTTCGATGCTGTCCTTTGATATACCAAGCCTCTCTTCTGAGCTATCCAGGCAAAGGAGAAGAAGAAGAAGAAGCTGAAGCATTATATATATAAATATCTCTTCGCCGAGTTTCCCTTTTGGGCGGAGGATGTTCTGCCGCCACTTATGTAAGCGGGGCAAAGTCATGTGGGTCCCGAAGTTCCCTTTTTTGCTTTTTCTTTGTTTTTCTGCGTATATTTTTATTCTATTTTTTGCATGTGGAAAGAAAATCAACGACATCAAACTTCCTGTTGACTTCAGTTGACTCGGGTCACTCGAATTAACACCGTCATGCATACGTTCCGGGGGCCGCGGATAAGGAAGACAGAAGAGACAAGCGTTTCACCGCATTTGCCATACTAAGTTTTGCCGCCACACGCTGATATCGCTGATATCGTCACCCCTTCGGAGTACATCACTGGAAGAACAAAAATCCCGCTGCTGAGGCTAATAGGCTTCGAAGCCGTCCAAACCATCGACCCCGTGGAGTTGCTGAGCTGAGCGGACCTTCCCCGAGCGAGATGACGGGCGGAGACCAAGGGGAGCAAAGCAGATTGCTCTGTGCCTGCAAGTGGAGTCCCGTTCTGCGAAAACACGGTACGTCTGGGAGGATATACTCGAAGGATCGTGTTTTGCTCTTTGACCGCTTGAGATGGGCAGATACGGGAGCAAAGTGAGGGGGGAAAGGGGTGCAGAGTGATGCTGTATCCAGTTTATAAGGTGCGGTATTGGTGTATATGTTGCTAGAGCTGAAGGTAGGAGAGGACTGTGTATGGATAATATATATCAAACCGTTGTATATCGATGTAGATTTTCATCAGTATTTGCCGCGGCTGGTCCCGCTGACGGGATGAGGGATATACTTATGCGACAAGTCCTATACGCAGGCTAGGGTCAGGGATGAGATTAAAGTCCTCATTGGCTGGTAGCCTGCTGTTTGACTATCACTGAAGATCCCCAGGGGTATGACAACATCCAAGTAACAACACCTGTACTAGGAAGTATACCTAGGAGTACAATAAAAAATCTTCATTAGAGAGAGCAGAACAGTAAAGATAAAAAAACAGGATTACTTTAACAGGTAAAAGTACCATCTATAAAATATCACGGGCTATTATATCCGTAGTATACATTGTTATTAAAACAAAACCATCCATCATAACTCAGAATATCGTGCTGCTATGCAGAGTGCAGTGCGGGTGCTTTCAGGCGCTTTCCAGATTGACATCACTGGTAAGATAAATAGGTATAACACAAAAGAAAGAGAGCGACAAAGGAAAAAGTAAAAAAAAGGAGAAGAATAATAGAGGAAGTATATGAGTCCCTTGACAAAGGAGATGGATGGGATGGTCAACAAACCAAATATCTGAAAAAAGTAGAGAACTCCTGGCCCTGCCTCCCCCAAATTAAAACGCCTTCGCCGTGTTTGTCCCCGTTGATATAACCCCTGGCTTGCTCATCGCACAGCTGGTGCGAAGAAATTGTAGCAAAAAGAAAAGAAGAAAAGAAAACCGCTGAAGTATTATTTAGCTTTACTTCAGTGCGAGACGGAAATATTGGCATCAATCGCATTTAGACGTCCATCATTTCAGCGTCTTCGTTGAGTACCTCGTCAGCTGGTCCCCAGTTCCCTTCGTAAATTGTGGCGCCTGCTCGGCGTCTCTGCTCAGCCCATTGCACACCGAAGGACTGAAGGATCTCATCGGCCACAGGACGGTCTGGAGGATTGGGGGAGATCATCCATCCAACCAGTTTATCGAGAGCTTGATCATTATCTGCATCAACCATAAAGGCTGGAGGCTCTGCAAGTTCTCCACTGCGGGCGCTGGAGGCACCCTTCCGCTGAGCCAGCTGGAAGTAGTTGGAAGAAACATCCTGTGAGGAGCAGTCTCTGTCGAAATCGTCAAATGAGGACAGGTTTCCAAATGAAGACTCAACCAGTGGATTGCCTGAAGCATCACGGAGGATATTGCTGCTTTCTCCGCTCCAGGTCAGGCTTGGAACATCACTCATGTCCCCGTTGCGGAGCTTCTGCCACGAGACTTCCAATATCTGGGAAGCTCAACGTTCCTGCGATCTCAAACATATCAAATCCGAGAGCGAAGATGTCTGCGGTTTGTCGTATTGCCATCAGTACTTCTGGCCCAATGTACTCTCTGTCCCTTCACCTCAATTCCAGCCGCAGCAGGCCAACGTGTAGCAAGCCCAAAGTCTGCGATCTTCAAGACGCCTTCGAAGGTGATGAGAATATTTGCTGGCTTCAAATCCAGGTGAATAAAACCTGTGTCGTGAATATGTTTTAGGCCCTAAAGGGAGTGAGTTTAGTGGATTTCCTGCAGATATAATGATATAGGTGAGCTTACGTGTGCCAACTCTAGGAGGATCTTCCATATCCTAAAGTCGTCTAGCCTAGCTTTTAGGCCAACTTGGGAGAGAAATACGTCAAGGCTGCCTTCTTCACAGAACTCAGTCTGGATATAGAGGTATCCCTTGTCTTCCCAGCTATCAACATAGCTGATTATATGGTCAGAATCACGAAGAGCCTTGAGAGCAACGACTTCATTATTTCGCCTTTCGCGGTCTTTGGATCCAGCGTATGGTTGTTTGGATTTTTTAACAGCCCATAATTTCCGACTGCCTGTGTTGGTAGGTGTCGAGTTAGAAGAGAGAGGTGTCTGAGACTGGAAAAGCTGGCTTGATGGAGGAGAAACGCGCTCGGAAACGGAGTAAACGAGGGAAAATTCTCCCGTGCCAATGAGCTCCACTTTGTCAAAGCGTGAGTTTAGACATGGGTCAATATCAGGGGAATTATAGCCTCCGAGTGGGAAGCTAGTTCGTTTTCCAAGATTTGGAAACGATTCACGAGGAGCGGTGGGAGTTGCAGGTAGAGTTGAAGCGTTCGCCTCTATAAGACTGAAGGTGTGATCATCTGGAGCTGTTATTGAAAGATTACTAGCGTCGGGAGTCAGGGCATGATCCCGCGGAGTTCTAGGAGGCCCGGACTCTGGGGTTTTACAGTAGAACGGGCTCGCTGAAGCAACGATCCATTAGTAAAGATGTAAAATTTAATGTGTTGTCGAAAATCAAATCAAAAAGACCGGAAGGGGAGGGGTCTATCTTACAAAATAAACCGGGTTCACCTCTGCTGGCATCGGAGTTGTGTTGGTTTGCGGCTTGGAATTGGAATGGAGTGGAATTAGAAACGTGTTGAGGGAAGAGGCCTCGCTTGGTGGGTGTGGGAGGAAGGTCTGAGTCTGTGGCACATTGACTGTCAAACGGGGCTGATGGTGATCGTGGGATAGAGCTAATATCTCCGTCAATACTAGCCAGACTTCCACGCCGGGAATATGTTGACACGACACGGGAAGAGGGAGCCTTGACACGGTGAGTGAAGGGGGTCTCGAAGGAGCTGGATGACTTGTGGTAAGGAAGGAATTTTGCACTGTTGGCTTGGTGCAGAGGTTTAGGCCCGAAAAGCACATTTGATGCACGTTTGCAAGGAGTCTCAGGCATGTTGTGGCTCATGGTCGAGCTGTTACGGAAGTCCGAGACATTCTTGTTTTTCTTCGAAATCAGGCCAGTGGACATGAAAGCCGCAGGCAATGGTTTCACAAGCTTGTAGTTTTCTGGGGTGGAAAAGGGAGAAGCAGAGGCATTGGAAGATTCCTGTCGTAGAAGACTGGGGGCTCTGGGTGCTACAGCACCAATTGGCAGAGACTTGGAAAAGTTAAGGATCGGCCTGGCTTCTGGGAAACTTGAGTTTAGAGCTCTGTTAGTGGGAGAATCATCCCCCACGCTTGAACTGGACGAAGATTGTGTAATAGTGCGAGAGAGAGGATGCATAGGAGGGTGGAAAGTAGAAGAGGAAGGAGCTGCAAACAAAGACGCGGATGGGTTCGGAGACGGAGAAGAATCTGGGCCATTGAGGGGGAGAAAGGTTGAGTTGTCGATAGCCATGCGATTCTTGTTCTGTAGTAGAAGCGATCCATCATTCTCTGCACTTGTCTTTCGAACGAAGGGAGACCGCTCCGGGTGTCTTTGCTGAATAGTAGACCTTCTCAACGAGGATGAACGCTTCGGTATGGTAGAGAAATAATGACCGGGTGGTTGAAATCGAGGTTCCTTTGGATTTGTATTGCTTAGGGGAGAGTTGATGGCTGTGTAGCTGGACTCGAAGACGTCGAAGTCGGCACCAAAGCTGACGCCGTGCAAGCTTCTACGCTTGGCTGAAGGGCTCTCAGCACCGGGGGAATCCATAGTCATGTTGACATCTGTCCGCTTCAAAGGGCTAGAGGAGAGCGGTGGAATTCCCACTTCGGCGTTTCTCTCGTCCAGCGGCAGAGGTATCTTCTGTATGTTGCTCTATGGGAGAGGATAGAACGAGAGGGCTTTCCTGGCCGCTTCCGAAGAGCACTGGGCTCGGTGGGGTGGTGGAGACCTTTTCATCCATGGCTTCGATGCTAGGTGGCTCTGGAGAAACAGCAGAGTTCCCGTTATCCCTAGACTCACCTAGGACCCGTTTGGCTGAGCTAGACGAGTTGTTAGGCTTGGAAGAGTGCATGAAACGGCTCCGGCGAATAGGTGGGCGATGGATCTTTGCACTGGGAGGGAACGGAACGGCAACGGGAGACGGAGTGTTTGGATTAGGAACGAAGAGTATCTTGCCGTGGGAGGCCTGCTTCGAAGGTGAGAGATTGGAAGAAGTGAAATTCGGATGCCTGGTTGCCGGCGAGTTAAACGTGGATGGAGAGAGCAGTCTGAAGTCGGTTGTCTTGGATGGACTCCTCGATAGCGAGCGTCGAAGTTGACTCAGGGCCGAGTTCTTGTGTGTAGCATGGAAGCTGCTGGAGGAGAGATGCAGGGTGCCTCCGGCATCACGGTGAGGAGAGAACGAGGCCACCATTGCTCCAGGCTGATAGTTGCTTGCCTGTCTAGCAAGTGAGGTGAAGGCTGGCTCTCACTCACACACTCTTTCACTCTAACAGGATTTCTGGTGGGCTAGTAGTAGATAAGCCCTGTCTTGGGGCCGCACAAGGAGAAACAACAAGGCTCCTTATCGCGCCTTGGAGTGAATCTCCTCTTCCCCCTCCGCGTCGCAGACGGTTATCTTTATTGATAACAGACAGCAGTGAAGAGGCTCAGTCTGTGTTGATAATAAAGGAGAGGTTGTCATTCACAGTTGATTGGCAAGTTAACAACTGACAGGCAGGCAGATAGCGAGAGACAAGCCTATAGTGATGGTGTAACTCCCATCAGCAGCGCCTATGCAGCAACTCCAGCGCGAGAGTCAACGCCGATACTCATGCTCGACAAGGCGGATCTGCTGGCGACTTTATCAAGGCTAAACGAGTGTAAGGCGACCTGACTGATGGATGGACTTGACTCGCTGGCGGCCGATCGCGAGAGACGTGGTGCTGAGTTGGCTGGCGGGAGACCGGGCCGAGTCGTTATCCACGCTGGCAGGAGGAGGGTTTCTAAAGGAGTGACGACGAAAAAAGGGGGGAATCCGAATCGCAGGCCAACGCGATGCCAGATACAGGTTGTTGAATCAACGGCTTCTATGCTGGTGTGGTGGTGGTTGATGACAGTCGTTAGTCGTGTCGTGTCTTGGTGGCGGGTCGAGGGACGCAGCGAAAGTTGGCGATGTTGTTGATTGTGGTTGATTTGATGATGTTGAAGTTCGAAAGATAAAGCGAAAAAGGCTTTTTTTTTTTTTTTTTCGTTCACGCGATTTTTCGCGTTGTTGTTATGATTTCCCAGTTAGGTTTAGCGCTGTAAATCTCGTGATGGATATGGATGAGTCAGCAAGGCTAGTCTTGTTTTGGGAAAATGACAACAAACAAGACAAACAGGACAAACAAACAAACAGTGGCAGATAAGATAAGATGAGATTAGATGAGATGGAAGCTGAAGGCCTCTAGGGCTGTTGACGGCGGCAGCAGAAGAGAAGCGCAAAGAAGAGGACGGTGAGTATCGATAACTACGTGTATATACAATCTATATATATAATATATGGAGTAAGTGTACCCTGTGGAGGGCGCTAACTCTATTTACATGGATAACCGTGGGCGCAACGCCGTACCTGCATTCTTTTTATAGCCCATGCAAGATGGTGGACGGCGGCCAACGCCCTGCATCGACCGGCCCCTCGATGAAGCAGACAGCGTCTCAACTGGCGCTGGATGTCTGCAGGGCAAGAAGCTCGCGCCGGACCCCGTCGAGCACCCCCAAAGCCTTGTCGCTGCTGGGGCCAAACACTCCGACATCCAGCCTGTTGTTTCTAACCGCCGCCTCAATATCCACGGACGGCTGTGGAGATTGCTTCTTGTTAGCCTTCTTCTCTTCAGGGGAATCCTGGGATAACTGGGACTCTGAGGGGCGTACCTTGTAAACATCTCTTGCGTTCCCCAACTCAACTCCACTCTCAACTCCAAGCATCATCTCTTCCAGCCAAAGCTTGCTGTTGCAGCTATTTCCCGCCCTATCCACTTGCTCGCTGCCGTTGCTGTTGCAACTTTCCTTGCTCTGCCACTCGAGGACCTCCTCCTCTGTAACTTGAACTAGTTGCGGGGCATCGCTCGTCACTGTTGATGCGTGTGCCACGACCTCCGGTAACTTGATAAAGTTCACTGTTGTGTCGAGCCTGGTTCCTGTCCACTCAGCTATCCGGGCCAGTGACACGGCGCAGTTCTCGGCAGAACTGATTTCATGCAGGTCACCCTGGATGTTGCGCGCGAGCTCGAATACGGAGCGAGATCCTGGATCCTGGATGCGGAGTGGTACAATGTTCAGAGTTGGCGCCACAAGCTCTGGAAGTCCCACCAGGTCGTGGGAGCGGTTTGCCAGATACACACCAACTGTCAAGTCTGCTCCGCGGACATGGAACTCTCTCACATGTACCTTGGAGTAGACTGCTAGGAACACAGCCTGCACTGATAATCCTTCTGCCTGGCAGACCTTATTCAGCTCGTCGGTATTGTCCAGGAGAGCTGGCTGATACTTTCCTGCCCCGATTTGGACGTCCAGCACGGGCCCGGGAGCGTCTCTAACACCCAGAGCATCATTTCCTAGATAACCTTTCCAGAATGTCTCTTGCTGTGCTGCAGAAGACCTGGTCTCGCAGTGGAATATAAACTCCGCAATGTCCACCGGTGCATTTACTGGAGCAGACACATCCTGGCATAGTGACTCGAGTATGTTGATAAGATGCTGAAGCACCACTGCATCATAGAGGGCGTGGTGGATATGTAGCATTAGCAGAGTCTCACTCTCCGTATGAGAGGCATATAGGTAGACAAGCCCGGAGCCCTGTATGGCCTTGACGTGGCGACGGTTCGATTTAACCCTCAGATCAGGTCTCCAGATTATAGGATTATTGGCTTGCTTCAGCTCAGCCAGTACGTAAGGCGTAGTGGCATCACCAATAGGGAGAATCATTGTCCGAAGTATCGGTAGTTTAGCAGTCAACACTTCCCATGCGTTGTCCAACTGGCTCTGTGTGATGTGGCCAGTAACTCTGTAGAAGAAGTCTGGGAAGAAGAGCTTTCCACCCGAATTCTTCCACATCTCTAGCATGTAGACCTGCCCTGCGGAAGCAGGGAGGAGTTGCTTGACATCTTCACACTTCGTGCCATATTTCTCCAGCTGTATATCTGTGTTATTATCTTTGGGCATCTGCAGGGAGGCGAGTTTCTCCCTTGAAATTGCCGAAGTTGCCCTCTCCTCCTGAGCGGAATTGACTACTTCAGCCATCTTACCAACAGTTTCCGCTCGCAGTATATCCCTAACGGAGATGGTCACAGACTGCCGTCTGAGTAACGACGAGACCTTGATAGCGCTGATACTATCAATACCGAAATGGAAGATTGTAGTGCGCTTGGTGATCTCTTCCTTTGGTACAGCGGCAACTAACGACAGAGTATCCCTAATCTTCTCTTCTAGTGGTGACCACGATTCGCTCTCCACAGTGATGCCATTCGATCTACTAGGCAAGGAAGCGCCATTCCCATTCACACCATTGAGAGGTAACTGTTCTTTGGCCTCAACAAAGTCTGCGGTCAGTTTCCCTGGTGATTGAACAATGTCTTTGAATACCTGCAAAAGCTGCAAGGTAAGCTTGTTGGTATCTTCCTTGCTCAGAACAGTATCTTTGCAGGCAACGCGCCATACTGCAGAGTCACCAGTAGCTTCTAGTTCGACACAGACGGAATACTCCACGCCCGATGAGCTATTGATCGATTGATAGAGAGGCTTATATTGGCTTTCCTGGGAGTCAGGGCTCTTCTGGTAGATGAAAAGGGTATCAAAGAGTTCCTTATTTCCTACCCCCATCATAGACTTTATCTTTCGTAGCGGATAGTGCTGATGGCCCAGCATATTGCCGAGATTTCTCTGTACGTATTCCAACATCTCGGACACAGAACCATGTAGAATTCCACGGACTGCAACGGTGTTCATTGTTGGGAAAGCAACATTTGAAGCTTCTTCTGTGTCTCGCCCAAGCATCACTGTGCCAAATAGAACGTCTAGCTGCCCCAGGTAGCTAGCAAGAACAATAGCCCAACATGTAAGACCGAGAGCCTGGGCTGTAACGCCATAGGCCTTGCAAAAGTTCAATACTTCCGAAAGTGGTATATCAGAGGCGGTCTCGTCACGGTGCACCAGAGCTCCCTGGCTGCCAGCACCAGACTGTGGGGGAAATGTACATGGCTTTGCATCTGCGAGAGCACCTTTCCAGAACTGCATCCCTGCTTCTCCGGATGAGTTGATAATATGTTCAAGGACATGCTGATAGGATGGACGTGCGTTATTCTGGCCTGAGTAGACGCTAGCTACGTCTTGATGCAAAAGACTGAGCGACCAGCCATCGTACATGGCATGTGGCAGAGAAAGTATAAGTAGTAATTTGGCTCTATCTCGAACGAGGCGTAGGTTGAATAGTGGCTTTGACATCCCGAGTGACAATGCCCTTGCTCGCTCCTGTTCAAGAATAGATACGATAGAATTGTCCGAAATATCAACAATATTCCAGTCGATTTTAATGCTTGATTTGTGAATGAGCTGTGCGTAAGAGAATGGCAAGTCTGGGTCAGATATCGTGGCAAAGGATGTTCGCAAGATCGGATGACTATTCGCAACAGTCTCCCATGCCTCCTTCAACACGTTGACATCGACATCTTCCCTAATTTGTAGAACGTCATGGTTGAAATAATTATGGCCATCAGACCGTGCCATTTCACTCATCATACCTTCCTGTAGAGGTGTCGCAGGATATACATGCTCGATATCTCCCAAATCTTTCTCATCTGCTTCTAGGGACCGTCGTAATTGAGTCTCTAAAGATGTCAAGTAAGCCAGATTGGTGTTTGTGGCACTATCATCCACTGTGATCTCGGTTATCATCATTCGAATAGTTCGATTTCGCATGATGTTGCCTACAGACAAATCTATGTGGTCACGCTTCATGCGAGAGGAGAGCTTGATGGCATCTATGCTATCCAACCCAACCTCAAGTATGGAAGCGTCCTCGTTAATTTCTGACACATCGAGGTTTGCTAATTTAGCAATCTCTTGCCTTAGCAATGAAGCCGTTGGGTTCCATTGAAACGAAGCAATGCCATTGGATGGGTTGTCTCCCAGGTCTTCGTTTGCAATTTGCTTCAATGAGGCCTCGCTCCGAGTTGAACTACCTGAGAAGCTAAGTTTTGAGGAGGGCTCTTCCACAAGTATCCGTAAAGACACTTTAAACTGTTCTAGCAAGTCGGAAACACCTCCAGGAGTCAGGATATCTCCTCGAGAGGCGATTGTCACCTGGAAAGATCCATTTCCTTGACTCTGTACATCTAAAGCAAGGGGGTAATCCACCTCCGCAAAGGATGCCACAGGTTCCCATAAAGTTTCCCCTTGTTGGGAGGCGATACTTTCTTCTCTCTGGAAAACGAAGAGTACGTCAAACAGTGGACTCTGAGAATTTCGACCAATCCACTTCATTATTGATCTTAACGGAGTATGCTGGTAAGGAAGGACAGAGACAGAGTAGTCATGGCAGGCTTTAACAAGCTCAGAAAATGTTGAGAAGTTGAACCTGGGAATATTGCAAGGAATGGTATTGAATAAAGGTCCAATTGCGGTATCAGCCTCTCGCGAGTCAAACGATCTCCCAGATACCACAATGCCCATGGCTGGAACATAGTTGAAATATTTCTCGAACGTATGCACCCAGCAAGCATGGAACATTGCTTGTTCTGTAACATTGAGTGATCTTCTCATTTTCTCAATGCTATGGAATCCATCAATTTGAATGGTTGAGGTTCTGGAACCAGCCTCTGAGCGTGGTGCCAGTGGAATCGTTCTTTGGCTGAGGCCCTCGAGATGTTGGACCCAGAATGGTTTAGCAGTGGGCACAACACGAAGTGGTCCAAGAGGTAGTACCTCAGTGAACGGCATAGATTTCGGTACTTGCCGCCCATTGTATACATTTATCACAGCATCAAGGATGATCGGAAGGCTGATACCGTCGTATAAACCGTGGAATATGTTCAGGCACATCCACCTGCGCTTTGGGCTGGTGACAATGCCGATTTCCCAGACTCGGCCCATGAAATTATTGAAACCAAGACTCCACTCTTTGAAGCGGTTATCCGCTGCGCGCTCGAGTTCAGCATCCTTTGACGTTGCACATTCGAACCACGGTAGAGTCGCTTCCTTAAGAACAACAAGGGCATATCCGTCATCTGTCAGAGGGAACTTTGTTCGTAGCAACTGGAATGAAACTTGGGCTTGTTTCCAGGCCTCTTCAAGCATCGGTACATCGACATTGAGTACAAGTTCAAATTTGAACGAAGTCAGGTAAGGATGAGATTCGCTCCTCAGGGACTGATACAGCATGCCATCTTGCAAAGATGTGCAGGGAGTAATGGCTTCGATATTCTGTGGAGCCACTTGTAACTCCTTGGCTAGGTGTGACATGTGCATGTGAGAAAATGCAGCTATCTTTTGCTTTGCATCTTCGTACTGGCGCCTCTCACTTTCACCATTGCTGTCAGAAGATTCAATAGCCTCAGCTAGCATAGAAAGAGTTGGGCCTAAGAAAAAGTTAACACGATGTCCACTGTTTCGTTAATGCGGAATAAACTTACATCTCATCACAACTGATGGGCGGGCTGTTGGAAAGCCGGCTTCTCGTAGAGCTCGAGCAAAATTTATCACCAATATAGAGTCGAGGCCCAATTCGAAGATGTTTGAAGATGGCGAAATCAAGTTTTCTTCAACCTTCGTGAAGTGAGACATAATAGGTATTATTTTCCTAATTGTTTCCGTGAATTCAGCTGGATTTTCTCTCTCAGGACTGGACAATGCCTGCATTTCGCTTAGTAGCATGGATGCGAATATCCCTCGTAGTTGGCCGTTATCAATCTTGTTGTTAGATGACAAGGGAAACTTTGTCAACGGGATAATGTGAGTCGGAATCATGTACCCTGGTAGATGTGACCTACATTCCGAGCGAATGCCTTCCAAAATTATGGCGGTCTCATGGCTGAAATCAACTGCGGGACAAGTAGCTGTGGAAGCAGAGGTAAGGATAGTGGTAAATGACACTATCTGCTCCTTCGTTGCGGTGGGATGTTTAAGTACCATTGTTACCACATCCCCCACACTCTCCTTGGAATTTTTTATCACATGGTTGATCTCGTTAATTTCAAGTCTCTGGCCTCGAAGCTTCACCTGGTCATCAATACGACCAAGGAAGCAGAAACTTCCGTCATGCATCATACGGACCAAATCACCCGTTCGGTAAACTCTTTCCCCATATGTCTCAATATATTGGAACTTCTCTTCTGTCAACTGTGGTCTGTTCAAATAGCCCTTGCCAACAAGCGGGCCAGAGATACAAAGCTCTCCAATACCACCACGGATAACAGGTATACTAGTGCCCTGTTTGAAGACGTAACCACTAACATTATCAAATTGCGGACCGATGTTAGATGGCTTATCCAAAGAGGTGACTCGCGGAAGCATTGTGCAACCAATCGTGACTTCCGTTGGCCCATATCCGTTATAGATGACCTCATACGGCCCCCAATATTCAAGGATCTCTTGCTTCAGTTTCTCACCTCCTGTTATAAAGACGCCACGGCAAAGGGATGGGACATCATCGGGACGAATCAACTGTGCCAGGCTGGGGGTCAAATCAATATGTGTGATAGACAGGTCGCGAAGGGTCCCCGCAAAATCTTCAAACAGAGTATCTCTAGGGCAGGATGTCAAACATATTCCAACACTCCATGTCCAATACTGCTCAAGGACGCTGACATCGAAGTGAAATGAAGCAAATTGGAACCACCGAGAAGATTCGTCCCAGTGGCCGCCGAAGAGCCGTTGAAATGACAGCATGGCTTGAACAGCATTATCATGGGTTATCTCACAACCCTTTGGTGTACCTGTGCTTCCCGAGGTATACAAACAATAGCATGTTGAATTGCCATCAATGGGGGCGTCCAGTGTCAGAGGCGTCGAGTTCACTCCATCGAGTAGGCCGTCTTCATTTACTGCCACCAACCTGATGCCAGCAAGACTTTGCAATTCATCTTGTTGTTCTATCCCGCATAAAAGGACTTCTGATCTCGAGTCGTCTAAAATAAATTGTTTTCGGGCGACTGGAGCACTGGGATCAATCGCTAAAAATGCGCAGCCAACTTTGAGGATTCCAAGTATCGAGAAGTAAGCTTCCGGACATTTTTGAAAGGAAACCCCAACCAAAGTGCCTTGCTTCACTCCAAGTTGGCGGAGAAGGTTGGCATATCGGTTCCCTTGTTCATCCAAATCTCTGTACGTCCAGCTCTTGATAATAAGTTTGCCATTGACTCTCTCTGCAAATTCGAGTGCGACCTTGGATGGGTGTTTATCTGCTCCAACTTCTACAAACTGATGTAAAAGTTGAGTCTGACAATCAATTTTAGAATCCTTTCTTGGTAAAACAGACACAATGGAGCGGTTTGCGGTATCAAGGGAGGAAGAATTTGAATCAGGGTTTTGTAAAATATCCATCAGAAACCAATCAAGTTCGTCGAGGAGCAATGAGGCCTGACCATCAGGTAGGATGTGATTTTGATAAGTAACCGCAAGTCTGAGCTTATCATTACTCGGAATCAGCTCAATGGACACAGGGTACTATATAATTGTTAGCACAACACATATTTCGCCCTCGGTTCATTTCACTCACTTCGGTTTGACTGTCTTCCTCAATTACCTCCCAAAGATAACTTTGCTTTTCTGCGGAGGCTAGTTTTTGGAAAACGAAAAGAGTATCGAAGAGGGGGGAGTCAGATTTGCTCAGACGCTGAATCTTTGCCAGAGACGTAAATTGATATTTCACAGCCATGGCATTTGATTTCATAATCTGTTGAAGCAATTCCCGATTCGTAACTTCAACATTATTCTGAGCTGGTACGGTTGTAAGACAAGGAAAGGCAGTATCTTGAGCTTCTTCGGAAATATCTCGACCAGAAAGGACCAAGCCATATGTCACATTAGACTCTCCAAGGTATGATGAGAGGATTCGAGACCATGCAGCCTGACCAACAGCCTGTAAGGTAACACCGAGCTCACGGCATCTCATTTGTAGCTTCTCCATGGTAAGCGAACAGTCTCGGGAAAGGGAACGAATATCGTCTATTTCAGCATGGATAGGATTCATGTCAGGGAATTTCGTGGCACTAAACGATGGGCCTACCTCTCCCCAATAGCTTTCAGCTTCAGGGGACTGAAACTTTTCGGCCATGAAACCCAGGACGGATGACACCGGAATCATTGGAGGTAAGGCGGATCCATTATAAACCTTTACCACTTCTGAAAGTATAAGGTTCATTGAATGAGCATCGTAGAGAGCATGATGGGCTGAAAGTTGCATGAGTGTGAACTCGCTGCAAGGTTTAATGGTAAGGAACCACGGCGGGCGGTGGAGTTGATTCAATATATTCCGGCCATTCAGATGCCGTTCATATCTCACGTCTGATATGCTCTTAGTCGGGGATAGACACTCATTCCAGGGCAATTCAATGACTCCTGGATGGTATGTCACCATCGCGAATGGGAACGTATCATCCTTCACGTCACAGAATCCAGTTCTCAACATCTCATTCCTCTCCATGATGCTTTCCCATACGAATCTTAAAGCAGCAAGGTTCAATGGTGTTGGAGATTTCAAAGTCAGGCTGTTGAAATATAGTACACCTTCTGAGTTTACGAAGGATGCAAGCATGCCGGCTTGCGGTGGTGTGCAAGGCCGGATAGCTTCCACATTTCTTTCCGATAGTCCCAACTTATCGCAGATAGAGGGCAGATGCAATAATTGGAATTTATCAAAGTCAAAGTTGTGAAGGGCCAGCCCGGCGTTGTCGTGTGCTTTTGGCCCCTGGAGGAGCAACGCAATTTCTCTAATCGAGGGTCCCTGAGTGTGGTGTTAGCTTAGAAAGTGATACGAATGTTGATACTATATAGGAAAACTCGCCTCTAGAATATCAGCCGCCGAAATTTCATATCCAACTTTCCTGAAGTGACCAGCGATCTGGATCGCGTTGATACTGTCAAGCCCCAGCTCGAAAATTGTCGTGTCCATCTCGATGCGTTTTTTATCAACTTTTGACATCGTGGAAAGCAGGTCCCGAATTTGGAGGCTCTCCGTATCCCATATTCCAAATTTGTCGCGTTCGTCTGACTTATGGTCACCATTTACATCCCCTAATTTGCTGAAGACACTGAGGACTCCAGAAACGTGCCCGGCCAATTCAACTAAGGAGAAATCCATCACCCTAGCCTCTGGGAAGCAAAGTGTATGGTTTAGGATGGCAGAGTAACATGCAATGATGGTATCTATATCCGTTCTCGGTACAAGGCCCTCATCAAAGTGGAAAATGAATTGCACAGCATCACCTTCTAGGTCAGGTACAATCTCAAATATGACAGGGAAGTCCATCGCGCCACTTTCGGAGACCATTGTCCACAAAGACTCGTTCAACTGCAGGGGCCTTCCTTGTAGAAGGAGCAATGAATCGAAGATCTTTAGGCCACGCTGACCGAAGCGCGACTGAAGGCGTCTCATTGAACTGAGTTGATATGGAAGGGTGGCCAACCTGTTAGATTGCAAGTTCTTCATCAAGTCCATATTCGTCATATTCTGATTCATGCTTATCCTGACGGGCAATGTGTTGAAGCATGGACCGACTATTCTTTCTGCCCCTTCGATAGGTATACTTCTGCAGTTGACTACGTCTCCGAAACAGATATCAGACGCACCAGAAAGGAAGCATATCAGTCTACTCCAGGCTGCCTGTAGTAAGCTTAGAGTGGTCACAGAAGAGCTTTTGCAGGCATTCCTAATCTCAGTAAGGCTTGTGCTTGGTATATGAGAAGTTGATCGACATATTTTTAGACTTCCCTTAGCTAAGGAGGACGGTGGTGTAAATAATGTAGGAGTAAAATCTTTCAAGTAATCGCTCCAGAACCGGTCTGTTGAATCATTGTTGGCCCTGATCATCTCATGAAGATAGAGATCGAAAGGGACGACTGGTGGAAGTTGATGCGCAAGCAAACTCTCCTGAACCTCCCGCAAGAGGACTTCCATTGCTTCACCGTCATATAGCGCATGATGTATAGCCAAAAGTAAAAATGTTTTTGAAGAATCAACACACTGTACGACAGTAAACGAGCAGAGCGAATGCGGGCCCTCCTTGACAGCGACTGTAGACTTGATTCTTTCAAAGGTCGAGGGTGCATCGGCAATTGGGCATTCAATAGATTGCCACGTAATGTCAAGCTGCTTTAGTACGACTTGAACGAATGCAAACCGGGCATCATCAGTTTGTCGGAACCAGGTTCTTAGCATGCCATGCCTTGCAACCATATTTATCCATGCCGTCTTCATGGCCTCGGCGCTGGTGTTGATTTCAAAAATCAAATGGTTATAGTATGACGCATCATTTCCAGTTGCTATACCTGAAAGCATGCCTTCTTGTAAGGAGGTACATGGCAAAATCTTCTCGACATTTACCCCGTGCGAAATGGCTTCGTCCTTGATTTTCCTTATTAGGTCAGGGTTGAAAAGATGATCAAATATTGGAATGGACTGTAATTTTGGAGCCTGAGCTTCAAGGTTCTGCAATGTCTTTCTTGCAAGTCGAGCCACGGAATCGTTTTTCATAATGACAGAAACGTCAATCTGCCCAAAACCGGCAAGTTTTAGCTGCCTGGAGAGGGCGATTGCTACCACTGAGTCGAAACCTAGTCGGTAAAAGGACGTATGCCGCCCGATTTCTCTCGTAGAGGCTCCAGTAACTTGTGCAACGAGGTCCACGACTTTGGATTCATTGTCGGTCAGACTTTCCTGAGTATGTTCTTCTTCTTCCCCACGCGAATACGCATCAAGAAGTGTTGGATGGGTGCTCAGGTATATAGACCTCAAGACTTCCTTATCAATTTTCCTTCCAATGGTTGTCATGGGAATATGACTTATCGGTATGAGGAAGGACGGAACCATGTAACTAGGCAAACGATCGCCTATATGGTCAAAAAGCTGCTGGAAGACATGAGAGTTTTCACGCTGGCCCAGTTGGTCAATATTGATATCATCAGGGACCCAGAACGATATCAACTGCTTGCTGCTGCCATTGTTGCCGTCGCATACGATTGTTGCACAATCTTTAACATTTTCATTGGCCATCAGAACACTAGTAATTTCACCCAGTTCAATACGCTGGCCTCGAATTTTTACTAGGTCATCGCGGCGGCCCGTGAACGCGAGTGAGCCATCGGCAAGAAGTCTTCCATAGTCACCACTTTTGTATATTCGCCCATATTTTTCATGAACAAAGAACTTCCGCCGTGTAATTTCTTCCAAGTTTAGATATCCAATGGCCTAATTAAATGTCAGCTGAGTAGCTGGTAAATATTCTGTTTTGAAATGCACTTACCACTTGATCCCCACCAAAGCATAGCTCGCCAACAGCGCCTCGCGGGACAGGAGAAAACCCTTCTCCTTCTGCAAGTACGAAAGCAGACGTGTTCACGAAAGGCTTCCCAATATTGCTTATAAAGTGAGACTCACACATATTTGGTCTGACCGTGCAAATATTGGTGGTTTCACTTGGACCGTAGCCTAAAAACATATACTAGTTAGTTAGGGCCTCACCAATTTTCTCACCTCGCAGAAGGCCTTTACCTTGCCATAGACCTTTCCCTGCCCAATCCATGAGAACTTTCGGGGTCATTGCTTCACCCGCAGTGACGAGAAATTTGACTAGAGGTACGTTATTCGCCCTTACAAGTGCAGCAACAGTTGGAGTCATGCTAAGGTGAGTAATGCGCAAGATACGGATTGCATGTTCAATGTCCCTGAACAGTACATCATTCTTTGCAGAGCATAACGCCATTCCTCTACTCCAGGTGAAAAATATCTCGAAAACAGATACTATATTCGTTAGCAGATATAATGCATGAGAAGGACTGGGCTGGTTCACCGTCAAAAGCATGTGAGCATGCCTGAAGTAACCTTGACTCAGGACAGTCGGGATACATCGCAGATAAAACAGCGATGTTACTCTCCAGGTTAAAGCGCGAAACAAGGACACCTTTTGGTGTGCCAGTAGTCCCTGATGTAAATACTGCATATGCCGGGCAAGATCCAGGAGTTTTTGGAAGTTCACATAGAATACTTTCCTCTGAAATGTGGTTTTTGGCCAATATTATCATAGTGCTGGGGAGATCTGATAGTTGGGTCGAAATTTCATCATCCGTGATGCAAATTCGACATCTTGCATCTTGAATAATGTGCTTCACGCGCATGCTTGGCATTTGTGGTGTCAGTGGAACATATCCAGCCCCTGCTTTAATAACAGCGAGAATAGAGATGTAAAGCTCGAGCGATTTCTCAAGATATATTGCAACCAGGTCACCTTCAATAACACCGAGGGTTCGAAGCTGACTAGCAAGCCTGCTGGATTTTGTATCCAATTCGGAGTATGTCAATAGTTGAGTAGATTTGTCTCCTGTTTCCGGGTCTACAGAGTCTAGAAATTCAACAGCTATCCTCTCTGGGTCTGTCTTAGCAATCTCTTCAATGGTATCATAAAGGCCAAGTGCAGATTTCAGGGATGTCGGTAAAGCATTTTCTGTTGAAAGCAGAGACTCTGGAAAATGAGATGCTATGTTTTCTAATAACCCGTCGGGAGATTGAAGGAAATTCAGGGCTACGCTTTCGATTTGTTTCAAAAATATCATTACCTGGCTTTCGGGGAGGACGGATTCGTCAAAAGTCGCCTTTGCTTGTATTTTGCCATCTAAAATTCCAAGCTCAGTAGTCAATGTGAATTCGAGGAAATCCCTTGACGACACTTGGGTTATTGGACCACAGGTGGTGTTGATGTTATCTTGCCAAACAAACAGGGTATCAAATAGCTGATCAACCATATTGATTCCGGAGATTTGTTTTATGTCTCGAAGAGGGACAAACCCGTGAGCAAGAGACTTCCTATTTAAGCCATGAAGGATTGCAATGAGGTCGCGGATGGTTCGAGCTTTTTGGAGATCAAATCTCAATGGAAGTGTTGAGATGCAAGGTCCGACAATGCTTTCAATGCCTTCTAAAGGAAGGGTTCGGCCGGCAGAGACATTCCCAAGAATAATGTCCGAGGTGCCATTGTAAGCTGAGAGTAGGTATCCAATGGCTGCCTGAAAGATGACCTGTCGGCTTACTCGGAAATCCCGAACGAGAGAATCGAGCTGGTCCAGGCCAATGTTGAGTTGACGTTCAATAACCTTGGTAACTTTTGGGAGATCAGATCTATCCTGGAAATTAGGCCATAGGCAAGGGGTACAATCCTGAAGATGAGACTGCCAGTAATCCAAAGCTTGCTCCCGGAGCTCGGAGGAGTTATTTTTTATGTGGAAAAGGGTGAAGAGTCGGTATTGTGGTCGCTGAGTTAGTTGTTTATTCTGTAGTGCCGAGACCAAGTCCAGCATTATCTGATCCCAAGACCAGCCATCATACAGTGAATGGTGGATGTGAACCAATGCCCTGAGCTGTCCATCAATAAGGCATAGTTGAACTCTAAATGGGTGTAAAATATCCCATTGATTCTGCAGCTCCAAGTTATAGTCAAAATTTTTGGATTCTCTGATTTGGTCAGGATGGAGGTTTTCCCAGATGACTTGGCCATAGGGGAAACCAGGAAAATCTATTTCAATAAACCCTGACCGCAAAACTTCATTTTGTAAAGCAACATTGAAAAATGCACTTTTGACATCTTGTAGAGAAATACCACGATCGAATTGCAGTTCAATTGAATTAAAATAAGCCTTTGGATTCAGTTTCGTTTCCAAAAGCATTCCAATTTGTATAGGGCTGCACGGAATCATATCGCTTGGTTGCTGAGAATACTCAGTAAGTTTCAGCATTTTTAGCCCCTGCTGGCTTATCATATTCCAGACCTCTAATGGCTCGCCTTCAATGGAAATCACAGCCGTCTCAGGCTCTAGCTTTGAGACAAGGGCAGCCATCTTGTGGATAGAGTCGGCTTCTAGGATATCCAAGGCATTCAGGGAAACCCCTTCTTTCCGTAAAGAGGATGCAAGGTTGATAGCCCTTAGGGAATCAAGGCCAGCTGACGCAAGACTTGCCGTTGAAGAGATGTATGACCCCAAAAGCAATTTCAAGGCTGCAGCGATCTTCTGTTCAACTTCACTTGCGGGTTTGGCTAGGTCAGTTTGATCGACACCCTTCGACAGAATATATTCTGCCTGTAGATTCTTTCTGTCTATTTTACCAGATGGGAGACGCGGCAACTCATCGAGGATGACGAAGTTCCCAGGGATCATGAATTTTGGAAGCGATCGTCGGCAGGTTGACTGCAGATCTTTAGAAGTACAGCGTTCGACATCCGCTGAGAGGAAAGCGACGAGTACTCCTTGAATGACACAGACGGCTGCATTTCTAACGTATTCACCCTTCAAGAGCACGTTTTCAATTTCCCCTAGCTCAATTCGTTGGCCTCTAAGCTTGACCTGCCCCGCTGATATACGGCCCATGCATTGGATTTCACCATTGGGGTGTAGTCGAGCTTTGTCTCCGGTCCGGTATAAACGCCCATACACGTTAGAGTCAATAAATGCATTTCGATTCTCGGTTGGTCGATTAAGATAGTACCTCGCGAGTTGTGGACCTCCGACTACAAGCTCACCGACGTGGCCAATAGGAAGTATCTCAGGTTCCTGGCCAACTTTGTGGTCCAAAGAAATGATAAAAGCAGAGACGGTTTTGAAAGGAGTGCCAATATTCCCAACAATCGAGCCTGCTCGAATTGAAGAGACAGCTGTGCAGTGGATAGTGGCTTCCGTCGGCCCGTACATTCCATGCAATAATGCAGGCCTACCCTCTGAGGAACCGAACTCATCGACAACATGTCTTGTCAACATCTCGCCGATTGTCAACAAAAGTTTAAGACACGGCACAGCATCTCGAAATCGGAGAAGTTCTCCACAGACCGTAGGAGTAAGTTCAGCGGCGTCGATGTTCAGTTGGTTGATGATACCAGGGAGATCGTTTAGCATTAAACGTCTGTTGCAGCCAACGAGGGTTACACCCCTGAACAGCGGGAAGAATATCTCGAACACAGATACGTCGAATGTTGGGGCCGCAAATTGAAGGAATCTCCTGAAACTAGGGATTATCTCGTCATGTGCTAGCAACGCCTGCACAGCAGCATTGTGGATATTCCCACTTCTTTTGGTAATCCTGTAGAGCCAGAAGTGACATGCATATGCCAGATCTTCATCTCGAACATTCCATTAGAAAGACGACAGCAGTCAATGCCTGCCTGTCTTCTATGTTGACTACAGTCACTGAAGTATCGATCTTTTCGAAGGCCCCGCTAAAATCTCATTTGTGACGACGACACGAGCATCGACATCTACAATAATGAAGTTCAGCCGTTCCGTCGGGGTATCAAGGTTTAATGGACAGACAGCCGCACCGGCCTTTAATATCGCCAGCCACGCCACGTAGAGATCTAGGGATTGGGGGAGAAATACAGGTATGATTCGTCCATGCTCTCCTGAGGCGGGAAGAGATGCTAGAGTATGTACCAGGTGAGATGCCAGTTGCTCCGAAAGAGAATGAAGGTTCTCGTAAGTTAAATCTTCCACTTCGCTGTTTTCATTGAGAAACGAGATTGCAGGCTCACGACCAGTGCGACGAACCATTTCATGGAAAAGCTGAGGGCCAGGTAAGACCAAAGGGGTTGAGTTGACTATTGAGAGTTGAAGAGGTTCCCGCAAAAGACTTTCCAGCTTTCTAGCAACCTGATTCAAGTACTTGACACTCATGCATCCTCTAGATATTATTGACCCATTTAGCTGGTTTGGGGTATATCTGACTTCTAGCTGACATTGTTCACTGGTAATAGGGGTCTATAAACTTGTTAACACAGGCCAACTGTTTCGTCAAAGGGGCAAAATAGGCTTCTTACGTCCGTGGTGACTATGCTGGTATAATAGCCCAAATCAGAGTCCAGTTTTTCAACCTGGACATTCTCTATTCTGCTACTTTCGAGACATACTCTGGCGGCAGCTCCATCAACTTGGATAACCGGGGATTCTTCTTCGCTCAAACGACTTAATATAGATGCCCATGCGAGAACCAGGCGGTCGATATCGATGATGCCGTCTAGCTTCCAAGTCGCAGAGCCTTGTGACGGGACCGGCTCTGTGCCATAGTTTAGGCTGGGAAATGGGGTGTATCGGAATGAATCCATGATTGAATGATTAAAGGAAAGAAGAAGTGACAACTGGCTATAGCACCGACACCGCTGAAGGCCTTGAGCCGGCGGGCTATATAAATGCTTTCAAAAATTGTTAAAGGTTCACAAGAGTGACGGGTAGATTGATAAGAAAAAGTAATTAAGAGTGGCCATTTATGACTATAGTGCGACTATAGCGCGTGACGCCTTCATCTCAATTCTCAAAAGGAGAGAAAAGACCAAGAGAGTGGTGGGGAAGAAGAATTCCATACGGAGTTCAAGGCGTGAGAACGCTGTCCCGCCCTGGTCAGGGATCTAGCTCGGGGAATGAGGACCAGGCGAGCTTATTTCATGGGTCCAACGAGAAACCTCTAACCGAGTCTAATAACTGATGAAACCTTAGATAAAAAAATCTGAGCGAAGAATGACTGAACCTGCATTGCGGTCAATCTTGGTTCGCCATTGCTTGTATGCCTTGCGGCAAGAAATGGTGCTAAGTACTTCGTAAGTACTTCCGTATACACCAGCTAGCTGCCCCTCCTGCTTGCTGCGGATGAGGAGAGAAAAGCAAGCATTACGAAACGGAGAGGAGGTAAGCCTTGCAGAAGACATGGCATGCAATATCCGAGGAGGAACAAGCCCCCGGCTCCGAAAAAGAGGCCTGCTAAGTTCCCTATGTCACAGTTGGCTCCAGAAGCAGCTGAAGGCGGGATAATTGGCCAATCGAGGGCTGGACGGTGAATTTTCTCCTTGCTCGAGCTAGTCACCTGGGTAGTGAGCAGACCCAGAATATGGAGTAGATCTGACGATAATGGCATATATTTTCCTTCCTTGACCGGAGACTGCGTTTCCTTTGGCTGGCGTCTTGGGCCGCCAGGGGTGGTGAAGACGCAGAAAGCGACGTCGTCGTCGTGTCTTGTCTTTGCTTTTGCTTTGTGGTGTCGGAGGAAAGACGTGATTCCGCCAAATGCGGACTAGCGCGATGTGTCGGTCAAACACGGATCTAATCTTATCGATCTGATAACTAATAAGGTTTGCAAGCTCCGGTGCGACGTCAACAACATCCGACCTTTGGACGGGCCCCTTTTTCACACTTAGCGCTGTCAATCTCCACAGAACGCCCACAACCCACTGCATCCCCGTCAAGCAAGCGAAAGGAAACCAAGCTGGCGTAAAGAGTGAAGCCGAGAAGGCAAACAGACCGGCAGCAAGGTAGAATGAGAATACGAAATAAGGCGGTGCTAACTACCCACTCATTCTGGCATATGCAGCCCACACGCATTCATTCACGGGGAGGCAGAAGGCAACATGGTGAATTTTGAGAAGGCTATCGCGTTGACTTTGTCGGTGCCAGTCTCTTCGAATGACACGCACCTCGCCAGGGATTGGCACGCACAGCCTATAGAATACACAGCAGCAGCACCGTTCCGTGTTCCAAACTCTACCTCAAGGATCAAGAGATCCCCGGCTTGTTCTTTGCTCCCCTCTCCCTGTGGCTATACCGTCGCCTAAGCGCCTTCGCTACCTGCATCACCAGGGGCAAATTAATTGCATGGCAGCTCCGTTTTCAGCCCAGCGAGGGGTTTTTTGGTGGAACCATTTCGTCAACTTTAAAATTTCTTTCCCGTGTCAATGATGGTTATCTGATGCAACATGCGGGCAGATACCGACGGGGATAGAAAGCATATTTCCAGGGGTTCTTCGGCCTTTACTCAAATGGATTTAATAAACCATCTTCCGCTCCGAGTATATACATCTACTTCTTTGCATCGTCTGGCAAAACACAATTTCATTTTCATCACTATCCCAGCAACAGAAAAGCATTTCATCTAGTACAACTGTTGACATTGCCTCCTCTTTATATGTACTTTTGTGGACAAAATGGCTCCCTCGCTTGAATCTCTAAGTCCATATATGAATGGCACTTCTACCATGGGAAACGGATCAACAAATGGGGCCAGCTACCCAGTACCAAAACTGGAGTTGCAGCCTGAAATCACCTCGACATCATCCACCAAGGGACAGATTCACCCGTTCCTTTCTCGTACCTCTGATGATGAACTACATGACCTTATCTGTGTTGGCTTTGGCCCAGCATCACTTGCCATAGCTATTGCCCTCCACGACCGTCTGTTTGAAATTGGCCATGCTCCAGGTACCACCACTCTCCCTAAAGTCTGCTTTTTGGAGAAACAACCGAACTTCGCTTGGCATTCTGGCATGCTTCTTCCTGGGTCAAAAATGCAAATCTCCTTTATCAAGGATTTAGCCACCATTCGCAACCCCCGAAGCGAGTTTACCTTCCTCAACTACTTACAAGCTCACGACCGCCTCCTTCACTTTGCCAACCTCGGGACCTTCCTACCTGCCCGTGTTGAGTTTGAAGATTATATGAAATGGTGTGCGAGTAAATTCGCCAACCTGGTCAGATACGGAACAGAGGTCCTCGATGTCACCCCTTCAGAAACCGATCCTATAACGGGAAAGGTCCAATTCTTCACTGTCAGCTCTAAGGACCTAGAGACTGGTGAAATCACTACCCGCAAGGCCCGTCATGTAGTGGTTGCTATCGGTGGAAAGCCAAATATCCCAGCGGAATTCCCAGCTAATTCGAGAATTATACATTCTTCCGCCTACTGCACCACTCTTCCCAACATCCTCAACAATACCCTCAAGGAGTACAGCATCGCCGTTGCTGGAAGCGGCCAGAGTGCGGCTGAGATTTTCCATGACCTCCAAAAGCGATATCCTAATGCCAAAACCAGCCTTATCATGCGGGACTCAGCTCTTCGACCGAGCGATGATTCTCCATTGTAAGTAGCTGCAAGATGTCCAAGCTAAGACAACAGAATGTTGCTAACCCATTTCTAGCGTCAACGAACTCTTCAATCCAGAGAGAGTGGACCAGTTCTTTAACCAGAGTGAAAAGGAGAGACAGGTCTTCCTGAACCGTCACCGCTCCACCAATTACGGTGTTGTTAGACCTGAGCTCATTGACCAAATCTACGCAGATATGTATATCCAGAAAATTCAATGCCCAGATGAAACTCAGTGGCAGCACAAAATCTTCTCTTCCTGTCTGATCTCCAAAGTCGAGTCAGGAAAGAGCGAGAAACTCAATCTGTCACTGCAGCACTGCCATCCTGATAACGCCACAACAAACGGAACCCACAATGAAGAGATAAATGCGGATGCCCTGATTCTGGCAACTGGTTACTTACGAAACGCACATGAATACATGCTCTCATCCATTGAACCTCTCTTAGCTCAAAAGCATATGGGGTGGAAAGTCCAGAGAAATTACAGACTGGATCTGGATAAGAATCAGGTGGACGTTGATGCTGGGATCTGGCTGCAAGGCTGTAACGAATCTACCCATGGCCTTAGCGACAGCCTCTTATCCATTCTAGCAGTCCGGGGCGGGGAGATTGTTCAGGCGATATTTGGTGCCCAGCTTTCCAATGGAAATTAGCCTTGTAAGACAGAAGCAAGAGCGGGACTCCCGAGGAGATGGTAAGCAGAAAAGTTGAAGATGCCCAAGTCAGCTCATGCCACCAGAACGTCTCCCTTTCTCCTTTCTGTTTTTATACCTTTATCTTGTTTCCTTTCCCCCACTTCTTCGTTAGTTTTTTAGCTTCTGATTTCGGTGTAAAAGTCCTCACAGCATTGCTCAAGAATACCAATGTTTCTCCTTTCATCTCCTGAGCCACCATTGGCCCCAATATCTGATTTCCCCGGTGCCCACCGAAACTGACCAACTTAATCACGTAATTACATGGCTACAGAGGGCCTTGAGTCGTAACATACAGCTCTCAGCAGTCATTCATTGTGCATGTTTTAAAGGCAGGGAGAACAAAGGATGCTTTTCGTATAGTCTGAGTCAAAGTTTTCCTGTGCATAAGCACGCAGCGGAATTCTTCCATACTGTACTTCCAGCGCAGGAGACCTGTATCCACAGAGTAAGTAGGAATGAAGTACTCCGTAATTGAACATGCATCAAAAATCAAAAATTAACACCCTCCGTATATATGTAACTAGTTAGTGAACCCTAGCTAACCATCATTCAGCTAACTTTTTCCCAAAAGGCTGCCTAAATAACTAACATGACGGTGCCGATCCCTGTATACTCACGCTCTAATGCTTGTGTTACTTCCCGTGTTCACCATAGCGAGATGCAGCTACTCGATCTGATAAGCCCAAGTGCAAACTCAATTTGTTATCTGATCCCTCACTGTGGAGCTTCTTTCATCTGATAGCCTCCGAAATAACCCGTGTTAGCGAAGTCGAATGCAAAAGCTCAGCACGCCAAGCGCCGAGCGCCAACTGGGCGGAATCTGCAAAACGGCATGGAGAGAGAATTGCGCCCAAACAGCTAGCTAACTGCTGAGTTCTCTGCCGGCGATGCCGCGGTGTGCGCAGGCGGTCTGCGGGAATTTGCTCAAGGAATTAAGAAAGACGAATGGGGAGAAAAGGAGACGAAGGTCCCGCGATCCGGCGGTAACCTTGATCAGTAGCCAGCCGGATTGGTAGTTTGATCTCTGATATTCCCGTATTTATTCTCGGGGGTTGATATGTTGCCTCCGAGTTGCAGGACTAAGTTCATAAGTGACATAATAATTTCGATCTATCATACAATTTTGAGTCACGAGCTGTAATCCGCGATGAGCCAGATTCGGAAGAAGAAAAAGAAGTAGATGGCGTAGGAGAAGAGGGAAGAGCAAAAAGGAAAAAAAATACATGAGGCATCATGCAGGCCCTGTTCCTGGCATGTGCTGCTGCATAGTAGGGAGCACAAGGTTATGCCAGTGGGGACTCAGTTTGGGGAGCCCAGTTTGAACAGTCACTAATCTAGACTCGGCCGTCTGAATACTCCAGAAGCTCCGCATCGTACATTTTGTAGTAGTTCACAACCTTCCCTCCAAGCATTGAGTTTCCAGCTTGACGCGTACCAAAATATGGTGCGGGATCGCACCAGAAGTCTTGACAGTTGCGAACAAGACCATGTGAAAACGGGTTTTGTTGCCTTCTATGGCTCTGGCCCTCCTTCAGCCCGTCTTGGGCAGCAGCCATAAATGCATCAAGCCCAAATAAGCTCTTCCACTTGGAGAAGCAGGATCCATGTGAGTGCTTATTACTTCCAACCGTTGATGCAGCCTGGCTTGCAGAGGCAGGAGTTCTGTGGCTAAAACCATGTCCATGGCCTCTCATGACTTCAAAAGTAGTCGTTCCTCTGGATATCTGATAGAGCTGTACGAGGGTCAGCATCGTTACCCAGATAAGCTGGAGTGAGGTCCAAATAGTTAGAACAAAAGTGTAGGTGTCCGATTCAACCACGTTGCATAGCCATGGCGAGATGAGATTACACGTCGTTTTCACGCCACCCGGGACAATGGCAGAATAATCTGTCAGTCGGATTAGTACTCGCCACAGAAAGATATTGGGCAGTAAGGGCTTACACAGGAAGACCAATCGAATATAGGCAACAATCCCGAGAAGTAACAAGATAAGATAAAGCATGAAATGGCGGAAGTTATTGTTCCCAACACAGTTGTTTATCCAAGGGCAATGGCTAAATCGCGATCAGTTATGCACAATTGCACGAAGGGAGCTGAATTTAAACTTACTGGTCCTGTTTCGATACACAGCGCTTGCATCGCCTGCAATGTTTGCTTCTCAGTGGTCTCCTGATCATACAAGGCACACAAAAATGGTCCTCGTCGTAGCTCCAATCGTTGATAAGGTCCGTGATGATAGCTTTCTGCTCATTCCTGCTGCTAAGCTTTGGGACAAACCCAGGATCTTCAATCATAGCATACGTGTAAAAGTAGGTCATGAATGCAAACAAAGCGAGAAATATTAAATTTAGAAAAAGGGAAGAAGAGTAGGTATCTAGTGACATGTTAGTCCACGTAGGAATCCGATCCGATAAGGCCAATAATATGCAGAAAGGGGCAGTTCCCAATACTTACTAGGTAGGATAACGTGCAACCATCGTAAAGCAACCCAGAATGCAGATGCTGAAAAAACCCCCGCCGGAAACGCCTAATAGAAGAATCAGTACTTCATAATTAACAGTACTTTGAGGTAAGGGATGATGCAGCAGACGTACCGTTCTCTGAAGTACTCTAAAATCCAACGGGCCTCTCTTTGAAACCCATTTTATAAGCAAATGAACACCGAACATAAATAAAAGAGTCGCAAAAATAGAGACATATATCGACAGAGAACTCAAAATGGTGACAACAGCAGGTAATGAAACGAACGGTAGGAGAAAGTAAAACCTGGACATATATAACGATGACCGCAACATTTGTCCAATGACGGACGGCACAGCTGAACTGCTACCATCAGGTTTATAGCCACATTCTCCTAGCGCATGATGCCATATATGAGTCGTCTTCATCTCATCTGCAACAGTCGACGGGGTTTTCCCTTCCTTTGTTTCCGCGAATCTGTCCGCGCCGTACTCTATTATCTTTTGCACACAACCACTAGACCCCTTAACCAAAGCCCAGTGGAGAGGCGAAAGGCCTCCTTCATCAGTTGCATTGACATCAGCACCCCATCGAAGGAAGACATCAACACAGGCGGGAAACCCTTTGTAAGCCGCCCACATGAGGCCCGTATGACCCTGAGGGTCAGCGATGTCAACCGGGATCTCCTGATGGAGCAGGAGGACCAGGAGGAATGAGTTCCCATCGATAGTAGCAAGGTGCATGATATTGAATCCCTGGATATCTGTCAAGAGGGGATCTGCTCCGTACTGAAGTAAGAGGTGGACGATATAGTGGTGACATCTCTGTGCAGCCCACATGGCAGGTGTGGCTACCGACTCGCCGCCTTTCGCATTGACATCGGCTCCGGAATCGAGAAGAAACTTGCAAAGCTCGTAGCGATTATTGATAGCGGCCCACTAGATAGGGATAGCAACCGCAAGTCAGCTCCTGATTCTGTTTTTGAGTGTGATAGTAGCTCTTACATGTAATGGGGTGATGCCCTCCTCGTCACGGTAGCTAATATCATGCTTCCCACTATCGAAAAGTTCCTTGATCGCAGCTATTTCACCAAGCCTAGCCAGCTGCATTATATCCATCTCCAACCCAATCGCCTCTGCAACTCCGATGGGCTTCATGGTGTTCAGTTCGACGGCGTTCGCGGTATCTGGCGGTATAGGAGTCTTGCCTGTCGAGCTCGAGCCCGAACTGGGTGTTGACAGCGACGAGCCGCCGATGCCGTTGTTGGAGGACATGTCGGCTGAGTCCAGTACAGATTACGACGTTCAGTGTTTGTTGGGCATGCTGAGTCTGTCTCGTTTGGTTAAAGAGTTAAAAAAAAAAGTTGAGCTGCCTAATCGATGGGTTTTGATGTCCGCGATATCTCCAGGATTAGTTTAGCGCTCTTCACTCAGCCGCATCCAGGTACGAGGCCTGCGGAGCTAGCTCCTGACAAATAATCAATTACGGATAACGAAGTGCAGATGGATTGCCGGGCCTTTTGATGACGGACAGTATTATCCCATGGACTTTTTCTTTTCATTTTTAGCTTGACCAGCGCAAAGTAACACTGCCGAGATGTGCAACCGCTACACTCTGTGCCATCACTACTAGCTAGGCTCTTAGTTAGCCGTCGGTGCGGCTCAAGTTAGCCAGGGACAAAGTAAAAAAATCGACCACGCCAACACTTCGTATGCAAGTCACAGTCATTTGGGGTACGGAGTATGAGAGTTGCTTATTATTCAGGCATATTCGAAACATTCTTTGCGTCTTTTCCTTTCTTTTTTCTATCATTTTCTATAACTAGCTAACCACCTCCGTAGATAACAAGCTAAGGAATCGCTGAGAGCCCAGAGTAGAATCAATAGCTAGCTGCTCCGTACGTCGTAGGCTACTCCGTAATGCATCCTTCTATGTCATCCTCTTACCTGTTAATTTGTCATATTAAACCAGTATTCTTAACCAAAAGAAAAAACTGGCAGGCATTATCAAACAACTAACTTCTTCCCCTTGACTACGAAAATCCCAAGACCAACGCTGACTAATCAGCAGCCTCCAGCTTTGAAGCTTCTGAAGCTGATCTTCGGTCTTTTATCAACCACAGCCAACTTTGGACCTGTTTTGATGATGGGTTTGCCGTTATTATAGTCATCTATTGTCTTGCTTACATTTGTTTATTTGATTAGTATACCCTATGATAAGCTTCGACCCCCCTGAACCCAGCCGCACCCCGCCCGAACGAAGCTCACTATGGACATCAAGACCTACATTTCAGATTCCCTTCTCCAACTCACTGGAGTTTCAGACCCTACAGTCGTCGATTTCGTCCTTGCAACTGCTTCCAAAGCCAAGTCACAAGAGTCTCTGCGTGAGCAACTTGGGGTGTTCTTGGATGGTGGAAATGCAGACATACAACCCTTTTGTACGCAGCTATGGAGTCGTGTGAATCCCTCGGGGCGCGATAGCAAATCTTCCAGGGACAAACCAAGCCTACAACAGCCGAAGAAGAAGTATCGCATGGTTGAAATGGAGGATGAGGTCGCCGATAATGATCTTAACGTTAGCAAACCGCGATCAAAGGAGTCAGGGTCTTCCAGGTCTCGATCTACAGCAAAAAGTAGAAGTGATGGAGGCAGTGAACACAAGAAAAGGGATAGTCATGCGGAACACAATCGACCACGAAAACTTCGGCGAATAGATAAACACGATTTCGATAGCCGATGGGGCGACGAAGAACCTTCTTCAGGCGAGGACGAAGCGGGTGAACAATATATGTCTCCCCCAGAGAATTCGCGGGATAAAGTCAACATTTCTCATGATGCCGAGGCTGATGAACCCTCTGAGAAAGACGCCGAAACGGCTAGGGAGCGAGACAGGAGAGAGCGAGACGAGTTTGCTAAACGACTTAATTCAAAGGATGATAAACGGTCCAAAAAAGTGGTTGAAGATAGATCATCTAAGAAAGATGGCGGAATGGCCGCGCGAAGGGCACTTGCAGAGGATTCGGCTGCCAGGGCTGCGGCAATGCCAGACCTTCGACTACGTTCTCGACAGGACTATCTCAAGAAGCGCGAGGCCGAACGCCTAGCTTTGCTGCGCAAACAGGTTGCAGAAGAGACAGCAGAACTTCGGGAAAATCCTGACTTGACACGACAAGAGAAGGAAGAATTTGCAAAGAATAGGGAGGTTTTAAGGCTAGCCGAGGAACGGCTGCAAATTGATGACCATCGAGATGGTTATTTCCTGCCTGAAGACTATATCACAGAAAAAGGCAAGATAGACCAGAAACGAAAAAAAGAAGCACTTTATAAGCGATATGTTGACCGTGACGATCATGGAAAGGAACGTTTCGTGACAGAGCATGAAGAATGGGAACTTGAGCAGACGGCAAAAGCTAAAGCGCAGGTCCAAAGGGCAGAGTTCGTTGATGAAGGAGATTACGAATACGTTTTTGACGATGCGCAAAAAGTGAATTTCATCATGGATTCGAAGATGGCTGGTGACCGGAAACCCATGACAAAGGACCAAATGCTTTTACACAAACAAATTGATGCTGCTGAACAAAAGGCGAAGTCAATCGAGGAAACTCGGAAAAGCCTGCCAATTTACCAGTTCCGAGAACAGATCCTAGATGCAGTAGCCAACCATCAGGTCTTGATTATTGTTGGTGAAACCGGTAGCGGAAAGACCACGCAAATTCCCCAATATCTACATGAAGCAGGATATACAAAGGGTGGCATGAAAGTCGGCTGTACGCAACCACGACGTGTTGCCGCTATGAGCGTTGCCGCGCGTGTGGCAGAAGAAGTAGGGGTCAAACTAGGGGATGAAGTTGGATATTCGATTCGATTTGAAGATACAACCTCTGACAAGACTGTTTTAAAGTATATGACTGATGGTCGTTTACTACGTGAGCTACTTATGGAGCCAGATCTTGCTTCGTACTCCGCTCTGATGATTGATGAAGCTCACGAACGTACTGTCCCTACTGATATTGCTTGCGGTCTTCTAAAAGACATTGCCAAAGCCCGTCCAGATTTGAAACTTCTTATTTCATCCGCTACAATGGATGCACAAAAGTTTCAAAAATATTTCGATGATGCCCCTATTTTCAATATCCCTGGCCGGAGATACCCTGTTGACATTCATTATACTTCTCAGCCTGAGGCCAATTATCTGGCAGCGGCAATCACAACTGTTTTCCAAATTCATATCTCTCAGGGACCTGGTGATATATTAGTGTTTTTGACAGGCCAGGAAGAAATTGAATCAGCGGAACAAAATTTATTGGAAACAGCCAGGAAGCTTGGGAATAAAATCAAAGAGTTGGTTGTTTGCCCGATTTATGCGAATTTACCCTCTGAGCTCCAGACAAAGATATTCGAGCCTACCCCTCCAGGTGCCCGAAAGGTTGTCCTTGCTACAAATATTGCCGAGACAAGTTTAACAATCGACGGGATCGTATACGTTATTGATCCAGGGTTCGTCAAGGAGAGCGTCTTCAATCCTCGCACAGGAATGGAAAGCCTTGTTGTCACGCCTTGCTCCAGGGCATCTGCTGGCCAAAGAGCTGGTCGTGCTGGTCGTGTTGGCCCTGGAAAGTGCTTCCGTTTATATACCAAATGGGCATACTATAATGAACTCGAACAGAATACCACGCCAGAGATCCAGCGCACAAATCTCAGCAGTGTAGTGCTCATGTTAACTTCATTAGGAATAACTGACCTACTTGATTTTGATTTCATGGATCCACCTCCTGCTGAAACACTGATTCGTGCTCTTGAGCAGCTTTATGCATTAGGGGCATTGAACGACCACGGAGAACTTACAAAAGTTGGCCGTCAAATGGCAGAGTTTCCAACCGACCCCATGCTCTCCAAATCAATACTGGCAGCAGATAAGTACGGCTGTGTTGAAGAGATTCTATCCATCATCGCCATGCTGGGAGAGGCAAGTGCCCTTTTCTACAGGCCTAAAGATAAGAAAATTCATGCAGACAGTGCTCGTGCTCGATTCACTATTAAAGACGGAGGTGACCACCTAACTCTTCTCAACATCTGGAACCAATGGGTAGATGCTGATTTCAGCTACGTCTGGGCGAGGGAGAACTTCCTCCAACAACGAAGCTTAACTCGTGCCCGTGATGTCAGGGATCAGCTTGCCAGATTATGTGATCGTGTTGAAGTCACACTTAGCAGTGCGGGAGCAAGCAACCTACCTGTGATCCAAAAAGCTGTGACGGCAGGCTTCTTCCCCAACGCTGCAAGACTTCAGCGTGGAGGGGACAGTTATCGAACTGTCAAAAACGGCCAGACCGTCTATCTCCACCCATCAAGCACTCTATTTGGATCAGATCCTAAATGGGTTATCTACTTCGAGCTAGTATTAACCAGCAAAGAGTTCATGCGTAGCAATATGCCGCTGCAACCGGAATGTTAACGAGGGTGCTCCTCACTATCATAAGAGGAAGATCTGAGAATCTGTTTAGTAAACCAAGGCAGCATTCTACGGACAAGCAAAGCCGTAGCCCCATACCGAGATGTACAATAGCAATGTTCAAATATACCCTCAAGTACCAAAACAGTGAAAGGGGTGTATTTTTAATAACAGCTCATACAGCATGTACTTGTATTTATGATATCTTATTTGCTAGTCTTTGTATACATCGTATTAACGAGATTTAAGGCTTAAACCATATTATTAAGGAAGAAGTTGTTACCATATTAGGAGATAACTTCATTAGTCATTGAGTTTTTATCGTATGATAGTGATAAACTGACGAGTTTCATGTTACTCAATCAATCACATGATATCATAATAATATGTCGTTCCTGATTGGGCCACTGCTTATCGATCACCTGATGGTTCTTGCTCGTGCCTCGGCTCTCCGCGTGTAGAACAACGTCGGCTTTATACAGATAGCATTTACATTGTCCAACCTCTTGCTATATTCAGGCTCAGGATAAGCGTCTTTTCAATATATACACACCTCCATATACCCACTCAATATGTAAGGAGCATGATTTAATTTCGGAATTCCAATGCACCACTTTATACATTAATATTAACCAAAAGTGTAGCTGCAACTCCCACCACAAACTGCCCAGCATGACCAAAACATTTACCGCAGCCGAAGTCGCAAAGCACAAGACTCCCGAGTCCGGCCTATATATCATCGTTGATTCTGGTGTGTACGATATTACCGACTTTATTGAGGAGCACCCCGGTGGCTCTAGAATATTGAAAAGGGCTGCTGGCAAGGACGCTTCAAAGCAGTTTTGGAAGGTTGGTGACTGCACGTATTCAAGGCTTCTCTGCCATAACTTGTACGGCCACTAATAATATTTTATAGTACCACGGAGATAGCGTCCTGAAGAAATATGGTGAGAAGCTAAAGATTGGTGAGGTCAAGGAGGAGGCGAAGCTATAGTGATACTCCTACCTTTACCCATACCACGGCCAGGATATATCCAAGCCTATTCTGTGGTTGTGCTCTATACCGCCTCTCGCACAGCCACGCCGATTCAAATATGAATGAATATCATAAACGTATCACTTGATTCACTAGGGGAGTTATCATGTCCACGGCGGTTTCAGTCTTCCATTATCAAGCAACTCCATAGTTTGGAGATAGTACAGGTTTGAGCTTGTTATAGACCATTAGAACTTGTTGTCTCTTTAGGCCGTTGTATATGTCAATATGTCAGATTCAAAATCAAGTGCATATACCTACCTGAACTTATTCGCTATGCTCGTAACGGGGTATTATAACGCTGAACCTTGAGTTGGTATACAGATCAGCCTCCACGCGGAGTCTATACATAGTTAGACTCGCTAACTAAACAACCTACCACTTCAGCCTTCCACTGTAGCTCATAGGTGCAAGGTCGCTTGGAGAAAGTGTATGTATGCTCTATGCGGCTGAGCGTGACTCACTGGAAACAATGGCCGCCAAATTACCGAACTGCTTCTATTACACTCTAGCTATAAATTAACGTACTCAATCTGACTTCTGACATCAATAAGGTGGTAAAAAGACATATCTATATTACCATTAAAGCTACATCCTAACAGCCTTGACATTTACTCCGCTATATATAAAATGGCAGACAACCCCTATCGGGCCATCCGGGCAAAGTTCACCGAAAATACCATCACTGTTTACCAGGCATACTCGAATGAGATAGCAGATGCTGCAATGAGAGCAAGGACCTTTGTCTCCCCCTTTAAACGTGGTCGAATGACCTGGATCAAACCGTCATTTCTATGGGTCGCATATCGAAGTGGATGGGCAACGAAACCTGACCAGGAGCGAATTCTAGCAATCGAGATTACTCGATCCGGCTTCGAATGGGCACTGCGCAATGCCTGCTTGAGCCACGTTGATAACTCGCTGTACAGAGACAAATCAGCCTGGGAATCGCGCATGCAATCCTCCTGTGTCCGGGTTCAATGGGATCCTGAACGAGACTTCTACTTCAATGCTCTCAGCTATCGCTCGATACAAATCGGGTTAAAGGGAGAGGCAGTTGATCGATACGTGGATGAATGGATCGTATCTATCACGGATGTCACGGAGCAGATACGAAAGGTCTCTGAGCTAGTTTCATCTGGCGAACTGGGTGGAGCTAGAAAGGAAATGCCGGAGGAGAGACTATATGGTATTCCTGAGGATGTTGGCGCGATGATAGGAGCTTCATCTGCAGTCAAAAAGCCAACGTTACACCAGACGTGAAGCTGTTAGTTACATATGAAATGTGCTTTGTGCATCGCTTGCTTTTGCCCGAACCCCTGAATTCTGAATTCTAAATTCTAGGGGTAGGTATCACGGAGTTTATATCGCGAAGACAACCCTTCATTGACGTACAGACTGATACTTGTACTACTTAAACTTGGGATATTCTCAATAAGAATATTTAAATGTAACATTTAATAAGAATGAATATACTCGCCTCATGCGAATTCCTTAACGCAGTTAAAGAAACCTAGTCAGATCAACCAGTTGATGATGAAAAGAGGGCTGTGTAACGAATGGAAAAATTAGGTAGCAAGGCAGATATGTCAGTAGCCAATGGCAGGGACTGGGATACCAATAAACAAAGTGCCTTGCCTCCATTCCGACTTGCGAAATATACATAGAAAAACAGGAGGGTATATATAAACAGATTTTGGGAGATCAAAAAGATAGTGAGCACTAGGCCGGTTAGAAAAGAAAAGAAAAGATGATCGATAGACCAGAGTACCGCCCATTCCCTAAACCAGATGGATGGACCATAGCAAGAATGAAAGAAATAGGGAAAAGGAATGCAAAAATTATAGATTACATGGCTGGAATAATCCAGCGATTCATAGCGGCAGGTTATGGCGTTAGACGAGGAAAAAGCCCAGGATAGAGCAGAGGGAGAACGGGGAGTGAAGATTGAGTAGACGGTTAGTATTCCCGGTATGGGTTGTAATTTCGGAAGAAATCGTTTCCTCCACCGTCTGATTCACGGAATTCAAGATCAGGGCTCTGGGGCCAGTGGTCCTTTTTTCTCCCACGATAGCCACGTTGTCGTGGCATGTCACTTTTATCAACAAATGCCTCCATCCTCATGGTACCAACAGCGTCAAAGAAGTTTGCCATTCCAGGCGGAGGATGTCCACTGGCTTCGGACGTGCGATGGCTGCTCTGTCCACTGTGTACGCCTGGATGGGCTACAGAAGTTGGTGACACCAAGTCCGAAGACCCGGAACTGTAAGTAGATGCAGCAGCCGTATTGCCAGAGAAAGATCTGAATGGGTTTGACATGGGCTTAGGAGCGGTATTGCTTCTTTTTCTAGAATGGACTGCAAATCTTGGGACATTAGGTGGCGCTGCACAGTCCCCATTGCTCCCTGATCTGCCTGGCATTTCAGGGAACACCTCTTCTGGCACAGTGGCTTGAGCAGGGGCTCCTGTGCGAGCCTTGTTGGGCATCGGTCGGGTCTTCCCCTTGGCTACCCTGATCGAGTCTCGGATGGGGTTTCGACGTAAAGCTGCGGTAAGTGGCCGTGGACCGGATTCCACCTGAGGAACTGGTGGTAATGTTGCGAGGTCATCAAGGCCTAGGGATGAGTGGCTAAGGAAAGATAGAGCAGTTAACCAGACGTAATGGCGGTCCAGGGTTAGAGCAGTGAATTTCAGGGCTCTTTGCGGAGTCAATATCAAGATTGAACGGTTGAATGAATTCTGCGGTGAGGCACCACGAGGCAAGGGGTTGTCATCCTTTACGTCAAGGACGGATTGGATGATTACTAGTTTGATATGTTAGCTGTCAAATCGCTGATTAATCCGTGATAGAGGGGGTTGCTTACATTTGCGACCACTCTTGCCTAACAAAGCAGTTCCAGTCGTTGGCTGTTTGCTACTCCACATAACGGCCCGTTCATAGGGGGCAAGCCATACCCATCTCTTATGGCGAACTCCATTTCCGGAGATATTGCTCGACGCTTCTTCTGCAGTTTTCCCTCCTTCGGCTCCATCCTTGTCCTTTGGAGCCTCTGTCATTCCAAAGGACTTTCTTCTGCGGACGTACTTGTACATCCATTCTCCGACCATAGTCTGGGCAATGGCATCGACGACACTCGTCTGCTGCACCGACACCGATACAGCAGAAGATGCCTTGCGCTCATGGTACGACTCTCCACCTCTTGATGGCCGGCGTGAGTCGCTGAAACTCGGAGCTTTGCTGGATATGGATGTTGGATCTAGTGCTTGAGGTAGACGGTGGGAAAATTGCGGGCTCTCCCTACCAGCCGAGGTCAATGTGGAAGTAGGAGAGCGAAGAGAGTTGGTGTTGTCGTCACGATAGTGTGGTCTCGACACAGCGGCCGCAGACCGTATCTTTCGGAGAGTGGAATCTCGGCCCATTATGCTGTGGTCTGATATCGACGATCCACATCCATTCGGAGTCGGACTTTGAGCATCCTCATTCATAGACGAAGGAACCTTGCGGGAACTAAAACGGGTTGGAACAGGGAATGGAGGACGGGATCCAGCATTTGTTGTGTTGATGTTGGAAGCATTAGGACTCTTTGGCCTTGAGTCTGCCGCGGTTGATCCACTGGCAGCCCTTTGTCTGGAAGGGCCTTGTCTCTTGCTAATTCTGGACGACGTCCCTGTGGATATCTTTCCGCGCGTGGCAGAGGACCGTCGTAAGCTGCCGCTAGCGAATTTTGCATCGCCTGTGGCCTGGGCAGCCGTGGATTCCTCGTCTTCGTGGATTTCCATGGGGCTCTCGTCGAGGATGGAACAGCACGAAGGTTTTGATACTAGCTTCCCCATCTTGATAGTATACGATGCCATTGGCCGGCTTAGTATTGATTCATCATCATTGAAGACTTCCTCCACAGGCATACGTGATGCGTCGTCGTCACTCTCATGGTCGAATCCAGCAAACAAGCTACTGGACCTGAACGGGCGCCTGATGTCGCCTTGCATGTCTCCCGAGAGTGGGCCGTTATCGTTATTACCCGGGTATAGCGATATGGGCACGTCAACAGGCGGGGCCTCTCGTAATCGAGGAGTGGTAGTCGGAGTATTTGCGGGGGGCGGGCGATATGGCTGGTAAACCACTGGTGGTCTCATTCCATCAGGGGTTGGCTCCACAGACTGATCCGGAAAGGCGGATGGAAGCAGGTCGAAAGGCAGGCGAGCGGGACGCTTTACCTCGCGTATTTCGTCGGTTTGGACTCCAGATGAACGCATTTCCGATTGAGGCTCTGGAAGGGTTTGGCAACAAGCACTCTTCGTTTGTGGGGGGAGGACAACGCTGGATCGAGGAGTGGCCGGGTTGGACAATGGAGGGTGAATTGCAATCATTGGAATACTGAACTCGGGGGTTTCGGGCGATAATTCTTTCGTCGGCTCCTGCTCTTCTTCGGTTTGAGTAGATGAAGATACCATGGCGTCTTGGTCTTGCTGTTCATCCACCACCTCTGGCTGAGGTTGGGTATCGGGGAAGTCTTCAATAGTTTGGCATTCCGTAGAAGTCACAACAGCTGGGTGGGTCTGAACTCCCGTGTCAAGCGTTTCGTAGACGCGAGCGGTCTTCTCTGTTACAGCCACCAAGTCATCTGCTGCTGGGGGCGTGATAGGGGCCTCCAGCAACAGCGGAGGTGTAAATGGACGATGGATTCCGTTAACCATCGTTGCATCTCTGAGTGGTGAAGGAGGAGGAGTGAATTGTATCCCAACATCACGATAACTTGACTTGGGGACTGAGGGGGACTCTGGCACCTCACGGTAGTTGCTGAATCTTGGTGAAGCTGGGTTTGCAAAGTGGTCCCTAATTGGGGAACTTTGAGCACTTGACGTATCAAATGCAAGTCCCAGGATTTTCCTTGCCTTTTGACCACTAAGGATTGACTGGCTTGACATAGGTCGGGGTTCTGTTTCAGCTCTCGAGAAAGTCCTGCAATTGCTATCCGGCCGCTCGAGATCTCCGTCATCGATGTCTTCAAAGGCCAACTCATCGGCAAGACTAGTGCTTACCATGCTTGTACCGTTGGTAAGGCCCGTGACCGAATTGCGGAGGTGGTTATAGCTATTGTAGGTGCTGACGCTAGAGTTGCTGCCTCTTCGTCTTGCCACAGGGCTGTTCGATCGGAGGCTCATTGCGTCCATGGCTCGGGGAGTGGTGGAATCGACCATGTCAACGTCTCGTTCCTCCATCTGTCCATTGAGATGATTATGGGCACCGCTATGTCTCCAGTCGGCAGCCTGGGATGAAATTGTGATTTCATTGATAACGGTCTTTAGACGTCCCTCAACTATATGAACTTTGGTTTCGAGCTTCCTCTTGTCATCGTCCCATCGTTGACGGTCGGCATCCCATAGTTCCTGTGTCCGTTCAGCCTGGTCTTGATACAGCCTAGCATTCCTCTGAGCATCCTCCAGCCTCCGTCTCGACTCTGCTATGGATTCCCATGCATCGTCTCTCTCCTTGGTGAGCTCCGTGACAGCGCTGAGGGACCCGCCCTCAAGCAGCTGTATCTGCTTCTTCAAAGTTCTATTCTCCTTTGCATGGATGGCAAGAGACTCCTTCAGGGACTCCTCATCTGATCTGGAAGCCTCTAGACTGAGCTCTAGAGACTCTATAGCACTAGACTTCCCTTCAAGGTCCCGACGTAAGGACAATATCTCCGAGACCAGGGAGGCATGCAGCGTAGGGGTGAACCGTCGAGGGTCAAGAGGAGAAATGGAGTCCTCGCTAGCAGCATCAAGCTTACCGCGGGATTCATGTCCGTCCGCCAAATCGAGCCGCAGCGAAGACGGCTTCGGAGGAGAATCTATCCAGCTCAGCGACTGTCGGGACACGAGGGCCTGGTAAGGAGTATCCGTCAAAGCATGTGAGGTGTAGACACCCTCGCTGTCCCGGGAGTCCATCGAGGCCTGGCCTGGCATCTCGCGCATGCCAGCCAGGCTTTCTCTCCTTTTTTCAAGGGTATAAATAAAAATATATAAGTCCAGATAGATACTAAACAGCCGTACAATATATCAATATATGAGTGAACCGTGGCAGATGTCCAGTCCCGGAGGTCAACCCCAAGTCTCTGCGCCCACTGGCCATGCGACTATATCATGGCATACAGTAGAAGAGTCTCTCGGCAATTTATAACTATGCATCCATTCGTCAGGCGTAAGTTTGCGGACAAAGGGAGGACGTCACTCGCTGCTGCTGCCTAACGAAAAGGAGGCCGGCGAGAGGAGGAAGCGGATGACAGAGAGAGGAAGATAGAGGAAGGAGACAGAGAGGAAGGCAGAGGTAGAGGTAAAGAGAGAGAGATTCTGGATATAACCCAAAATCCACGCGGAATCGAAATCTAGCAAGACGACAACAGCAGAGACAAGCATGCGATTAACATCATCGACCCAATAATAGCAACGATAATATGAAGAAGGACCATGCAGCGTGCTTTACCAACGTGCAGCAGATGCAGCAGATGCAGGCTATCAAGGATGGTTGAGACGATAGGGATGGGGAATGTGACGAGCAGCGGCTTTCAACGTCCACGCAGGAGACAACATGTGAAGAGCAAGGGGGTAGGAAGGTAAAGACGCAGAAACAGAGGCAGGAGGAGACGAAGCGAGAGGAAGAGTTCCGTCTCCAAGTCCATAATACAATAAGTAGCAGCTTATACTTACATGGTTTATTGAGACGTGCAGTCAGTCAGACAGAGAACCGCAGTGGCACGTCAGACGTGTGTCTGTGGGATGTATCAAATTGAACCTCTCCAGCGACGACTTCGAGATATCAAAAGCCACGGACAGAGCTGCGCAACGCGAGCAGGAGAAGAGCGAGAGAGAGGGAGAGGGAGAGAGAGGCTTCGTGCGCAGCTTTGCCGGCCGGCTCTGATGTACATACTTAGTCCTGCCCCCTGGACGAGCTCTGGTGGCCCTGAGATGCAGCGCTATGTCGGGAACGGCCTAGTGAGCAGGAGCTTCCGGTGGAGATTAGGAGGGATGATGCCTGCTGGCAAGAGAAAACTTCCGCGCGACAAGCTGCGGCGATGGCATCGGCGTGTACGGGGCGGGATGGATCAGAATCAAAATGATAATGACGATGATATCAGACCTGTGGGCTCCTCTCTCGTGTCTCTGTCTCTGTCTGTCTCGAAAAAAAGGGGGGGAGAGTCAGCTTCACGCATGCCAACTGCCCAACGCCCACATTTATTACCATTATTGCGTCCAGATATCTTCTCCCCTTAACTATCCCAATGCTGGCGACGGCGAGCAAAAGAAGCAAAGAAAGAGGACGAAGAAAGAAGAAAAGAAAAAGCAAAAAAGGGGGTTAAAATGGACCATTTTACTTTTTGCAAAGAATTGAAGCCAGCGCTGTGGTATCTGGCGTGATGGGCAGGACGGCTCTCCCTGCCTAGTGCGAGGGCCTTTCGTCGACTCCCGTATAAGTATATGTGCAACGGTAGCAGCTCCGGCTTTTCGACTGGCTGTCGTTTATTCACACTGAATTTTCTTCCCTCTCCCACAGGCAGCTGTTACCATTGGAAGGACGGCTCTCCACCGGGGAAGATGCGCCGTTGATCATGGACAAATGAGCAAGTCTCTTCCAGCGGCCCGAGAGCTGTGCCAGTTCGTATTGCTGGTCTTGTCAAGGCCAATAATCCCGGCTCGATAGCAGAGGATACGATGCTCTTAGCCCAAAGTGAACGGTGGGCTCGCTGCCTGCAGGCCAGGCGCGAAGCTTTGCTGCATCCAACCTAACCCATACTCCGTACATGGGTGGGAAAAGCATGCGCCCAGGGATCGGAGTGTGAGCTCACTTTTTCCCATACTTATGTCTCTCTTTTTGGTCCCTCTGCCTCTGCCGTACGAGACAGGCATGATGGCATGACAGTAGAAAATTCGATCTGTCAAGTAGGTGGCCATTCGACCGACAGCAGTTGGGTCGGAAAAAGCAAGCGGCAGGGCAGAAGAGCCGTTGCGAGAACCATAGCAAGGCGCTCTTATTGCTTGGGAAGGCCTTCAATCCTTGTCCGATAACCATTTCTCTATCAAGATGTTTCGCCGAGCTGAGATGGTGGTGGTGGTGGGATACAGGATCTAATATTATAAAAGCAAGGGTTGTGTTTGTTGACAGGGCCGATCACCGCATGGGGTTGGGCAGGCACAAGAGTTCTCGAACCAAGGATGGCAGCTTGGATTATGGAGACGTCACTGTCTTCCCATGGGTTGGACGCTTCCCCGTCGATTCTTAAACGAAATAGGGCGTCCACGGTTCATTCCCGCCGGCCGATCCAAGGGCTGTTGCTGCTGGGAGGCGAATAGTAACTATATACCCCCATTCGTAAGTACGGAGTAACTCCTTTTAAGGGCCGGGGGGAGAAATGCAAGGGATAGCGAATATCGCAATATCATTATAAGACAAAACGTCAAGCTGGATGTATAAAAAGGACACATGATGCTAAGAAAGAGGCCAACATTAAAGCCAAAAAGAGCGTAAAAAAAGGCAAAAGATGAAGATGAAGATGAAGAACTAGGCGAGGAAGCAAAGCCCGGGCTTGCGGTGCGAGATGACAGGGTCATGATGGGCAACGGGAGCGACAGTAGAGGCTTCCCAGGCGAATGTATAAAGCTTTTCCCCCCCCCAAAGGCTAGAATCCAATGGGTCTTCTTGCCTTAAATCGTTCAGCTATCCATGGCAGAGGGCATGGAGGGCGAAGATTAAGGGTGAAGTCGTGAAACTACAGCTTTGCTCGTCCTTCGCTTCTCGTGTTGCTGCTGCTCTTCGTCGCCTTCGCCTGGAGGAAGTACTCCTTCACTCTCCGCCTGGCCACTTCGACAATCTCCGTATCCTCGACGGTCGCCGGCACGTTGACAGCCTCATCATACTTGCCCTCGGCTGCCTTCTCCACGAGCTCCCGCAATACCCGTCGAAGAGTCTTGCCGCTGCGTGTCTTTGGGATCATCCCTTGGCCCTGAACGATCCCTCCGAGCGAGGCAATGGCTCCTATCTGCTCTCTCACGAGGGCGTTAACTGCTTGGAAGAATTCTCTAGATGGAGCTGCTGGCATGTCTGAGGCTGTCTTGGCCGAGCTATGCAATTGCACGAATGCAAATGGTAGATGCCCCTTGATGCTGTCAGGGATGCCTACCACGCTTGCCTCGGCTACGTCTGGGTGAGAGAGAATAGCTTGCTCGATGGCACCTGTGCCGCTAAGATTATTAGTATCAGGACTATCAAAAATAACCAGGGTCCAAACAGGAAAAGAGAAATTAGGAATGCACGTACCAGTGCTGAACCTGTGTGCGGCTACGTTGATGATGTCGTCAGATCTCGACATGACGTGGACATACCCATCCTGATCAATCATGCCTGCGTCGCCCGTATCCATCCACTTGCTAGAGAACCGCTTGAGATACCCGTTATAGAACCGCTCGTCGTCGTGGAACAAAGTCGTGAACCCCGTTGGAGCAAACGGAATCGCCAGCACGATGTTGCCCATTGTACCGTGCTTCACCTCCTCGCCCTCATCGTTGACTACCCGGACATCAAACCCAGGCATAGGCTTGCCCGCAGAGCCTGGCTTCGTCCTGAGTGCTCTGGTCAGCGGAATCTCACCATTGACTACGCCCAGATCAGGTCTCAGCGCGAGTCCTGTCATCGGCGAACCAGACTCGGATGACCACCAGTTATCTATTACCATCGCACCAGGCGCAGCGTGCTTTTCAAGCAGCTTTTGGAAGGCCACGACGATGCTAGGCTCACTTCTCTCGCCGGCCAGGAAAAGAGCTCTGAGCTGCTTCAATCCTCCTCTTCGACCCACCAGTTGCATTAGCTCTGCCTTCGGATCCTCCTTGTGTATCACTCTCAACGCTGTGGGTGCGGTGAACAAGGCGTTCACCTTATGTTTCTCGACTATGCGCCAGAAACTGCCTGCGTCGGGAGTCCCGATTGGTTTGCCTTCATACAGCACGGTTGTAGCACCCGCAAGCAGCGGTGCGTAGAGGATGAACGAATGGCCAACGACCCATCCCAGGTCAGAGGCACAGAACATCACATCACCAGGACCCTTGATGTCAAAAAGGTACCTTATAGAGAGATTTAAGCCGACTGCGTGGCCACCGGCTTCTCTCAACACCCCCTTAGGCGTCCCAGTTGTCCCTATCACATTTCCCTTAAATCAGCTACTTTTGCCCCTTTCCTTTTCCTCAGGTAACAAACATATAACCTACCGCTGGTATATATGATATACAGACCCTCGTCACTTCGAACCGGCACCGCGTCAGCCCGTACACCACGCCTTTTGGCATCATCTACCAGCCGCCTCCAGTCCCTCTGACCCAGTTCCTCATGAACGGGCGACCAGTGCAGCTCTTCTCTCTGCCATACAAGCACCCGTTCAGGCTTACAGGAACTTTTGGAAATAGCATCCTCAACCAACGACTTATACTCAATGGCTCCCTTTTTGCCTTCAATGCCACAGGATGCAGTCATGATGACCTTTGGCTTGCCAGCATCTATTCTATGCGCAAGGGAGTTGGCAGCAAACCCTCCAAAGACAGCAGCATGCATTGCTCCCAGTCTCGTAATTGCCAGCGCCGCAACAATCGCAGCAGGTATCATCGGCACTGCCAGCGTTAGCCAACATTAATCCGGGCCTGCCGAATATACGTAGACATGCACATACTGTAGATAACCACAACATCACCCCTTTGCACTCCTTCCTCCCTCAGCACGCCAGCCAGCACCTCTACCTCCTCCAGCAGCCGGGCATAAGTGATCTTCTCCTCCCGGCCAGTCACCGGCGACTCCCAAATGATAGCCACATCTGCTCCACGGCCTGCCCGAACATGTCTGTCTATACAGTTATACGTAGTCGAGATCTCCCCGTCCGGGAACCACGACCAGCTCTGATGCTGGACACCACTCTGCAGCGTCCTAGTACCCTTTCGCAGAGCGGCAGAGGGCTGCTTGTGCCAGTGAAGCTGAGCTGCGTGGCGCGCCCAGAACTGCTCCGGGTGAGTGAGCGATAGGCTCTGCACTGCATCCTGAGGGTGTAAGGATGGCATTATTGCTTGGGATTGTTGATATCGCAAATTAGAGCGATCATTAATCAGACAATTAACTAACTCGTAAAGTCGGGTAAGCAAGTAGATTTGAAGCCAACTTTGATTGATGGTGGTTGGTTTGGAGTTGGTTCGGTTATTATATTTAGCCACGGGCCGAAAGGGATTAAGTAAAGGTGCATGAAGATCCTGGGCCATGTCCGGCCAATCCGCAACCTAGGTAGACGGTTAAGTATGCCGGCATCCGACTTGGTTGTGTTTTATGGCGTCTATAGGCCCGTCCCTGTTGGCTGCCAGGGGGTGTGAGATGAGGCCCAAGACGGCTGCGCAGGCCAATGGCAGGTCGGGGAGGCTGGCTTGGTCTGACCAGGGGGAGGCCCAGGAAGAGGATGGAGATGAAGGAAGCAGTTAGATTTGAAATCCTAGTATATCTAGATTGTATTCCTATAGAAGGGAGAAGGGGAAGCGAACTATGACGGGACGAAGAAGATGAAAGGAGAAGAGGAAAGAAGGAAGTGAAATGGAATATAGGTACACCGTCTACTACATAAGTAAGCGAGATGTCCACCCAACCCTGAGCACGTTAGCTGTGATGATAGATATTATATACATTTGCAACCAGCGCCGGACAGAGAAAACTGGTTTGAACAGGTAGAAAGGCCCGTTGGCAGGCGGGCGAGGAGAGGTCGGATATGGATTAACATTGACGCAGGGGCACCGTTGTGTTTGAGGCAGTAGTCCTTTTTGATGTACTCCGTAGCTGTAGGAAGGTATATGCATGCATCCCACGGATCCAGGATTGTCTGGAGTCTCGGCTTCCTCTCTGCTGGCCGTCGGGATTATGCAGGCTTGCATATTAGTTTGCGTTGGGTGCAATGCTTGCTGGGGTGTGTTGCATCGGCGGCGCCGTAGTTAATTTCGACCGGATCCCTGGGGCAGCAAGAAGGGGGAAATAAAAATAAAAAGTAGAAAATAATAAGGCATATAAAAGATAATAAAATAAAGAACGAAAGAGAGAAAGAGAAACGCATGTATATATATGATATTATATATATGTATAAATATATATAATCGTCTCACATAGTCTTGTCTCTCAATCGAGGTTGCTGCAGTAAGTAGCAGCAGCAGGCCCGCAGTCCCGCAAGCCCAGATGACCCGTCACATCACACATCCAGCATGCAGCAACAACAACCAAGTTCCCTTTCTCGTGTCCATCCAATTGCTCTCGAGTTCTCTGTATAATTCTCTTCTCCATTCTCCCCACTTGATTCATGCACACAGACGAAAAGGTCCTGAAAAACTCCTGGGCTAGAGAAGGCAAAAACCAAGGCAAGAGGTAGTAGCAGCGGTAGTAGCAAGCAGATAGGCCAGGCAGCAGGAAAAGGAATGTGGAAAAAAGTAAGACAGAAATAGTAGAATAAAGGGATAATTAACTTCTTCGTTCGTATAGATCATCAGGTCATGTAAAAAATATCGGTTTCAGGCATGTTGGCTTGGAAACGGCAGGACGGTAGACGGTAGATGGTTGACGGCGGATGGCAATGGCCAGGTAGTTAAGGGGGTAGGGTAGGATAGGCTGTAGATAGGAAAAAGACGAACCCAAGGAAATAAACTCGTGGCTGCTATGCAGCGGGAGTTGGCACGAGGAAGGAATAAATATTGGGAGGGGGAATATCCAGATAGCCAAAAAAACGTAATAATAAAGATAAAAAACAAGGGTATGATAAAGAAGTGTTATGACAAGACAGCGGAAGAGTCAGAGGTGTGTCAAAAGGGGAAGGAGGGAGGGATTAAAAAAATGGAGCGGGCAGTAAGGGGGGAAAAGAAGACTCTAGAGAATCAGGCATTTGACACCCCGGTGTGATTTTGATCTATCGGGACGCAGCGCCTTTTGATAGTCTGACCCATTGAGGTCCCTGTTGGAGCCGCCCTGCCCACCGAACCCAGTTGTCCTCCGGTCCGAAGGCCGGTTGAGCTGTTGTTGCTGCTGCTGCTGCTGTCTCTGCTGCCTGAGCAGCCTGACGACATCGAAAAAGGCCTTTTCGACGTTGATGCAGTTTTTGGCGGAGGCCTCAACAAACTCGCAGCCAAGGTCCTTGGCCAGCGCCATGCCTTCCTGAGACGAGACGGCGCGCTCGACTGCCTTATCCGACTTGTTGCCGACGAGCATTACGGGCACGGGGCCGGCGGGCGTGGTAGAGATGGCGGAGGTGAGTGGGGAGGAGAGGTAGCTGGCACCGGTGGGCGAGCCGGAGCTGGCAGACTCCTTGACGAGCTGGATCTGGTGGTGGAATTTCTGTATCCTGGTGAAGGAGGAGCGCGAGGTGATGCTGTAGACGAGCACGAAGCCCTCGCCGTCTCTTATCCACTGGTCGCGCAGGGCGGTGTATTCCTCCTGTCCGGCGGTGTCGAGGACCTCGAGCATGCACGACTGCTGGTCGATGACGACCTGTTTGCGGTATGAGTCTTCGATGGTTGGATCGTATGTCTCGACGAAGTGGTTCAGGCACAGCTCCCTCCCCGAGAGCCATAGGTTAGTTTTTCTTTCTGGGATCTTGGGATCT